GAAATCGGTCGTTGTGGCTGGGTTTACCCTCGATTTTTGCTTCCACCTCTCCTTGATTCGAATCTCGCTTGCGTGTGACGACCCTTGACCCTTCAGCTTTTTGCAAGCTCTCGCCCATCTTGCTGTTCCGCGCTGGCTGATCGTTCTATTTTCCCCCGCCTCGCCCTCTTACCTCTCCCTTCTTCCTCCACCCCCATGCACCGCGCCCTTTAACCTTCTCTTTCGCTCCTTTGGGAGGGGTTTCTTGAGTGGTAAGCATTCGTAATTTTCATCGTGGATGAAGTCTGGTGAATCGTCGTCTGCACGAGACGTCCACCACGAATCGTGAATGTGCTCGACCTGCTGGCCCACCCACACCTTGCTCGGCACTTGACTCACTCACAACTCCACAACCACGTGGTCGACGTGGCGGGTGGGAGTGGAACGCGCACGGGCGCACGGGCGGGCGCATCAGGCTCTCTCCGCGCGACGTTGCAGCGCCGCGGGCGTCGCGACGGCATCGCCCCGAGCGCGCGCCCATGCAGTCGAGGCGGTGTGGTGCTGGCTGGCTGGCTGGCTGGCTGGCTAGCTGATGCACGCGAAGCTCTCGTGTGTGCATGCGCTGCTGCTGCTGGGTGTTGGGCGGAGAGACATCACATCACCTGGCCATCATCATCCTCGCATCACGTACGCTGCACCACGACATCCCACCGACGTACGCCAGCAAACTCTTTCGCGATCAGCACATCCACAGCGTTACGCGCGTCTCTCTCCATATATCTCTCTCCCCCCCTCTCATTCAATCAGTCTCTCGGCATCGCGCTCGTGCTGCGTCACACTGAGCGACTCTCCTGCAATCGTTTCATCCCTAGGGCGCATACATCCACCTTCATCCAGTGCTCGGTACACGATAGCCCAACATGGTGAGCCAATCGCCGCGCGTTCCGAGCGCAATGTACCTCAAAGTGATGCTGCTCTCGAATCGTCCCCCCCTTCTTCAACTCACGCCCTCTCTTGCTCTTGCAGGACTTTGAGGATATCGGTAACAGGTTGGCCAACCTGACGATGTACGATGTGCGCAAAGCGTACGGGGATGCGGTCAATTGGGCGATGAACGTTTCGGAAATCGAAGCAAAGGTCAAGGAAGCTACGAGCGATGAAAAGTGGGGAGCGAGCTCGACGCTCATGCAAGAGATTGCTGCTGCCACGCACAATTTTGCCGATTTCAACGAGATCATGCCGGCCATCTACAGAAACTTTATGGAGAGGGAAGCAAAGGAGTGGAGAATGATCTACAAGGTGAGCCAGACGGAGGTCAATATGACGGCATGCATGCTGAGAGCGTTTGACATCTTTCACCCGCAGTCGCTGCAACTTCTCGAGTACATCGTCAAGCACGGCAGCGAACGAGTGGTGGATGATGCCAGGTCGCACGTGGGCACCATCAAAATCCTGCGCAACTTTCACTACATTGATGAACAAGGCAAAGATCAGGGCATCAATGGTACGTGCTCAGGCGCGGTAGGTAGGCATGTACGCCTTTTGGCTCACAAGATCAAACCTTTACGCTCCTCTTGCGCAGTTCGCAACCGCTCCAAAGAACTCTCGACTCTTCTCGGCGATGTGGATATGATTCGTCAAGAGCGACGCAAGGCACGATCTAACAAGCAAAAGTACCAAGGCGCAGGAAATGGAGACTTTGTTCCGGGTAGCGGAACTGGACGGTATGGAGGATTTGGATCCGACAGCTTTTACGCCGGCGGGGGTGGCGGCGGCGGATCGAGCGCATATGGGGGAGGTAGCAGTGGCTATGGGGGAGGAAGGAGCGGAGGAGGGGGAGGCTACGATGGAGAAGCAGATTACGACGAGTACGATGCGGGAGATGCAGAAGATAGACCTGCTCCTCGCAAGTCCACCTCCGCTGCCACATCTTCATCCTCGGCTCCACCTCCTAAAGCTGCACCAAAGGCCAAAGAGGTCGACCTGCTAGGTTGGGATGATGATGAACCTGCGGCGGCTGCGGCTGCGGCTGCGGCTGCGCCCACCGCTGTCGCTCCTGCGCCCGTCACCAAGCCAGCGGCTGCCCCCTCGTCTGCATTGGACGCTTTCGGTGACGACTTTGACGAGTGAGTGTGGGATTCCCATGATGATCTGTTTGCTCAGCGCCAACGGAGCGGCTGACGTCTTTTCTTGCTGCTTCGACGTGGCGCAGCTTCCAAGCGGCACCGACTGCAACCTCTGCTCCTGCACCCGCTCCTCGTCCGAGCGTAGCTGCTTCTCTGAGCTACTCGAGCGCAAGCAGCGGTACATTGGCTCCAACGCGGGCCTCGTCCGTGTCCAAAACGGCAGCATCTCCAAGCAATGCGGCCTCGAAGCCCGCTACCGCCGCTAGCAGCAGCAGCAGCGGTCTAGGAGGCTTCGACGATCTGTGGGCATCCTCATCGAACGGCGGAGCGAGCGGCAATGCGGCCAGCAAACAGAAAATGACGATGGCTGAAATGGCGAGAAATAAGAGCAGCAGCGCGGTTTGGGGCAGTGATGCCAGGAAGACCAATGTTCCCGCTGCTGCTGCTGGTGGTGGTGGAGGTGGAGCGCAGCAACAGCAGGGACAGAAGAAGCCCGACTTGTTCGATTTGTTGTAGAGCGGCGTGGCGGCAAGAAGGGGGGAAAGCTGAGGAGAGGCGAGGCGAGGCGAGGCGAGGAGGAGATCGACGAATGTCTACGCAGAATGACGAATGTCTACGCGCTCCTTGGATATCGCTCCCATCCCGCCCACGACCACCACCACCACCACCACGACGTGCCGTATGGCGCTGCACGACAATCCGTCCATCAGAACGGGCCAGGAGTGTGCCCCCCCCCCCCCCCCCGGGGCCTTTTTCTTTGGCGCTTGCTAGCCATGACTTGACAGTACCTCGACAGAAACATTCCTAGCACACACATTGTCACTTTCCAAATGCATTTTTCGACGCGGCTTTATCGCCCCGAACAGCTTGCTCCCCGCGCGTCTGCTGAGCATGATCGCGGTCGATCGAGCGGGCAAGTGGTGTGTGGCAGGGGGGGGGGGGGGCCAACGTACCTCGCGCGCGCGCGCGCGACTGCGCGTTCCACTTTTGGCAAGCATCAAGCACGGACGAAGATGCGGATGGGATGCGCGCGCGCGCTTTTTGGCCCCCTATCTGTGTCACGAATCACGATGGGCATATGAGTGACGTTAATGAAAGCGTGCAAGCGTGAGCGTGAGCGTGAGTGTGAGTCACGGCGTCGAAGGTGAGGAGATGATTGATCAAATCAATCACGAGCGAGCGATGATGTGGATGCTGTTATTGGAGTAAGGTGGGTGCATCGAGGTTGAACTGCCAACAATGAGTTGGATTTCGGTTTATCGGGGGGGGAGGGGGGGGGGAAAGGCCCACAATGAGGGAGGTGACGCGACGTGACGTGGCAAGTGTCCCGATGATTGTACAGAAGGTGCGACGGAAATACACGTGACGAATCGCCAGCCAGCCAGCCAGCCAGCCAGCCAGCCAGCCCGATGCGGGTCGGTGATGTCCCTCGCGCAGAGATGCTGGCGGCGATGGCTTTAGCGATGGATCGGATGGCAAGGAACTCCAAGAGAGAATGTGAATCGCCCAAAAGCACTGTTGCGTCTTGGGCTGAGCTTTCCGACGGACGCAAGAGAGAAATCTTTGGACGAGAATCGAATGGCGTGGGCGGCAAAGCGCAAAAAGCCGACCGACGATTCTTCCCTCCCCCAACGAGCTCTGCGCGCGCGTAGACGTCCGACGTGGTCACCACATCAGCGAGATGGCATAGTCGACCGCCAAGCCGAACCAAAGCAGCAAGCCCACATCTCGATTGGATCTGAACTTGCTCCAACAGTCCGCTCGGTCCGCCAAGTCAACAGTCTTGATCTGCCAGTAGAGATGAGCGGCTACCGCACCCAGAGCTGCGCAACCTGCGGGATGTGCAGACAGGTCGATGGAAGAAACGGCTGTGCTGAGCGCCTCGACGATCGTGGAGGGTGCTGGCAAGGACCAGGCTTGTTTCGCTGCTGCGAGAATCTCAGAGGCGGACGGCGGCAAGGCCTGAGCAGCAGCAGCAGCAGCAGCGCCGCTGCTCGCATTGCCCATCGCGACTGCCGTGCTGCCGACGAAGCATGTGCCAAAGAGGGATAGAATCGGCTTGGTCTTGTCTCCGAATAACAGCGCTGTGCTCTTGATACCCGTAGCTAGATCGTCCTTGGCATCCTGATGAGCGTATATCGTGTCGTACAAGATCGTCCAGCAGACCGTCCCTGCGTACAGAGGTAGCACGATGGGAAGGTGCAGATGACCACCTAGCGCTGCGTAGCCCAACAAGCTTCCCCAGTTGAATGCAAGACCTACAAAAAATGGATATTCATTCAGCCCCCAGCACTCTACGAAGAAAAGCCAAGGAACATCCTGATCACCTCACCAAGCACCAATTGTGGCCAGTGTGTGATGCGCTTCATGAGCGGATACACAATGACGAGGCCAAGCGACGTGGCACCGAAGAAGATTCTGTGGGGGGTGGGGGGGGTGTCAAGCCAGTCAGCTGTGCGCTATGATGAGGGGCAGCTAAGCTGCTGTGCTTCTGCGAAAGAAAAAGACGCACGAGTACCAGTTGAGTTGAAGCAAGACTGCGAGTCCAAGACTGAGCTGACCAGATAGAAAGACGAGCGCATTCATCGGGGTCAAGGCGCCCGAAGCGATGGGCCTGGATCGCGTGCGTTCTATGCGGTGCGGTGCGGTGCGGTGCGGTGCGAGAGGAGGATGATATCTGAGCATCATGGGATATGGCGACTTTGCGAACCTTACCCCCCATCAGCCATAGCGCATGCCTCACCGACGCCTTGATCCAACTTGCGGTCCCACATATCATTGATGGTGCATCCTGCTCCGCGCATGACCAGCGCACCCGTACCAAAGATGGCGTAGCAAGCAAGGACTTGTGCGGGAGACGCTGCCAAGTGCTGAGCAGCCAAGGTGAGACTGAAGGTGCAGGGAAGAAAGAGCAGCCAAGTACCGATCGGTTTGTCGTACCGAGCCAGCTCGACGTAGGGCCTGATGCGCTGCGCAAATGTTTGCGAGCTGCTGCTGCTGCTGCTACCTCCAGTCGAGACTTGCGATGCCCACCACCGAACACATCTTCGAAGGACGACCGAAGCGCAGCTGCTCTTTGTCGAGCTGGAGCTGCTCCAGACGGGCGAGACGGCCCGCAAGTCTGGATGCTGGAATGGCGATGGCGCCTGAATCCTTGGGCGGCTGCGGATGGATGTGTGCGTGGAGTTGATTGTTCGAAACGGTACGTGCGCAGCGCCTGCGAACCTCGGGAGGTGAAGACATTCTGGATGAAGAAGCTGTCTACTCTTGAGCGGCCCCCTTCCGCCCAGTCCCACTATCCGGAGCAACATGATGGATGTAGGAGATGTGACAATCTGAATGGCAGATGGAGTCAAAAGAGTGCGTTTGCGCGACCCTGCGCAGTCACGAGTCACGAGTGTCGGCGGACGGACGATGTTCAAGAACGCTTTGTGCACGACTGCTCAGAAAGATGAAAGCTGCACCGAGCTCGACGCTTCCATCAGGGGAGAGCACGCCGCACACCGCACGCCGCTGCTTTTGATGGGAGCAAAGGCTGTGCAAGTCACGAGTCCGGGCAGCGGATCGTGTGCGTTGCGTACGTGCTCAAGAGTCGAGACGAGGCTCGCGGCGGAGGTTAGAAGATCTGTTGCACGCATGCGCGCGCGCCGTGGTCGCACCGCATCGCATCGCATCGCATCGCATCGCATCGCATCGCATGCACGGACCTTTTGCGCCAGGTTTTCATCACACGCGGCAGCCAACGTTGAGGCATTCGTTCAAGTGCATACAGACAGTCACAGTAGCGAGTAGCGAGTAGTGAGCCCTCCCTCTTCACTCCCATCCACGCGCTCTTTCACCTCCGCGTTAGCCATATCAGACTTGGCACAGCAAGAGGCGCGAGCGTGTGCAGATTCCATCCACTTGCAAAAAGTCTCCCTACCGTGTATGCGACCAACGTGCCCCCCCGTCGTTGCAGCACTGAGGACGTCTTGATTTTTCGGGGGACATCGCAGCGCCATGGCGTACAATTCACCTCATCGTGGAAGCTATGGAGGATATGGAAGCCCTGCTCGAGGTGGACATGGCGGAGGCGGGTACGGAGGCGCTCAGCCGCAGGCCTACTATGGAGGGGCAGGGGGAGGAGCTGGTCACGGAGCAGGGCGCGGTCCTCGTCGATCCGGAGGACGCTACTCGGGCGGAGGAGGAGGAGGAGGCGGCGGAGGCAGATACTCCCAAGGCGGTGGCGGTGGCGGTGGCGGCGGATCGCATCCCTCCAAAGCTGAACAAGAAGCGGATCGTGTAGCGGCAAAGATCAAATCCTTGCGCTCGACGCTCTTCAGATGGGCAGATCCGCATCATGGAGCTGGAACGGACGCCGCGGCAGGTCAAGGCGGTGCAGCAGCAGCAGCGCAGCAGGCAAAGCAAGAGGAAGCCTTTAATGCGCAGAGCGAGATGCACTCGTTCGCAAAGTGGATAGAGGGCCTGTGGAAAGACCGCGAAGAGGTGAAAGCTGCTTGGAGAGTTATGTGAGTAACGACACTGGCTAGCACGCACGCATCGGTCGATTTGTGCGACTGATCAGAGATTCTCCTGTGATCATGCGCAGGATCACGGAACAGCCACACAAACTTCCACTTCACGCAGCGCTGCTCGGATACATGTTGCTGGCACCAGCCACTCCCACAAAGTCCAAAGACGCTGCTAACAAGAAAGAAGACGCTGATGCGACTGTCGCGGCTGCCACAGGTGCGGCAGTCAACGCCCGAGCAAACAATAGCGCAGATCCAGAAGATAGCGCAGAGGCAGATCTGTATAGCCTCGGCGAAGGTCATCAAGAGAAAGGGCATGACAGCGAACAGACGGCGAAGGATGAGACGAATGAAAGCAAAAGAAAGAGGTCTGCAGCCGAGGAGCTGGAAGCGCGAGAAAAGACGTACGAGACCATGGGTCCCCTTATCCTTACCGACCTGATCAAAGCATTTCAGCTCTGGCTGGACTCTCGCATGTGGAGGAACGTGAGGCTGAGTGTGAGTCGGATTTCGAGACCTGCAGCGCTGTCGATGCGTTGACGCGTAGAGCACATTGCACTCTTTTAGCTTCACCTCTTTGCTTGCCTGTTAAATCTGAGAGTCGTCAGCGCACAGTCGTTCCGGGACCTGTTGGGCTCTTTCGCCTCCGTGCTGGATGAGCCTGGAGTGTCGGCTGCACGAGGTGATCGCGCAGCAATCTGCGTCATCGAGGCGCTCTGCTGGGCTGGGCAAGATGCGCTGGCGGGAGAAGCAGGGGATGGCGCTGTAGAAGCGCTGGCTGATCGCATTGGCACGTACGGGCGATCGAGAAAAGTCGAAGTTGAGCTCATCTCTCCCTGGCCGAGGTACGCCGCCTCGGCAGAGGAGGATGCTTCGCTCCGTGAGGAATCATTCGAGAGTGCCGTGACGGCCCTGGAGAACTTGCGTGCGGGCGGATGGCAGCGACCAGCCTTTTTGCCGGTGCCCTCGGAACTCTTACCACCAGCACTGCACGCCGCCGCTGCGTCGCGCGAGGCAGACATTGAGCTGCCCTTCATCCTTGTACCGCCAGACGAAGAAGAGGATGCGGGTGCTGTGACGTTCACCAGCGCTTCCCTTGCCGCAGCTACCAACGGCGCAAGTCATCTCAAGCATGCTTCGAAAAGACGAATGGTAGCGCAACAGAAGCGCGCAGCCGCCACGACAAAGGGAGAAGAGGAAAAGCAACGTGCGGGTGCTGGCCCTCCTCGGCTTTCACGTTCTGCCCGATGGTTCGCCGAGGTGAGTGCCAGATTTGTGCGAACGGCATCGAGTCGGCTTGGATGGGATCGTTGAGTCGTCTCTTCCTTCTCCCTCTCATCTCTTTTCCCGTTGTAGAGCGTCCCGTCATCCACATCTCCTTCCGGCTTGGTGCTGAGATCGTTGCTTGCGGATGTCGTCGACCTTTACGAGGTGAATCGCAAAGAGTGCGCACGAATCCTCTTTGACTTTGCGCGCTGGTGCAGAGTTGGCACCTTTGTCGGTAAAAGCGTGGAGCCTACATTGGGTTTGTGTGGAGATGTAGAAGACGAATGGCAAATCGTCGATGGAGATGTGCGAGGCGGCTGGTCCTTGGATGATACGCTCGTAGAGGTGAGCAGCAGCAGCAGCAGCCTCCAGACGCAGACCTTGCCGTCATGTGCTGACCGCTAGTTGCGTCTTTCCACAGACTGTCTTGTCGATAGCGTTGCAGCTGCCAACTCCACCTCATACGGGCCTCTTCTACAGCTGCTTGCTCCGCGAGATAGTGACGCTGAGCCCGCAGACCGTGGCGCCGGCCATTGGCAAAAGTGTGCGCAGGGTGTATGGCGCGATGCGTACGGGTCGAGCGGACGGCGAAGTCATTCGCCGTTTTGGAGATTGGTTCAGCGTCCACCTGTCCAACTTTGCTTTTCAATGGGCTTGGAAGGAGTGGTGAGTGCTGGCCGCGCACTTCTCCAGATCCGAGATGCTCAGGCGGCGGCGGTGCCCTTTCCTGACCGCTTCATCGTGCAACGAACCATGTCCCGCAGGATTCCTGACATGAGTCTGCCATCGGCCCACCCTCGCAAAGCATTTGCTAGGCGGGTGGTGGAGCTGGAAGTCCGATTGGCGTACTGGGAGCGTGTCAAGGGCACCCTGCCAGCGGAGATCGCCGAGGGTGTCTTGCCTGCGCAAGAGCCCACGCCAACGTTTACATACGCAGCGGAAGGTGAGCCGCTTCGGTCCAAGCAAACACCATCCTTTCGCACTATCTAACATCGCTGTCCTTTTTGCTCAGGTCACCCTCATCGGGAAGCAGCCCTCGCGCTCATTCAATCCTTTAGGGCTCGGGCTACTGCACAAGTGATCATGGCGAACATGGACGCTCTCAAAACGCAAATCGTACCTGACCAGCAAGACGATGCGATGTACGAGGATGCGGCAGAGGCAGCAAACGATGGCAAGGTCAGAGATGAGAGAGAAGCAGATATTTTGGTACGGGACATCATCTTCCAAGCCATCCTGAGCGTCGGAAGTCGTTCCTTTTCGCATTTCCTCAACGTTGTAGAGAGGTAGGTCGAGCTGCGTCGGTTTTACTATCAAGCGCTCTGTGCTGACACTTTCCTTACATGGTGATTGACGCAGGTATCACGCCTTGCTGCGGCAGTTGTCATCCACGCCAGAGCTGCGCAAAGCTATCCTGGCAAGCGTAGTACGCTTTTGGGCTCGGTCTCCTCAATGGGTGCAGATCGTGTTTGACAAGTTGCTGCAATATCGCATCGTCGAACCGACGGACATTATCGACTTTGTCTTTCAACCATCCGGCATCCGCTTCCCAGACCTGGTGGTCATGGGCAGCGGCGATGGCGTCGAAGACTCCTTCTCTCGTGTCGATTCGGCTGCAAAGATTCCTCGTGATTGGAGCAACGCGAGCTGGTGGGACATTGTCAGATTGACGGTAGAGAAGGTCAATGGGCGTGTGGATCAGGTTCGAAAGCGTCTGGAGGCGCTGGAGAGGGAAGAAGCGGCGGAAGAGGAACAAAAAGCTGCTGCTCAGGTTGCTGGGGACGAAGAGCCGGCCAAAGCTGATCAAGAGCCTACGCCTGCACCTGAGCCCAAACTGCCGCTCTTTCCGGGTGCCAGTCTTCCACCTCGTCCGCCTGTTGCTGCTTCGCCGGTCAAGACGCCAGCGGTGCCGCCGCCGCTTGCCAAGAAGGCGCAAGGGACGAGCGCCGAGGCCAAGGTGGCGCTCGAAGCTATCCAGGCGGAACAGAGAAAGGTCATGGTGGGCACCACGCGAGGCTTTGCGATGCTCTTGAAGGCGAGTCGAGGAAATTTGAGCAGCAGCGCTGGACCAATGCTGGATGAGCACACGAGCCAAGAAGCCTGGCTTGCTTGGTGGGTCCGCGCTTGGTACCGAGATTTCGCAAGATTGGTGAGTAGCGCGCGCCATCAAGATGTGCGCGGCTCTCTACTTCTTAGCTGATCTCGATCTCGATACGCTGTGCCTCCCGGAAACTTTCAAGTTTGCCAAGCAACTCGCAGCGAACAACGAGACGATTACGAGCTTGGTCTTGGATGAGCTTGCGCCCTTGGAGAGCGACGCGGCGAGAGACATTTTCGACAGGGCGGTCCAGATGGCAAGCGAGTGATGGGGGCGCATCGTCGTGCGCTGGACTGGACGTCGTGTGATGCTGCATGTCGAACAGAGAGATCGAGTAAGGAATTACATATATTTGGGGGGGGGAAACCGATGGATCAAAGTGATATCTGTACAATAGATTGCAGCGTGGACGGGCGAGCAAAGTGCGAGAGCAGCGCCGCGCTACGCCACGCCACGCCAAGCGCATTGGCAGGCCAGTTGAAGAGGTCATTTGGAGTCACGTCTTCTTTGTGCTGCCCCTCTTTTGCTTGTCCTGGTCTGTGAACAATGCAGCCTGCAAGCGTTCAAACTCTGCATCGTCGAGCGGATCATCCGGCAAGGTTTGCGCTCCTCGTCTGCTGCCCTTTGCATCCACGGATTTCTTCTTCTTGGATGCGGCGGATGCATCCTTCTTGACGCCCCTTTTTGAGCCGGACGCGCCCGTGTTGCTCCCGCTTGCGCGAGCTTCGATGCGCGAAATCACATCGTCGAAGCCTGCCGAGCGCTGTTTTTGTCGAGCTGCAAAGAGCGCTTCTAGACTCGACGTGTCCCTTTCGTCGTCTTGCTCCTCCTCCTCCTCCTCCTCCTCTTCTTCTTTCGCAGCTTTGCCCTTGCGTCCCTTTTGCTTCTTTGTCTTGGCAGATGCAGACGCTCCATTCGATCTCTTGCGCTTCTTGGAGTCGTCGTCCGCACCATTCTCATTCTCATCTTCCTCCTCGTGATCGTCCTCATGTCCTTTCCCATCCCCTTTGGCCTCCCCTTTATTTCCTCTTCCCTTTCTCCTCTCTCCCCTCTTGCCATTCCCAAACAACTCATCCCACACTCCCAACTCCCTAGCCGCCTGTTCAGCTTCTCCCGCTTCCTTTTTCGCACTCTCCCTCATCCTCTTGCGTCCCTTGTCGTTGGATGTCCATCTTTTCCACGCTTTGGTCGAGTCTAATTCGCCAGATTGAATGCTGCTGTTGATGAGATCAACGACGCGCTGCTCGTCTGCTAGGATTTCGAGACAAGGCACTTCGTTGAGGATATCTTGCAGATCGCCCTTTTTTGATCTGTACGCTTCTAAGATGTCTTGCTTCTCCTCCTCGGACCCTTGCGCGTATCAAGATGGGCTATCATCAGGGTCCATCGGAGAGCATCTGCGATGCATTCGAGGCGGATCGTCGACTCACCTTGATATCCTTCCTTGAACTCTCTCAGCTTGTTTCCCGTCACCTCTCCATCCCACAGCGTGGTAAAGTACTCATCCCAATCCATACCTTCCCCATCCTCACCTAATGCGAATCTCAGCTCATCCGTCTTTCCAGTCGCGTCGTACCGTTTCTTGCGAGAAGAGTCGGAGAGGACGGCATAGGCGAAGCCGATCTGTTGAAAACGGCCGTGGGAAGAGGCGTCTTTGGACTTGTCGGGATGGTGTAGCAAGGCTAATCTGTGGAGAGCGTTGGCATCGACGTGATGGGTGTGACCAGTGTATGCTCGGGTGTCAGCTTGGGAGAGGCAGGCACAATGCAATCGAAAGCAACTTGCCGCGCCGCTTTGGTCTCCCCTCGCCATCCACCGCATACACGCACAGCCTCGTCCTTATGACAACCTAAATCCCACTCCGATTGCCGACGTGAGCCGAACTTACTTTTTGTAAGCTTTTTTGATCGCCTCGGAGCCAGCTGATGAATCGAGCTGCAGAGCGCCATACAGATCCACCTCTCCATCCGGGAAGAAGTTCAACGCAGGATCGTTCTGGTCCATCGTGTGCGTAGAGAGGGGAGATGCGACACGAAGAGGGCAGTAGAAGTCCAGATGGGGCGCGTGGGATGGACGGCTTTTTGATTGCCAGCTCGATGGACTGGACGTCGAGCGTAGTCGTGCTTGTCATTCACGATGCGGTGAAGGATGGATGGAAGTGTGGATGCATGCTACACTGTGCATCATCGGACATGATTGTGTGCAACACCACACCCGTCACGGACGCGTTCCTCGCGCTGCTCACAGCACGGTATTAATTAAAAGACGCGCACCGACGCGGACGCGCACGCCGGGCAGAGCGCGTCAAGTGTGAGTGTGCATGCGGCGTTGCGTGCCTCCCTGCCATGTCCGCGGAGATCCGCGGATAGCCGTCGAACGTGAATTCACGAATGCAAGCATTGCATGGAAAGCAATCCGATTCACAAATCCTCACGAATGCGGCCTTGCATGGCGATGATCATCGGCTAGAGCCAGTCGTTTCCATTCGTCATCTCCATCATCATCATCACGAAAACTTGACTGGCGAATTGGTCGCACCCCACTCCATTTCTCGTCCCGCATTGACAAGTCGTTGCTGAGCTGATTCGGACGCTGCAAAAGGGCCAACACAAACGAGCGGCCCAGTGGTGGCCCTTAGCTGGAGCTATATACGCTGCAGAAACATAGCATACAGGCCGCACATCTCTCTCTCACACACACACAGCCTTGCGCAAAGATGCAGATGCTTCGACCTCGCCTGCTACGTTCATGTCAGGCCTTACCACGTGGAGAAGGCTGCGCACGGTGCATCCGAGATCGTTCAACCGCAGCGCCCTCAGCGCCCACAGTCTTGTCCAGGCGCGCAAGTCGCCCTTCGAGGCCGCCTCGCCCGCTGCCTCTGTCTGCTCGACATGCTTCCACCTCGACTGCGGGACGAAGATCCACGGCGTCCAACGGCTCTGCAAGGGGCAAGATCCTGTACTTGCTTGTTGGTGCAGGCATAGCTTCCGCTGCAGTGTATAGCAAAACTTCCCAGCCTTTACGCGCACAAAGACGCAACATCATCGCACCCGACACGTTCCAAGAGTTCCGAGTGACGCAAAAGAGGATTGCTAGCAGCACGCTGCTGGAAGAGAAGGGGGATGGAGAGCATGTCATGTTGGATGTGGATGTTGAAGTGAGCCTGAATGAGGATCAGCAAGGTGGTCAGAGTGGTAAAGAGGCGATGTGCATCCACACTCTCCATCTGGCCTCTCCCGCACTATCCATCCAACGACCCTACACTCCTCTCTATTCGCCCTTTGTCGTATCGAATGACGCGCCAGCATCAATAAAGACACCCAAGAGTGCTCTGAGGAAGGTACAGTTGATGATTAAAAAGTACAACGATGGAGAAGTGGGAAGGTTTGCTCATTCTTTGGCGAGCGGAGATCAGATCTTGCTCAGAGGATTCGACAAGAGCTGGCAAGGCGATGGAACGGAGACGGAACTGATCCTCGTGCGTGTAGCCTTCGTTGCGCTATGACTGGTCGACGTGTGCAAGCGGTACTGTTTGAAACAAGCGTTGGCTCATCCCTCTTTACCTTTCCCCTGCTCCTCTGCGGATAGATTGCAGGAGGGACAGGCATCACGCCAATGCACCAACTCATCAGCTCCCTTTTCGGCTCCAATGCAAGCTCAAACTCAGCAGCGACCGCGACCACCACGAAGCCGAAGATCACGCTGCTATACAGCGCGCACCAAATCTCTGCCCTCTGCCTCCTACCCGAACTAGAAGATCTGCGTCAACGAGCAGGCGCAGAGAGGCTACACATCGAATTGTTCGTGGATCAGCACTCGCACTCGCATAGTCTGTACGAGAGGGTATTTGGACGTCGGACGAAGGAGGTGCGTGGGATGAAGCTGAACGGGAACAGGGTGGGGTTGAAGGATCTCGAGAGGATCGCAAAGCAAAAGGATGCGCACACGCATTGCAAGGTGTTGATAGCGGGACCGGACGGGTGAGTAAGAGTCGGAATTGGGCCAGGCATCATCGCCAAAACGTCGTTGACGAGCGACTGCGCTGCGCTATGCTGCCCTCTTTGCCATTTGGTCGTCCAGCATGGTGGAAGCTATAGCGGGACCTAAAGCGAGGGATGGCAAGTCTCAGGGAGAGTTGGGAGGTCATTTGAGCCATCTCGGATGGAAAAAAGAACAAGTGTGGAAATTGTGATGCAATCTCATTGCACAGCGTCGGGCTTTGCATGCGGCTATTCTTGTGAGGCTGACGGGAAAGTTCAAGTCGTCGATGAGTGCTCGAATCGACAGGATTCGGAGACTTCATCTTGCTGCGCTACTGTGTCGAGGTCGTTGGAAGTACCTCTGAAGGCAGAGCGACGCGGTTCGTGGGTCGCTTGGAATTCGAGTCCCCTTCCTCATCGCCTCAACCCAGTCTAGCTCTCAGCGCATTGAGCTTCTTGTTCACCTGCGCAGCAAAGAGAAGCCGGTGCATATGGTACATTCAGAGCTCGTCAAAATACCGACTGCGCTGATTGGGTTTTCGGCACGCAGAATAGACTGCCCTGGACAACTCACACTCCAATTGGGCTTGCTCGACAATCCTGACGCTTTGTGAACCTCGGGTATGTTCTTCAAGGCAAGATCGTACACACTCCTCTGCAACCTCAGCTCTTCCTCTTGCGTCGCCGAGAAGAGTGTTTCGGAGAGGTGTAAGTCCAGCAGCGGTGGGGTCGATGGGGTGAGGAACAAGTGCAGCTTCGTCCGAGCAAGCTGAGATGAACTTACCGACGGTCCAAGGATTCTTGTTGCCTTTTGAAGGACTACCTTTGGCGCTGCTGGATGGCACGACGACCTGTATGCGCTCTTTCTCGGGCGAAATGGGCTCCTTCTTGATGCGAAGTGCAGGTGCTTCATCCTCGCTTTGCGAATCGGCCATTCTGGCGTACCTAGCAGCAGCAGCAGCAGCAGTAGCCGCATGCCGAACCTCCTCCCTCTTGACCTTTTCCTTGCCAAAAATCTCACCACCGCTACGTTTGCTCATGGTTCTCGAGCCTGCTTCGCTATGCGTCTTCTTGCTCTTCTTTCTCTTGCTTGACCCCTCTTCTTTATAGTCCGAATCGTTCTCGTCGCACATCGACTCGTTGAGCTCTAGATCGCGCGCTAGTCGATGCATCTTGTGCTTCGCTTCGCTACAGGGAGAACCGTCGGTCTGCAAGTCTTCTCGAAGCATGTAGTCTAGGAAGGGGCTCTTTTTGGACTTGGACGGAGTACGCTGCAAGGAAGGATGGTGGCTTGCGTTAGCTGTGCGTCAGCGTCAGCGTCAGCGTTCCTTAGTCTTTGTAGCGCGCACCATGCTTGACATTCTGGAATTGAGGGACGCAATGGGCAGGCGAGGCTGGGAAGCCCCCCAAGTGTCAAGAGGATCTACACCGTAGAGCTGGCGTCGACGGATGCCGGGCAAGGGAGAAATGCGTGGCACAGCACAGTCACGATGTTGGGGTGAAGCTAGCTTCTTTGCCGGGCCAAACGGGCCTCGCTATCAATAAAGACAAAAGCGGGTCGACGAGGCTTGGGAACACGCTCGTAATCACGCATACGCGTGTCGAGAAGCAGGCATCGCTTCAAGAAGCTTCGCGTATCTAGGCGCTGTACCGAGCAAGAAGTCGAGCCGACGCTTCCCTTTACCCGAATTCACCATTGCTGTGTCACGATTCTGCCTCGAATCTGCGAGCCAGTCTACTCGACACACGGTCAGGCAGGGAAAGAGCACATGTCGCATCAATCACGCTTGTGCCGGCCAGCAATGATGAACTCACTCCTCACATCTTTTGCATGTGCGTATTTGCGCAGTCATCATGGGGCTGATTAAGGGGGCGCAGATCTCTCGTCGAGACTTTTTGGTGGGTGTCTGCCAAGGGTGCCTTGAGTGTTCAGCACTTGGAAAGACAAATTATATAGAAGAGAAGGCCTGTTCACACGCTCATACATGTTCTCATTTGTCTTGCGCTTGGGCGCGGAAGCGTTTCTACCCTTTCAGTCGCGAATGATGGCCAAGAAGCGGGTGCTGGCTTGTATATGGAGACTCTCGCTGCCCAGCAGACGTCTGTTGATTGAGCTCGATCTCAGCCGATGCCTCGTGAGCAAATCAGCTGGATGCAAGCAGCAAGGCGAATTCATATCCCAAATCCTCTTCAAGTGTCAGCGCAAAGTGTACAGTCCTCGAGTAGCTATAGACAAATGGGGGAGCCGTGGAATGTAGAGTGAGAAATGGTGCAATCAGATCGTCACATCCAGTACGATTTTAGCGACTTGGCCGGCTCGCCGACGGATACAGCTTTGCGAGGGAGCGTCAAGAGTCACGAGTCACGAGTACGTGAATGTCCCAAGCAAGTCGTATTTCGTGGTCAGATACCTTCTTGTCAAGAGTACGTATGGCCCGCCTAGACGAAGATGCATGGTGCACATACTAGACACTCGTGGGCACGGCTCACCCAGACTGTCCAACACATGCAGCTAGCAAAGCCGAACGATTGAGCGCGCTGTGCCATTTCTGCATCGGTGATATTCGATGAGGCACGTCCCTATCGTACTAGATATGTTCCAATCACGCACCAAGCGCAGACTGATGCGAGTGTCGGGATTGCAACTTTGGGTCAATAGAGTCTCGACTGCTTGCACGACTCATCGACACTTTCGAATCGGTCTGCTTCCAGATGCAGGTGTCACGAGTCACCGATCTGCGCTCGAGCAGATTTCAGTCCTCAGTGACGAGTTGCACGACTCCTTTTCTTTTGAATTGCGACGAAGGTTCGCCAGAGGCTTGCTTTAATTTGCTCGCGACTTTGGACAGGTGAAGCGAGATGAATGATGGTCGGGCCGCGCAGCACCGTCGAGGCCTCGCGGCCGTGGATCGCACGTCCATCTGGAGGTACATACATGGACACGCGAAGCAAAAGGCTCAAGCTCGAGTCGAGATGAAATCCGAAGCTGCGAAAGGCAGACGATTGTTTGATAGCTTGATCCCATGGCCGCGCGGATCTAGAGGGCTGGGTATGCTATGGCTTTTGAAGCATTTCGTGCTTTTATCTTTGCACGACCGTCAGCTTCGATCGCTGCATGGCTCATCAGTTGCGCTTCTCGTACTTTGCACGAAGCGTTCGAGGCTTGGTATTGATCTGATGCGTTTAGAGTGCGATCGACGCATGGCAAGAAGAAGCGGAGCACAATGAAGAGACGTCAGCGTCAGCACGAGCGGTCCTACGCGTCCGACTCACGGATGGATTGGTCCTGGTCTCGCGCAATCCGCTAGCGCTGTGCAGGTGAGGAATGCTGTCCAATGCCAAGTCAAAGACGGCCTTCATCAGAGCCGCTTCTTCCTCTTTGGATGGGTCCGATCAGCGCAGGGATGGCGTGAGGTCAGCAAGCGTCGCTCGCTGCGTGAGGTCAAGCCGTGCGGGATGCTAGCCATGCAGGCCCGAGGGGTGGGGGGTGGGCAGCGCAAATTGCTGTTCACGTCGCACTCACCGGCCGTCCAATCTTTCTTGGCCTTCTTGGAGGGTGTATCGGGAGCAGCCGACTGCTCGGAGCTGCCCTCCGGATCGCTCTTGCAAGCTTTGCGTTTGGTCGGAGTAGTTGGCTTGACCATGTTGCGCGGAGAGGGGTTTACCTGTGCTGCGTGCGATGTGATCACGTGTAGATCGGTGGAGTGATGAGCGTATCGGAGGAGATGGTGGCCATTCTAAAGTTGGGTCCGAAATGGAGATTCGAAGGCAACAGGAAGCGCTTGACCATAGCAGCTTGAATGCTACAAAGCACTATTCACACTCGTGACTCTGTTGTGGATGTAGGATCACGTATCGCAGACTCGTGATGTTCGACTCGTACGACGATTCGTGATTGTGATTGTGATTGATGGGACCACATCCAGATCAGTGCAAAAGGAGCGCTCTCAGTCCGACATGCAATCGCGAGTTGTGGATCGCGTACGTGTGCTGCCGATGCCATGCTCGCTCGCTCATCAGGTATATAGCAGCACCATCACACGTATAATCTTGAATCGCAATCACGAATCACAAATAGACGTCTCAATCGAACAGATATACAGCAAAAAAGACTTGGGATCGCCAAGCTGGCTCACTGCTCGTCTCACACCCTACCTCGAACGATAAGTGCATCCACTCTGCTCAGCTTGACTGATCCGCGGTGACTCACTCTGACTGCCTACGCGCGTCCCGCATCGTATATCGTGTTTGTCACGATCAGCAGCCCAGCATATGATATGTATGATACGGTGGTGCACGCTGCATGCATGCTCAGCCGATGGTGATATCGAAGATGATGTCAAGTAATCTTGAATTCTATAGCTGTTGATTGAAGCAGGTGATGCTGCATACAGCAGGTCTTGCTGTGTGGGTGCATGTTTCAAGACATCGAGTCAGAAGCACCGATGCAGGCGGCCGACTTGCGCAAATGTATACTCATCACAAGTTGCTGCTCACCGTGACCCTGCATGGCATCGCTTCCCTCCCTTGCTGATTAATTGATTGATTGCTGGGATTACTTGAGGGTTCACTCATTCTTGATTCACCATTGTGATTCGAGAGATTCGATCTTGCGTATGGGCGCAATAAATTACCTTAGAAATGATCAAGGTGGATGATACTGCATGATGATCCTGATGGCGTGGCTCGACATCAGTCGCGGCACGGGATTTGGCTGGCTCTAGCTCAGCTTTCCTATGAGAGCATATATATCATGCAGCTGCCAGCTTAGGGGCACTCGTGACTGGATCATCGTCTTCATCACGTCTAGGTGTGAGACGTGAGATGCAACCAAGACTAGCACTCGTCGCATGGTCGAGCAGGCCCCACAAGAGGCGCGCACACAGCAAGCAAGACCAGAAGCCGTCGTCGCGGCCCTGCCGCCGCGCGTGATTGACTTTTGCGCTGCTCTACTCCTTGTCTGCACAGGATGAGGCACGCAAAGAGTGGTCTGTGCGATCAGCAGCTGTGCAAGAGTGTGCGGGACTCGTGACCGCCTTGACACTGACGCAGAAGGAGTGGTAGAAATCTTTGAGAAAGCTGGAGCTGAGAGCACCGCAAAGAAGCGCAGCGGGCGCGACGTCCAAATCTCCAAACATTCAAAGTGATTTTCACTCACCACTCTCGACTGTCGTGATTTCATTGTCATGCAGCACCTTGCGTACAGTAAGTATGAGCCATGATCGGCCTTTCGCAGCGTCGTACCTTTACCTGACCCTTCTCTATCCTTCCGAGCCATATACATTGCCGTCACCAACCTCGTTGTACCTTTCCGATCGGCGCGCACGCGTGCTGCGTAAGCCACTGCACAGAGAGTCGCGAGGAGATACGCACAAATGGTGAGCCACCCCTGCTCGCGCTACGGCAGGCACTCCTATCAATCGCGAGGCCTTGCACTCATCGACGTCCGGTTTCTTGTTTTCCGGCAAAAAGCCGCCCAAGCGCAAAGCCATCAAAGCAGAACCAGCACAAGAGCCTGCTGGCGTCTCGGAGCAGCACATTTCGCCCGTCTCTTCGGCCGTATCCAGTCCTCCAGCATCTCCCAAACGAGGCAAGCGCATCAAAAAGGAAGTTCGCAATCAGGATCATGCCATCTCGTCCTCATCCGTCTCGACCGAGGTAGCCGGTAGCAAGAGTGGTCAAAGGAGAGCTTACGCGCATTGGACCGCCGGTGAGTCTGTCGCACTGTCCTAGCTCGCTCGTCCTTGCAGCTCGAGGGCGTAGCAGAGCCCCATCGAGCAGAGCTGCCAGACCACGAGGAAGCTTCGCTGATTCACGATCTCGCCACCCTTGTCGTTGACGCTTGCTGTGCCTGCGCGGAAGAGGAGGAAGCGGCAGTCTATCGTGCGCTGTGCGATTTAGGACTGAAGAATACCGGTCAGATCACGGCGGATGCGGGTTTGACAGGTGTGAGGGATGTGGGCATGGTGAGTGCAAGAGCGGCATTTTGGACTTTACTTGCTACCCAATGATGGACTTTGAAAGCATCCCTGATGAGTCGAGGCTGACCACCTTGCTTGCTTGGATGATCGACAATCAGGTACGCTACAAGATCAAAGCGCTGAGGAAAAAGTACGAAGGAGCTTGAGAGGCGCAATGGCTCGTCGAGTCACCCTTCGTGCTTGCTATCGACTCGCGCTTTGCTTCAGCTGTCTGTGAGGGGAAGGAGGGGGAGAGGGCCGAACAAGGCTTCATGTGCGGGAACGCATCCACGTCAACTTGCGCAAGTGTCCACCTCACCAACGCTGCCTTTCTCTCGAGCAATGTATGCGCACTTTCCAGATGCACGATACTTGAATGTTCACTGCCTCTCTTTGCTCTCAGACGCATCCTTCCCGTCAAGCGAAGGCCATTCCACGCGCTCTTCTCGCAGTCAAACTCCATCAGGTCCTCCACTCTGTACTATGCATCGACATTACGAGCTCTTCCACCTCATGTAGACCTTCTCCATCCAAGCTAGTTAGCCTCCGACTCTATGCGAGTAGATGCTTGACCCGAGTGACGACATCAGATGGCAGCTTCGTCCCTCTTCGCTAGCACTTGCTTGGACAGGAGCTTTTGACGACGAATGAAACTGCGAGCGCGTGAGGGCGAGAACGTAAGAACTCGACCGCTGCTAGGATGGAAGCCGTACGGACGCTGTGCAGCACTCACTCGTCGTATTGGCATGCCTCGTAGGTGTGCCTAGAGTGGACAGGGAAAGGGTATTGGTGCCACATAAGCTTCGAGCTGCTCGCCTGATTTGATCGCGCTGAACCCCGGCCCCTCTCTGTCCAGCTGCTGGAGCGAAGCTCGCATCACATGTGCAAAAGCTGTCCAGGGCTAGACGAATCTCCATCTTGACACAGGCCAAGCTGCTCACTTTTCATGCTCGCACTTCCAGGGCAAGTAGCTCTCCTTTCTCCTGCACTTGTTTAGGGAGATGAGCAAGCTGAGGGTCGGCGCATCGCGATGATAGAGTCGAGCAGAGGCAGAAGAAGCATACATGGTCAGATGATGGTGCTCGAACTAATGTTGGACCACCATTTATCCTCGAGCACATGCCTGGATGGCCGAACTCACCCGCTGCATTGATCGCGCCATTGAATAGGCAGGTGAGCCTTGGACGCTTCTTCGTGGGATGCCGCGTTCGACATGTTCGAGTAGAGTACCTGATGCGAGGCTCGCAAGGAAGGCTGGAGGAACAGCGTGCTGGAACTCTTCAATGATAAGCCTGGCTGAGACTGGAATGCGTCGTGGAGCTTGAGATGTGGCTTGTCGGAACGGCGAGTCGTGAAATGTGGCATGAGAGTAGCCGCTTGGCTTGGTCCGTTTAGCCAGATGAGCAGGGACCGCACGCAGGTGCGCCCAACCGCGCGCACGCCAACCGCATGTCACGTGCAATGCGGCCAGAGGTCACGTGCGCAAGTCGTTCTGAAAGAGTAGTCTACAATCAAGAATCAAATTGTATGTATAGACTACTCTCATATATGTATCATTGTGAATGATACATATATGTGTGTCGCACGTACATGCGGCCCGTTGGAATAATTAAGCCTCATTCATCTAGCCCAGTCTGCGCAATATAAGGCGTGACTTCACACCCTCATCCTCTGCGAGAGTGGTCTGCAAGCGGGCTTTGAGGAGGCGCGATGCCATGTATAGACAGACATTCGGAGAAGGGGAGGGGGGAGGCAGATAGGCGTGGGGCTGTCTGTGGATGGCGAGCAGCAGCAAGACCAGATCCGGCCACGAGGGGCCATCTGCGCCTATGGATCAGAGAAGATGCTTCAACGACGACTACCATCTCGCCTCCTCTTCCGAAACGCATTTGATTGCATCTTGAAACTCTGCACGCGGACACAACGATGGCTTCCACGAAGCCTGGCAATAGCGCAAGCGCAAGTCCAAACTTTGTACGCAGTCGGTATGAACAGTACAAGCGTGACACCAAAGAAATTGCCAATTGGCTCGGTAAAGAAGCGCTCAGGAACGGGTTCGATCTGGGAGACTCAGTAGCAAGTATGCTGGGCGCAGGATACGAGGAGAACAATGAAAAGAAGAGGAAGAAAAACAAGAAGAAGAAGAAGACAATGAAGCACAAGAGCGAAGGGACCGCATGCGTCTCGACACCCCTCGCGCAGCTCAGCTTGGGCGAAGCGCACCATCCTGCAAAGGATGACGATGCAGCGGTTGCCTCTGCTGCTGATGTCACGACAAAGCACGGTCCCCCTGAGCAAAATCTCAAGGGCAGATACATTCTCAAGACGTACCACTACAAACAAATTGCACATTACCTGGTCCAAAAACACGTGACCATACCCATCGAGGTCAGAAGACTCGTGCGACGATGCAGCATCCGCAGATCAAGGTTTCTCGAGGACGCTGCCGATGATGCCGCTTATTGTGCCAGCGGTCATGGCCACTTCATCAAAGTTCTGGAAGATGTGAGCAAGATTTTTGAAAGCTCTGCAGTACCCGACAACAATACGAAGCCAACGAACGCTGCCGAAAAACGCACTTTTTGTGAAGCGCAATCACACAACGCGTTTGCAACGCTTGCCAACCTGGCTGATGAGGAACAGGGCACAGATGTTCCTGACGTCTTCTTGCCCGCGAGCAAGCCCCTCAAAGGGCAGAAAGACTTGGCTGACCAGGCTTCTTTTGAGGTGGAGATCAACAAGGACTATGCAATCACTCTCCTGCTCAGTTTTTACGGCGATCTTAACGAAGTCAGGGAGCATGTCAGAAAGCTCTGGATCGATTATCGCGAGGGTCGTATAGACCTGATCACAGCGGCCGTTACCAGCAATACTGCTCTCGAATTACTCCGCGAGCCGCACGAGGAGGTTATGAAGACCATCAGCACATTTTTTGATGAGTGGCGAGATGCTCTTCATCCGCTCTATGTGGCGCGCCAAGGGCAGGTCGTACGCTGGTCACAAGTCGTCATGGACATGCCGCAATATGACGACCCTCAGCTCGGAAACTTTCCTCAATCAGTCCACGACACATATGACTACCTCATGATCCCTGCGACCGCCGTCTTACAGCTCTTCAAGGATGGACCACCACTGGAGCAGTGCTTTCGTGGAAAAGAAACGCTACCAAACGTTGGACACCGTCTCGATAACACGCATCCCACTTACGTGGCGACGACTGATCCTCAGCTCTGGGACTATTTGACGCGCGTTCAGCAGTTGAAGATCATAATTTGCGAGTGCTTTCTCGACTACTGGTTCGTACAAAGCTCCAAAGTCGAATTCTCCAAGCCGGTACACGATGACACCCAAGACCTACCAATCGATGATGCACCCCGACTTGTGGGCCGACTCGAACCGACCCACCACTACTTTCCCGATGAGCTATCCGTTGAGATGGAGCGCTTCAAGACGACAAACGACATCAGTCTATTGCTCGTCTTCTACTCCCAGATTCTCGTTGATGTGGCGTGGACTCTCGGAACCCAGACACAGGAAGCTTACGATGCCTTGATCGGCGTGCTCATTGAGATGGAAAAGAATTTGATCAGACGCAAGCTGGTCGACACCAATTCGAAACCTTGCGATCACAAAAGCTGGCACTCCAATGCACAGTGGATAAACTATTTCCAACAGAGAGTCAGGACGTTCGCCAACTTCAACATTGTCAATGACAATAGGCAAAAGTTTCTTTGGAAATTTTGGCCCTCGTACGATGGCCCATGGGAGAGTAGGATGCTTCCACGCAACCCCATCCTCTGCGGTGTGCAGCTTTTCAATTATCAGCTCGACTATCGGGCCTATGGTCGAGCCTTGGCGAACCAATACGATTCCATCATTACTACTGCCCACTTAGTCCTCGCTTGCCGCCGCCACGAAGTGTTCACTGGGGGCAAAGATGACGGCCTCGAATGGCCAGATCTTGACTTTGTCATCGGGCTTCACGGCATCAAAGATATTTTTGGCGGACCGGTGCCTCAATCGTTCACGCAATCGATCTGCACTTCCATGCTTTACGCGAAGCTCGATCGGCAAGACATAGATTTGGTGAACCGCCACTTCCGCGGCTCTAGCACGGATGCGCACCATGAAGCCGAATGGGATCGAAGAGAGTATCACTGGGAAAATGCGAACATCAAAGGATTGTCCGACCCCTCGCACCTGCTCACCATTTTCAGAGAGAAGTCCGGCATCTCACGAGCTTCCACGCATATCGACATTGACTATCTGGAAGGAATTCTGCGCAGACTGAAACGCCAAGAAGACCCCGAGGCGAGCGATAAGGAACTGGCAGGTGATAAGCGCAGTAAACGCAGCAAAAGACAGGCGTCGAAGCTTTTGAGACGTGAACGCAAGCATCAGGAGCGCAAGTATTCCATTGTTCAGCTTCTCTCCGTCCTCGAGGCCGGTCTGCATAGCGAGGCGACGGGGATACGCTTCGACTACATGTCACTGCATACGAGGTGCAACCAATTTCTGCAGATGGCAGAGAAGGAGATCGAGAAGAATCCTTTCTTCAACGATTTGAACAGCGTGTTGGGCTGGAGCCATTCTTGGAGTGGCAACACGAGATTTCTCTATGCAATTCTAATCTCTGTGAGATTCTGCCTGGACAAGACAATAGAAGGGGCGCGGCAGATGGGCTTCCCGATACGTGTGCTCAAGCGCGCACCATTGGCCGCCTTTGAGGCTTGCACAGAAGCGTTGCGCCATTTTCTCGAACTAGACCCGTCAGAGCTCGAGCCCAAGCGGCCGACTATGATGCCAGTTCGTAGCGCGCACTAATCAGGGCAGGGCTTCTGCAGTTCTACAGAACATTCATCGCATAACTCCCTCCCTCGATAGCAAAGATGTGACCCCTCACATCTCGATGGCTTTCAGCGCCAGGTCCCGGAATTGTGCCTTCCTTTGGACCGACTTGCGACCGGAGGAGTGCAGCGAAGCGCGCCGATCTTTTCCCACGCGAGCAGGCGGACCGCTTCGCTAGATCGAAACTTTTTCTTGTCCTCCCAAATCTCCAACGGCACTTTTTTGGATGCCAAAAAAAAGAAAAAAGAAAAATCAATCAATCAATCAGCCGCCGTGAGATGACAGACCAACCTAGCACTGCGAAAGGAGTTACAAACATGTCATCTTTGCTTTCGTGCGATACATGCGTCTGCGTCTGCGTCGATTCGGAGCAATGCGTCAGAGGCGTCGTGTGAGTTGAGTTGTCAATGATCGCTTCAAGAGATAAGATTTTGGGATTGGATACGATGAATACTCGCTCACCACTTTGACGAGGTAGGAATGGCAACGAGGATGGAAAAGCGATCATTCGAAGCGCGAGTCGGCATGACCCGATCAAATTTTGCCCAGCTATGCAGATTTGTCTGGAACGGAGGCCGAGCTGAGAGTCAGGAGCTCACAGTGTGAACGACGTGTAGGTGTCCGGGGCGAGATGAGTCACGAAAAGAGTTGAGTGAGTCTTGAGTCGTGAGTCGCGAGTCACGAGTTTGATATCTAGAATTCTGACGAGTGACTCGAAGCAAAAGCATCACGTGAGCGCGTAATGGCCGGTGCGGCATGCATGCATGCAGGCTTCATCAGCAACGCTGCGCGCTCTGTCCATCATCATCATGCAGCGGTCCCTCCACCCTGCAAACCGGGCACACGCGTTCTCTCTTTGCTTCCGCATCCCTTGATCTCTCCGTTTCACACCCATCAACTTCGGCAAGTACAAAGCACGCGCTCTTCGTTCTCATACAGCATCCTCTTCCATTCGACGTCGAGCTGAAGAGAGAGACGCGACTTGTGAGTAGGCCATCCCAAAGTTCCGACGCGTCTCGTCACGCTTTCCCCGGCAGCCACTCGACTTTGCGTTGCCCAGGTAAAGACGCTCCTTTCAGACTCGGTCTCGTGGGTGCACATACACAATAGATTGTCAGTGTGAGGTGCGATAGCAAGGATCGAAGCGCATACACAGGTCATACGAGCACGCCCCCATCATTTCAGCCAGCCTCACACATCAAAGACCACACGCATCCTAGAGCACAAGCATGGCCAAAAATGGACCGCGAGGTAGAGGGAATGGAAGAGGTAATGGCAAGGGAGGAGGCGATAGAGGCGGACGAGGTGGCGTCTCCAATGGTCGCGGAAGGGGAAGAGGTGGTGGTGGCATTACCGGCGCATTCCCAGGACAGGGTCATTTCCTCACGGAAAGCGCTGCTCTGGCACACGCCTTGGATGCGTCACGTTGGGACTTTGGACGAGGCGGCGCGCACAGAGGCAGAGGTGGTTCGGCAAGAGGAGATTCCAATGCGCGCGTTAATGGAGGAAGAGGCAGAGGTAGAGGAGGTCATCTGACCATGTCCAACCAGAACGCCGTCTCCTTCGACTACAGTAGCCTTCCACAGCGAGCTCCACGGCAAGCACCAGCGCCCTCGTGCGCTGCTGTGGATGCAGAAGTTGACGCTAGAACCGCACTAAAAGCGGTGCTGCAGCAGGATCAGTCTTCCGACTCTGGCTCTGCGTCGGAGGACGATGTGATCTTGACACCTCCCAAGGGATACGTGCACGTGCACAGGCCTCAGCACGAGCGGCAACGATCTCCTCCCGCTCGATACGAACAGTACGAAGAATTACGGGTGCCGGCACCTCCTACTCTGCATGGAGACGCCATGGCTGAGCTGGTCTCGCTCGGCGTGCCTACTGGACCTCGCGTCATGCGTCTTTCAGGCGGCACGTCCATCGGGACGCGCGGAGCTCGCACGCGCGGTCCAGCGCCCTCCAGCAGGAATCAAGCGACCTTTCCTCATTTCCAAGTACCCGAAAAGCACTGGACACGCCCGGACGAGCTGGTGGGTGATGCGGCCTACTTGGCCGGACTTGGTGGCAAGTCCAGCGGCAAGAATCAAAAGCCGCGCTTCGGAGATCCTGCGCAGCAGTACAGCAGACCCCTCTTGGCTCCAATCGCATTCATCAAGGCTCAGGGACTTTCCTCCGAAGGTGAAGGGGTAGAAGAGCCCAGCATCGAGGCGCTCAATCAGGCCAAGCAAGGAAGAGGTCTTGGATTCACACATGAAAAAGATCCGAATCTCAAGCCCCCACAAGCGCCGCCTTTGCAGCGCCAGGCATCAGAGCAAACCACTCTCGCTGCTTTCGAGCCAAGTGCGTGGAACTTTGACGAGGAGGCAGAGGACGATGATGAGGATTTGCAGGCGCTCATGAAAGCATACCCGGATGCTCGACAGGTGGGTACGGACGAAGCGTACGTTGTGCAGCCTTCTGCTGTCAATAGCATGCAGCAATGCGCTCCTGTCGTCAAGCCGCTTGAGTCTTTTACGGCGCCCACACATCAGACAACCCAGGAGGATTCGTCGGAAGATGAAGTCATACTCGTACCTCAGAGCGCCTCCTTGAGCTCTCAGGCTCAAGTTGCGTCGCTACAGGACAACAGCGACAGCGAGGAGGATAGACAGCTCGAAGCTATCTTGGCTGCTAATCGCCCTGCCATCGGTGCAGAAGACACCACATCATCACTAGCCCAACATCAAGCTCAGGACGTAATCGATTTCTCGCAGTCACCGAGGCTGGAACCCACGGAGCAGGCCCGCGGGCAATCTGCGACGAAGCCACTTGCGGCTCAGGGTGAGCCGTCATCGCAAGACGTCTTCTATATCGATACTCAGGGCACAGATGTGCCTGCGGCCTCCTTTGAACGTGCAGAAATGGATGTCGACCCGTCCGCGCCCATTCTGGGTGACACCGCTTCATTTGTCCAAACGCGCCATGCCATACCCGATGTGCTGCCTCCTTCCGACTCGGACGAAGAAGATTACGGACGGCCCGGCTACCCTCGCAATTCTCGCGGATTCTTGCCACTGAACTCTCAGCGCGGCAAATCGACGCGACAAGCTACGCGCAAAGCTAGGAGACAACGACTACGAATGGCAGGCAAGAAGAGCGCGTTTGTGCCTTTGCCTCGTGCGCGCGCAGACGTGCTCGAGGAGAGCGATATGGACTGGGGGAGCGGTAGCGGGAGCGTCAGCGGAACCGAGGAGCATGAAGAGGAGCTTCGAGGCGTGGATCTGGCTCGTGCGCTTCGCCTTGATCCGAAAGAGCAGGCCGCCTCGGCATCGACTGCCGCCCCCGCCTTCAAGCCCCTGAATGCGCGGCAACGCAAAAAACAAAGAGAGGAAGAAATTTTGGCTGATTTGGCCCACGGGTGGGCAGTCGATGCGGGACTCTCAAGATCCGACGAAAAGAAGCAAGGTCAAAATGCCAATGGCGAGGATTCGGATTTGGATCGTCAGACGGAGCTAGACGCTATGATCCGATTCATGAAGGGCATGGATGCTCAGTCGAGCGGCCGAGAGATGACGTTGGGCGATATCGAGGTGGAACAGCAGATGAAGGAAGAAGAGGAATGGATGACTGCTAGTGAGAGCGAGGAGGAGGTGGAGGATGGCTTGCCTGAGGATGAAAACATGGCGGAAGTGATGCGATTGGAAGAAAAGATGATCATCGATGATGATGATGATGATGAGGAGGAGGAGGAGGAGGAAGATAGCGATTTTGATACCAGCGAGAGCGAAGGCGCTGGACCTTCTCGTCCGACCCAACCGCGGGGTGGGAGGGCACGGCGCCGCGACGAGAGCGACAGCGAAGATGACAGCGATGAGGATCAAGGTGGCGGAGAGTTTGGGAAGAGATTCAGCTGGGCAGACGAGGATGAAGAGTTCATCCAGCAGCTCGAAGCATTTGCTAGTGCGAATGGAATGGAGAAGAATGACAAAAAGGCCCGCAAGAGACTGTTCAAGGCCATTGAAAAGGGCGACTTTAGCGGGATCGGTTTGGATGAAGATTTGATCATCGATGAGGATGACGAGGTGTTTGGTCTGGGTGCTTCGAAACCTGTCAAGGGTGAGTCCTTCAAACTGCATTGTACAAGCCAGTCTATAGTCTCTGATCGCCAAGCGCTACTGTGCGCAGGCGGACGAGCTGGCAAGAAGAAATTCGGCTCGGAGGATTTGTGGGCTGAAGAACTCCAAGGACAGTGGGAGAAGGATCGAGCGAGCAAAGCTGCCAACAAGCGCAAACGTGCTGCGGAGAGGGCGGCAGCGGCCGAGAACCCGTACCACGCCAGCGTCAAAAAGGGAACGAAAAAGGGAGCAAAGAAGGCTGCTAGAGCTTTGCGTCGGGCTGAAAGGAAAGATGATCTGCTGAGGGATCAAGGCTTGCTGCCCGATGTTGATCCCGCATCGGCCTGGGGTGCACCCCTCTCGACGATGGAGAAGCATTCTACGAACCTGCACGATTTGAATGCGCAGATTTTGCGCTTCTTGCAGGATTGGCAACACTCGACGCTATCGCTTCCGCCCATGGACAAGCGATCCAGGGCTCAAGTGCACATGCTAGCTTCCGCCTACTCTTTGACGTCCAAATCCAAAGGCAATGGGAATAGCAGGTTCCCCACGCTCATCAAGAATTCTAGATCCGGTCAAGCGGTAGATCAGAACAGGGTGAACAAGGTGTTGAGAGGAGCAGGAGGGGGAGCCAAAGGAGGAGCATTTGGAGCGACTTTTGGAGCGAAGCAGAAGAGCAAAAATAGAGCGAATGGGCCTGCTGGGAGAGGTGCGGCCAGGGATGCTGGTAGGGCTGCTATCGTACCCAAAAATCAAGAAGGTACGCAGGTCGGTTTTGGAGCGGAGAAGATTGCGGAGAGCAATATCGGACATCGAGTGAGTCTTTTTTTATGCGTCGTCGAAAGCTTGGTATGTGTGTTCAGCCTGTAGACTGATTGACGGCCCTCCACGCTTCCCCCTCAGCTCTTGTCGATGATGGGCTGGAAAGAAGGTTCTGGTGTTGGAGCTACGCCGGGGTCTGCTGCGGCTGTTGGCGCCACCATCAAGATCAGCAAGGGTGGACTCGGCTTCTGAGCAGGTGCGTTTCGAGCGCGCTGCCCGCGTTCAACAACCAGTCACATCACACACGTCTGTCCGGAATAGAGTCAATAAGATGAGCATTTGACAGGCAGCAAGATGAAGTGTTGCAGCGCGCCACATGGGGCCGGTGCATGTCTGTTGGTGATCACTTCGAGCGCGATGGTGTCGAGCATAAGGTGAGAGTCTAAAGGGCAGCTTCGCAGCAATGAGCCCGTGGAAACGAGGTTACTAGCGAGGCAAAATGAGAGTGGATTGGACCAGATACGGTCGAGTATTCTGCGGCAACGGGGCAGACCTCGCGATGTGGGGGAAAGAAGAGCACGTCATGCGAGCGTCGAGCATCACTTGATGAGCAGCTCGTCGAATACTTGACGGGCGGCATTGGCGAAGCGTTTGAGAGCCGAGCTTTGAACGCGAGGTGGTGTAGCGACGTTGTTGTTGTTGAGCGATGCAACGACGTGGAGCGGGCCTTGACGAGGTGCAGCATCAGAGAAAGACTGATTTTGCGCATCGATGCGGTGCACGTCCAGCCATTCGTCGTCTTTTTCGGTGAGATAGGAGCTGAGACGTCGATCGCTCTCGGCAGTGTCAGAGGCGTTGGAAGGCGCGCACGGGCTCATCGTGGATGTGGATGCACGACGGGCGGGCAGGGCGAAAGAAAGTCCGTGTATGCTCAGACGAGGAGCATGACGCTTGGCACGCTTGGCTGCCTCTTTGACCGAGGGTATCGAGGACATGGTCACAACGTTTCTCGTATGCGGAGTGTGCTCAACATGGCCAAGACGTGCGGGATGCACCGGCGTGGTGAAACGAGCGTGGTCCGTAAGAGGACTTGCGAGGCGGCCACGCTCCATGTCCATCGAAGTGGCGCGAGACCTAGAGATTTCCAATTTCGACACGAAGCTAGCGCTGAGATCTACGTCCGGCGATCGAAGAGAGCTGGCCTGAGCTATGCTAGGCGAGCGACTCAAATTGATGCTGCTCACGCTCCTTGGACGTCCGATGGATCCAGGCAGCTTTTCGGTCGTGCTGCTCACCACGCGATCCACCCATGAGCCGCGTCGCTTGCGACCAACAATCGGGCGCATCTGGCGTTGCTCCTCGTTGCAATTACTACCTTTGCGAAACTTGACACTTTGAGTGCGCGTGTGAACAGGCGAAGCGTGGACCTGGGTCCAGAGCAAGCTGCGGGAGGAGCCAGAGTTGCAAGGTAGAGTCTTGCCGACTGGTCCAGGTTGGCACTCGAGATGAATGGAGCCATCGCTGGCGAGTGGGATGTTGCACTTTGTCGGAGTGTCACAAAGAGCTTGCACGCGCTGTTGACCGGTGCTAGACGTTTGAACAAGCGAAGCTGGAGAGTCGACGAGTCGGGACGAGATGCTAAAGGAGGTAGCGACTTCTTCCGGTGGAAGGGTGGGCGACTTGATTCCTGAGAGCCAAGACTCGGTGCAATGGTCGCACTCTACGCTTCCACAATCTTGGCCGTCCAGCGTTCCTTGGCTGCACTTTGCAGGGTCGCATGGCCCATCGACGGACGTGGCGTGTGGTGTGTCGTTGCGAAAGTGGATCGGAGCGCTAAAGGAACGCATGACGGGGATGCGACGCATAGCAACGGGACGTGCCGGTCCGACGTGACGAAGGATGGAGACCTGAGGCCGAGAATACTTTGAAGGCGTCTCGCATGGCTTGCGAATGGACCCTTTCTTGTCACATGTCGAGCCGATCTGTCCACTGAAGGTAGCAGTGCTGCAGCCATTGATGGAGCACTCTCGAGGCATGTGACCACAGCGATCGCAAGGCGGTGCTGGGCTTCTCACGAGGTCGTGTGTGTTGCGGCGCTGAGGCGCGCGGCTGGACGTCTTGTCCTTGGGAGGCGCTGCTAGGACAATGTGGTTCATGGATGTGCTCGAATGAGAGGCCACAGGAATGCTAGATCTTCCGCGGCCTATAGTACGCATAGGAAGTACGCTCGGGCGAGGCTTGTGCTTGGGGGCGGATCTGAACGGCACCGCGCCAAAGTCGACGCGAGTGGTGTCACTTTCGGGCAGCGTTAGCGAGAGGTCGAAAGCTCGAGTAATGCCATCCATCATGCTCGTGAGCGAGGTGTCCGTCGAATCTGCGCGCGAAAGCGTAGAAGAGGCCGAACTGTGAGGTGAGAAACGAAGCCGCTCGACCCTTTGGGACTTGTCATTGAGATCAAAGACGATCTGCAAGGGGCGAAACGTTCCCAACGTGCGTCTGGCTCCAGCAGGGGGCGTCGATGAAGACTGTTCCAGGCGCATGACGTAGGTGGAGCTCTCATCTTGGGTGCCGTTGATGGATAGGTGCCCGCTCGATTCCATGTGAGAAGCATGAGCCGCGACCGGCTGTGTGCCGAGTGCATCTGTTGTCCAGATAAATTCGCCATCCATGAGACTCGATGGGCGAAGGCTGTCTGGCACGGCTGAAAAGGACGACCATGCGGCACGCTGCTGTGGAGTGAGACGCTTTTGTGTAGGAAGTCCGAGCTCGCTCAAGCTTTGAGCTTTGCGTCTGCGACTCTGCGAATCGCTGACGGCACGCTTAGCAACGATGTGAGAGCCTGACGCTAGAGAAGCCGAGTGCGCTGCAGATCCATGTTGCCCGGGTAGACTGGAAACCTGATGCGTCGCGGCTATGCACGCAATGCCCAAGCCTTGGAGTGGTGGAACGGCAGGATGAGCTTGGAGATTGGTGGCGAAGGAAGGGCTAGGTGCGCGTGATGCATCAGTGGGTTGGTGCCTAGAGGATGGTACTTGGTACGCGGAGATAGATCGAGGAATTTGGCGAGTGGACGTACGAGCACCTGCCAAAGATCAAGGGCGGATCAACGGTGGATTCTCGCTACCGAACCCCTTTGCTTGCCCCGAACAAGCCAGACTCACCTGCGTTGGAGCTTGGTAGACGAATCACGTAGTTGCCATGGGCATCAATCTCCACCTTTCCAGAGGTTACGCGCTCCTGCAATTCCCTCCTCGCTCGATGGAGCAATTGGCCATAGGAAGGCTGATCGAGTGGGTCCGGCGAGGACGTCTCTCGTGGACTGACCATTACCGGTCGTGCCTTTGTCATGGAGTCGTGGCTTAGTGGGGAGCCGGGCTTCGCGATGACGTGTACGGCGAGCGTCGAAGCGATTGGTGGGATAGCTGGAGATGAATGGAGGTGCACGAGTCGAACGAAACCTGTGTCGGCAAGAGGAGAGGGGGTGAGTAGAAAACAATGGTGAGTGGGATGTGAAACTTGGTGAGTTGGAGTCATCATAGACAAGCACAAGGTCTGGTGCATGTTGGCGATGATCAGCAAATTCGACTCTGCATGCAAGGTAAGATGCGCGCCTCTTGGGAATGCGTACCTGTCGACCGCCAGATACAAGCGCTGATCATCGACTGTGCAGATGCATGGCTTGGAATGTAAGCTCGGTAACGATTGCGCTCTAGCCAGCCATGATCGCAACGCGCTGCCTCGTGAGCTGTCAGTCAAGAAAGGTGGGCTGCTCCCTTGAAGCGCGATAAAGGTGGACCGTTGACGACTTTCGATGTCGCGGCGCGCATACCCAAGCTTGCTTTTTGCACGTGCATGGAAACGCTCGAAACTTGCTCGGGTGCTGATTCGCACGAGTCGACATGGCGGAGGAGAGGCTCAGAGCCAGGCGTATTGAGTGCTTAGCTCGGCGCTTCCTTCTAATCACGATTTGTGATTGAAAGTGTCTCACTTGTGTGGGCTTGCACGCGCCCCCCCAGCTCTCAGTCGTGAATCGCCTTGACAGGCACGCAGTGCTCTCTTTTGGTGACGAGTTGATGCATTTGGATACCGAATGATGACGAATCATGATGGCATGCCTTGGTCTGGCAATCGCTCCACCCTATACTGCCTCTTTGCGATGTACATCAAGGGGATTCCCTGTTCATGACGCGAAAAGGTCACCAAGATGTAGAACGGTCCAACACGTATGCGACGACGCACTGCTCGGCGTGACACTCACCGGTATCCTTCTGATCCTCCTCCTCAACTCTCGATCGCAAGTCGCCACCATGAAGCACTTGTGAGTGCTGACTCTGTCCACAATGCAGTCATCCGCGTAGGTGCCCTTGTGCGAGCATGGCAATCTCTCGAACCTTGGATCCCTAGCCACGCGCAATGCCATCCTGTACTTGGTACCCAGCTTCTCCAGCTCCGCAATGACGCACGAAGTGATGCAAGGAATAGCTGTAGCGCGAGGCGAGGCGGTGCTCGAAGTCAGCCATCATAGTGAGCGTCGTAGGCAAGAGAAGGGAAAGGGAAGGGAAAAACCTCGCGCACCTTCAGCATACAAGCAATCCATCATTCCCTGTACCAATTCCAACTTGTTCTGCAAGCTGAAATTGATAAAGTTGGTATCGACCAGCACGCGATAAGGAGGTCCCAAGCTCTCGTTGTGATTGAAAAAGAGGGCCGAAGACGCGGGTTGAAGTCTTCGCGCCGGTCCTTCCCCAGGTGCTCCACTGCCGGAAGCTACCTTGCCTTTGCCTTTGCCTTTCGCATCGGCTTTTGCGGCGGACTGTACTGCCTGCTGCTTGCTGTCGACAATAGTGTAGCGTAAAGGGGATGGGGAGGTCAGTTGAAAGTCGGAGTAGGCGATGTGTGAATGGATGCATGCAGAATGGTGGCTGCAATCTTGTCCGAGAGGAGCAGACACTCACGCGGCTGGGTTCATGATGCGCTTCACGGCACCCAGCTTCTTGATCTGCTTTCTTTTACCCATCTTGACGTTCTAAGACACAGCAACAGCGAGAGAGTGCTTGAAGTCGAAGATCCTACGCGCTTCGCACGTTGGTGCAGTGGTGTAAGATGCTCGTGGCAAGGCACTCGCGGCTGATCTTAGGCTCAGCTGTCAGTGCAGGGAAGGAAGAGGTTGCAAACGTGGACTGACCGCACCGTCGCCTTCCTGCGCAGGACCAGAGAGAGGTCTGGATGAGGTTGCGCCTTGAAGGCTTGATTTCGTGAGAACAGCAAGGCTTCGCTCGACTGGCTGGGGGGGTGTGGCTTTCGCAGACAAGGTGAGCCCAGAGGATCGTGAATGCTGCACACACAGCAAAGTGAATCAAATGGCTATGCAGCAAGCGGGCTTTGCATGGAAGCACCTCACAGAAATTCAGAGCGACTTGTGCACGTGACGCTCGGCCCCATTGCACGTGACAAGTAGTTGGCGTGCGCGCCGTCGAGCATCGAATCGACGTGATTCGTGACCGAGACTCTTGACTCAAACTCTTCAATCATCAATCACGAATCTTGCATCTCCTTCTTCTGACTCAACGCAAACTTCACTCACCGCATGCGCACGCGGACTCGCGTCTTGTGGCTCTTCTGTACGTGCACCAGGTTCCATAACAGTGCGTGCTTACTCTGTGGTGCTCGCACCATCATTCGGCAAGTCGTGGTACGAGTTCAGACCCGACGCAATAAAGCGACACTTGGTATCGAGACTCGCGACTCATATTCGAGGGTCTCGCTCGCTCTTGCCGTCCGTCTTGGACACGATGAAGGCTCGATCAAGCACCATCCGAACGCTACATACCATCATTTCTCGCACTGCCTGGTCTACGCAATCGTGCACTCAAGACAAGTCTTCATACTTCACGCTGCATCTCAAGATGTCGAGTGGGAGCAGAAGAGCTGTCCATTCCTCTGTGCATTTGACGTTAGATCGTAACGGTCGTGAAGCGATACCATGCACGGGGCCATTTCACTTTGAATTTAGGAAACAGTGACGGTGATGATGGCAGTTCTGCCATCCACGCCGACGCCCTCGTCACCATGGTTGATGCCGTTGGTGCCTGTGGGCAGCAATCCAGTCACGTACTTGACGGTAGCAGCATAGTGTTTGCCGTCGTCCGAGTCAGCGCCCCGAGTTGCCAAGCCGACGATTTCGTCTCTGCCCTTGTTGTAGCCATCCTCGACCACGTCATGCTTTTGCGACACATCCTTCTCAACGGAAGCTGCAAGGAACCAGGCATTGGTGCCGGCTTGCTGCCAGTAGCGGAAGTGGTTGCCACCGACGAGGGATTCGAAGCACGAACCGCTCGTCGTGTCTTCACCATAGGATTCGCGCACCTCGTCTTCTTGGTCGTGCAGTCCTGGGTAGTCAAGGTCGCGTCAGACGCACAACATGTCAATACCTGTGTGGGTCACGCTCTCACCTTGGCCGTCGCCGAGATTGGCTTGCATCTTGGTGCCTGAGTGGATGCCAAAGCACTCGCCTGGCCGCGCAAAGTGAATGGCGCGAATGTTTAGCCGCCCGAACGATGGATTTGAGCTTCACGTCGTGCGGCCAGACTCACGGTTGAAGCCGATCGCGTTGTACCAAGCCTTGAAACCGTCCTCGGAGAGAATCTCGGCAGAGGACTTGCCCGACACGATAACATTGAGGGGTTCACCATTGGCATTGTCCGGAAAGAGGCCTAGGCTAGAGCCGCCTCCCGATTTGGGGTCCTTGTATCCGTCCGCTCTCTTGTGTAGAGGGGACGCAACGGTCGAGCCAAAAGCGTCCGAGATGGAAGTGATGGGAGCAGCGCTGGCGCTCGACGCACACAGTGCGAACGCTGCCGCCGTAGCGAATGGTGCAATAAAGACGGAGCGCATTGCCGGCTGAGATGTAAGATGTTCTAAAATTTGAGGTGAAGAAGAAGGGGTATTGTCTCTGATCAGAGAGGTCGCGAAAAGAAGTGTAGGTTGTGCTACGAGCGCCTGAGAGGGCAGACAAGATCTCGGTCAGGCCTACTTATGTACTTCTTGTGCTGCTACGAGTAGCCCACAGTCCCCCTTCACCGGTCAACGATCAGACGAACGCTTCGAGCGCTCGCAATGCCGCTGTGCGCTCAGAACGATGCCATTTCAAGTGGTTGTTGCGAGGTCAGCATTACCTCGACCTCCCTCCCAGCTCATCAGCCCGAGGTGTGGTGTTTGCGACTACGTGCTGAGCGCACGTTGGCTCCATCGTGTTTACACACATCAGCAAGAAGAAGGTTCTGACTCTTTCGCTGATTGATCACCTCTCAATCGCCCTTGTGTGTGGGTCGTACCGCCGATGCGCATGGCGCTAGCTCGAGCGTCACAGCGTCAGACATGGATGAGCCCGCTGAAGCCGGCGGCTTCGCCGACAAGCTCGACGCGCATTGTCTCCTTCAATCCGCAGGTGGTCCAGCTAGGGTCCCGCCCGCTGATTCACATTGCTTTGCGTAATCCACGATTCGAGTGCCCTATGGCCCGCAGAGACCTCTCTCGAGCGGAAAGCGAGCAAGCGGGCGTTGATGGCTTTTGGTGTTTCGTCTTAGCGCGATCCGCACGTTCTCAATGCTCTCATCCATGCAGCCAGCAAGCAGCAGCGCCAGTCCGCGCGGGCTAAGCCGCCGCTTCACTCGCGTCGCGTCAACCAACCGCAGCGAGTCCGTTGCGTCCAGCCTGCAGCTTGGCGTACCATTCCTCAGCCGGCGCTACTTTCCTTATAGCGTCCCAAGGCAAGACGAATCCCATCTTGCTCGAGTTGACTCGGAACAAACACAATCGAGGGCAACGAGTTAAGTACGCTTGTTTCAAGGCGTCGTCCCGCCGAGTGCCGCCGTAACTTTTGCGTCAAGCCGACGATTGGCGGGCGAGTGAACTAGGGCAACCAACGCACAGATCTTCCGAGACCGACACCATAAATTTCGAGTGCTCAATTGCAAAAAGTTAAGGTATACGGCATGCACAGTGTTTTGAGGAGAAAAAGAGAGATTTCAAAGAAGATAAGAATGGAGCAGCAAAGATGCAACAAGATTGTGGACGAATGCCTGCAGCGCTCCGCATAAGTACTGACAAACGTTCCAAACCGCAAGAGTGAGCGCGGGCATGGAGTGACGCACAGCGAGGGCACATCAAAGTCGCCCGCAAATGGCAGTCGCGTGAAGCGACGCTACACGTGGGGACCTTACTCGTCCGAGTCCTCATCGACCATAGCTGCACGACTGCGACTTCTGAAGCCAGGAAATGCAAACCCTTGCGATGGCAATTTGGCCATCGACGACTGTGCGCGAGGGGGCAAGTCCCTGCGGTCATCGGCCGGTGTGCTGACTGCGCGCAAGCGCTCGGCGAATCCGGGCTTTGGAGGCGGCAAAGCAGACATCTCGTCGAAGGTCGCGCGCGAGCTTCTGCTACGCAGAGAGGGAGCTACCCACGATGCATTGAGGCGGCTGCCGAGACCGCCGCCGCTCGTAGAGGATGGAACGCCAAGGCCACCAGCGCGACTTTGCCTGCCGTCCGCGATCGGGGCACTAGGCGAAGGAGGAATCTGTGACGATTCCCTTTTGTTCTTGCCTCCGAATGAAAATTTGAAGAAACGACTCTTACGCTTCTCTTTGCCAGGCTTCAACATCGGCTCTGCGAGATCTAGCGCGTGATGTTGACGACTTGGTTTCGCGTCGTAATCACCTACGGGATTGAAATCGGGCAAGGGCGGCATCGGCTCGAAGCCCGGAGCTCGAGGCCCAGTGTGAAAGCGGCGCTCCGAGGGGAGAGGTGGAACCTGCTTGAGCGAGTTGGCCAGGGGATGTTCAAGGATTTGTTGCGGATTTCTCGATCCGCTCTGAATCACGTTGAAGGAAGGCAGCGGCGCGTTTTCCTTCTTCGGAGATTCGCGTCTAGGATTGCGTGGCGGCCTGCTTGGCTGACCCAGCGGTGTCGCAGCGCCGGAGCCTCGACCAGTCTGCATGCTCGAACGGCTCGGAGGGTCTGTTTGAGAGGCCGAGGTGGAGCCCGAAAACACCCCAGCCGAAGCACCTTCGTTGTTGGCATACGTCGAAAAGCCGGACGGATAGCGAGCATCAGACAGGCCAGGCTGATTGATGCCCTGACGTGAATTCGCTGCTGGTAGTGCGGGAACATCCTTACGGCTGGTCCTAGAAGAGGCCATGCTGGCTGCCTCTGCAGCATCAACCCCAGGAACATCGTCATTTGCCCCTCGTTGAGACGCTCCTCCACGAGAAGATGTACGCTTTGGCGGCGCTCTACGTACGTACGATTGAGAAAGGCAAATGTCAGCACACATGTGCCGCACAATGGGACTGACAGGGCCACATCCACGACGAGACTCACGCTTGACTCGCGATGGACGCAGTAGCAGGCGATAGTGGGACGCGGGGCGCATTCAGTGATCCTCGAGTGTCCCTACGCGTATCGCGTCCAGCATTGTTGAGGTACGAAGTGGAAGAGGCACTCCGCAGCGATTTGGGATCAGTCTTCGCTGACGCTGCAGACGCCTCCACAGGTGAAGCTGGGACTTGCTTTCCGGCCCGCGACTCGAGACGGGGTGGTGGTAGAGGTCCGCTACCAAAAGGCCCCGTGTCGGCAGTCATCGGACCAATGCCCATATCGAAGCTAGTCTGACTGGCCACGCCCGGCGGATTCTGGTACATAGCCGAAGCGGCCGACAAATTCTTGTCGCCACCAGACTGACGGCCTGACGGCACCAAAGAAGAGGTCGAGCGCCTGCCTCGATTTGAAAGGCGCGAGGTCGAAGGTGTCTGGTCAATGGCCGCATCAGCACCGAGGGATACACGCTGAGCCCTTGGGCTGCCGGACCGATCAGAGCTCGTCTCAAGTCCATTACTGGACGACCGATTCTTGTCTGTACCCGCAATTTTGGAGAAGAACCCGCGAAGACCACCCTTCTTGCTTTTCCTCTTGGAAGGCCCGTCACGGGACACTGCTTCGTTCGGCACTTGATCGCGAGACTCGTCTGCCTCATTGGGATCCTGGTATGTCGAATTGATCGTAGCATCGGCCTGATGCGACACTTCCTGATCAGCATGCTCCTGACCAAACGCCGTCGTCGCGCTTCGGGGCTGCTCTCCATCGCCGGGATAACCGTAGTATGCGCGGTTGAGCACGCCTGGACTCTGCGGTCCAAGGGGCGTCCCGGGCATGAATCCTGCCTGGTTGATACGGTGCTCGGCATGATCTTCCAAGCCAACGTGCATGTCCACCATGGAGCCGCTGGGAGCAAGCGAGAGCTGTGACCGTCCGCCACTTCCATGCACAAAGGGTCGATTTGGCGGAGCAAGACTGACTGGTGAAGATGGAGCAGTTGCTTGCATCGCTCCGCTGATGGACCGCAAATCGTTGATGCTGCCTACGCGGGTCGGTGACGATGCCGCAGCGGAGCGACGTGGAATGCTTTGATGACCAGCACTGAGATCGTCCAAGAGCTGACCTGAGGCGCGCTTACGCTCTTCGTCCAAAGACCGCTGCTGTGCATGAGATATGCCTCGTTGAGCATGGGTAGCGCGAGCCCCAGGGGCAGGAGACGAGGAACGCGCGGCGTCTGGCGCGCTGGCCGCTAGCTTGCGGCGGGCGTCTCGGGCATTGGCAATATCGCGTTCCTTGGCCTCGCGGTCAGCAGGTGCGAGCACTTCGTCTTCGAGGACAAAGGTGCTGTCTTTGAGGTGGCTGCCAGGTGGACGTTGCGCACTGCGACTATTCTTGGAAGACAATCTCGAAACAAGAGCATCCCCAGTATTCGTGCCAGAGTTGGTGCGAATCATCCTGTTATCATAGTCATTGGCAGTGATGGGACCAGGCGCTGCTGGCGCAGCGTTAGGCCGGCTCGGCAACTCGCGATCGAGACCAGCCTGTTGTCGGGCGCGCTGTTCTGCGGCAATGTACTTCGCTTGAATAGCCAAGAATGTCTGCAAAGTTCGCCATCGATGTGAGGATGCAGGGGGGTTCTGTTGGGAAGTTGTGACTGATGCATTAGAATGCGGCGTGGGTCTGGCGGCCAACCTGGAATCACTCACCATTTGCGTGTGCAGCTTCAGCCTTTCGGCTGTAAGAGGATCACCTTTAGCCACGCGCTTCACTCGAACCCGCACGCCCGCAGGCCGCTGTGACGTGTGACTCAAGTCTTTTGATGGCGGCAGCGAGCCAGTAGCTGGAGCGCTGTGATCACTGCCATGCGCAGAAGGTAGCAAGGACCCCTGCCCATTGCCCACGCTTTCGACGGTGCCGCCATGCGTGCCTTGGCTCGCAGCATTTCTTCTGGCTTCTTTCTTGTCGTCGTCTTCCGCCTCTGCACGACAAGCGTCCTCAAAGTCGCGATCGCTTTCACGCTCCCACAGGCCGGGCCCGAGCACATGCACGTCGATCATGTCTTCGTCCCTCATCATGCACTCTAGACACACCTCGGGGTCGTTCGGGCTCCGACGCACTCCATCAGGCCCAATGAGACCTGAGAGCAAGCCGTCTGGCCTTTGTTGCAGCTCAAAGGGTGGCACGAGAGATCGCTGCGGAGTCACGCCCGAATACAGACGTCCTCCATTCGAGGCCGCTGCGGAGGGCGACGGGAAGGTCGGATAGGGACCGCTCGCTCCGCCCACTGCGTCTCCCGTGGTGCCCATTGCTAGGTTGATGGTGCCAACGCTACGACGCTGGTCGCGGGCCTGTTGTCGCTGCAGCTGCTGGGTGCTCAGAACGCCGCCAGAGGAGCCGGAGCGAGAGCGAGTGGTCGTCTTTGGATCCGCGGTATTTGGCAGTCCGTCTACCTGCGCGTTCGCATTACCCAGCGGATCATTGAGTTCGGCCAGAGGAGAGTCCATGGGAGTAGGGCCTCCTGATGCAACCGGCGAGTACGTCGCGATAGGTGTCGCGGGGGCATCCATGTACTGCAATGGTTTGAGCGAGCCTCGGAAAGTCGGCTTGCGTGGCGTCTTCTCTTTAGAAGCACCAGCAGTCAGTCGCTTTGCTCTGGCACGCTCCCATTCGGCCCGAGCCTCCACTTCACCCTCTGGAGGCGGACTGTCCTCTCGAGGCGGAGTCTCGATGGAAGGTGAGGTCGAGCGATCGACCGGGTCGGCGGAGCTCGCTGGCAATCCAGCGTCTGCAAAGGCGGCGCGAGGCAGAGCGTTGCCGGCAGACTGCTTGCGGGCCAGGGGCTGTGCAATCAGATCAGCTGGAGACTGACGACCTTGAGTTCGAGGCGGTGCGCCCTGAGAGGCCATCACAAATTGCTCGTCGGTAGGCAAAGATTGTCGAGAAGCCACGGGCGACTGACTAGCCCCGGATAACAGTCCCGCTGAGCCTGCGCTAGGTGGCCTCGCTCCAACGCCTGCAAGGTTGGTGGTGATATTGGCCAGGGGCCGGGCTCGAAAGTCAGTGACTGGCTCAGGAGCTGATTCGGACACCGGAGGCATAGCGGATGCCTGCGTTGGTGCCGCAACGTCCCTGGGTAGCGGGGGCGGAATCACATCGTCTGCCAGGTCTCTCGCCTGGGGCGACGTGTGAGGGGCAGCTGCTGTCACAGGCGTGGATGGCAACGATTGTTTGGCTAGCAGAGGCGCAGTGCGTTCCTTGCTAGGCAAGGCGGGTGGCAACTCTGGTCTGGACGAAGCGCTTCCGCGAGGTGTCTGAGCGGGGGAGAGGGGTAGTTCCGACTCTCTGGCAGCCGCTACCGGAGTTGACGCATCTCTTTCCTGCTGCGCTCTGGCATTCGAGTCAGATGCGACGGCGCCCATCTCTTGCGCTACATCCATCGAAGGCCGTGTGGCAGCTTCTTGTGCCGAGAAAGATGCGTTTCGCGAAGGCTGCGGAGGCGCTTTGGCAGCGCTGCCGTCTTTCTGCAGCTGCCTGCTCGCGGACCTCGAGTGCGCGGGCGTTACCGTCACCTCTCGCGTGATGCCCTGCGCACCGCCCGGCACCTGTATGACGGTATCATCCGCGTCTGGATTGTATGCGTCGAGCTTCAGATCGTACGCCTGAGGCTCTGATTGGAGCGTCAAAGCAGCGGATGAATCTTGCTGGGGCTCAAGCGGAAGCTCCTTGTTGCTCGATGAGATGCTCATCGGTCGTTCACGTGGCGAAGAAAATACTGAGGGAGGTTTGGGAGGTAGAGCTGGAGCAATGTCCCATCCGTTGCCTCCAGCGTTCCAACCGCCGGGCAGAGCTCCCGGCAATCGGTCTTCCGGGCTCGCGGATCTTGAGCGAGAGGTGCCAAAGGTGGGTGAGACCCACGGCTGTGGTGGTGCCATGGTATCTAGGGCAGCGATGTCCATAGGATTGCCAACTTCTGACATGGAATTGGGCGTGTGCACTCCAGAGCCAGCGAAACTTCCAGAAAGGGCCGTCTGAAATGAAAGCACACTAGCCCTCTTGGCACTGTTGCCCGCTCCATAGCCATTTTGACCAAACCCAGCGGATCTGCGTCCAAAGTCGTCGTCCCCACTTCCTGCTGTGCTTGGCCTACTGTTATCATTCTTAGCCGAGCCACGGAACGGCGACTCCGACGAGCTGAGCTGCTCAACTTCCTCAATAGCGCCTGGTGTCGCATACAAATCCGCAGACGACGAGGGATACATTGGACCTCTCGCCCATTCTGGAGGGTTGTGCCACAGATGTTGAGGAAACTGCTGCTGTGAAAGTCGTGCATGCAGTTGCTGATGCTGAGGAGATATTTGAGCCCTCGTCAGAGGGCCCGACATTACTTTTGAGCTTGGTCTTTGCATGGAGCTGGCCAGAGGAGTCTGAGGCGATGCCCTATTGTAAGCGGCCGAGGTTTGTCTAGGCGTGCCTTGCAACGAGAATCTTGGCGAGATGCTCCCACCGGGTGAGCCAGCGGTTGGAGTGTGCGAAGAGTCTCCACTAGTGACTCGAGCATGGGCTGCCACACGTCCTGGGCTGTATGCCTGACCAAGCGCATTGTATGAATCTGGAGAATCGAGCAGCACTGCATCAGACGTGTACGAGCATGTACAGTGAGAGAGAGGAAGAGAGTCCAACGACTGGTCTTCTTTTCTGAGATGAGAACCAGTTGCTCTGGACCCAACCTTCCCACGAGCGCACCGCTCCTCTCAAGCAGTGGCGCGCATTCAAGCACCCACACTCACCTCGCCTGGCTGCTCCTGTCTCAAATCCTCCGCGATTCCCGTAGCTCTCTTGACGCGCGTGGTTCATAGCGTTCCTCTGCTGGACCTGAAAGGCAATATCATTGTTTGTGCCAGCAGATGGAGAGGGGCTAGTAGCACTGTCAAGGTCAAAGTCGCCACCAAAGTTGATCGACTTGGCCCAGGTAGGTGCGCGACTCAGCTGAGCGCCTGCTTCTTGACCTGACGGACCTGGCGAAGACATTTGTTGGTACGCTTGATCTTGCTGACGAGTCGGTGCATTTGAGGCGGATCCATCGGAAGTGCCATATCCGTTGGCTCCGTTCTGGTCGGGGTAAGGACTCGAACTTGCGCCGGGGCCGAGATGGGGCTGCTGGTAGACCCAACTTCGGTCTGACGTGTGCGCCATCCTTTTGCGTGCGAGACATCCGTCTCTGGATGTAAGCGACGGTAGGAGCGTGACGTCGCAATGCCTCAGCGGTGCAGACAGTTGACCAGGATACTGATAAATATCTTTGGAAGGCTAAGGGCTCATCCAGAGAAGAAGCGCATGCATGAGTTGAAAGTCGAGGTCGGGGAAGAAGTTTTGGAGAGGGGCTTGCGCTCGGAATGGATAGCCGTGACAGGGTCGAGTCGCGAGGGTTTGGCCAGGTCAGAGCGGAGCAGGGAGCTGCTGCGTGGCTGTCGTCGGGATGCTGTCTGTGAGGTGATCGAATAATGCAAGAGAGCCGATGCAAGTAGTCCCAGCACGTCGTGATCCCACCGAGGCCTTGATGATCGTGGTCGAGACCAAGTCGGGCGCGCGGTCGCCGCCGATCCGGGCCAGCAATTGCGGTGATGACGCCCAACGAGTAAGTGCGCGACTTGGCGGTGATAGCTTTGATGTCGGCGCGACTCTGATGGAGCCCGCTGTGTGCCTGATCCAACTTTGATCAGCCTCAAACGATCCACAGAGCCCGCTTGGATCGCGCCCTTTGAATGTGCTGAATCGTTGTTGGTGATGTTGTGGGTCAGGCAAGAATCAATGTGAACGGAGGTCCGAGACTCGTGACTACCTGCTCGAGGTGGAAAGCTTGCTGCTGGCTGGCTGAAACGCACCACCCACGTCTGCTGCATCAGCTGCAATTGCTCGCGTTTACCCAAGACGGCTAGGTTAGGCGAGCGGCGTGTGGAACGCGTCCGGGCACCCTCGCATCGTAGATCGAGTTTGGCTGGATGGTCCGCTCGCTACACTGGTGACTCTTGACCGCACATGAGGGCCATGCAGCGCGCCGCTGCTGCTGCTGCATGGACGGCCGCCGTGTCCCCGCCGCGACGCGAGCCAGCAAGCTGAACACTCACGATTCGTGGTTCAAATTAGCTCCTGGCTGGGCTGCCTCTCGAGCACAGCTGTAGCTAGCAGCAAGCGCGGTTGAGCAGTCACGAGTGCAGCAGCAGCAAGCATGAGATGCGCATCATGTGTGCGGTCTACTGTACGTGTGCGTGCGAGATGAGCGAGACTCGCACGGCGGCTGCAGAAGCAGCAGCATGCTTGCGCAGGGGCAGATTCGTAATTATTATAGATGGCCGCGGCCATGCAGCAGCAGCAGCAGCAGCAGCAGGAGGCACGACTCACGAGTCTGAGCGCCGCGAGAAGCAGGCCCTGCCGACTCACCGCAACTCATTCATCACTCACTGCAGTCACATGATACGGTGTGATGGATGACTGACTGGGTGACTGACTACAAGAGCCCACATGACCGACCGAGCGCACGGCTTCACCTCACCTCACCTCACCTCACGATTTTGTTGTGTCTGCAGCATTTGCATTTGCATTCTGATTCACATTCACATCGGACTCCGCCGCATCTCTCGAGCCAAATCCCGCCGCTATACATGTCATCCTCGCTCTTTGGGGCGATCCACACGTCCGCTTCTCGATCTGCCCCTTGCGCGCATGCTTGCTAACCACTCGCGGAGATCATCGTCACTGGTGCGGTCACAAATCAGCTGCATCGTTTGCTATGCCTGTGCATGGACAGGAATCGAGGAAGCAGCAGCAGTTGCGAGTGTCGAGGAGGAGGCATGCACATGCACGGACATCCAGACAGCCACTCTGTTGTAACTACTGTGCGCTGCGTGACTTGCTGCTGCCGCACGTCTGCTTTGTGATCTCATGTTCTGAAGCTCCGGCAGCGCCCCTTGGAGCGCCAACTTGCTCAACGTTCCAGGGGCTCACTTGCTGGATTTGCGACCCGCTCATTAAAAGCTTGTTACGCATGTACACCACGTTTGGCTGTGCTAAATCTTCTCAAAGTCTGACCTGACCTGCTGCCGCCTTGGCCGAGGGCTGGGAGATGTGGGCACAGCATGCGGCAGCGGAAGCGGAGCGCGCAAGGGCCGATGCAGCTTGACGCATCAGCCTCCGCGAATGCAGCCAGCAGCTGCTACACTACTACATGGCTGCTGATCACAAGTCACGGCCTTGGCCGCACGCCAGCACGTTTGCTTGGCTAGCAGTCGAGCTGTCATGTCAGCTTTGTGCGACCTCCGAAGCAGCTAGTACGCGGGGGCGGCCCTCGAGCACGGTCAAAACTCCAACGTAAATACTTGTGGGAAGAAGATCGCCGCTCCAGTAAGGCAAATCTCGGTCCTGGCGTGTTGGAGCGGCATGTCACGCCAAGCCTTGGTCAGGCCGAACTTTGAGCCTAGTCAGGGCCACCAACAACGTCAATCAAGCATCGAGCAGGAGTGCTGCAGCGCGAGCGACAGCACTCAGCACCGAGCACTTGTACGGCAAGCGTCGTCCAAAGCTGCCTCCAGACTCTGCTTGCAGCGTTACGGGACACATGCGACTCCCACACTGGATGTGACACACTCCCATGAATTTGCGAGACATGTTACTGACAAAGGACACATAGCAGGCTCGTACCTGATCGCTCCAGATCACCACTCAGCCTATGCAGATCCTTTGTCAATCTGGGATGGCGAAAGGGGAGCGCTGCCAACTCTGGGTTCTCAATACTCGACAGAGGAAGCATCTTCGAGGTTTGCACAGAGCTGCTCCTCGTCCGAGCGAGGAGCTGCAAGTGACACCGAGCATCCATGACACGAAACGCTCCGTAATTGGCATGCCTCCCCGATCTAGCTCTACGAGGCGCGCATGTAATCATGATTGCAATCGCCGAAAACATTGTGACGTTTGTGGCATCCGAGCGCCCATTGTCTCAATGCGCCTTAGAGGTGGAGGCGCCGCCAGTCTTTCGAAAGCGCAAGAAGAAGCAGCGTCAGCTAGAGGGTCGGAACGCTGTCGACAACGACTTGCGAGCCTGAGATGCTCTCTGGTCTGAGCCGCTTAGAAGCCCAATGCCCCAATGGGCGAGAGCCGATGTCTCGATGGACGAGCAGCGCCTGTGCTTTCGCGCCTACGCACTGCTCTGCCTACCGTGAGCTTGTACGTCGGTCGACTCACCATAATTGCTTCTAATTCGTCCTCGTTCCATCTCAAGCTAGGTGTGTCCCAGAACCTCTTTGGCAGCTTGTGCAAATCCTCCACCGTTCCTTCTGCCAACTTTGCCGCTTTGCCCTGGCTTCCGGCCACTCCTTCGCCTTCAGCTCTAGGGTTCTCAGCCAGACTAGAGATATCCTGGATCTTGTCTGGGTTGAAGTGAGGTCCAGAAGAGAAGACCTCCTGGAAGTGCGAAAAGTTGGAGGAAATGTCGGTAGGTGCTGCAGGGTGTGCGTGTGGCTCGTGCTTATCTGGAAGTAGGCAAGGAGCGCAGCAGCACGTGAGCGAAAGCATTCGAGGGAGTAGGGTGCTGCTGAGCTTGGCTCACCCTTGGGAGCTTTTCGATCTGGAAAGGAGATCGAGGGCTTGTAATGTTGAGCTGCCACTCGAGGTGTGGCTCGCGCCAATCGGCTGCTCGTTGCGCGCAACATAACTTCGGGGTTCACCAAGTTGGGAAAGCTGTGGTTGGGGCCTGGCCTGGCCTGGCCTCTCTAGCTTCTACGAATATCGACGATATCAAGTGAATGGAGTTGCGTTTGATTCGATCCTCGATTCAATGACGTTTACGTGTTCCTGCTGGTGGGGTCTGGGGGAAGGAGAACATTGTGGAGGTGTGTGTACGTTGCAAGGCCCGGTCATCGTCCGGCTTCAGCATGGGCCGCTTCGTGGGATGCGCACATATGCAGCCATGTGGTCGCGGCTGGAAGCGGTCCACGTGATCAAAGACAAGCTTTTCTTTCCCGCACGAAAAGATTTGGCAGCGCCTGCTGAGGCTCGCGTCAGCCGACCAGGACCCACGCTCCAGACGCGGACACGCACGCACGCGCTGATGTCAAGTTTTGCGACGTCGATTCAAATTGCAGCGGCGGTAAGGGAGCTGTGACCTACACCAAAGAAAGGATGCCAGCCCTCCACGGTGACCGCACCCAAGCTCGACCTCCATTTCCAACTTTCTCCATCTGCGCACCGCCTTAACTTTCTTCCTCGACAAGCTTTTGCTCTCCAGTGCGAACCAAGCACGCCTTGAGCGCAGAGCCCTTTTGGGACATAATCAACACCCGAGCATGGCCTTTCAACCCACGGGGGTTCCACCTCCACCCACAGCAGGCGACAACATAGGACCGGGAGGTCCCTCTCCGTACTTGCACGAAGACAAGCCCGCTTTCCCAATCAATGCCGCGCATAGATATGGCGATGGATTCTTCAGCTTCTTGGCTCCCGTACTGGGGCCCGTGGGCAGCGTGATGACCGCTTGGCAGGAGAAGAGGAACGAGCTGGATTTGCCTAGCCCGGGAACTGCCGAGCATCTTCAAAGGGAGGTCAAGTGTGAGTCGCTTGGCACGGCGCGAATCTTCATTCACAGCCTGCTCGCGGCGTGTGATTGACAAGGTCTTCCCTCGATCGCTCGCAGCTACACTGCTCAACAACTTCATCTTTGATGGTGCAAGGGCAGACTTGACAAAAGCCTTGTCCCTGAACCCCATTTTTCAAGTGACGCACGCCTTCTCAATGGGAGCCCAACAAGCACCTTCCTCTTACAACTTTGGAGCAGTGTACGGTAGCGAGAGGTACTTTTTGCAAGGTGGATTGGACGATGCTGGTAGCGTAACGATCCGAGCAAACACCGGCTGGGCGGATGGCCACATTTCCAAATTCCAGGGTCAGATGGCTCCTGCCGGTGGACAGTCCTTCGCGCAGCTTGAGCACGACTATCAAGGAAGAGATCACAGCGCCAACATTAAAGCGCTCAATCCTTCGCCCATCGACGGAACGGGCATCTACATTGCGAATTACTTGCAATCCCTGACCAGAAACTTTGCGCTGGGCGTAGAGGCCATTTGGCAACGACCGGATGCCAACCAGCAGGAGGCTGCGATTGGATATATGGTCAAGTGGATCTCCGACTCGAAGGACGCTATCGCTACCTTGCAGCTGCAGGGCCAGGGTATTGCTCAGGCTACCTACTGGCACAAGCTGGCCGAGAACGTGTCTGCCGCTGCTGATCTGCAGCTCGTCACAGCGGGAGGAAGGCGTGATGCTCAGGCTGCTCTTGGCGCAAAGTGGGACTTTAGGATGGCTACGTGAGTATGGCGGCTCGGTGACGAAGGAATCTGGCGTAAAGCCCACATACACGCGGCCTACCAAGCTAGCGAAGGATGGAGTTCCGCTGATCTTTCTGCTATGCGGTCGTTTCTTCGCCTGTGCATTCGTCGCTGACCGCCCGCACCCTGTATCCTCAGCTACCGCGCACAGATCGATAGCACAGGCAAAATCTCATCTCTGCTCGAGACCAGGCTTGCACCCACGCTCGCACTCACGTTTGCAGGCGAGGTTGATCACTTTGTGAGTTTGTAAGGCCCGTCTCGTGACGAGATCCAAATACGCGCATCCTGAACTCCTTCATTCTTGGGTCGTTCCGCCCTGCTAAGAAAAATGCGGCCAAATTCGGTGTTGGATTGTCATTGGAAAGCGCAGGAGGAGAAGTTCCAATGGATCCTTCCGTTCCTCCTCCCACCCCTCCTTCTGTACCTGTATGATGATGAATCGCCCTACCTCCCCAATCTCCCTGCGCCAGTCCATCTCATCTCAATTCTCTGGCTTCTCTACCACATCTTCACCCACCTTTTCAAAACTGCACAAGGAGACAAAAAGCATGATATACAGATAGGCTCGCGAGCAGAGAGGGACACATGCCATACGCAAATCAATCTTCGGTATCAATAGCGCGCATCGAAGAAGAGCTGGAAGAGGCGCACTGGTGTGACCAGCGAGGTCGTCCGAGGGGAGCTTCGCGTTGGACGTGGTCTTCGTTCAAGTCTAGAGTGGATGATGTGGAAACGACGAGGCTGAAGTCATCGTTGGGGATTCTTCGTAGTTCCGCCTAAATACAGGCTATCCCAAGTCGTGCTGAGAATGCTTGTGGCCTGGGTCACTGGTGACACCTTCACCATGAACAGAATATCGCATGCTCTCAGCTCTCAGACGATACATCAGAAGGCTTGACGTGTGATTATGCTGAGCATTGACCTGTGGCGATCCATGCCTTTGGTGTGAGTGGTCGAGCGCGGCTTGACTGCGCGGTACTCGTGACTGTGACTGTCAGATGTGATTGGCCGAACAGCTGCATGGGAGCCTGCCGCGCGCGGTGAGCAGCGCCTCCGCTTCGTGCAGGACGGACGATCGCGCGTTTGAGCGCATGCAGTCCGCTGCTGGAAGTCCTAACAAATCGTGAGTCGAGCTTACAGAACCAAGGCTCTTTCCCACCTGCCACCATCGCTTCATTCATCTTTCAACGCTGTTCACGCAGTCGCGCTGTGATCGATCGATCAGATTCAAGCAGCGCAAACTCTGTCACACTGCCACCAGCATCCCGGAGCACCCAGGCAGATACCATGTCGCTCATTCGCCATGCCCTCACTCGAGCTTCGACAGCTTCTCGAGCTCTGAGCTCGCAGAGCACCTGCACCGCACCGACCTCTTTTTCCACCTTTGCTCCTCTTCTAGAGTCCAGCTCCAACTCGAGCGTACCTGCCAAGAAGGACCAGGCCAGAGATCTTGCGGCCGAACAGAGGGCCCGTCAGTCTGAACCTGTCGCTGCGGATGTGCTGAGCGATGCGCCAGGTGAGTTTCTCGCTTTCCTTGAAACTTTTGGTACTTTGTCGGACCTGGCGGCCCACTGACTGGTCTCATACTGCACATCCATCGCTTCGCTTGTCCACCTCTCACCATTGCGCTTCCTCGCTCTCTCGCACCAACAGCCGAGCTTCGCCAACGAGCGGTCCGCATCTTCAAACCTACAAAGACTGCAAATTCGTCTGGCAAAGCGGGCACCAACGTGTGGAGAGTGGACTTTGATATCATGCAAGGATCTGGAAGGTGGGAGAACCCTTTGATGGGGTGGGCTAGTAGGTGAGTATGAGAGCCGCTCATTCGAGGCCGCCAGAAATTCGGTATGGGCAGTCGTTGCCTCTGGAAGATACGCAATGGAAGGAGGGAGGGAAGAGTGGCTTGAGCTCGCAACGGCTGAGAACATTGGGCCGCTGAAGCTGATGTTCAATTGATCATGCACTCCAGCGCCGACTACATGCAAGCTCTTCACATCAAGTTCAAGTCGAAGGACGACGCCATTCACTTCTGGTGCGTGCACGCGTGCAGACCGAGTGAGGCAGCACTCACTTGTCCGCTCATCTCCTCCCCCTCTTCTCCTCGCCTCTTTCGCGCGGCCCGGACCAAAACGCACAGCGAGAAGCAAAACTGGCCCTACTTTGTTCAAGAGCCTCACGCACCTCGAATTCCTCCCAAGAGCTACGGTGAGTGGGGGAGAGATTGCTGCTCCGCCGCCGAGCAAACTCGCATTGGCAAGCTTCTCAACGTTGACTCGCGTCTTTGCTTTGCGCTGTCCTGTCCTTCGCATCTTTCTCGTCAGCCGCCAATTACGCGTACAGCGACAAGAAGCTGCGCATCCACCAGACCAAGTAGAGCGGGATTGCCCCTCGCAGTCATCGCGATGTGCAAGTCGTCACAGGCAATTGCATGATCTTTTAGAAGTCATGTCATGGCGAATTATGAACCCCGTCGAAGCTTCGCCACGCTTGACTTTGTCCATGAGGAGCTTTGAACGGCAAGACACACACTCTCTTTATCCACCCAGTCTATTCACACATCCGGCGCTACTTGAGCGCCAGCACACCGCACAGCTCAGACGGCTGCGCGCAATCAACAACGAATTTCAAACGTAGCCGTTGGCGAGAGGGGTAACTTACGAGGTACGATGTGCGATGGGTACAGCGAGAAGGCAAGAGGAGGTACAAGAGACCAAGCAGCGGTGAAGGAGCGACGGGAGCTTGGCGTGCGGAAAAGCGAGCAGCGTCCGTGATTTGTTTACAGAAGGGAGAGTGTGCGTGTGTGTGTGTGTGTGTGTGTGTGTGAACAATAGAGGGGTGGGTGGAAGACGACCGGTGATCGAGAGGGTGCAGGCGAGGGGCTGAAGAGAACTTCGTTGCTCCGGATCCTCAAGCGTTAGGGTCCAGCTTGTCATCCAAGGCGAAAGCTACGGTGAGGACGGCGTTTGTGAAATCATCGTGTCGATCAAAGTACGCTTTAGACACCGCGCTCGCGCTTTCTGCTCCTCTTTCGGCAAGGAGCTTTCTGAGTGTGAGGCGTTCAGAACCGATAGCTGCTTGTGCCGCCCTCCACTCCAGCTCCACGCCAGCCTCGAACTCGGTCGCGCCGGCTGGTAGACTGACGTCCAAGACCAAGTCTGCACCTGCCAATTTGGACTGAACGCTGGCGTCGCTCTCCCTCAAGCGTTGCAGGACGAGCAGGGCGTACGTCGCAAAGAGGATTCGTCGCAGAGTCTCTTCGAAGCCCCATGCGAGGAACTCGGCGCGAGATGCCTCGCGCTCGGCCTCCAACCTTTTGACCCCAGCAGACAGTGTGCGCGCTAACGTGGATAAGGCTACCAAACCGTCATCAACGACTTGCACGTGTACCTGATGTGGTGTTTGACTCGAGATGTCGAACTTGGGAGTAGTGTCTGCTGGCACCTTGACTCCTGGCGGCGGCTCCGACATCATCAAGAGGAGAACCACGTAAAGCCAAAGTGCAGCAGTAGCAGCGTATACGTCGTTGTCGTCTCCATTGGCAGCGATGATATCCACTTGGCTCGTAAGCCTGCAAGCTTGTGTCACCAGCTGCTCCCAGACGAAGCCTTCGCTTGCGGGCAACCGGGTGTGGTAGCCTGCGATGATGACACGAGCGATGGCCAGAGTGGATGGTGTAGCCAAGCGTGACTGCGCCATCCACGGCCTGTGAAACAGCGGAGGCACCGGTGACGTGGGATCCGGCAGCACCAGTAGAGCGGGATAAAGGGTAAAGTGCCCAGCACATACGCTTGCGACTTGGCCTCTCACGTCGGCATCCCTGGCGAGGTCGCGCTTCTGCCACCAATGACGAGCACTGAGCTCTTCGGGCGATACCTGGCCTATGGTGCGCTGCGCTGCATCTTCGCCAGCCATGCCAACATCGGCAGAGCTGTTTGTGGCATTCTCGACCGTCGGGTCCGACATGGACCGAAGACCAGCCTCGCGGACTCCACCACCACCAAGTGCTTGGCGCGTAGCGTTCGCTGAAGCGTCCGAGGTCGGGGTTGGTGGGAGAAAAGAGTGGGCTGCTGCGCCGAGGGCTGACAGGCTCGGCCCCATGCGGTACAGCGGCGACGGCACGACGGGCTCCTCGAGCCAACCGCTTAGGTCCAACTGAGCACTGAATAGCGGTCGTCCACTGCCAAAAGCCGTCTGCAGGCCGGGCAGGGTGGATGCGCCTGGCACTGGCATGCGGCTACCAGTGAGCAGCCTTGGGGGTTGAGGTCTGCTGCCGGGAGCACCGGCGCCCTGTAGAGTATCGAAATTTGAGTAGCCGGTTGGTGGTATCGATTCGCCGCTGAATGGCGCACTGGCATTGCGAGCACCGCGAGGAATAGTTGGGGGTCCCATAGCTCCAGGGATGGTGTTAGCATGCTGAGGCGCGGCTGGCAGGCCTGTGATCCCAGCAGCGGCGGTGCCTCCTGCTATTGGTGTTTCCTCGCCCTCATCCGCCTGAAAAGGCCTCACGCTGGTGTCGATGGAGCCGCTTTGGCCTCCGCGAGCGAACCCGCGCTGAGAGGCAGTGCTGCCGCCTTGGGAAAAGGAAGCTGGTGAATCTGTGCGAGCAGGAGGTGCAAACGAGGGCGCGAAGCTCGAGACGAGCGTCGAGCCTGCCGGTGGCCGTTGCTGCTGATGCGCAGCGTCTCCGTAGGAAAAGCTTCCATGCTGGGAATGAAATTCGCTTGCTAAGCTTTCGGAGTCGCTATTTCCAACGGAGTAGGAGCGAGCATTGCGGTACTGATTGTACTGGTCGGAGGACGACCATCCTCGCGAATCTTCTGAGGACGAGTAATCATCACCCGATCCTTCTGGCGCAAAGCCAGGCGTGGGAGGAAGTGACGGCGTACTAGCCGGGTTGACCCCATACATGGAGCCGGAGCCAGGACCACCTGACCAGCTTGGCGAAGCAACTGCTGCCTGCTGACCAGGGTGCCAGCCACTCGGCATTGCCGAGTCTCGCTGCGCTCTCCTGACGTTGGGATTGCCGGAGCGCGCGCCATAGACCTGATTTAGAGAGTGCAGCTGTCAGCTATCGCTCAGGAGATCGCTATCTTGACAGAGACCACGCTTGAGGTCATCGAACTGCTGACTTACACAAAGTTTGCCCCTCGCCCGACACCGCCCGCATGTAGGCACCTCTAGGTCACATCTTGCCTTGCTCGCAGCACAAGACTGACAAGATTTTTGCCGGTCAAAAGAAGGCTGAGCCATGGCGCGTGCTTCGCGAGCTAAATGTCGACGCAGCAGGTCATCTTGAGATCAGAAAGGTGCGAGCGTGTCAGCTGACATGCCAGCCGAGTCGAAGAGAGGCGACGAGAATACCCCGGTTCCTTTATACGTGGGCTCAAGGCTAGCCGCCCAGCCACTGAACCTCTTTGGTGGCATCTGAGCGCGACCAGCACGCATACACTCACCTCTTGCGAAAGCCTTGCCGCAATTGGGACATGGATAGCCGGCCGCACTACGTTCCACGCCAGAGCCGCTTGGTCCTGCTCCCGCACTACTGAAGAGTCGATAGCTTTGCTGCATAGACGGACCTGCTGCAGGGTGTGGCGGGTAATGGTGATGCTGCGACTCGGAGCTGACATGGTGGCTCGAGGGCGGCGGCCCTGATGAACTGCTCGAATCCCCTTGAAAGCCGTAACCGTTGCCAGGTCCTTGATTGTAGTACGCCATCTCGCCTTGGGCTACCAGAGCGAACCCTCGATTGGAAGAGCCAGCGTAGCACAGAGACCGCGTTCGCTCAAAGCGGAGCTCACAAGTAGACGTCGTGTCTCGATCCTCGTCTCTCTTCTGCTGGAGATATCACCAGTCAGCCACGATGCAGCGGGAGTGTGCTTGCGGGTAGAGTGTCGCGCGAGTGTTCCGGACGAGTCGTTGCAACGCTTCACTGCAACGTATAGATTGTTATGCCCGTCCAGAATGGGGCGCGTGCGTGCTGCTTCGACGAATGGTAATGCGTCGAAAGGAGAGCGAATGATGCAGCCCCAGCCGGAAGCGGCCCAGAGATGATGCTCTCGGGCGAGCCGCGACGGCTACGATGGGGCGCGTGGTAGCGTGTGGTGCAGAGTGGAGATGGGATTGAGAGAATACCAGCGTGCACCGACAGAAGTCGCAAAGTACGAACGCGTCTGCTGGTCCGGGTACCCGTGATGCAGATCGAGGACGCGCGCGTCTGCTTGTGTGCACAAAGTTCTCTACCGCCGGCGGCGGGCCGTGTCAGGTCAGGTCAGAGCCGTACTTTGAGGCAATGCTAGCAAGCAGCGCTCGTGAAGAATCCTCGCGAGTGGGTCTTTATCCTTGCGGATCGAGTGTGGGTAATCACGCGAATGCCAATCGGTCGCGCCGATGAGGTAGAATTTGGATATGTCCGCGCGCGCTGCAACGAGGATTTGTCGGGGATTTGATATGCAGAAGAAGCGAGCTGTCTGGTGACCTATGAAGAGACGCGTGCCGGGAGAGTAGAAGTCGAAGAGCGACGGGGGGGATGATGGTGGTGAGTCAAGATGGCGATTTGATTGACGTCTGCTGATCCGTCTTTGAGAGGATCTCCGTGTTCTGCTTTTGCTAGAGTCCGACTCGGGCGATCGATATAGCAGTCTGGCGGGTAAGCGAGCGCAAAGGATGTGCGAGATACATGTGTCTTGAATAAGTGGTCTCGGATTTGAGGCGACCGTCTACAGAACACCACGCGAAGCTCGTTGGTCTGGCGAGCCTAGGCGCTTGGGCAGTGCGAAACGCGCGTCTTCGGGTGTCAAAGCTTCAAAGTAGGGGCGGGCATGCATGCAAGCAGCACGCATCATCAGCAGCAGCAGCGGCAGCACCTAGGTGGATGGGTGTAGCTATAGCCATGCATGAGGGACGCACAACTCACGACTTGCAATCGGGCGCGCGCCGCCGTCTTGGGCGAGCGTGAGCAAGACCATATAGTGCCGGTGTATGGGGAGCGTGTGCAGCATGCGCTTTCGTGCAGCGCGCGCGGCCTCGGTCAAATATGTTCTTCTGAATATATGAGCAGCACGTACAGCGCGGCGCGGCGCGGCGCGGGACCGCAAAATGATCGGTAATCTGCTGATGCTGGGACCATTCGTGATTGTCTCAGTCGTGTCTTTTGCGATTCGTAACATCCGCTGATTTGCAATCGCGGATGACGTGAATCTCGCTGTGTTGTCCCTGCGGCCATTTGTGGTTGGGAAGCACTCATCGAAATTCTACGTGACCACTGGCTCGCACAAAACTCATGACTGAGGCCCATCTCGAGTCAGACTCTTGCCTTACCCTTCTGCAGCTGCTTTGGAAGATCGCAGCGCAGCTGTGCTAGGAGCAGATCCTCACAAGGAGTCGCAGTGGAATGGAAGGGCGATGTCCTGCTGACTTTGAAGCTTGGCTTGGCGTGCGCACGTGTCCACAGATGACTCTGAAGCTGGTCGTGAGCTCGGCGACAATAAGCGGGACGGTTGCTGGCGAAATTTACCCCCACCCGCAAAAAAAAGTGTCTCCTTCAGAGACCTTCTCCGTGGTCGACTCTTTCACTATAGTGGGTCAGGCCGCCACACAGACGCCCTCAGGTACTCATGTGTTCACATTCAATGCGCCTTCTCTTACGATAGCTTGCACCTTTTGCCGTGTAGCGTCACATCAATCATCAACAAGGCTATCATGCGCGGCGCCACATGAGCCAAGGTGGACCTTTGGATCTCCCCTGCATGCCTGCGGCCCCGCCTCGACCACCTTTGCTGATTGCTGACCTCTTTCGGCCAGCAACCTTCACTACTTCAGTCATCTGGCCGTAAATCTCTCTACCCGCGAATGATCATATGCTCTCTCAAGCAGAGTCTCGCGAGTCGAGAGTCTGCCTTGTCAGTAGACTACGGCGAGGCTCGTGATGTGACACGCTACGCTTCTTACTACTTCACGCCCTCTTCTCTACCTTCGTCCCGTCATTCACATCGACATCATGCACGCTGTGCTGGTCTCCTTGCCCAAACCTTGCAGATGCCCTTGTGTGGCTTGATTGCAATCTCGAGGTGGAGCGCTCATCTGCCCGAGTCCGGGCACGTCGAGCCGAAAATGAAGAAAAGCAGTGGGAGACGGCTGACGGGCGCAATGGCGCCCATTAGCTCGCATGGCTTCACGAAGAGCTGAATACCCTTCTGTAACGTCTGGCGAGGTAGTCGGACTCCATTTCCTGATTCCTGAGCGCCCATGCAGGCAGTTCGTCGTCATCGCGGGCAGAAGAAGATTCACGATTGTGCGCAAGCCACTCGGATCGTCCATGTCCGCTGTTCCCCGAGACAATACCTCTCGGTGAGACACTACTCTGTGACCGACCGTGATAGGCAATTTGATCTATGCCGCCTAGACTCTTTCGCTCTGCCACGCACTTTAGTCAACAGTCGCAAGTGGAAGAACGCAACTGATGATTCTATAGCTAGCCATGTTGGTGCTTTGCACCAGTGGCGACTCCTTCCTGCGGTCCGGAAAATCTGGCTCTGAATCAAGAATTAATGTCATTGAAACTGATGCTGCAGATGCACGCGCGGTGATATGCTGCATGCAAGCTCAGGGCGCTGACTCCACCGCGGGACTGCCATCGGGACTCCGGGGACCGGGCGTCAGACGACCTCCGCGCTGCACGTACGCGCGTCAACATTCTTTATTCCCGACTCTTGACTGGGGAGGCAAAATGCGATCTTGAAGCACTTTGAGAGTCACGCCAGCAGGCAACCTCCGAGACTTATGCTTCCGCCGGAAGGAGAAGAGGAGAAACGACTCGACTATAGAGCACGTGAACATCAGCAGGCATCGCTCACCCATGATATGTATAACAGCTGGGTTGAACGTCGCGGCGGAACCGCCGAGGGAACTGATCAAGGTTTGATGAAGCGCTGCTGCTATACACGTGATTGTACCGCTTGGCTTCACGGATAGTTGAGGAATGGGCCCTGAGTCAGGTTGACCCCGTACTCTATCCAGATCACGACCACGAACACCATGCTATGGGAAAGCAGGCGTTCCGCCAAGGCGAGTGGCTGTCTCCAACGATGAAGCAGGAGCAAGAAACGGTCCACAGATCCCCACGAACATGCGCTTCTCTGCACGGCCGGCTTGCCGCCTGCCAGATGCTTGTGACGCGAGCAAGACGTGCGAAGCGGGCCTATCCTCGTAGGATCTTGCAATGGGGACGTTGCAGCATAGAAGCGCATTGTGTGGCTGCATGAGAATCTCTGACGAGCGTCGGATCGATGCGATGTCGAATTTCGCAGCGTTTGCAGAAGACACACCACGGACTTGGGGCCGCGCAGACGCGCGTCAGATCCACCCAGCCACGACCTGGTGAGCAGAGATGCGATAGCTCGCAAGTCACGTGGAACCACACAAGGGCAAGCCATCGCAAGAGAAGGTCTCTTTTTCCCTGAAATGCTCCACAGGTGTGTATGAAAGTACTCCAAGAACGTAGGCTAATTTTTCATCGTTTGCTATTTTAAGGCTCCAAGCTGCAAGACGTCGGACGCGGAGCGCGGAAGACGCGCTCCGAGACACCTTTGCACATGCGCTCGTCTTGGCAGACCTGGGTGGCGCGTCAGCTAGGTGTGCCAGCACGGCTGGCACGAGCGAGATGCCTGCGACCGGAACCGCGTCCAAGTCCGCAAACCTGTCTCGCTGCTGCTTTCGCAAACAAACTGGGCATGCCGAAAGAGCAAAAGCAGGTTTCCGCTGCCGGCAAGCGCGGACAGCGAAATGGGTGCCGGATTACGTGAGGCTTTTGTGCCAATTAGGATGCCCTCTGCTCGTCGCCCAAACGCTGACGCTGGATCAACGTCGAATCGTTTCGCAAGGGCACCTCGCTGGGTATGCAACTTGGCATCGAAGACTGCGGCGGCTCGCAGGTGATTCTTGATCTGCTATTTACACGTACATCCAACTCGACTTGCTCACATCCGCGGATCACTCTCGCATGCGCCTGGCAGCTGAGACTGAATTGCCCTTTTGCAAGCCACTTCAATCCTTGGCCGCTGCGCTGCTGCAGCTTCTCGGATGCGTAGGACCATCTTTCGAACTGGTTGCCTCTTTGGAGGTCTCGCGCGAGGCATTCGCAAAATGAAAACGCTATCTGTGTCGCAAGAGGTGACATTCTCGCGCTAGGCGTAGCGGAGAAAGTTGTCTGCTTTAGCGTCGCTGATGCGCAGAGATTCCCGATGAGCACATGTCACTTAAGCAGCAGTGCGATCGCACGCTGACCGAAGAGATTTCGCTCGCAATCCGCTTCTCGTTTCCACAGACGGAGGGAGCATTCTGGGCCTCTTTCTCCTCGAGCAGTGCCCAGAGACGAGCAGCGGAACGTTCAGCACGTGGGAGGATTGACTGACAGCATCGAGCCGACCTCGGTGCCTTTATCAGACAACACGTGATCAGCTCGTCTCACATTCAAGACTGGGCAAAACATCCATAGACATGCCCGCCAGGATTTTGGCCGCACACACGCAATCCCATCTTCGCTAGTCCTCTCGAGGCCGAGGGGAAGACAGAAGGCCTGATCGAGGCGATGTCTAGCGTCGGGCCTGATAGCGATGCTTTCACAATCACGCTACGGTCACGCGTCGCCGCGCACGTCGATGGCTTTGCAAAGCGCGCCGGAGGTGCTCCAGAGGGTCTGGGCCACGAATAGATGACGGATCTTCTTCCACAGATTCCGTCGGCGACGTCGCAGCCTGCTCAATCATCCTTCGACGGGCGCGGGTCTTCACGAGACCAAAGTGTGAAAGATGCATGCGTTTTGTGGTACGAGCACCGACCAGCCGCATCGACGAGTCTTGCAAAATGAGGTCGAGAGCCGCTTGCCACCTCGACGTCCTCCCATCGCGCTCGTACATTTTCGCAACGATGCGCAGCGGTGCTCCGTTGTCACAATAGCATGCATCGCGCCGCACACATTCCTTCTGCGCTTCTTGTCCGATTGACGCGCCCGACCGCTCTTCGGGCATGGACGTGAGGGCGCATGCATATGGTCAGTCGGCCAGTATCGATGCTATCTCAACGAAATCGCTGGCTGACTAGCTGACGAAGAATGCCATGCCGCCGGAGAAACGTGGCGTCTCTCGAGCTCACGTTTGTTGTGGAGGAGAGCTATGAGGCCCGGCCGGGCACCGGGCAACGACGCATCACCTCTCACCTCAGCGCTGGTCTCAACAACTCCGCATCTGGTCGCGAAAAGCTTCAAGCTTTGCAAATCTGATCGTGTAGCTCCCCACCTCACGTCGAGATCGCCTCTTCATCGCCATCGCAAAGTCGAATGACGTCGTTCCACAAGCTTCCAAATCGATCTTGCAACACGCAAAGACCACCGCCAACAATGCACTCGTGGGCCCACGCAGCTGTGCGTGCCCAGCTCTTGGACTGTGTCGGCTGGGTCAGTTGGGCAAAGAGCCTCGAGATGTGCAGCATAGCTGTCAGCGCGCCGTCCAGGTGTAGAGCAGGGAGCTGCGAGAGGGCGTGCTGCGAGTCAGGCCTGGTCTCTACGGCGACGATCGCTCCTACGCTGCGGAGCGCTGAGAGCTCGCACTGCGGTCAGGACGTGTGCGCGCGTGTGCGAGGAGAGTGCCACGAGTCAGCTCCAGCTTCACGTGGTGCCTTGAATCTCGCGAGTAGTGACTGACCTGGATTGCTGCACTCTGATCGTAGATGGCCAAATGAGCCGCACGAGAATGAAAGACGTCGAACAGGTCCGGTCTGACGTCTCCCCTGTGCTCGGCATAGGTCTCATCGATGCGCTTCGCGAAGCCCTCCAACGCCTCTGCAACATCCTGATGAGCTTCGATCTCCCGGTCGTCCGATTTCGATGGCTCTTGGCGCATCTTGAGCACAACGCGGCTCCTCTCGAGCACAGCAGGCAGTTCGCCCGCTACAATCCTAGCCCTTTCAGATCTGTTCTCCGGCGTGTCGGACATGTCCAGGTTACACAGGTAGCATGCACACTGAAAATCGTGCTTGCTCAACTGAGCTTTTCGGACCGCGTGTGCTTGTTCGCCTTGAACGTACTGATGAAGCACTTCTGTCCCCGCTTTCAACCTTCTCAAGGCACGCGAAAGCAGGACGTCTCCGTGAAACGTGGTGGAGACGTTTGGGTAGCAAGAGTGGTTGAGCAGTGCAGGTAGTGGGTGTGGCATTGTCCTCCGACCATCTTCTAGCGGACGTCGAGGCTGAGATGAGCTCGTTGAGGTGCTCGACAAGCTGCCGCTCGAGCGTGTGCAAGCGGAAGGAGGACTAGGTCCAAACGCATTGAAACGAAGTACGCCGTCAATGTAGGCGGCGTCGACGGGTGGGCGTTCGTACGATTCGGCGTGCTCGACGGAAGGAGCTCGAGGCAGATGAAGCGGGTATGGAAGTCGCACCCACTCAGAATAGGGAAGGGAGGGTCCAGCTGTAAGTCCTAGCACAGGTAGTTGCAGTTCTGGTCGGTCTGCGTGTCGGAAGACAACGGGCAGAAGCTCCTGCACCTCGTCAGCTTTTGTCGGGGCAGAGCCGCGCCTCGCCTACAATTGTCACTCACCAACCAGAGCATGAATCAAGGCCGTCTGGGCTCGGATCTGACTCGTCGTACTGACCAGACCCATCTCTAGATTGACCCTGACACACTGGGTGGCAGAAGAATATTGAGGTTCCACAGCCCTGCACAGCAAGATAATCCTTCCAGGTTCCACGTCCTCCGTGAGGATCAGACCTCTACCTGCGCCTGGGATATCCCGTACCTCGACCGGGCCGATGTACGTCCGAGCGTCGAGCTTCCGCGCGCCTGAAGAAGCGGCAAAGTAGAGAGAGCTGATTTCGGAAGACGAAGGTGGATCTTTCTGCAAAGAGGCTTGGCGCGCTGCCTGGCTCCGGCTCTTTTCCAAAGAAGCGTCATCCACGGCAGGCGGGCTGTGCCCGCTCAAAGCGCTTTGGGAGCTGAGCGCGCCTCGGACTCGCCGAGACTCGCTAAAGGCATCCGCGGCGCCTAGAAAGTCTTCGCACAGGTATCTGATTCTTCCCTCAATCTCCATCGCGTCCTTTGCTCGATCATCAACCAGTCCAGCTTTTCTAGCTCCGCAAAGCTCGCGCCACGCAGCCCCTGGCCGAGAAAACACCAACAACCTTTCGAGAAGGTGCAGTATTTCTTGGGAAGAAGAGTAGGGGGCGGGTGAGGGTGCGCCATTAGCGAGCCAAGCGGCTAGAGGTGGATCCCTGAGCCAGGTAATGCGATGATCGAGTGCGACCGCGGGTCCGCTGTTGAGCGGTGTCGCCCATTGGACGTCTCGCAACGCTTCATCCTCGCCTGACAGGAAGATGATGTCCGTCGGCGAGTCGACGCGTACACCGATGCCAGGTTTGGAAGGGACGGCTCTGACTGTGTGATCCAAAGAGAGAAAAGGCTCCTTGACAGCCAAAAGGGTTCCCGTAGGAAAATTGCACGACGCCTCGTGTGATGTGAGAGGGGTACAAGAAACGTGCGAAATAGCTATGGAGATCAAATCGCCCTTTGGGTCTTCCCCGAGCAGCTGAACGCCTTGATACGAGATGGGCTCGGCAATGAGCCTGACTACGAGGTATGCATCTTTGATGGACGAAGCGAGATGAGTTTAAATGCACTTAGCTGAGCTTGCTCGCACCTCTCACCTCGATAGACTTTGGGAACCAGCGTCATCTCAGCCACTCCGATGCGCCTCATTCGTGCGAGTCTCCCCGAGGAACAATGACTCTTGCCACCGTCGAACACCAAACGCGTCCGATCGTGTCCTGCTAGAGCGGACATGTTCCTCATCCTGACTAGTGCCGCTTCATGTTTGGACAGCTGCGCTTTGCGGGGTATCGCTTTGACCTTAGTAGGTTTGTCGAGCTGCGCTTCTTCTCTCTACGTTGCCGTCATTTCACGAGCAAAGGGAATCAACATTGCACCTATGCTCTCACGTCTGCTGAACAATGCTGCGCTCACCTGAAAAGCAGCTTTTGCGCCATCAATGGAGCTTTTGAAGTTTGCAAGGATGGCGTTGACTGCATCGGTCAGCAACTCGGCTCCCATCAGATCGACGGCCGACGAGGGGTTGTTGTGGTTGTTGTCATCCTTTTCCGCGCTTGACGTTGTCAGTGCCAGCAACTGCGCAAGAGACTGGGTTGACTTGACATCAGACTCTAGCAGCTCCACCACTTGATCCGTGCTGGGCAATCCTACGCCCAGATTGAGCAAGCCTTTCAAAAGATCGTCCATCCCCGGCCGTCGTGCTCGTCTTGTCTCTCCTTGGCCTCGCAGATCGACCCAGCGTTGTTCCCAATCAGGCAAAGTGCGGCAGCCCTGCGCATCGATTCTCCGAACCTTCTCCCCTTTGCGGTCCGCTTTCTGCGCTGGCTGACCTCGGCTTGATTGATGGAGTGGATGTCGTGTGCCAGGAAGCGTATGTGCAGCGAGCAGCTTCCGATCCGTTGCCATGCAGCCTCTGTGTTTTTGGAGTCGAGAGTGCTGCATTCCCCGCGCGGGGATCTGTTGCAAAAAAAGTCGTGCCGCGGCAATCTACGAAGAAATGCGCACCCGCCCCGACACGTGACTATTCACGAGACTCGCCCCGCGCATGTATACGCACACATCTGTGGCCAATCCTGTTTCGAGGTTTGGCAATCACCGCCACTCGCGACTCACGACTGATCATGAATGCGAATCGTAGGGTTTGTGTGACTCGACACCCTCGACACCCTCCACAGCTTCATCGCTCCGCCATTCACTTCGCAAAATTCAACAAAGACGCGGACGCGGAGAGCAGTGTGAGTCCAAGGCATCCTCCGCATGCTCAGAGCTGGCATCGCACTTGCACTCTGGCCCTTCAGACCCATTCGGCTCTGCGATAGCGTCATCATCGCACCATCTCTTGGGCCCAGCAAGATCCGCTCGACGTCTCACTCGACCGCGGTCTCGCAGCTTTACCAAGGGATGCCTCGCAAGCGAGATCTATTCATGCCAAGTGCGGGCGCAAGCACAAGTTCAGCAGGGCCCTCATCCCTCAGCAATCCTTCACTCATAGAGGATCCCAATATCCGATCGGGCGCCACAGCGGCTCGAGATGCTGCACTTGGCTTGGCGGAGAGCGTCACTCTGGCCAGGGAGCTGGCTGGGGGTTATGCACTCCGAAGAAGAGTGTCGAGCGTGCCTGGCAAGGGGCAGGAAGAGGAAAAAGAGCAGATCAAGCCGAAGCGGCGAAAGACGGCGTGCAGGGCTGGTGATGCCGAGCGCAAAGCATCTGCATCGGAGATTTCAGCCGGCACGTCGACACACGAAAGCCCTTCGGAGCTGCTGGATCATGACGAGACGGCAAGCGCATCGGACTCGGACTACTGCACGCCCAAGAAGCGCAACACCACAAATCGAGCAACTCCGAAGCGCAAGGAAGCTGGAAACGTCTCAGACACCAAGGTCACGAAGCGCAAGATCAAAACCGATGCGAGTGGTGCGAACGAGGCTGACGAGGCGTCGCTGCTGAGACACACAGACGGCACGCCCCTCTCTCCGCGCAAACCGATCAAACGAATCAAGCTGTCGCTCGAACAATCCGAAATCCTTTCTGCTCCTTTGCAGTGGGAAGAACAATTAGCAGTGTTGTCTGCTCAGCGCAAAAGAATCAGAGCCCCTGTAGATACGATGGGTTGCGAGGAGAATGGAAGGGACGAATTTAGAGGGGACAAGGATAGAGTCAAGGAAGATGTGGAGAGGGAACGAAAGAGGGAAAGGTTGGCTGTGCTTGTTGGGCTCATGCTCAGTTCTCAGGTGAGATGATCAGGCTCGAGAGGCAAGGCATGCTCATCTCCAACTTGCTCATCGATGCACGCTGGGCCTTCTGATGGCTTACTGCGTGTCCTGCGACCATGCCACCCCAGACCAAAGATCCAGTCACTGCAGCCGCTGTCCGCTCGTTGCAGACCAACTTACCGGACGGCCTGACACTCCACTCGCTCCTGACCGTGCAACCTGCGCATTTCAACTCTCTCATCAACAAAGTCGGTTTCCACAATCAAAAGACGAAGCACATTCTCTCCAGCGCGCACTACCTCTCTCTTCATTACGACGGCGATGTTCCACGAACAGTGGACGAACTATGCACTTTACCGGGCGTAGGTCCCAAAATGGCCTTTTTGGCCGTTCAGGCTTGCTGGGGGACCAATGCTGGCATTGGAGTGGATACGCACGTGCACAGAATGACGCAGAGGTTGGGATGGGGTCCTACGAAGAATCCGGAAGAGACGAGATTGAGATTGCAGAGCTTTCTACCCGATCAGCTTCACACCACGATCAACAAGACGCTCGTAGGTTTTGGACAAGTGATTTGCGTACCTGTTGGTCCTAGATGCGAGTGAGTGCAGCAGACTGCTTGCCTGGCTCATTGTGCTCGGCAAATACTGTCCGCTCGCTCATCCTCGCCCTCCGATCTGCTCCGTGTTTTCCTCCTTTCTTTCGTGCAGCTTGTGCCATCTGGGCAGCAAAGGCATGTGCCCTTCCTTTAAACACATCGACGCAAAACGAGCAGCTTCGCGCATCAAAGTGGAACTCTTGCCAGAGTCCACCGAGAGTATGCATAGCGTCAAGCGCGAGGAGACGAAGCAGGACCCTGGTCCAACAGGCGAGGTGGAGAGAGCGCAAGGTGTGCAGAGCAATGTTAATGGCTCAATGACGATGAGCGCACGGGTCAAGGGAGAGGACAGCGAGGTGGCTAGACGATCGTCTGATGTGGCTTCGCAAGAGGCAGACGCAAAGGATGCATTAGAGGCGGAAGATCTCCTCTTGGCCTCTTTGGTCGCCCCAAGTCCTTCCCGGCGCGCTGCTCGTTCGCGAGGACAACGGGTCAAGTCAGAATTGGACTGGTGAAATCTCGATATGCTCCTCCCGACCTGCATTGCGTTCACCTCCTATATCCTGTCATTGCTGAACATTCATCAATTTAGCATCAAACGACGTACAAGAGCAGCGTATTCGTGGGCATCAGAGCAAGGGGCGTAATCGATATGCGTGACTGGTCAAGGCTTCTCAACAGGCATTGCTAGCGGGTGAAGCGTGTCCTCGTCAGAATCGAGCTGACGAAGCAGCGGCCATTTGACGAGAGGAAGGGCAGCATCGCCTTTCTCTCATCCTGCGCGGACACTCTTCAGTAGCGCAGCAGCTCCCTGATCTGCGTTGCCATTGGCGTTGGCGCTACCATTCGCGCCGCTCGTTCTAGCATTGGCATCGGACGCCAAGGCGCCCTCTCCACCCGCGCCACTCGATCCAGCCTTGTTGTTGTCTTCGAGCAGCTCGACCAGAGCACTGACCACGTGATCCACCTCTTCCGCCCCAATGTTTCCCTCGAAACCCGCAGCGATGAGCCTCCTGTACGCCAAAGCCTGTTTCCCAGCTCCTTGCTCCCTCGCATGCTCCACAAACTTCTTCACCACTTCGGATCGCTTCGTCTTCAAGTCCGTCACTTTTTGGCGCAGCGAGGCGATGGCTGCTGATGTATCGCCTCCTGGCGCAGGAGCGAGCAGACCCTCGACAGTCGCAGAGCTGGCTTCGCCATTCGAGGTGGGAAGCAAGGCTCCATCGGGCAAATTCCTCTCCGTTCGTACACGCTTCACGCTTTCTTCCACTTCTGCCCATTCTCTGACCATCTGCTCTCGGCTGCGCTTCTCCACTCCGCGAGTCAGAGCCAGTTCAGCATTAGCAAGACCCTTGACACCATCTGCGGTTGCTTCCGACGTGGCGTCCCCACCCGGTCCGCCCACTGCCTGCTTTGCAGCTTCTTGCCTGGCCGACTCTGCAATTTCGGCCTGGATCTGGGCCAGCAGAGCGTGAGCTTGAGCCAGCTTCTTCTCCACGCTGTTCAGCTCCGAATCGTAACTGTCCGCCAGATTGCCCAGAAGAGATTGCATCAGCTGTGTTGCTCTACCACCGGCGCGTTGACCGGCTTCGCTGGTGTGCAGAGCTGCATTCGTTGCAGCGCCTTCACCCAGTAGCCCTCCATAGCCTGCTCCGCGGGGCGGGCTGGCTCGGAAGCGCTCATCTTCGACGATGTAATCTTCGGCGCTCTTGCCGTCCTTGTTTCGAATTTTGGGATCCGAGCCGTGTTCAAGAAGTAATCGGACGATACGCTTGGAACGCGCTCTTGCTGCCATGGTCAGAGGTGTCTCTCCTTCGTCGTCTTGAAAGTTGAGAATGTCTGCCAGCTGGCTGCCATATTCTGCAAGACGATTGACCATGGTTTCCATGTAGTATCGAGCAGCGTGAGGCTTGCCGCGTGAAAGGGCCAAGTCGACGACATGGTGAAAGACGGTCCTATCGTTGCGATCGATGTTGAGAATGGACCTATGCAGCAGCTCGAACAGTTCTGGGAACTTTCTCAAGTCGTAGTTGTTGCTGAACATGGCCGCTCGCATAAGGGCAGTTTGACCCGAGCCGTTCACCCTGAACACGTCGGCTCCTGCAGAAAGAAGCAGCTTGACTACACGAATCCGTCCCATGGCGCAAGCCCAGTGGAGCGCAGTGTGCTCGTCATCATCGATGGACATGTTCGCATCAAAGTCGGCGGGCGGAGAGACGAGCAAGGGTGGAATAGTCGTCGTCTCCGAGATGAAGTAGTCCAGGATTATCTCGGCATATCGGGACTGAGGACTGGGCTCCCGTACATAAGGGTCGATGCCCATGCTATGAGCAGCAGCTGCTGCTGCACCTCCAGCACCTTGGCTGCGGACTGCACCAGCGCCCTGCGAGGTGTAGTAGGTCGGCACTGCCGATTGACCAGCGATGGGGCTGGGTGTGCGACTAGAGCTGCTGATTTGAGATGGGCTGGGGCTCATTGTGCCCTCCGTGCCCTGCGCACGACCTCCGCTCAGTATCTCGCTGTCCGACTCTAGGCTCGTGGCGCGCCGAGCACCAGCGCGAGCCTCGCCCAAAGCCTTTTTGGAACGACTGGATGGCGCAATGACATGCTTTGGAGCTGGTGGAGGCGACTCGGCGGTGGGCTGATAGCCGGTAATCGGGTCAAGAAGATGAGCGACCTTGTACTCGTCTGCCAGCTGGACAGCTAGCTCCAAGGGGATCCAGGTACCTAGTGTCCAGCATCAAGTCGTCAGCTTGCTCGACATGTAGCACGAGCGCTGCCCTCTCAAGACCGCTCGCACGCACCTTGATATTTGCCGTATCCACCCTGCACCTTTTCATGCGTGTTCTTTTGCACATCTCGTTCCAGGACGCGGGTACGCTGTGGCTTGTCCAGGCCCACAACCTTGAGGATGTGTGTAGCGTTCATCCACGAGTCGGATCTGCGTCGCATCACAGCAACCTAAGCAGTCGTCGCGGTGTTAGCGCATGCATCCGATCATCGTGGAGCAGAGAGCCAGCCAGTACTCACGCCTTTGATCAGACATTCGTACACAGGCACACCGCTGTAGGTGGCCTTGAAGATCATGCCCTCTTGCTTGGCAGGCATCGTGGTGAGCGCCTGCGGGTGTCCGCACGTGTGATGATAGGAGGATTCCAGGCCAGTAGTCCCGCTACTACACGGGCAGTGCGAGCTTGGCTAATGACAGGTGCTGAGCCCCGGCTGTTTCGCAAAAGGGTTTGTGATGGAAGAGTACAAAATAGCGGATATCACGAAAGTGCGCAGATTTAAGCCAGCGGTTGACAGCTGAGCGCAAATGTGATTGTGATTGATCGCAAGCAGTTAGCCGTTTGGTATGCTGAGGTGTGAGCAGTCAGTATGGAGTCAGGTTGAGATGCTGTCCATGCCACGCTGCCTTTGATCGTGAGGCTACGGGTAAGCGTGTCTATATGCACAGACTGCTCCGGTCCAAGAGAACGAAATCCATCACGCATCACGAATCACGAATCGCTCGCTGCTGCCTGCTGCCGCGCTCTTCATCATGGTACGTGATGCTTGTAGAACGACGCGTCTCTTTGACGGTAGCGTTGCGCACGCTTGTAACCTGAAAAGCAACGCGCCCACGCGTTTCCAACACAAATCGAGAAGATTCTGTTCTGCTCCCAAACCTGCGGGGAGATCAAAGCTCTAATCAATGAGTAAATCACGCATCCAGCAGCAGCAGCAACAGCAGCAGCTATAGCAGCTATGTAGCACAGCGTCAATCGCGGATTTGGCCCGCGTTGCGCGTTGAATTGGAGCCGTCTCTTCGTCAAGTCGTCGTCTTGAAGCCGTGCGCGCGGATTTTGTAGAAAGTCACAATCACAATTAGTCGTGGGTTTGTCGACTGCTGTCGAGCCATCATTCACATTCGTGTTGGACTGGACCGTCGCGAGTCTCTACATCGACCCCTCCTCGTACATCACTCTCACGACTCATCACCTTGAATAGGCCGATTCTGGGTGGCGAATACGCGCAAGCACCTTTCCTACAAACTTCGTCCCGAGCTCAACCCAACCCAGCCTTGCAAAGGTAAGGTCCAACGCCTTGCCATACCTGTCCATCCCATCCTCGCTCTCCTTCTCAAATCAGGTTCCTTGCGCTCTTGCGCTGCGAACGGCCCACCCCGGCAATCTACCTCAGTATGTCTTCTCCTCGCACCAATGCTATTTCTCCCGCGCCTAGCCATGGCACAGCAGCTACATTTGGCCATGGCGGTGCTCCCACAAACGGTTCCACGCTGCACCCTCCACCGGGTGGCGTGGCTCCAGCTCGTTCAGTGAGCGGTGCGAGCGCCTCTTCTCGTAGGGACACCATCCAGCCAGCCGCCCCTCCCCACGTCATCGATGGGCCTGGTGGAAGACTGCTTTGCATTGCCGATGTCAGAGGTGAGACTGATGAGGATGATCTGTAGCGTCTGTTGCGTCTAAGCGCCAGCAATCGCCGATCCCCACACCTGAATCTGCTCTGCCCTGCACAGGCAACCTCTCTAGCTTGAATGCTCTTGCTAGAGAACACAATGCTCAGGCGATCATTCACACTGGTGACTTTGGTTTCTACGAGCAAGCTTCTTTCGACCGCATCAGTGACCGGTGAGTCGGCATGCCAGGTTTGTATGCGTCAATCAATGTCAGCTGACCTTACTTTGGCCGTCTTGGCTCAGCACCTTGCGCCACCTCGTACAATACTCGACCCTCATATCGGCTTCGCTACGCCAAAAGCTCCTCGGAAATGACCCTTCGCGCCCTGGAGCCCCTCCTGTCGCTTCTGTGCGGGCTCAGTTGCAAGCTCAGAGTGCGAGCCAAGGCACCGGTACACTTCTTTCAGAATTGCAGTCCTTCCTTTCCGGCTCCCTCGCCTTCGACGTGCCCGTATATGCGGTGTGGGGAGCCTGTGAGGACGTTGCGGTGCTGGAGCGCTTCAGAACGGGAGAGTACAGCGTGCCCAATCTCCACGTCCTGGACGAAGCCAGTAGCCATGTCTTGGAGGTGGGCGGCGTAAGATTGCGTTTGTTTGGACTTGGCGGAGCTGTCGTCCTTCACAAGCTGTTCGACAATGGCGATGGCTCGGCCACGATTGCGGGCGGGCAAGGCACGATGTGGACCACGGTTCTGCAGATTGGCGAGCTCATCGACACCGCGCAAAAGGTGAGAAGCACACAGAAGTTGCTCGGTGTCATGCACTCCCGTACTGACACAGCACGGTGCTCATGTTCGCAGTGTTACGACCCGACCGAGACTCGCTTGCTGGTCACCCACGCCTCGCCAGGTCGCGAGGGTTTGCTCGCACAGCTTGCCTTGGCATTGAAAGCTGACTTGACCATCAGCGCAGGCTTGCATTTCCGTTATGGCGTCTCGTACAACGAATTCAGCGTTCAGCACGACACGGAAAACTTCCGCAACAAGCTTTTGCACTCCAAGACTGCCTTCAACGAAGTCTGGGAAGCGGTCAAGTCGCAGGTGGAGAGCGTCATCGACGATGCTCAGAGAATTCTGCTGAACCACGCGCTCGCTGTGACCAACAAGATTCCTCCCGTCACGACTGCGACTGGCGCAGCTGCCGAGGAGCCTGCATGGAAGAACACTTGGAATTGGAACTTGCCAGATGCTGCCTACGGGTCCTTGGTGCTCGACATCAAAGATGGTAGAGTCAGCGCCGAGACTCGATCTCAAGGTTTCAACTTTGCGTACAGGCGCTCAAACATGCCCATGAGCGCCGCTACGCCCGTCGCCACCCCTGCCAAGAGCATCCCCCCTCCTGCCGCACCGGCGGGTCCTACGCTCACTGCATCTCCCGGCAAAAGCCCGTTGGCGGCAGCTCCATCCAACAATGCGCAGCCACCTACCCAGCCAGCAGCAGCCAAAGCGGCACAGTCGAGCGCCACACCCACCAAGCCTGGATCGCACCATGGCAAGAACCACAGTCACGGCGCCTCTTCGCTGAAGGGTGAATCAGCTCAGAATAGCGATACCGGCAACAAGCAAGATTCGACGTCCGGTACGGCTTCCAAGCGTGGAGGCAAGGCACGCAGGGGCAGGGGCGGTGGTGGTAATGCTAGCGGTCGATCCGACAACGAGGGCACGGGTCGATCCGACGCCGAAGGTAGAGCCTCTGGCAACGAGTCTGCTCGCAGTCGTGCTGGAGGATCAGCAGCAACGCCGACCACTCCCAACACGCCAGCAAATGGCAAAGCGGATTCAAACGCTGCCGGGACTGACGGAGGTGCAAAGAGCGGCGATGAAGGCGCCAAGAAGGAAGGAAGTGGAGGCCAGAAGAGGAACAACAACAGCAACAGAGGCGGAAAGAAGAACAGGGGAGGTGGTGCTGGTGGAAACGCTAGCGGCGCACCTCATCAAGGTGGCGGCAGCAACAAGAAGGTCCAAAATGACGGAGGAAAGGCAGACGGCGGCCCCAAGCAACCCGTTGTTCCTACCAGCTGGGAGTGACCGAACGAGTGCACATTGCCTTTCGTAGCTGAGAGCGTTGGCTCCCTCCTTGTGTCCTCATTTGATTCAAACAAAGCGCCAAAGCGATGGACGTTGCGAGAGAAGCCGACATCTCGTCCAATCTTTGGCTGCTGCGCTCCTGTACTCTTCGCGTTTTTTCAAACAAAATCCGAATCTCCATTCGGGGCTCCTTGCACGCACGACACGCGCGTCTACCTACACCATACCATCCACACATTTTCTCCCCGACGACTGACTCTGCCAGATCATCTCGCGCGTGCCTAGCCACGCCTTTCTCATCACAATACGCCTTTTTTTTTCAAGACCAAATGTCATCCGGTTACCTTGTGCCCTCTAGATGACTCCAAACGAGATGATGATGAGCGCTGCTGCTCAGGAGCGCGGTCGTATCAGAATAGTGCCCTCGTCCGGGCCTTGGTTTGAGCTTCCCATGCCCTGACGGCATGTCGAGCTGCGCGAGTGCTTTTGATTGCGACTCCCACGCAAGGCCCCTGAGGGGTCACACGCCTTTTGACATGCGTGACCGCTCTTTGTTGGTGCTCGTTCATGCGAGCGGCGACCAAATGGAGCGGCAAGCAACCTGCGAGACGCCATCGAATCGTGAATGGCATCAGACTCGATGTGCTACGAGAGACGAAGACTTTGGACCTTTCGGCGCGGCTAGCTGTGAAGGCAATAATGCAAGGGCGGCCTGCCTACCTGTCTTTGAGCTCCGTCGCGTCAGGTCAGTAGTAGTAGTACGATTCTTGCTGCTCGCCGAACGGGGCCATGCAAGGCACCCCTCACTCGTGACTCGCAACTTTTGACGTGTTGACGTGAAGCATGCCAATCGTGAATTCTGGGTGGGTGGCTGCCTTCTTGGGGAAGCCATGAGGAGCACTTGCGCCTGCTGGACGCTGTAGTCACGAGCGGATCGACGAGGGCGCTGGGCGATGGACGGAGTTGCGCATGCACATTTTCTCGCACTTGCCTGCTGTAAGATCAAGAATCGATGTGTGCAAGACCGCTCCCGACTTATTGCATGGAAGCGAGCGAAGCGCAAGGGCAAGCTAGCTCGGTGTGGGTTGGGGCCGGCTCACGCAGCAGGGGCTTTGCTGCGCGCCGCGCTGCACGAGCGCAGCTCGCTAGACCGAGCCGAAAGGAGAATTTGTGCCTTGTGCCTTAATTGTGCCTTGATGCGAGGGGAGGGCCATGCATTCGTTTCTCAAGCCACACAGCACAGACCTTGGAGTTGGTGCTGATTATCGCACCAACAAGGTGCGATTGCTTCACTGTGCTGAGCACTCTGTCGACAATGCGCACATCAAGTGCGACTTTCTAAGTGTGGACCAGAGCGCATCCGAATGAGGTCAAGATTCGGGAGGATCCCCTTAGCTGCGCACTTCTCCTGCCCAAAATAAAGACTCCGATCGTGATTTGTAATTCCCACGCCTCTCTCCTGCACAAGCATGCAGAGACTCTCGCACGCACGTCCGCGTCTTGCTATTGCCGAGGCTATCTTTCTCGATCTGCCCAACCTCACGACTAAGCGAAGGACAGTGAGTTCAGGTACCTCCATCATGGGGCGCTCGCGAACCCTTGCCTCGCCTGTCCACGTCCAGCGCTTGCGGTCGATGCGCGGAGTGGGGCCAAACGGAGGCGCCGCACGCCCGCCCGAAACCTCTGGGAATTGGAAAGCGTGATGCCCGCGCGAGGTGCAAACGCATCCAACTTCTGCCGTGTTAGCCGCTCGTCGCATCGGGTATCAGAGCCCACTCGGCGTTTATTGGAGCACTGCTAATGGCAAAGAGTCCACAAAGCGGTGGAATGGATAACGCGACATTTTGTCATGAGTGTGAGTGGTAGTACCAGCACCGGCGCCGCCTGTCGTGGTGAAAGAGTCGGTCTTCCCTCAAGGCTCGCGACTGCTCTGACTAGCTCTGCTCTCTGGACAATCGCTATTGCAACGGTCTAGGAGGGGAGAAAATAAGGTTTATCAGAACATACAAAGAGAAAAAGAAATAGCGGCTAGTGCGGGCTTCAGCGCCTCGACTTTCGCCACGGGAGCAGGGCAGTCATGGCCTCGCCGGTCGAGTAAAGTTGCGATCGACATGAGGCAAACCGCGCGCACGCCATGAGCGCGATTGCCGTACTCACACTCGACCGACTGTGACTACTACCAGTACACGCACGGTACGCGCTGCTGATGAGGACAGGCCGACTCTACATTTCCTCAAGCGACTCCCTCGATCCTATCGTCATGTGTAGCCATCACATTCACCTTTAGCTGCGCGCTTCACCGCGCGCGCCCCGGCCAAGCCTCGCAAGTTTGCTCGCGATAGCAAGGCACGGTAAGGTTGCCGAACGGGGCGCGGGCTGTTGTCGCTGCTTTGCTGCATGTGATTGCTGATGCTATATAGCTGCTGCTGCTGCTGCTGCCTGCTCGTGCGTTTTGGGCCGTGGGTGCGTGCGTCGGCTCATTCACACTCGTGATCCTGATTCTCCTCGCGCTGCCCGCCTAGCGCCGACATTTTGAATCTCCGAAGCAAGATGTCGGCCGTGGATGACCAGTCACGAGTGTCGCGATCGATGAGGAGCGTTTGTAGATTTGTCACCCTATACCTGTATGTCGTTGGCCGATGGGGCTGTACTGTGTGAGAGTGCTGCTTATACGCACTCTGCAATTCGCGCGCGGTTTCCGAAGTCGCTGATGGTGGATCGTGCGTGAATCACGCGCGCGGCCGAAGCGAGCCCGACGCTTACGATTATGATGAATGCTGCTGGTGCTGCAGCGGCATCACAGTCAGAGTCGTGAGTGTGAGTGTACCGACGCGCGCGGGCGGGGGTGCGAGAGGTGCGCGCGCGGTTGCAGCGGGTCATCAGCAGGAACACACGTTCACAATCACAATCTGTGACGAGACTTCCCGTGCCCATGCTATAGCTGCTGGGAGCGCGCAGGACATCCTTTCACTGCGACAGCCACATCGCGATGGCAAGGCGCGATGGATGCTGCTGGATGCAGCATCTAAGCGGCCCCAGGCAAAGCGCTTCACGCCACTTCGTTGCGACCACTCACAATTCGAGAAAGCGCGCGAGCGCACTAGACGAGGGACAAATTGGGGAAAGGAAGATGAATCTACAAAAACTTCCGTCTTGGGGAGGAAGGATCGACCGAGGAAGGCATCACAGCAGCTCGATCCGCTAGCTGATGCGACTGATGACTCACACTGCACCGAGCCGCGGCGACACCGCGGGACCGATGATGCTGATGCTGACGCTGACGCGGAGCTGGGATGTCAATGCCACCAGTCAGCCATCCGCAGACAAAGTGCTGCGAGGTCAGGGTAGGGGACCCTCCAACTTCGTGAGAGGCGCTCGATGGCAGCAGCCATTTCCAACCCACTTGTCGACTTGTGGTACAACTTGGTCATCATGCTCTCGTCGACGGACCTTCTATCACGTCAATGTTACATGACAACAACCTTGTGCCCTTGACTTATACTCACACCTACGCTCCTGACTCGATCGATCGTCGACTTGAGCGCTCACCGCGCGCGCGAGCGGTACTCTCATTGCGTGTGTCTTCAAAGGGCGTCATCCATCAGTGGCTTGTCCAAATTTACCGCGTCCTTGCATCCACCTTAATTCAGCAGCAACGACAGCAACGGCTCGCGCGCTTTCAAGTCCGCCCACTCTCTCGGCGCCTATCCAGACGGCCGGCTACTCCCACGCTCGCCGCACGGCCGCAGCGCGACTGGCAGTGTACCCAGCACGCACACGCCTTGGAGGAAGGAGGAAGCAGCAGTCTGTCCTCGACGTTTCGAGCTCTGCATCGTCGAGCTGCACGCTCCACGCTGCAACGCATCCTGCCAAGGAATCAGAATCGCAATCAAAGGTCTGCGCACATTCATCGCAACGCGAGCAAGCGCATTCCAGATTGCTCGCCTCGCCGCACCTGATCCGATCGTCACGCACACGCACACGCACACGACTCACGACTGTGACTCGCGCCGCACGGTGTGGGTGGACAATTACCGCCCCCCCCCCCCCCTCCAGGCGCGTCAGCCACCAACGTTGCTTGCTCGATCGGTTGCCTATACTTAAATGGACCACTCTGACTGGCGATGGAATTCCTTGGATCGACATTTAATCTTCGTCATTGACCGACGTTTTGATTTGCGCCCGCCGCACCGCACCGCGTTCCGCACTCGCACTTGACCTCTTGAGCGAGTCTTCCTAGAGGGACAAATTAAGCGGCGCAGTCTTTCAAATGCGAATCAAAGCATTTTTGTCCCTAAAGGCCACCTGCCAGCATGTCCATACCAGACCGTGTCATCATGCCAATTTCAGCCTCTCATCAAGGACAAGCCACATCTCACACCTCCTTCCACCCTTTTCACGCCAATTCTCATCCTTTCCTCTCCTCCTCAGCGTCCGGTCAACCGATTCAGCACGTCTCTACATCTCGGCGTCGATCGCACTCTAGCACTGCACACGCCAGTGCATCGCAAAACAGCACACGTTCTGAATTGTCCTACCGCGCCTTCACCTCACGTCGAAACCCAGTCGATTCTCAAATGCCCTGTCCCATCCGAGACGATCGAGCAACCGCAGCAGACGATCATCCACTCTCTGTCTTTCCCGAGTCTTCTTACCACACACCACCCCTAGACTCTCAGCTCGAGTCCTCTACCATATCCTCCATCCCAAGCAAGTCATCTAGCTACATGTCGCGCTTCCACCGAACCGCCCAAGATACGCCCCCTTGGACGCCCGACGATAGGGATGGCCGCAGCACAGAAGCGTCCTCTGTCGCCTCCAGTTCCACGTATCAAAGCAAAGTGGCGCCATCTGCGATGGCGTCGCATCGCTCGCCGGCGAGGAGCATCACCATCGCAGCTAGTGCGCACATTGCGCCTAGCCCAGCGCCTTCCTCCAGGTCGCTCCTGCGACGTCACAAAGCGCCCGACACTGAGCCACCCGTCTCGCGGTCGCCTTCCGCGTGGCTCGCCCGAAAGCTGGGCAGACGAACAAAATCGGAACAGGCGCAAGGAATCGCACCGCCGCCGGTCAGTGACCGGCCGCTGCAGAGCATGTTGGGCGCTCCGTTGCCATTTGCGGACGAGTACAGCGCCACGACGCTGTCAAGGCTGAGAGGTCTGCGCCTGGGTGACACGACCCCAAATGTTGCTCGCAGCCCTTGGGCGGATGATCCGCCCCACTGGCCCTTGAGCTCAAAGTCTCATTCGGAGCATGCGCCGATTGCATTTTGGTCTGATTTCGTTACGCTGTACGCGGCTGGCGCCGTCGATCTCAGCGACCCTCCCAAGATTCCAGTGTCCTCCGTCTCGTACGAAAATCATCCGCTGCACCCTGCCCTTGAGGTCAAATCGACAGGTTCGGATCGTGGCGCGCCGCGATTAGCAAGGGGAAACACTCTTGCATTGAAAGGCTCCTCTCCACTTCCGCCGCCTACAGGTCCGCTTCCCGCTCCTCCCACCGACGCTCAGAACCAGAGCCATGCTAGGGACTCGCTTCGGCCACCCAGGCCGGCCTCTCGACGACCGAGCACGGGTAGCGGTGCGAGTACGCACTCGCACGGAGGTGCGGATCGCTCCAGTAATGAGAGTCGGATGAGCACCGTCGTTTGGGAAGTCAATACTCGCGAAGGTGCTCGGTCTACTGAGCCGCCTGTGCCCGACGTCATGCCAGGTGTGCCAACGTCGGAAGGAGTCGTGCGAGGAGGCATGCCTGCCCCTCTGCCAAAGTGAGTGTCGCGAAGACCACCTCTTCTACCTTTGTCCGACTAGGAGTACCGCTTGACGTGTTTTCTCATTTTGTGTAGCTTCGAGCAAGCTCGTCTAAAGGCTCTTGCGCGCTGCGATGCTCTGCGCCGACATGAGTCTGTGGGTTCTTCGCAAGGACACATTTCGGCCGGGCAAGCTGTACGGCTAAAACATCGACAAGCTCCTGCTGTCACTGCCAGTCTAGCGGAAGAGGTGCAATCATCAGACGAGCGTCGTGGGCCTCGTGAAGAGCTCCAAGCGGTAGCGGATTGCTTGACGGAGAGAGCTCTGGCTCGACTCGGCCCGGATGGGTCTTGTCGGATCGTGTGGATCGAAAAGGAAAAGGTGTCCATCTTTTCGATTTGCGGTCATGCTCCTGGTGCCCAATCACCCTCAACCTCACCTCGGCCGCATAGCTTAGATGTGAGCTTGTTCGCTTGTCTTTGTGCTCGATTTTTTGTTTTTTTTTGCACACCCCTGCCCGCACTCACTCGTCTATTCACCGCGTGCAGGCGCATACGATTCTGAACCGAGGCGAAGCCTTTGTCGTCCCCGACGCCCTCATCGATCCTCGTTTCACGGAATTGCCAGTCGTGCAAAGCGGCGAACAGACGCGCTTCTACGCTGGTGTCCCTGTGATGAGCGAGGATAAGCTGCCCATCGGTATGTGTAGCGCTGATCGAGAAGCGTCGGGAAATGTTCGACTGATGAAGCATATGCCTCACCGACAGCCGTTTTGTCCATCTCGTCCAGCCGCCCTCGCCAAGGCTGGACAACATCCGACGATCGATGGCTGCGGGCCTTGGCGCTGGAGTTTGAGCAGGCTCTCGATCGAGTTCGCGAGATGGAGCTGGACAGCTTGACGTCGAAGTTGGAAACTGGTGCGTGTGTTTGACATGCTCTCTACATAGCGTATAGGACTGACCGAATCATCGCCTTAGCCTTGAGCAAGATGCACAAGTTGCTCAAGATCCCGATTACGCCAAAGGTAGAAGGCCCTGCCACCGCAATGTCGACGCCGTTGATCGGCTCTCGCTCGCGCACTCCGTCTCATGTTTCGTCATTGTCCATGGCGAACAGTACCTCGAGCGTCAAGCATTATCACCTACCAGGCACCCCAGTCGCTGCAAGTCTTTTCGATGAGGTGTCCGAGCTCAGTCGAATTGAGGCTGCGATGGAGAGCAACGCGGAATGCGAGGCGCAATGGAGCTATAGCGACCCAGCTAGCAAAGCCAGCAAAGCGAGCCTGGAGTCTGCCGTAAAGACGCTTGCGGCTGCGGTTTCCATGGACGCCGTTTACGTCGCAAAGGTGGGTCGACCGTCAGAGATCATCATCTCTTGCGGTTTGAGCGAGGCTAGCCCCAACCTCGCATGCCCATTGGACGAAGAAGTGCACGAGAATGCTCGTGCTGCGCTGCACGTGGTTCAGTTCTCCGAGCGAAGTGGCCGTGGCACCCGACTGCCTTGGCTAGGCATGAGCCCCTCGGGTAGAGCTTTGCAATTTGCTTCGGGCGTCATGGCGCCCTGCCGCCCCGATACGTCGACAGCAGGCGTTTCCGAGTCTGCTGCAAGGTCACGGTGCGTCCTCGTCGCGCTGAGTTGCGAGGGGTCGCGTCTGCTTCAAGATGTTGGTGAGTTGACAATCGGTCCATCAGACGATCGCAACGGCGCTGATGAGCCTTGAGCGGCACCTCTCAGAACACCGCTTTTTGGAGCGTGCAGCTTCTCTACTTGCCACCCAGCTCGACTGCTACGAGTTTTTGAGCCCAAACGATGCTCGTTGTCTCTCGGAGAGCCCTCTTGCCATGCCCTCGAATTGGACAGTCGACAAGTCTGGCAGCCCTGCAAGTCGTGCGAATGCTGTCGGAGTCTCTGCAAGTAGTGTGCTGAACGAGTATCGCACATCTTCGTCAAAAGGTAGCGGGCCGTTGCACGGCACCACGAACAGAAGGCATCGAGAACACTCTACTGCAACCTCGACGCACTCTTCGAAAGCCACGTGCGACTCGTCCAGCCATTTCACTCTCGGTCTGGGGAGCGAGGGCTTGACTTCCAAGGAGCCCACGGAAGCTTTTCACGCAGTTGTTGGCGAGATCATTGTTGGACGAAACTCCCGCATCAGCCCCACATTTGAGTCACCAGCACTTTCCACTCCTTCGCTGGCGACCACTCTCACATCCGATCCGTCCAGCAGTATACCCGACAGCTACTTTCACACAACTTCGCTGGATTACTCTTCGGCGCCGTCGCAGCGACACGGGACAGCGACAGAGGGCAGTCTCTTGATGTCGCCCTTGACGCTCAAGCAGCGCACACAGAGCGTGTCCTCCCTGAAAGCCAAGTACGATGCGGCTGAACAACTCAGTCACGAGCGATTGGCCGATGGCGGGAAGCTCTTGCGCCGCAAATCGAGTGCGCTGTCAGGAAAGCTTCACAGTACACGCGCTTCGGCAACGTCCGTGAGCGGGGCCTCGCCCGAAAGGCGTAGCTCGATCAGCTTCGTCGGATGCCCATCAGACGAGCCAAGATCCGTCGAGGGCGTCGATTCGCTGCAACCGTACTTTGCAGCGGCTTACACAGAACACTCTGTCCAAGTCTGCGGGCAGTCTATTGACGGGCCGCAAGCTCAGGAAGAGGTGACGGGCTTGTCGCAGGAGCTTGCTTATTTGCGCAGGCACCGCGCCAAAATGGCCGAGCAGCGCGCCATCAGTCCGAGCTCGTGGAAAGAGGAGCTTGGTGAAGCACCGTCGCGTCCGGACACGGCGTCCACTGTGCCCTCCTTCCATCGGACTTTTCACTGAGGTGTGTGCGCTAGCACAAGCGCGGAGAGCCGAGAGAAGAATGATGCGTCCCAGACTTGTCAATCTTGTGTACCAGACCAGAAGTGCCTGCTCGAGTCTGAAACTTCATCGTCACCTTTGACCGTCACCCGAACTTGCTCATGCCCTGCATTTGTATTGCTTGTTTTTTTTTTCTTGCTACAGTGCCGCTAAGTGGTATCCAATAACATTTTCCCCCGCATGCTTGCTCAGGCTGCTGCGCTGAATTCTAGGGCCTTTTGCAGACGGTTCATCGCGAGCTCGTAGGCTTCGTCTCTCAGCTTGGCCGGCTCTGTGCCTTCCTTGACCATCTTGTCCCAGTTATGTCCTTGACCTTTTGCCTCGTAATGCACCACATCTCGTCCAGCTTCCTCGAGCTTCTTGGCCAGATTCCGCGCTTCTCTAGCCAGCGAATCGCCCTGGCACGTGATGATGGTGGTGCTGCTCGGGAAAGCTTGGGTCGATGCGTAGATGGGCGAGACGAGCGGGTCGTCCCTCTTTTGCGGTGGAGGCAGGTAGCAGGCGTAGAGGAAGTGGCGAAGCTGGGGAGGAAGGACACCGCCGGCTGCGCCTTTTGATGGAGATAGAGCTGGCTTGTTGTAAGGAGATTCGGCGAGGTCGGTGGAAGGATAGAAGGCGACCACTGCTTTGATGCTCGCGTCTCCGCGCTGATGAGCGCGAACGCAGGCTGTGAGGACGAGATTTCCGCCGGAGCTGAAGCCGGTCAGAGCGATTTTGGAGGCATCCCAATTTATGGAAGAGGCTTGTGGGCTCGTGTGGGGTTTGTCCTGCTGCTGCTGCTGCTGCTGCTGCTGCTGCTGCTGCTGCACCACCACCTCCACCTCCGCATCGTCGGATGCGATGCAACCTTGTTGCAAGAAGGACAAGACGGCATCCACATCCTCGCTTGCTGCTGGGAAAGGATGCTCGGGGGCGTGCGAATAGTCGACATCAAAGACGATGGCGTTGATGCTATCCGCCATCAATTGACAAAATTTGCCATCCTCTCCAAAAGAGTGGAAGCAGAAACCCGAGCCGTGCAAATTGATGATGGCTGCTGGTCTTGCGCTCCGACTTGAGGCAGTAGAGCTGCCCGGAGGAGGAGGAGAAGGAGGAGAAGGAGAGAGATTGCTGCTGTTGCTGCTCGGTTGATAAATGTGAATCAATACTCGACGTTTGGACTTGGTCTTGAGACGCAGCTTGATGCTGGGCTTGGCAGGCGGACCGTGCGCTTTTGGACCCATGAACTTGAGCACGACTGGAATGAGGAACCGCAGAAAGCGGATTCCAGCTACTTTGAGCGCGTACATTCCCACACTTCAGCGTGAATCGCCAAGGGTGCGGGGGCAGGAGAGGAGAGGGCGGAAAGGCAATCGACCTTTCAGCGAAGTCTTGGGACAGGGGAGGATGAAACAAGTCAAAGTGCTAATCGCAAATGTCTTTGGCTTGAGATGACCAGATCTACAGAGACGTCGTAGTTTCCCTTGGGTGTTGATATAGACGTTCGGAGGGCAAGCGGCGTCGCTGCTGCCCATGCGTGTTGCACGGATGTGGAGGTCTGCTCTGTCAGCCGCACAAGCTGATTCCGGCCCTGCATGGTCACGTGTCGCTTTCTGCGTAGAGATTTTTGATCTTCACAAATGGCGAGGGGCAATTGCAAGTTTGATGATGGGTGTGATGAAGTTTGAGTGCGTGGGACATGGATGACAGCAGGCATGCATGCGCGCGTGACCCTGGGGTCCCTATGCGATAGCCGCTGCCGGGCCGGGCGTCAGAAGAGACTCAAACTACATATGACTGCTGGGAACTCGCAAAAGACTCACCAGGGCGTCAGGCGTGACCTTTCTTAACTTACGAATCGCTGCCGCTGCCTCACCCAATTGAAGACCAGGACAGCTTGGTTGCAATAGCGACTCGCATTCACCATTCATCATCGCCGGTTCCCGCCTTCAAGATGAAACCAGGACGCGGACGGGGATCAAATAGCGAAATCACACTTCACGGCATTCATTCATTCACGATTCCTGGGTTTTCTTCCGGAATGGCGCGCGCGCGTACACCGAACACGCACAGCATTATCAGACGCGCATCGTCGAGTTTGATGCCCATCATTGGTCGTCCCGATCGAATGATTTGAGATTCTGATTGAATGGGCTGGGATGCGCTGGGCTGCTGGTTATTGCGCGCGGCCATATACGCGCGGCTGAATATGCTGCGCCAGCTGCGCGCGGTACGATCGAGTGGCGGCCATATATGCAGCATGCGCACCGCAGTCGCCATCATATATATGCGCAGTCGAGTCCTCATCTATGCGACTGCGCAAGAAATCACGACTTGATTGTGATTGCGGCGGGGGGGTGGATGTTGCATGGTGAGTTTAATGTTTGATGTAGTGATGAGTCAAATAACAGCATCGAGGTACGCCGCTGTAATTAATCACAATTGTGAGGAAGAGGAGGGCAATCAAGAATCAACAATGCAAAGATGGAGAGATGGCGGCCGCGTGCGGTCGAGCTTTCAGTGGAGAGAAGAGAGCGCACCCAAAGCCCCTCTCTTCATGCTCCTGCCCATGGGCACCTGCCATGCTGCACGCTTCTATCTGCTCGACATTCACGGCTGAGCACTTGCGGGCTGCTTCGACAGCCCAACAAATAGCCAGGCAATCATGAGCGATAGCAATCCATCCAACATCCAATCCTCCTCCACCAACCCTCCCTCGTCCTCGCCCACAATCACAGTGACAGGTCAACTACCCACGCTCACCATTGTCCTGTTCTCTTGCGGTCTGACACTATTTATAGCGCACCTATCACGAAGCAGCAGCAACGGTGCAAGTCTACCCAGCCTCCAATGCGCGAGCGGATCGATAGCGGGATGCGGTGCGCCTGCTGCTGCGGCAGGCGACCCTTTCGAGCCTCATCGTCCACACTTGAGACTTTATAGGGATCACGTGGGTTCATGGGGCATGCCTGGTGTACCTGCTCCGCCCGAACCTGCTGCTGCTATCGTCTATCCCCACACTGCTGCAGGCGCAGCGCATGTACACGCACACGCACACGCACAGCCGCGCGAGACGGCTTCGAGGGAGAGTGGGACGTGTACTCCTTCTACATGCCCAAACAAGCTTCTTCTCCTTCTCTACCGCCTGCTGCTCAGGTCCCGCACGGAGCGAGAGCAAACAGAGTGCAATCGTACGATCCCATACTGCAACATGCGCGAGGACCTGCATTGCCAGCTTGGGCCGCGCTCCTCCTCACGTTGGGCTTTGTGTTTGCGGTGGGCGCTGGGTTCATATGGATTCAACCTGCGACTCTTACGCAGCAGCAGCAGCCGCCGCGGCAGAACACGCCTGGCGGTGGCGGTGGCGGTGGCGGTTCAGGTGCAGGTTCTTCATCAAGTCCGGGCAACAAGGGCAAGGAGAGAGGAAAGGAGGAGGAGGATTCAAAGGGAGCAAATGCTTTTAAGACGGACAAGACAAAGCTGGATGCTGCAAAGGAAAAGATCGGACAAGCTCTTTCTTCTTTGGCTGCGTTTGACAAGGTCGAGCCTCGTCAAGAGAGGCAATCAGCAGCAGCAGCAGCAGCAGGTCAAAAGATGACTGGACAAGCTCACTGCGAACATTGCGAGCATTGCACTCAGCTCCAAGCTCAAGCTGCTGGCTCCTCGACTGGCATGCAGAGTCAGAGCGCAGCGGTCGAGGGTTGCACGTGCAAGCTTTGTAGGATATGCGTCAAGTTGGGTGGTGGGCCCAAGAAGGCCAACACGGCGAACAGCAGCGCGGATGCGAGTAGCAGTGTGAGCGACGAGGGCGGGAATAAGCAAAAGTCCTCAGCGAAAGGCAAAGAGAAGCAGTCGGAGCAGGATGAGGACAAGCGCAAGGATAAAGGGGAGCAAAAGATTTCTGATCCGGAAGGGCAAGAGCAAAAGGAAGACAAAAAGGAGCAAAAGACGCTCAGATCGAGCACGTCGGCGGAGAACATGCCTACAAGCACGCAAACCACCAAGAGGACCACGGTGGAGGAAGTGCAGGAGAGTCAGAGCTCCGATGGAAAGTCTCACAAGCTCATCACCACCATCGAGGTGGAAGAGCAGCCCGGACGGTCAGGCGCACCATCTTCCAGCTTCAACAATTCGAGCACCAAGTCTGACAAGAGCAAAGGCAACAGTGAACGCAAAAATGAAGTTCGAGCGGGAAAGGAGGGACAAGTTGAATCTGAAATTCAGACTGTGCCCGCCATCGTCATTGCACCTCCTTTGCAGGCCGATACGAGGATCGAAGCTGTGCAGATCCGACAGCCTGGCGGCGGTGCAGCCAAACGAAGTGACCTACTCAGCGCGCGTAACAAAGACGAAGCGAATGCTCAGTTGCAAAAGGGCAGCGATAAGGGCAGTCAGAGCGCCAGTAGCGATGATCGCGAAGAGAAGCAGAGCGGCAACAGCAACGACAATGGCACCGCCAACAGTGGATCGGCAAACGGCAACGAGAGGCAGCAAGACGAGAGGCAAGAGGGCCGAGGCAAAAAGACGCGCAAAGAAGACTTCAAAGAGTTCAAGAAGGAAATGAAGAGCGCCATTGTTGATTTGCTCACTGGCTCTTCTTCCGACGCCCAAGTTACGACGGAAGCTGGCGAAGAAACGCAGGAGAAAGGCACGGCCGATTCGTCGAAAGGCAAAGGGACTTCTCTCACCAAGGAGGCGCTGGAAGCTATGAGCACGCGGGCTGAACAAGCCACCGAAGCTGGCGAGAGAGATGAAGATCTGGAGAGCGTTAGCCTGGACGGTATCGATGTGCGCTCACAAGAGGCTAAAGATTATTTCTCACACGATTCGAGGCGACACGCGCAGGAGCTACCGATGATCAGCGAACCTCCTTTGGCTCAGCCGGACATCTTTCCAGCTGTGCTTGTGAGGGAAGACAAGTCCAGCTCGACGGAGAATGAAGAGAATGTGCAAGGATTGAGACCTCCAAGATTGCCTAGACCCACGCTGCTCTCTCCCCCGCCCCCCGCTGCTGCTCTTCCGGCCGTGCTCATCACTTCGAGCACGCGTGCGGCGCAAGAAAAGAGCGCGAACGGATCTTCTGCTCGCATTTCAAGCGCGACCACCTCTGCAACGAATGGAGACGGCAGCGCATCGAGTCAGAGCCGCAGTCAGAGCCAGCAGAGCGAAGGATCGTCTACTTTTTCGCCCGCTGTGCTCAGCGAGACGGAGCGAAGAGCTTTGATGAAGAGAGCGAAACAGAGGGCTTTGTTGCAAGCTGCTACGGAAGAGCTTGTGGACAGATATCCGGCGCTGGCGAGAGAGGGAAGCGCAAAGGTGCTCGACGCGCTGGATCGATTGTTTGTGGAGCAAAATACGAAGATCGACTCGGCTTTGGTGTTGCCCAAGAGGGTTGCCGGAAACGTTTCCGAGCGGAGACCGAACGACCCTTTGGTCGATGCGCTTGACGGACTCAGAAAATGGAGATTGGCTACGCAAATCGAGGGAGATTTGTCTGAAACGGTCAAACCTGTTGCCCTACCCTCCTCCTCCGCAGCAGCAGCAGCCGCATCGAGCACCTCTGCGCTGATCGATAAAGTGGAGCAGCTAACGCGAGAGTCAGTGGAAGAGGTGATTCAAAAAGCTTCGGAGGCGAGGGAAAAGTTGCAGAGCGTGCTGCAGGATGGAAAGGGCATGATGATGAAGAGGAACAAGAGGAAAAAGAAGAAGAGCGTGCAATTTGCGGATGAGGTGGAGAATGAGGAATGGAGCGATAATGATCGGGAGACGAGGAGGAGGCTTAGGAGCGCGGAGAGGGCCGAGAGGAGAAGACGTAGGAAGGAAGAGGAGGAGATGCAAGAAGCAGGCGAGGAAGAAGAGGAACAGGAGGAGGAGAAAGAGGAGGAAGAGAGGGCGGCTTTGAAGGGGAAGAACAAGGTGACAAAGAGCTCTTTGAAAAACACCAACGCGCAAGGAGAAGAGGCGGGAGAAAAGCAAAAGTTGGAGAAAGGGACGAGAAGGGCGAGCAGGACATCGGACAAGATGGAGCCGGTCAACCTTTCGGACGATTCGTTGCGACGCATCATGAACCTCACACGCCAACTACAAGCGGCATGAAATCACCTGATCAGGCGATTCAATGCAGTCGCGCCACACGCACTGACCCATGGCCCATTCTCTCGATCGCAAAAAGCAAAGACGCCGGTTTGAAAAGCTGCATCGCTTTAGAGCTTTTTCAATTTCACCTGATTCCAAACCCTCCACATTGTCTTTTTCTCCTTGCGATTCAGTAGCAACCTGCGATCCACTGCTAGCTGAAGCGTCTCAAAGTTGTGCTTTTCAGTCTGCCCATCTTGCGCTTCGGACGGCAGGATGGCAGATGCAGAGTCTGGTGCTGGAGAAGCGTTGAACATTTCTCGAATCTCTTCGCTGGTGAAGAAGTACACTGGTAGCGAAAGGAGCTGTCAGTCAAGTCGTAGAGCGAGGAATGGCAGGATGTGGGTAGTCGACTTGGCTCCTCACCTCGAGTACCATCCCCGCGCACTGAGATGGAGGGGCAAGTGCAGGCATGCTCCGATGAGCGCAAATCGGCGCAGACATCTCAAGAACTCTCCATCGGCCTTTTCCTCGCTCTCTCACCATAAAAATTCTCCTCCAAATATCGTCCTTTTCTGAATCTGAGCTGGGGCAAATCGTGTCTTGCATAGTCTCTCAAGAGGACGATGCCGCCAGGTTTGAGCAGGGTCGCAATGTTCCGAACGGCAGCCCGCCACTCTTTGGGATGCAGCGCAGATAGGACAAAGATGAGGACTGCAATGTCTACGCTTGCGGCTTCGACGCCTCTTGGCAGGTTTGCGCCGCCCGCTCCTGCTTCGGTGGAGGAGAGATCCCAGACGGATGCGTCCAGTGTACCGCATGAAGGCCTCCTGTACAGCTCGTGAGACTGCAGAGGGCGTGCATGCTGAGCGGTCAGTCCCATCTCGCGTCCGAATGCGCGCGCTCTGTCCACTCTCTCGAGCCCCTCGCACTCACTTGAACCACCCGTACGGCTTCTGCAGAGTAGTCGCACGCTACGAGGCTAAGATGCGGATTGCGGTTCATCTCTAGCAGCGGAAAGACGGTATTTCCAGCTCCACATCCTACTTCAAGCACCCTGGCTGGTCCGTACTGGCCCGTCCAAAAAAGGAAGCAGAGAGAGAGCGCAAGCATTTTCATCAGTCTAGCGTCACGCCATGCTGGTCCTTTGTGACTGCGCTACTTCATCGCGTTCTGCGCGCTATATACACTCACATCCGCAAAGGTCGTCGCTGTCAGTTCTGGGAATTCGTGGTGCAACCAATGTCTGTCCCTAAAGAATCGATTCTCGTGACTCGCGTAAAATTCGTCCCAATAGCTAGCCGCATTGCTGTGATAGCGTTCTGGAAGCGATGGATGGCGGGGGGATACGGTATGGGTGTCAGGTCCGACGAGTGGGGGATGACGAGTGGCGAAATTGTAACTTGGCTCACCGGCTTCTTCTGCAGTGACTTTGCTTTCCCTTTGTTTGCTCAGCAGACCTTCGACCATTTGCAGATGCTCTGGCGGCGGCTTGGCGTGGTCCCTATCCTCACCGACGAAGCGCGCGGGCCCGTGAGTAGGGGAGCGGGGGCGGAGTGAAGTGAGTATGGCGCATCGTGAGGGGATCAATCACCCCTTGAAATGTAGCCATGCGTTGAATGGAACGCATGCGATGCCGACTCACCAAGCATTGTGTTTCCACATGTCATCGTCCGTGCTCAAAATGCGGTTTCCAAATGTCCGACCTCCTCGGTCGATGCTTTCTGACGACACACGCTCGGCCGCAGCATGCAAGAGAGTCTCGGATCCAAAAGCACCGCTGGAGGAGGCGATGGTCATCTCTTGGTGCCCTCCGTTCAGCCCTAGACTGTCGAGCGCAGACACGCTACGCAAGAGAACAGAAAGCCGCAAGGTCAGTATTGAAAATCAATGGGTATCTTCGCTCAACAATCGATTCCGCAGCGCTTTGCTTGTGTTCCTGTGCATTCACTGCGAGTGGCCGCGTACACTTTTCCCGTTTGGCTACGGATCTGAAGAGAGGTGCAAACATCGAGAATGGACAAGCTTGGCAACATACAAATACAATTGCTGCATAGAACCGCTACGAACGTGGCTTTCGTTGACATGCAGTCCATTGCTCCTGGGAGGGGGGCCCGTCGTTCCATCTACACCCCTGCGCCCCGCACCGCACCGCACCGCACCTGGACTGCTCACTTTAGATCTTCGGCGGACTGGGGAGCAGATGGACCTGTCTGACCTTCTTGAATGGCCGAATCCGCATTTGCAGGCGCGACTGCCGCTGTAGCTTCAGCAATGATGCCCGCCAACGCATCAGGAAAGGTCAGACCGGACACTGCTTCTTTTCCGACGGGCGATAGTTTGCGCCAGGTTCTGCGAGGGAGCGATGATGCAGCAGCTAGTCAGTCAAGCTTTGAGCCAGATGAGATACGATGATGAGAACAAAGGAGCATACAGGCATATATGCGATGATGACGTGCGTCGCTCCTGCTCCTGGTCTGCCTGGTCTGCCTGGTGTGCCGAGTGATTCCACATCTCGACTGCTACAGCACGCAAAACTCACTTCTTAAGAATGTCGATCACCTTTTCCCTGGTGTAGTCCGGGTGCGCTTGTGCGAATGCAGCCAGCTGCTCCTCCAAGAAGACCAATACCGCCGCATCTTCCAGCAACTGTGTTGAAGGGTTGCGAGTCCTTTCAGTCGAGTGCTTCTACATGCACGTAGCCGAGGAAGCGACATTCGTTTCTGCCTCACCTGAGTGCCCGCTTCCCCACCTTCCTTGCCAGGTTTCAGGTCCTCCTTTCTGACCCACATTGCCACATTCTCCGCATCCTCCTCGCTCACTGCAGCCGAAAGCAAGAGCTCCTTTGCTCTGTTGGCCTGCGTATCGTACAATCCCCTTCTCCACTTGAAATAACCAGCTTTGCCCTCGGGATAGCTGGATCGAGGAGTCTTGAATCGCTCGAGATGTTGACATCGCGCAGCTAAGAGCACAACTTTGCGAGCATGACCTGAACGAAGGGTGGAAAAGTGAGAGGTGGAGGAGGGATAGTCTGAGAGGAGCTTGGTGGCCCAGCTCTCTACGCCGTCTGCGTAGGACAGCTCCTTGGACTCTGGATCACCAGAGTGAGCTTCATCGACTAGCTGCCTAGCTTTTTGTAGCGCAGCGTCAGAGGACATGGTTTGAAGAGCAAGAGCCACCGAGTAGCCGCGCGCTCCGATTTCGCCGGCTTTTTGGTGAATGAGTGGCAGCTGGACTGAATGAGAGCACCGAAGGAGGTTGCCGAGGTACGAGGAAAGGAGTCAGAGTCGCGAGTGTCAAGTGAGGAAATCAGTCAAGTTTAAGGTGCCAAAACCCTCTTGGAATCGCGAGCCAACGATAAGGCGAACATTTATCAGCTGCTCGACATGCAAAAGGGTCTCGAACAATCTGCCGCGGACCCGCTTGTCGCGTGCATGCTGCACGCCCAGATGCACGATCCAATCACAAATTAAGGAGCTCGCAATCAGTTCGTGTATGATAGGTGAGGCCGACGATCGAAGGTGCCTATTTAATTATTGGTGATTGTAGCCCTGCCCCTCACGCACGCAAGCACTCACACTCCATGCAGTCACAGCTGTTCAGTCACTGCGACAAAGGAGCTCAGCTGTGCCAGGAGCTAGCTGGTGAATGGACACAAAGCGACTCCAGTCGCAGCTGTTCAGTCACTCGTCATTCAGTAAATGCGACAAAGGAGCTCAGCTGTGCCAGGAGTTGGTGAATGGACACAAATTAGCGACGTAGGCAAGACGCTGCCATCGCAATTCACAGCTTGACCGATTACTCTCACTCGCGACTCGTAGGTGTGTCGCTCGAAGTCTTGAGGTCTGAGTCGAGTAGCACAGAGCAGCATACGCACCATCCATACACGATGGCAGGTCCACGCTTTGTGCGGAGTCGGTATGAGCAGTACAAGCGAGATACGCAAGAGATCGCTAACTGGTTGGGCAGAGAAGCATTGCGTCATGGCTTCAATTTGGGCAGTCTGGTAGCTGCAACGCAGTCAGAGTCATCGGAGGATGTCAATATTAAGAAGAAGAAGAAGAAGCAAAAGAAGAAGAACGGGAAGAAAAGTAGTCAGAGTCAAAGTTCGAGTCAAAGTCTCCAGACTTCCACCTCGACTCTGACATCTGCAGTCCAGCAGCTCGAGCTGGGCAGCGATGCACGTGTACAAGCTTCGGTCGAGGGCGAGCAGGCCAAAGAGGCTCTACAAGACGACGACGACGACGACGACGACGACGAAGAAGACGAAGATGATCAAGCTGCTCCCACGCTCGCGCAGACCAGCAGCAGTACCGGCATCAAACAGCACGCACAGCAATTGCGCGGCAAGTTCGTCCTCAGGACTGCCCAATACACGCAGATAGCCAGGTACCTCGTGCAAAGAGGCGTGGCTATTCCATCCGAGGTTCGCACCCTTGTTCAGCGCTGCAGCAATCGAAGATCTGCCTTTTTACGAGCATCGGCCGGCAATGAGACCTATGACAAAGCTGGGCATAACCATTTCATCTCAGTCTTGGGAGAAGTCAGCGCCATATTCGGTCGTGCCCCTGCAGGCGAAGCAAAGTCGAACAATGGCGCATCGGCATCGGGTGCACAGCAACTGCCAGGTCGCACGGAAGTGCTCGAGACTCGAGCATCACCGCTCGCTGGTGGTCCGACTTCGGACAACCCGTATGCCCCTTTGCTCAACCTATTCTCAGGAGCGGATGAGGGCACCGAGCTTCCGGATGTGCGCTTACCTGGCACTAGACCTGCAGAGGGTGCCAAAGATCCCGCCTCGGAAGCATCGTTCGAGGTCGAGATGAGTCGCGACTTTGCACTCCTCTTGCTCCTCAGCTTCTACGACGACTTGCACGAAGTGCGGCAGCACATCAAGACGCTATGGATCGACTACCGTGAGGGTCGCATCGACTTGATCACGGCTTCCGTCACCAGCAATGCCGGTCTAGAATTGCTGCGAAAGCCGCACGATGAAGTGATGAAGGTCATTGCTTTGTACTACGACGACTGGATGGCAGCTGGAGCAGCCCTGTTCCTCGTGCGTCAAATGCTCTTCCTCCTCTTGGATCAGATCGACTTGACCCTTCGAAACTTCGACGACCCTGACATCGAAGCGTGTCCACAGCTCAGTCGAGATACGCTAGAGTACCTCTTCTTGCCCAACCTCTCCATCATGAGGGGCGTAGCCGATATATCTCTCGCCAACCACGTACCGCTGTGCAAACCCGGTCACTTTGGCAAACTCACCCCGACCACCACCCCCGAAAGTTGGAGCTTTACCAAGCGAAATGAGCAGTTGACCGTCTTGTTGACAGAGTCACTGCCAGAGTACTGGCTAGTACCCCCATTTGAGCTTCCTGGCGCTAGGGACATGCGCTCCGGCACAGTTGATGCAGAGGTGCTCGATCCCAACGACCCCAGCAACGACTATCGCGCCGACGAGCTGTCTTTGGAGATGAGTCATCTCCGTCGTACTGGTCAGTCTGCTCTTAATCTTCTACACCCAAGTCTTTGCCGACATCAATTGGGTACTCGGAGAGAAGGTCAAAGAGGGTCTTGCGCTTTTGCGGTCATCCGCCAGTGGTATGGCTCGAACCATGAAGAATCGCCGAAAGGTGGAAGGACCGGTCGCGCCGAATGGTTGGCCTAGGGGCAACGAAGTGCTCATCGAACGCTTCACCGAACGTGCCGACGCCTGGTCTAGGACGGATTTGATTGCGCAGTCGAAGATCATGTTTGCCAGAAGGCTTGGTGCTCCGCTGGAAGATTTCAAAGAAAGCCTCTTGCTACCTCGCAATCCGCTATTTTGCGGTGTGCAGCTGTTCAAATTTCAGCTCGAATACCAAATGATGGGCTTCACGATAGCGAATGCGTGGTCGAGCATCTTGATGACGGTGCATCTTTTCGTGGCGTGCCGCAATCAAGAAAAGTCTCTGGACCGACCGGCAAATCTGGACTGGGCGGACCTTGATCTAGTGATGGAGCTACATGGAGTGGAAGATATCTTTGGCGGCCCCATCCCGAAGAATGTCATCGACTCGATGTGTGGCTTCATGAGTGCCCAGAATTGGCCCGAAGATGCCGTTCACTCTTTCAAGCGCTGGTTGAACGGAGGAACGTCACAGAATGACCTTGCGCGCATACAGCAAGCGCAGAGGCACACCTTTGACTGTCCGCTGAAGCCCTTTCAGGACCACTCACAGATGCTCCAAATTTTTCAAGAAAAGTATCGCAGTCGCAAGCAGCTGCATTCCGACATCGACATCAACTACATCCAGCAATTGCTTTCCGACTTGAAGCGAAAAGAAGAAGAGGCGGAAGAGGCAGAGATGCAGAGTACCCAAAAGGGCAAGAAAACGCGCGGAAAGAAGCAAGGAGTGCGAGGTCTTCGAAGGAGTCGCAAGCACAACGATCAGAAATTCTCGATTGTACAGCTGCTTTCCGTGCTGGAGGTAGGGCTGATACGCGAGACGGCGTCTATTCGGTTCGACTACGTGTCGATGCATCTGAGGTGTGTGGAGTTCCTCAAAGAGGTGAAACGGGAAGTGAACGAGTACTTTACGCGCAAGCACGGAGCTACTTGGATCGAAGATGATACTCAAATCGCCTATGTGGCAGGCTACATCTTGACGGCTGCATCTTTTAGCCAACTCGGCGCGAGCCAGCTGGGCTTGCAGCAAGCAATCTCTAAAACGGGCGCGTGGGTCGCCAGCAAGGTTCTTTACGACGCTACAAGAGTGTTTCGTAGGGTGTTGGGCGAAAGTCAAGCTGGAGATGCCGAGATTCGCAAGATTGCACTCAGTCGAGCCAGAGCGGAGAGATGAGCGAGTGGCTGCCAGATTCAGCGAGATTCTTTGGAGGAGAATGAGATTGTACATTGTTAGAGACGCCCCCGCAAGATTTCGATTGAGTGCCACTGTACCAAGTCACTGCTAGCCAAGGCTGCCACCCAACTTTTCACTGCAGCAATCCGAAATGGCTCTAGAGCGCGCGAACCCTTCGAACGGTTCTCTGTGGGCCATGCCATTGGAATCGTGTGGTTTGTCGTGAGACTCTTCATTTGCAAATTTTAGAAGCAGGATATGGTCGACTTGTCACGCGAAGCGGGATGGTGCTGCGTCTGCGAATCAGAGTCACGCGTATAGAGCGGAGCTTGACGTGACCGACCGTGAGAGTCAGACATATATATAAGTCACTCGCTCTTCTGTGAGTCGAAAAGTCAAAAGTCTAATGGTGAATCAAGAATTGAATCTTGAATCTTTGAATCATGAATGTGGTCAATTCGATCCACGTGAGTGAGTTGTCCGATCGAGACACGTGACACAAAAATCGCTTGCTTAGCCCGCGTCTTCATGGCTGCGTGTTCCGACTTCCACAAGATGCGGGGGCCCATCGGCAGCGCCGCGATGAGGCAGCAGCACCTTTGAGGCACATCAGCTGGCGTCGCGCACCTGCTCAATGTTCGCAACGACGCAAAGCCTTCTTTGCAGCATGGCTAGCTCCTCGGCAGCTCTTTTTAGCTCGACATCAGCCACGAACACGCTTGTATGGGGAAAGCGCCTGCATCCATCAGCCATCATAAAGACGACGGCCTACGGCCACGCGGCCACTCCTCTTGACAGTACCCGTTGCATCTGGCAGCCTCGCGCTGCTGCTGCCTTCGCTCGCCTCGCTTTCATGAAAGCTTCATGCGAGTTGCAGCGGAAGGCATGACCCGCCCGCCATATGTCCGCGTTCCTCTTGCCGCCTGCCGCCTCTCTTTTTCTTTGCGCAACGCCGCGCTGAGAGGGGTGGCACCGATAGTGTTACAGACTTCTTGAAGAAATCCGAACCAGCCAGCCAAACGTCAAAATGGCTCTACTCGTAAATCCGCACCCCTGAACAGACTGTCGATCTCGCGGTGAACCGGCGATTTGACACGCCTTGACTCTGTCGATCGCTTGATCGCTTGGCGGGCCAATATATCACTGAATGAAAAGTGGCCTGAGCGATGCAAGTGGGCGGCATTTGGGTGTGTTCACCAGCGATGAGCTCGGATCTGTGAAAGCGCGGCACGGGGCAAATGAGCAAGGGCCGGCCAAAGCGTGCAAGCAAGCAAGCGCCTGAGACACCGTGTGTTTGCCTTGCTTTGCTGAAGAGCCGCGCGGCTCGATCAACCTCGCCATCAGTCACATGTACAGTATATGCGCATGCATGCGAACTAGACTCAGACTCGATTGAAGCAGAAGCAGCCCCGACTCACACGGCTGCATCCACTCGACGAAGAAGATGACTTGACATTATGACGAAGGCACAATGTGAGTCTGCATGCACAGTCCAAGTGCTTCGTGCCGGCCTGACCCCTCAGCTGTCATTCACATTGTGATTGCGGTTGGCAAGTCAAACTGCTCATCTTCTGCAGCCTACTAACTACCCTTTTGAAAAGCACAAGCGTCAGCTCAACTACGGATCTCTGGACCAGACTCTCGTAGTCCTTGCAAGCATGAATGGGCCCACCCCGCATCCAACGTCAAGGTCATGCAGCGTGCTGCGCAAGTCTCTCGCCATTCATGGGTGGAGTTGCGGAGGTGCACACTCGTCTCCTTCCTCCCGCAGCAGGCTTGTAGCATCTTAGCAGCGCATGACGACGGCGGCGACAGAAGGCTGAGATAATTCGGAGTCTGAAATAGCTTTGAATGACGTTTACCCCGCACTCACTAATGTTGACTTGGCTTGCTGCTCTTCTTGGCCTGATTTCTGCACTTTGGTGCGCCGGTTCGTCTCCATTTAGCAATTTGAGCTCGCTTTCAGTTGCCCTCTCAACCGCTCAAGAAATTGCAAGCACGTACTTTTCCTTCTTGCCATCTCTCTACCACACACGCACTCGTTCCCGCATCCCCCAACCACCTCTTGATCTGTCTGCTCCGCGCTCTTTGCACGCGACTCCTCGTCTTGAACCTTTTTGCAGGCTCACTTGTTCAGACGCCCGGACCCCTTTGTATCTTGAGCGCGATTTCCCTTTCTCTTGCCTTTTCGTACAACTTGTCAAATCGCTGGAATCATGAGCAAAGTGACTGAGATTGGCATGGCCGAGGTGCCGCTCCTCGAGGTGAGTGCGCCCCGTGTCAACCCCAGCTCAGCTGCTGTACGCAGATCATACTGACGAGCGTTTCTCTACGCACTTTTCGCAGGGCTATGTCGGTGAGTGGCGGCACTCCAGGTCACCTGTTCACGCCAGCTTCTACGGCCCGGAGCGTCTTGCTGGCAGAATGACACGTAGCTAGCCCAACTGACCGGAAAGCAACTTTCTTTCACAACAGGCAACCTCACCACTGAGCAGGAGGATGCTCTCAAGGAGATGTGGCTCAACGTGAGTGATTGAGTCTGCTTGTCGAAGCGCACGCCGGACTCACACTCAGACGACGTCTGTCCTGCTGCCCACAGTTTTTCAAGACCTGCGCATCTGCCAAGGGCTCTGCTTCGGGCGACAAGCCTGCCGATGGCGAAGCTCAGGACGCCAACTGGGACGAAGCTTCCGGTGATCCCAAGAAAGCTGGTATCCCCAAGGGTGACGCAGCCAAGGAGGAGGCCACCAAGAAGGAGGAAGAGGCTGCTATGAACGAGCTCCTCACCAAGTACGGCTCCGAGGCTCTGCGCGAGACTTTCTGGAAGTTTGTCAAGGTTCGTCAGAAAACGCAGCTGCCAGGGTGTTTTCGTGAAGCTCGCGCTGACCGCGCTTGCTACCCAGATCGACAACCCAGACACTGCCATGCTGCGTTTCTTGCGTGCCCGAAAGGTGAGTAGTCACTGTGGGCTGCGAGATGACGACCTTGCATCCCTTTCGCTGATTTGTTGACCATTGGCACAAATCCATCCAGTGGGACGTAAGCCGCGCAACTGCCATGCTTGCAGGCTGCCTCAAGTGGCGTCTCGACAACGCCATTGAGGAATACGCCGAGAATGGAGACCTTGGAAACGGCGCCAAGGTGAGTGAAGCGAAAGGTTGCACAAGGTCTCGATTAGAAAGCGCAAGCCAGCTCACGTTCACATTCTGGCTTTTACGCGACTGCTATACAGATCGACAAGTATCTTGAACAGCACAGATCTGGCAAGACGTACGCTGTTGGAACTGCGAGCAACGAGATGCGTGAGTCGAAAGTCGAAGCCTCCGCATGTGCGAAGCGATGGGATTCGCGCTCACACTCTTGCCCTACAGCCATCGCTCTGATCAATGTGGCGAAGCACTCCATCGTCGGACAGCCCGGTGCTACGCTGCAGCGCTTTGTTAGCAGCACCATGGAAATCTGGCGTCTCCTTCTCATCCCGCCCAACGACAAGGTCGTTCTGATCTTTAACATGACAAACTTTGGTCTCAAGAACATGGACTGGTGAGTCTTGGACGCCTTTGCAACGTCGCAATTTCAGCCCTTCCGCGGGGCTCTGTCACGTGATCACGCCTGGCCAGAGGCTGACATGCAAGCTTGCCTCTTGGTTTCAATGATGATCCACCAGGAACTGCATCCTTTACATTGTCAAGTGCTTGCAGTCGTACTACCCCGAGTCTCTGGGCATTGTCTACGTTCACAATGCGCCCTGGATCTTCTGGGGTATCTGGAAGATCTTGGGTCCCCTCCTCGACCCCGTTGTGCGCGCCAAAGTCGCCTTTACCTCCAAGCCCGAGGAGCTCGAGAAGCACATTCCCAAGGAGCGTCTCCTCGAAGAGTTCGGTGGCACAATGAAGAACGTGTACACTTTCCCCGAGCCAGTCGAGGGCGAGAACGACAACCTCAAGAACGAGTCCAAGCGCAAGGAGACCTGGGGTACCTACATCGGACTGGCCGACGAGTACGAAAAGGCTACGACTACCTGGGCCAAGGGTGACAAGGAGTGAGTGAAATGCGACTGTGAATCTCTTCTCAGATTAGATCCTCAATGAACTTCTACCCTCTCGCAGTGAGAAGCTTGTTGAGAAGAGAAAGCTCCTCGTCAAGCAGCTCCGCGTTGCTCAGTACGAGCAGGAGCCTTACTACCGAGGAAAGGGTGTTCCTCACAGAGACGGCACTCTGGACGGCCAAGGTATCGTCACCTGGGAGTACCCTCAAAAGGACGGCTCGACGCTCCGCCACATTGTTGGCCGACAACAATGTGTTGCCACTCTCAAGCGCGAGATCAAGGAGATGCAAGAGGGCAAGTCCGCTGCAGATGTTGAGGCCAAGACTGCCAAGGCTGTTAACGACAGCGACTGGGTCACTCTGTACGGCGACGAGCAGGTGCGTCTGGGCAGCGCGAGTGCAAAGTTGACAATCTAGCGCTCATTCGAAGTGTCTTGACTTCCGCAGACTGCGCGCCGTATCGAGGGTGAGCGTCTTGACGGCAAGGTCCCTCCTCCTGGAACCAAGTCTGTCGCTCCTCACCAGGCTGGCAGCGTGGACGCTGTCCTCGGCGCAGCGCCTCAGGGCGCTCCCGCGACAGGAGCGGCCGACGCCGCTCCCGCCGCGCCTGCTGCTGCAGCAGAAGCAGCCGCGGAGCCCTCTGAGAACTTCAAAGATGCTCCTCAGGCCGACGCCGCTGCGACCGAGAAGGCTGTCAACGGCGACAAGCCCGCAGCTGCCGTGGAGCAAAGTCAAGCGTCCGAGCCCACCGCTACTACTCCTGCTGCACCCAACGGCGCTGCTCCCAACGGCGCCACCGCGGATTCGGCGCCAAAGACAAACGGCACCAGCGTCAAGGCGAAGGTTGAAGAGAAGAGCGATTACGCCAAGGAGGACCTAAAGAACAAGGGCGAGACCCTCGGCCGTCGTTTCTCCAAGCTCATGGGCCGCAAGTGATTCTGGACTTGATCGTCTCGCATGTTTCGTGGAGTAGACACCTTTGGAGGATGCCTCTTCATACGTCTCGTATATTGATCCGCAGCTCTCACTTCTTTTCCTTCTTGTAACCCCGAGTGCGCATAGGAGCGCGCCCTTTGCAGTGATACCCTCGTCTCTTGCCCTTATCTCTAGACAAGCGCTTTTGCGCACAAGGCAAGAGCACGACCTGCGTAGCTGGTGCTTCTTGAGTCCATACTGCTCCTTCGTCAGCACTTTCGCCGCCCTTCACTTTTGTCTCTTATCGAAATGGAATACAGATCTATATTGCTCAGACTCATCGCCCGATCGCAGTTGCCTCACATACGGTCGATGCCAGCATGCAGAAACTTCGCCTTGCTGTCCACGATTCTAATTCGCGCATCGTCTGATAGGTTGTATTAGCTATTGAGATTTTCAATCTTATCACGGTCGTTGGTTGAAAACTAAAGGTACAATGGGTGAGAGAGAGCCTTGGGATTGAGGAAAGTACCAAAGGATGAGTCAATGAGCAAAATCACTTTGCACAAGCTGCCACTGAGCTCAGCGCTGCTTCTGAAAGAATGGCGGGTATGCGCTGGCGATGCCCCATTCTCCGCGCCCAACAACCGCCAGACACCCGCAAAGTCGGCATGTCTAAGCAGATCTTGAGCTCCTCACAAGCCGCCTCGACCACGACCGCCCCGCATCATGCCTCGCGCTCGCATCGGTGCCCCACCGCCTCTGAAAGGTTGAGGAGGTCGAGGACCCCAGCCATGGTCGACCTGTCCAGGGCCTTGAGCCGCATTGCGATACTCTATGTGCGTAGGACCGGTATAAGCTGCGTATCGACTAGCGTTTGAGCTACTGGCCTGAGGTGCAGTTGCGGCATTCCATCCCTGTCCATAGGACTGGGCAGCTTGAGGGTATGGTGCATGAGGCTGGTGATGGTGATGATTCCAACCTTGCCAATCTTGGGTCTGGCTCAGAGATGGATCGGACGGCGAATCAGAGGGAAATTTGGGCGGGGGTCCTGGAGGCGGGCCCGGAGGAGGTCCGGGCGGGGGCCCTGGGGGTGGTGGCCCGGGATTGGTCTTTGCTGAAGATTGATTCCTGTCGACTCCGCTCAGACCCGATGAACCCAGGCTAGACAAGAGCTGACTGACAAGCGTAGGATTGGCGGACAGGATATTATCCAGATCAGGCGCCGTCATCTGGGACAAGGCCGCAGCCGTGGGTTGCGCCATGGGTCCAGTGTGCCCATTGGCAGTCGCGGCCTCCACAAAATCGGCGTGCGTGGCGTTCCCTTCAGACGATGGCACCACCGGCTGATCAGGTGCAGAAGCTGCGAGCGCACCACCTCCTACCGCTTTGAGCAGATCCTGTAGTGCTGTCGGACCGCCAGGGAATGCTGCGACGCTGCTGGCTGCGTGAGGCTGCGCGGAACTCGAAGCCTGCTGTGGGGAATGGGCTTTGGGCGCAATGGCAGCAGAGCGGCTCTGACTACTGCTATGCAACCCATGTGGGCTACTTGCTCCGTCCTTTCTTACGGGCGGTATACGGCTGTAAGGTGAAGAATGACCTTTGTTGACGTCTCTCAAAGCAGCTCTTCTTCCATCGACGGAACCGATGGTGTCTTTGAAAATGACGGCAACGAGTAGTATGAGGTCCCTCTCTCTCGGCGCCTCGTCGATAGGCGCGCCCGACTCTGTCAGCCATTCTGGCAGCTCGGCATGGGCTGGCAGCGGCGCCACGTAGAAATCTTTGATGATCCGCCCGCGAGCACTGCGCGCGGGTGCCAAGACTCCGTAACGAGACCGGCCTTGGAACCACCCAGCAAAGTTGGAGAAGGCAGCTGCATTGACCTCTTCCGTCTGTGGAGCAGCCATCTTGACAGCAGCTGCAGCTGCAGCCAACCCATCGGGGACGAGTTTCGGCTCGAGTTGAAGCACTACCAGCTCGTTGCGTGGGGCTCTGAGGCTTTCGAGCAGATAGTCTGCCGCAACTTTTGCAGGCAGACGACCTTCCAAAAAGCTGTGCACCGATGGCAAAAAGAGCTGCCAGACGCTCAAGTCATCCCCAAGCGAAGGTCCTGCTACTTGATGAGCTGAGCCACTGCACAGGCCGACTTCGGGCATGCTGATCGCCCCTTGCCAGACGGAGCGTGATTGTGCTGCTTCTTGATGCTGCTCTGGTGAATGAGCTTCCACATTTGGATCTCCGTTGTCCGCCTGGTGTTCTGGTGTATCTGCTCGCTTTCCTAAGAATGAATCGATAAAGTCGTCTGCGTCGCCGTGATTTGAGCCCTTGTCATCTTCAACAGGGGTTCCTTCTTCCATCTTTTCCTTTCCATCGCCCGTGCCATCTTGCTGTTCTTCCTCCGCATTCGTCGTGTCTTCACCAGCTTTGTCATTCCCTGTCCACAAATCGCCAAAATCGAAGCTTGCCTTTAGAGGGGAGTCTCGAGCTGGGAGAGGGAGGGGAGGCTCAGAATTGGCGCTGCTTCGATGAGTACCAGGTGAAGCAGACACCCTCTCTTGCACTTGCTGAGAATGAGGCATCGAGGGTGACTGGAGTGCGTGCGTGGTGCTCAAAGCTGTTTCGGATATCGAACGATGTTCCAATCTTGCGAGGGCGGTTTCCGTGTTCGAAGCGCCAGGAGGGGGCGAGTGGTGGTCGACAGCCTCTTGTTCCGTCTTGTTGCGCTCCTTGACCGCCAGACGCAGCTGATCGTCGGCCGCTTCTCGTTCGCGAGTTCCCTGATCAAACTCCACATCCTCTTCTCCCTTGTGCGTGAACTTGCGTCGGGGCACATCAGCCATTTTGCCCAACACGCTTTGCTCCAGATTTTCTCGCTTTCGACGTTCAAGTTCCTCGCGTGTCTGGTCGTTGGCTAGCTCGTCGGAAGTCATGGCGGCCAATGCAACCGCACTGACAGCTGTCTGCTCGTCGGGCTGCAAGACCCCTAGTCTGATACGAGCGTGCAAGCCCTTATTAGCCTTGTCCTTGAGGCTGAACAGTAGCAAACGGAGACGATCTTTGTACGCTTTGCCTCCCGTCGCGATTCTCTCCTTTCCCACCGTTGTGATTTCTGCGTTGCCCTTCCACATCTGTTGCTCGAGCGTCCGCGCGTAGACTGCGGCCGCTTCGTTGTGCTGCTTGCGAGCTTCATCGTTCCCAATGCCAACATCCCTCTCGTCGGCATTGGCGTCGCTCAAAAAGCCTTGGACAACCGCAGTGAATTGGTTGACGGCGTGCTGACGCAGGGCTACGGCTGTCTGTCGTGCCTTCCTTGCAAGCTCGAAGTCAGAAGACGAGGTTTTACGTTTCGCAGCTGAGCTGGCCGCGCTCGCGGGCGAAGGCACACGCTTCTCGCCAGCTCCAGAGGACCTTCGGTGCACAGATGCCAGGGCATCAACACCTTGAGCCGACGCTTTGGACGCTGCACGCGCAGCGGGTACGCTCTGCTTGGTCGCAGCTTTGCCAGCAAGACTGGATGATGCTATTGCATTGGTCGGCTCATCACCACTCTTGGCCCGTTTCAAAGGCCGTGGCTCGAGCGGAGATTTGGCACCATCGTCAACACTGGGTTGCTTGCTTTCAATTTCGGGCTTAGAAGACGCAAGCGCCACATCAGGATTGTCTATGACGCGGTTGAGACCACTCGGGGCCTCAACATCATGCTCTGCAGCTTTCCTCTTTGCCGCTGCGGTCTTGCCATACTTGGAAGAGATTGCGGGAGGATTAGTCAAATCGGGTGTCTGATTCTGCTCCAGCAAGGCAGCATCTGAGGGCGAATGATAATGACGCGCGGCCTCTTGCTCTGAAGCTGATGGTGCGTCCAATTCTAGACCTGCAAGAAGAGGGTGTTGTTGTCGTCAGCCTTGATGGGTGAGGTTACGAAGCAAATCTCGACAATGACAAGCGGACGCGAGGATGCAAACGCGCGGCACCAAGGTACTACACGAAGGCTTGAGCGTCGCTATGCAGCGTTCTCTCCCCTGCGTGTGGATGCAATGCCAATGCCTGGCTGAACACGACCAGCCCACCATCACCACTCGACTGGTGATAGTACAGAAGAACCAGACCACATGTGTTGTGACGCCGGCATGCGAACATTCACAGCACCATGGGTCTCAATCGAGTGAGGTGGCAGCGTACGGTGCAGGTTGGCTCATCACAGCCGGCGACGGAACGAGGTCATGACTACCGTGCAGATACGACAAGAGTATGAAGCAGCTCAAGCACGCGAGAGCATGCGGTGAAGCCGTCGCTGACATGGATGTATTCCAGCGCAATGTACCAGGGCAATTCACAGGGGGGGGGGCGCGTGGAGCATGCCCAAGCAAACGAAAGGAGCTCCAAAGTATGATCCGTGACATCGCACCAATTTGCTGGAGCGCTAAACTCACCTGTAGAGATCTTGCCAGTTTTAGCCGAGCATGCCTCACAGACATACGATGACAGAGCTTGTGCAGCCTCCTCTGATAACCCGATGCATGCGAAATGGAACCTGTGGTGGTGGAGGCCTGGGTTTGCTTAGTGACATCTCCCAAATCTCGCGACTACTTGTTACGATCACACCCTTGAGGAGCACATATGCAGCAGCAAAGCTGCCTCAGGGGCGCGACGGGGGACGGTAGCCTGTACAGGAGCTCACTCACCAATCTTCACACTCTGAGCACCACACCATAGGCTGTCCATCGTCTCCCTTCCTACATGTACAATATAACTCTGCTCCCTCTTCTAGCTCGGACGATGCTTCTCGGACCTGCTGTGTTGGCGTCACGCGCGAAGTTCGCGACAGATTGGTTTTCTTGCTCCTCTTACCAACAGGTTCCTCATACAGTGGGACGGGCACCTCATCTACAGCTTTGCTTGTTGGCTTTCTCGCTCTGCTACCACGACGCGGCCCAGAACCTCCTTCAAGCTCCATTCCCGCGCTTCTTGGTTTGGGGGAAAGGAAGCTGATGGTAGGCTGCGACGCACTGACAGTTGCTGGGGACAGTTAGATGGGAATGACAGGTGGCGTGGCGTCACCCTCGATGATGAGCCTACACAGCAGCTCAAGGTTAGCGGTGTTTGATGCCACGTAACAAGCTTGTCCCTCGGGCCAGGAGCGGGAGGCGCTGGGTAGCGTGGCAGGATCTGCCTGGATGACGGAGTACTGATCGTCAACGCGGGGCCGAGAGCAGATGGTGGGCAAAACTGAATGCGTGCACACACGCGGCAGCCGATCTGGGCAAAGCGCCCGCCCTCGTCATCTCTCTCACGCATGATGTTTGGGCGGACAGAAATTCTCGGCCGAGTCCCACACCACGCGAGCAACGGCAAATCACGTGATCTTTGAATCAACAATACGTGGAAGGAGGAGTCACGTGATTCAAAAAAAATGACGAATGCGCACGCGAGCGCGGAGCCAACAAGTTCGCGCCGGCATCACCACAACAACACCACGAGTTAGGCCAAAAGAGATCGGAGTGACCAGCCAGGGGATCGAACCCGAGCGTGGTCGGATAATTTGATATGGGATGGCTAATTTGATATAAATCACACAGGATAAGATGATATCGGTATGGCAAACTTCGCAGATCCATTGGCGAGTTAGCATACCACACCGGGGAGTCGTATATAAAGCTCGGAGGGTGCGCAAGTCCGGGCGTTCGATTTCGGCTTCGAGATGACCAGCTCAAGTCGAGTGACGACGTGCTGACGACGACTTGGCCTGCCGGATTCAAGGTGGACAGAGGCTGCCCTGTGGGTCACGAGAGCGAGTCTAGAGCCCTTTCAACCTCCTGCGACGAGTACGATCGGCTTGGCAGACTCAGGACTCATCACTGCTCGACGGCATCACTACATAGTCCCCTGATACTTCGTAAGCCAATTCACAGCGTCGACAATCGACGAAAGTCGAGCAGCATGCTTGAGGCAATGGCATTTTGATTCGAACTGATGTCCGCGGTCGGAATGTCACACTCTTCAGGGTTCGACGGGGCATGCATGACAGCTCCAGAGCTGACGGTCCCTCCAACGCAACTCGCACCATCCGCGATTGTGACGTTGGCAATGTAGCTCGCCTTGTCAAGGTCCTCTAGCCGCGCGATTCGAAAAGAGGACTGATGCGAGAGAGACATGCTTGATGCCAAGGAACGAGCGAGTGCGAATGACTGTCTGTCATCGACCAAGTGGTGGATGCGCATGTAATTGTGATACAGCGCTCAGGCTGAGGTCATGTTTGCATGCCGATCGGCGCAGTCGCGTGAGTGTCGCTGTAAGCCAAGTCGCTCTTCGATGCCATCGTCCACACCAGGACTTTGACTCAAGACTGATATTGGAGCAATCGTCAGCAAGTCAATTTATGGATCTCGGATGATGACTCCGGCTTGCTGATGAGCGCAAACCGTGGCTCACATCGAAGGCGACGTCGTAGCGACCGCGGTCTCTGGATGCCAACAGCAAGGGGGCTGCTAGCAGATATGTACCGTACGTGATTTGTGGAGCGCCTGCATCAGCTCTCGAGCTAGTTAGGTGTGGTTACGGAAGCAAATCTTCCGCGCCCACATCACGACTTACCCAGCGTCGCCCTGCAACCGCCGAAATCAGCTCCGCCCCGCGCTGACCCAGGAATTTACCGGTCGCGCATGCGTAACAAATAAGCGCGTTCGAGCTCATTATCGTCGCGAGTGCTCCAAATCGGGGTACCAAGAGGAAGACTCCATCGGACAGCATGACATTCAAATTCAAATTGCGATTCGTGATTCCTTTCACGCACCACTCGCTACCGGACCATGAATTCTGAGGCTAGTCATCAAGCTGTAAAGCTCCTGACTAAAGCACGCGCCGCGTGTGGTGTTGGAAACAAGAAATGGACATTCGTTCCCTGGCAAGGGCGATGGATGACCATCCTAAGCGCGCTTTTCCTTATCTTTGACCAAGGGAGCCCTTTCTTTGCCAAGAATCCGCTTGGCTTCGCTTCGCATCGCAGGCAGCAGGAATAGAGCGCTTCACGACTACCGGTGCTAGGGTGCACTGGGTGCCAGACGAGCAGAGCACCTTCTGTAGAAGCCGTGTGATGTGATGCCGGTCATGGTCGCATACCCACATTTCCATCCGCGGTGTGGTACGGTGATCGTTGAGTGTGCTGGGTCAGACAGCATACATATAGCCAACAAACAGAAGTCCCCACACATGCGCAGCACGGCCTGCCTTGCATTGATGGTCTGCGACGCAAGAGCTGGCCGAGGCATTTGGGGGTAAGGCATGTCAAAAGTCTTTATGTCGATACCACACATCGCCGCTCTGTGCTCTGATTGTTGTGGTTCTTAAAACGCATCTACTGGAGCTCGCACAAGCGGCCGAAATCGTGAATGGTTGGTTGCGCCGCGCCGCGCCATAGCTTGAGAAGATGCTCAGACCGGCAGGGCGCATCATTATTAGCGAGCGTTTGTAGAAGGTGGGCGAGCGCGCGGACGGAGGTTTCAAAAGCGCGCTAAGAGCTGCCTGCTAGTGCAGCATGCAGCAGCTTTGCCTACCTGCACCTGGCATCACAGCGGGACTAATTGCTGACATTGTGGAAATTTATGCACTTTGCAGCTCATGTGTCACTCTCGACCGTTGGAGCCGGGCTTCGGTCCTTATCATCCAACCAACGCATTCGTGATTTTGAAGTCTCGAGTGCCGTTCAATCACGAATCAGATCCACCTTGCAGCGCAGAGGTGCAGCAAGTAGCGCAAAAAAGTCGAGCGACGACGCTGCAATTGGAGCAATTTATGCCCTCATGGACGCACATGCAAGATACGACTTTGGAAAGTCTGCTCACCATCGAAGAGTTGGGGCCAGCGCACCCGGCTATACTGTGACTGTGCAGTAGCTGCACCCTTGATGACATTCTCTTCGGAAATATACAGTAAGCACCTTCTCTCGTCGATGCATGAATGTCTGACGCAACGTAGCCAAGTAATGACGCGGGTGCATTAGGCTCAGCGCTATGGACTCGATTCGATGTGGCCTCGGCCAGCGCGCTTCGGCCTCGACAGACTGGTCGAGCCCCTCGTCGCATCACGACACAGTCACTTCTCAACTATGCCTACAATCTAGAGCTCAATCGTGAATGGGGTGATGCAACGGATGTTTTGCAAGCGCGAAATCCGGCGTCCGAGTCAGCCGGTCAATCACGCTAAGAGCATCACCGATCCTCATTCTTCGCGACGCAGCACGAGCCCCCGTCGCAGGTGAGCATCGGAGAGCGAAGTGCTGGGACCCCCTGGAGTAGCTCGAGTGGATGACAGGCAAAACCCACAAGCCAGAGCTCCACACCTAGCTACGACTGTACTTCTTCCTAAATGCACGACGATCTATCAGCAGCTGCAGACATGCGGTAGTAGCCTGGGCCAGCAGAAGTACAAATATCGCCATGTTTCGCGCTCTCGCTGAGCTCTTTCCCATGCCCACAAATCCCTCACGCCATTGACATCCGCCCTCCCTCCTCTCGCACTTCCTTTGTTCGACCCTACAGCCCCGGAACACCATGCGCGCCTTCAACATCGTCCTCGGCCTGGCCGCTGTCATGCTGCCCAGCATGCACGCGGTGCCAGTGCAATCCATCTCCGAACGACAGTCGACCGACCAGCCAAGCACCATCGACGGCACTCCGTTCCGCCTGGCAGTCCGATATGCGCAGGGCGCATATTGCCAGCCCTCTCTGCAACGTCTACTCTTTTCGAGAGGTCGGGTCATCTACGTTGCCGGCGACAACGCAAGGCTACCGATCACCTTCGTGGCTTACGACGAGCTGACCAACAAAGTCGTCGTCTCGCACCAGGGTACCAAGTAAGTTTGCAGTGCTCTGCCTGATGGAGCAGCGATGTGCCGGCCAACCTGAATCCTTCGCTGACTGTATTCGACTTTTTTTCCGCCCATGCCCCGTTCGCAGCCCCACATCTGCGGAGTCCGTGTACATCGATGCGCAATATTTGCCCACATTGCCAGACCGCAGGCTGAACGGCTGTGTCGATCCTGGCTCCGCGATGCACACCGGTTTTCAAAAGGCCTGGGCAGACACTGCTGACCCGATCTTGGCAGCAGTCAAGGAGCAGCTGACCGCGCATCCTGGCGCCACGCTTCTGGTCACCGGACACTCGCTCGGTGCTGCCCTAGCCACGCTGGACAGCGCTTATCTGCGATGCAATCTTCCAGATGTACCGCTGCAGACCACCGTACTGGGATTGCCCCGCGTGGGAAACAGCAAATTTGCGGACAGCATCGACAGGCTACACAACGGCACCTTCCACTACCTGGTCAATGGTCAAGATCCCGTACCTCACATCCCATTCCGGCAGCTTTCTTACGAGCACCCCACTGGAGAGGTGTGGATCAACCCGGCCAACGAGAACGAAGCCCTTAGCTGCCCAGGAAGAGAGAATTCAAGGTGCTCCAACTCGGTCGACCCGAGAACCTACAACATCGGAGACCATATTGGGACCTACTTCGAAAGACAACTCACTGGTTTCCCATCGCCCAACCTCTGCTAAACGAGATCGGCCTAGACCAATCGTCCGTCGGTACACAACACATTCAGTATCGAGATCTATCTTCCGCTCCAGTCAAAACCCATCTATCCATCCTCGCATTCTGATTTGTAGCCAAAATTTTCCCGATATCCCTATTCCGCAATATCCCGCTAACGACCTTCCACGAGCAAGGCGGCAGATACATGCTGCTGGTACCCGTTAAAGCCACCATACAGCTAGACTGCTGGCTTTTCACGAGTCATCGCTCGCGCTCTTCTTGCTCACGGCTACGCATCGTCTGCATTTCCGCCACGTCACCCTCACGAATTCACACGGCGCTCAGGTCGCTTTGCTGCACACCACTGGGAATGATAGAATGACTTGTACGAATTTCCGAGCCGTTGGGCTGTTGGTTGATGTCAATATGATGAGCGTTTGACGCAGGATTGCGGCGACGTGGTCCACCCAATGCCAATCGCACACAGCCGCCCGCAAGTGAGGTGATTTTGGCACAACAACACAACGTCGTGCATACACGTGCATCCGCATGCATCTTCTTTTGATCCTTCACCATCATCGGGCTGCAGAACGTCCTAGCGCCGACGATCTTAGCAGTCTTTAAGGCCTTCACCGCCGCAACCCAAGCAGCAGGGCTGCGTGCCGTCGGTGCAGCAGCTGTCGCGCTTCACCATCCTGTTGGCAACGGGGCTCCAGATCATCTCAACGTCGGCCGCAGCATTGGGGGCGCGCTCATTCAAGCTGTTCTTGTCGGCATCGAAGAGATTCACACTGCGTGGCTAATGGCAGAGAGAAAAAAATCGCTGAGAGGGTCAGACGCTTGCTCAGCACTCAGCGAGAATATCAAGAGCTTGCCTACGCACGAAGTGAGGTCGGTGGGGGTCAGTATGGCAGCATGACTTGTTGTTAGGAGGACAATCACATTCCGGGGGACCACCAGTGGGCGCGCGCTCTTCCAGGGTGTTTGTGTCCGCATCGAAGAGATCGACACTGCGTGGCTGTTGGCAAGAATGAGAAACGCTGAGAGGGTTAGTCGCTTGCACAGCTCTCAGAGGGCATCTGAATGGCTTGGCTATGCACCTTGTGAGGATTGTGTTCGCAGCATGCTCCGGTGCAGCACGTCGAGTTGGGGTTGACTGGAGCACATTGACATCCCGGGGGAATGCCAGTGCGCGCGCGCTCTTCCAGGCTGTTTTTGTCCGCATCGAAAAGATCGACACTGCGTGGCTGTTGGCAAGAAACAGAAAGGCTGAGAGAATCAGTCGCTCGCACAGCTCTCAGAGGGCATCTGGATGGCTTGACTATGCACCTCGTGGGAATCGGGAAGTCCGAGTCCCCAGCAATCACCGGTGCAGCACGTTGAGTTGGCAGGGTTAGGAGGACATTCGCATCCAGCGGGAATGCCAGCGCGCTCTTGAAGAGAAACGCCAGACGTCGCACCGTTCTGTGAAGCTGTCGAGCGCTGTCATGGGGATTTGTAGAATGTGAATACGTCAGCAGTCACATCAGTGCGACCTGACAGTTGTCAAGTCACAACTCACGAAGAGAGAATTCGAGGCCGCAAATTGGTGTAGGCTCCAAAATCAGTATCGACGCATGAAAGCCCTAGCATAGGAGAGATCGACATGCGCACCTACTATGGGCTTGGCATTTACGCTTAGAAGCGCTGCAAGGAGCGCCAAGAAAGCGAAGAAGCATAGACGCAGATAGTACATTCTGCTCACAATCGGAAGCTTCAGGTGTTTTGAGAATGTCAGGGGAAAATGGTCGGAAGAGCTGTTACGAGGGAGATGAGACGAGATTCACCTACTTGACGAATGAGCACGGCTTCATATACAATGTGGAAACAAGGAACGCATGAAGACCCAAACGCTCCTTTCGTAGCGCCCAAATGAATCATCCGAGACGAGTCAAATCGCGGCGCCGCATCGGAGCACCTTACCGTCGCACAATCGAAGAGACCAGTCATCCCTTGAGCGCACACAAGGGTCAGGACCAAAGGGTCGGTCTGCTAGGGGCCGACTCAAATGTCTTATCTCGTATGCTCCGTTGATATGTCATTGCGCCAAGATCATCAATTTCCCCTTCAAACGGGCCCCATGGCCCAATCGACGTGCCGGAACACACCGCCGCCACTCCGAAATCCAATCTTGGCTTGGCTGCAAGCTCGGCACACACGGCTATGGCGGCATTGGCCACGGAGAACGGTCCGTCGATTAGGAGCACAAATGCCCGGCGATGGCATCCTAGGCGAACAGTACGTCCTGAAGCCCGCTACACAGCGAGGCGTTGCGGTCTGTATTTTGCTCCTTGGCTGTTGGCTTAACGGCGGCCCGCATCGATTGCAGTGTCCTCATGTATTTTCAAGTCATCAATTGGGCGGTCTGATCGATCCATGGAGGCGCACAGGCATCACGAGCAGCGCAGAGCCAAGGTGAGTATGCCTGTCGATTGCTTGCAAATACAACACTTGGCGGGCGGTTCACGAACGACTCTCGTGGTCATGCCGCCTCATCCATCAAGAAAACAATCGGTCTCTTCATTGCCTACAATCTGCAGTCCATGCGACTTTCAGAAGGCTTTCGAAAGCTCCTAGCTCTTCACTATAGCCCGCAACAAGGCTGATAGCTCAGCAGAAAGAGACAAGGACCGAACAACGCATTCGACTTAAGAGCCAGACGGGTCGCGAGGTGCAAGACGTCATCCGATTCGACGAACGTCTACGTTTGGCAGATCATCATCCGATGACCTCCACGAAGACCTGTTATGCCTACAAATGATTGACCGGATTGCCTTGGCGCGGCGCCCTTTAGTCTCCCAAATTTCCGTGTCTTGCAAAAGTGTCTTGGGACCACAGGCCGACGATCGTTTCAGCTTGGTGTTGCTCGACGCGCTGATGTTGCACTACACAGCTTTTGGAGGGCCCCGCCCCACTCAGTTGGGGTCACCGCGGCCCTGCCATTCACTCGTCATCGCGAGCGCAAAGCTACGAAACACAGGGTTTTGGTCAGCGGACTTGACGAGGCCTGTCTTCCGACTGCGCCTGCACAAGCCCTCTTCAAGGTCACCCTCTCTAATGAGTCACGCACCAGGCCTGGTCCGCATCGGATGGGACAACAGGGGTCTAGGTCCGTCTCGCAGCACTCAGGCGAACGCCTGTACAGGCCCCGTCGGGTGAGAGCCATGCTCACCCACGAGCGCGACTGCAAGAGCAAAGTTCGGATCAACGTTGCGCACTGAAATGCCCTCGAGCACACTACCCTTACCGGATTGTGAGACCGGGCGTGAAGAAGTCGAGCTATAGGTGTCAACTAGGGCGAGAGCGCACTGTCAGTACGTGGGTGAGGCTGTGTAGCCGATCTGCTCGCTAGACTCACTTGAAAAGCGTCGTTGGAATGCAGATGGCCATGCAACAGATTTGGTGCTCAGAGGTGGTACTGCCTACAATCGGTACGGACTCGTGACTCACCAGAGTCGGCGTTGGCCTTCGACTTCAGCGGCACCAGAACGCTTGCCAAACATACAAAGGTGAGAAGGCGAAATTGATGCATAGCAAGAGCGATCTTGGCTGACTTGTGGGTTTGGTGGGTTTGTCAGATTTGCTTTCGCTAAAGTTGAGGGGGGGATTGCTTGAAGAGGGGCGCAGGCGCTGCTGTTATATAACCAAGCTAGGATCCATAGTGACATTTTCACATCGCCTCAGTCCTTAAGCACTTGGTCTTGTCTCCGTTGAGACGTAGACGACATCGGCATGTCACCGTCAGCTGTCGCGATGGTAGCATGGCAAACGACGCCAATAAGCCAGAGTTGCCGGAATAGAGTGCTCTCGTCGGACGTGAAACGATAACGATTGAGTTGGGATTGGCTGGCACAGTTGCGGAACGTCGTCTCATAACTTCTGCTTGACGGTCGCACATCCCGACACGGACTCACTCTTTGTCACATATTGCATTGCTATGTCGCACCCTCTGAACAGCCGAGTAATCGCACCAGCAGCCCTGTCGCCTAATTTGCGCTAATCAGTCGCGATCACAGAGTCATAGACTCCGTGGCTATTGACTGCTTTTGACTCAAATGTGATGACTGACTAGTCGTGATTCTCACCCGGGGCGTAGCCCGGCCGGTCCCGATTCACATCCAGGTGAATACAGCCCTTTAGATGGCATGGATGCATCGGTGCGTGAGTGTCAGTGGATACCGGCATGAGTGTCAATGAGTACCGGCATACTCACTGACCACTGGACCCATGCTTCTGCAAAGTCACGAGCATGTGATGACTCGCGTGTGCCAAGTTCCACTCGTCAGCGTCCCGCGCGCAACACTGCTTGCTGCTGCTGCTGCAACTCTCTAACTCTTTGACGCCGTGACATCCATGACACATCACATGTAAGCTGCGAGTGTGGCGGCGCGTGGCGACGCACACATAGAACGCTCTAATGCAGTAGTGCGTGAGTCGATTGTGGGGCCTGCCTAATGACGACGCCTCCCCAAGACATTGCCTCCTGGAAGGGATACAGCTGGCGCGGATGACATTGCTACCACCCCTCAGCAAAATTGCACAGATCAGAAGAGCACAGGTACTTGAGCCTGCTGAGCGCGTCCATTTGAATTGCCTGTGCTTCAGCATTCCGAAGAAGCTCTGCGCATACGATCGATCGAGACGACCGGCAACCTTCGTTCTGATCTTGATGCTCCATGGCTCGAATCCAGTCCGTCGCCTCTGTGGCAGCATCCGAGATCTCCGATGTTTACCTTGGGCTGTGAGTGCAACATATGAGAACTAAAAAAAGATTGGCACCATTCAGGACGTGGTAGGTCGAAGACGTCGCCCTGACTTTCCGCACTAGTCATCGCGGATCTGCTCCGGCTCGTATCAATCACAAGACTCGCTTGCCTACCAGTGACGTAGGTTGGACGTCGTTTTATCCAACGCGCTTTACCGTCTTGCGTCGAGGTCCGCGCTGCGGTCCCGACCGTGGTACTTGCCCAGGTATTCTGAAAGTTGCAACTTTGGCGAATCTTGTCGAACAAAGCGGAATTCCTGAGGCGCGACGGTAGTGAGTAGTCTGCGCTGACATGGAAGCATACGAAAGCTCACGTTGCTTGGCAATAAAATGCCGTTCGTGCCTGATGAAACCGGGAAGGCATCCCTCTGCGCTTCCGCTTACTTTGCTGCGGAGCGAAGACGAGCACAATGGCTCCAGGGGCTAGCGGACTGAGGATTGTCAGAGCCTGCGTTTGGCCGGCATCTGAAAGATCCTGAGTACTGGCATGCCATCGCGAGGTGACACCATGCCAAAGTGACTTTTCGGGACAGTCTATTTGCGAGCAAGGTTACTGGGCTCGGAATCATCCATTCGGCTGCGTCAACGGAATCGATCATCAGCAGAGCTTGGAGGACGCACTGAGGCATTTCCCAAGTCAACAGCAGGGAAGATAAAGGCTCGCTGCTGGTATAAAGAGCGCTTCAGTGGCGCTGATGACTTCGCCCAGTCCGATCTGATGAGTCTCTCACACTGTAAGGGAAATCGACACGAAGCACCGGTAAACACTCATTTTTCCATCCTTGGGCCTGCGACCAGCAAATCCTTCTCACCACTCACTAGGAGGTGACAGAATGCTCATACTCCGACTCGATGTGGCAGCCTTCATGCTCATGTTGACGGGTCTACTGGCGTGTGCTCAATGTGAGTTCAAATCCGGGAACCATCTACTCGGTCACGAGTTGCGTCGAATTTCGATTACACAACACCGTCCCCATCACTTACCTCTGCTTCTGCATTATGATTCACCGATAGCGATCGGCACCAAAGAAGTCTTGCCATCCGCTGGCCAAGACCTAGATGTGCGAGACATCAAATGGAGCAAGCGATGGTGTTTGTGCACTATCAACAACGGAATCTGCTGCCAAGTGGCTCATGAAATGTTGACAATGCCATATAAAGTGAGTTGCGAGCAGCTACTGGACGACTGTCCTGGTGATGCTTCTCGACCGCTCACCTCCATTCTATCACAGCGCTGAGTGTATCCAGCTGCAGCCGAACCCAAGAGGTTGTGATGCATGAGCCCAGTCGCTGCGCTGGAGCAGGTCTACTTGGGTGAAGAGGCCGCTTGATGAATGGCGTCACAATGCTGCCATAGTGCGTTCGGTCCATCGCGCAATGCCAATGTTCGCTCGAATGACACTACTAAAGGAGTCCTTTGTGGAAGCGATTCCGGCGTGGCATTGAGACACTTTATCTTGAGTCCTTGTTGTCCGGAATTCTCGGACTGTCCTCGTCCGACGAGACTGAGCTGCTGCGTCTCTTGATGAGTTGAATGTTCTGATCCATTGGCTCCGAGCAAGGAGGCATGCGCTTGCCCGACCGGGAAACAACGAAGGGAGGCCTCTGAGGACAAGTTCGTCTGTCTGAGATTGAAGGCGACCGTCTGGCAAAGAGCGTCGTCAAAGTCCACTTTGGCACCCACAGTAATCAGCCAGGATCGCCGTGCGTAGCTAGCGGGCTATGGAGGAGCCAGAGGAACTGCGAGGGTCGTCGATCAGCCACTCACTACTAATCTTATCCCCACGATGAGCACTGAGTGGCAATACGAACGTTTGAGCACGAGGTAAGGAAGTGTGAGAGGGAGAGTGTCGACATTGGGAAAGTCTGCAAGGAGGACGTCTCTCGAGGGTGCAGTGCAAGCATCGCGCACATCAGCATGTTCAAGTGACGATCCCCACGAACGCATGGAAGTCACTTGCCAGGACTCAATGACCATTCTGGCTGCCGGCAAGCCATTCCGGAAGCGAAATGTGTCAGAGGTTGCTCATTACTAACTTTCTCGTCTCACGGTCCCGTCATCCTCGCAGGTGTCGGAAAGGACCTCCAGACGGGCGAATGCGTTGCAGGCGGTGCGTGGGTGACTCCTGCTGTCTGACATCTCGCTCAGGGGTGCTGCTCGCGGGAGACGATCCTTTCGTCTATAAAGGGGCCATGTTCTGGCCGTCCTTTGCTCTCCTAAAGCCTTGACCCACTTACACAAAAACATCGCAATTGACAAGACCCTAGCCTACGTCGAGCCTTGCCAACAACGTCTGTCTCCTCGCCGCCATGCGCACCACGCGTGGTCTGATCGCTCTTGCGATCTCCTTTGTGGCTGCATCATCATTTGCGCTGTGTAGCCCCGACTCTAGTGAGTCAAATCTCTCGTCCGTTCGCGCCGTCGAGGTTTGGCGAGTCGCACTCTGCACTGCCAAAGGCTTGCAAAGTCCCGACTTTGTGACTACCGAGCATACCTGTAGCTTCGGAGCTGATGTTTTCCCTCTACAACGCTGTGTTCCTCCCGGTATCGGCGGATTCAAAGAGGTGGTTTTGAGCGAACGAGCCCAGATCGACAAGTCAGCCTGCTGCAACGACGTCAGTGTTGAATGCTGCGAGTATGTACCTCCCAAGCGAGATCTAGTGCCCATTTCGGACGGACAAAGCGCAATGCCACTTTTACAAAGGGGCACTGCAATGAACCTGTTCGAGGGTGAGGAAGGTACGTACCACACCACGCATGGTTGCATGCAGCACTCGAGCTGATCTCCCGCTCTCCCACAGAACATCGCTCGGAGAAGTCAAGCGTGAGACAGAGAGACCTGAAGACTAGACAATTCGAGAGTAATTGCTGTCAGCCAATCCGACTACCGTGCTGCGCCCTGCCACCCCTTCGCCGCCAGACTTTGGCCACCCTCCAGAGCCGCGAGACATTGGCAGCCGTAGTTGCGAAACGAAGCAACCCTCCGGAAGACGCCGGTCCGTGTTGCAAGGACCTAAGTGATCCCTGCTGCGAGCTATATCCTCCTGCCCGATTCGATACGGTAGATGCAACAGCTCAAACACTCGAAGCGAGAAGCGCCAAGACTCTGCCTACCCTTCAACGCCAGACTTTGGTCCCTCTGCAGAGCCTCGAGTCGTTGGGAGCCGTAGTTGCCAAACGAACTCATACTCCTGAAGAGCCCTATACGTGTTGCAACGAAGGAATCGGCCCCTGCTGCGAGCAATTTCCTCCTACCCAAACCCCGTCGGTAGTTACCAAACGAACCAACACTCCGGAAGAGCTCGTCCTGTGTTGCAAGGACGGAATCGGTCCCTGCTGCGGCGAAGAGCCCTTTCCTCCAAAGAGTTCTATGGCAGTTGCAACAGCTCAAACACTCGAGGTGAGAAGCCAAGCCTCCGGAACAATGCAGCATATGCTGCAACGAGTAGGCTGATGAGTGTTGCGGGTTTCAGCCTCCTCTTCAAAAGTTCGACAAGATGCCAGAGCGCCGTGATATGCAGCTCAAAGAACCTCAACGCGGCGGTGAGTGAGAAGAGCTATAGTCTCTGCGCTGACCAACTACTGATGCCCTTTTTGTGTAACCCAGTATTGATGTTGAGGGATGGTCTATTAGAAAAGAGGCAATCCGCCGCCGCACCTCGAGGAGTGGAGGTAAATCCACAGCCCAAAAGGCGCTATTCGCCATACTCACAAAAGCGAGCATCCTCCACGAGTCCACTCTCCGAGCTGGTGGTCAAAGGTAAGCATTTGGCACCGATGTACCCCGACTGTGACCCGACTTCGGCTTCCGTGCTGGTCATCTGTTGCAACGGCGTTCGATCTCAAAAGATTACGATCTCGGCGTTGTGGCGGAGCGATTAGCACCTGCACCAACGCCGATTAGGCTTACATGACGATCCTTTCCGGCCCCTCCATAGACTTGGTGTATCCCTCAAGGGAGCTCGAAGTACAATCACAAGCAACCGAACTAATGAGGCGTGAAACCTTGGAGCCTCGACTGGCTCCGAGTCCATGCTGCTACCCTTTCAAGCACCCATGCTGCAAGGAGACCGTCCGACGTGGACTCGAATTGACGACGGAGAGGCGAGTGCCGACGACGGAGCTGGAACGCAGGCACACCGATGGCAAGCCTTCGACCGACCTGATCCTATCAAAGCGCGACAAGCTCGAACCCAGACAAGTCATTCCTTGCTGTTTTGGAAAAATCGGTGGTTGCTGCCCTCCTCCTCGTCGATTCCACGAAATCGCGGATCTGATGAGACGCGTCGCGGCGGATGATATGGCACGCCTGGTATCTTCCACGGAACCAGCAGTGAAGCGAGACGTTCAACGCGAAGATGAGGTGGAGAAGACGAGTGCCCGCGAACAGGGCTCGGACGTACCTTCTGCTAAAGATGAAAGTCAGAACACCAAGAGGTCTTCCTTGCAGAAGCGCATGCTTGGAGCCGAAGTCCAGCAAGAGAGCGAGTATAGCTGACGATGCAAAGTCCGAACGCGGGACGATGCTGACAGCACACCTTGTCCCTGAATCACCGTCGGTCTTGCAGACGAGCTTCGTGAGAGCTCGCTCGCGAAACGTGAAGCGAGCGAGGAGACTGGCGTAGTGCGTGAGTTGCTGCAATGGCATCAAAGTCGCTTTGTGTGATGATTGAAGCGCATCACCTTGATTCAGTTCTCACGGCGATCGGCAGGCGCGAGCGGGATCACACCGAAGAATTTTGCTGCGATCACGGAGAGCCCTGCTGCACCCCGTGATGCCAAACGTGAGGCATCGAAGGCGCGCGTCAAGGGGTGTGAGTGCCTTCGAAAACACTCTAGCTGGGACAGTGACTAAGTCCAGATTCGCCTGGCCTTGCGATCAAGCTCTGATGGCGAGATGGGCAGGAGAGACCCCTGAGCACAAGGCGTGCTGTGACCTCGGGCTTGAGTGTTGCAACTAGGTCAGCCCAGTAGGATGTCTGTTAGTCGAGCAGCTTCTCCAAATCCTCCAAACGCCCTTGAGCGACCATCGAAGAGACCCGACAAAAGAATTTCCCCACCATCTCCATAACGACCTTCCGACTCGAATCCTGTTGTGTGTTCCAACCGCGTTCCGAAGACTTGACTCGGCGCCTTGAGCTTCAACGACCATCCGATCTTACCTTTCTCGTCGCATAACCGAACACCTCTCCTCGTCCTCTCGCCAATTATCAAAGTTGTTCTGTTTGTCTCGCCACAAACTCTCCAATGAGTTCCTCTACCGCCCCTCTCACGTATTCCGAGCCCAAGTGCCGTATCGAGCCCCGAGTACCTACTTTAAAGAAGAAAACAACAACCCCCTCCCTTCGCCAATCCTATCCATCATCCCCACAAACGTGTTCCCACAAGTGTGCTCTCTGTGCGTGTGTGTTGCGTGCTTGTACCGGCCAGCGTACCCGAATCATGGTACTGTTAACGCAGTTGATTTGCAAGCAAATCATCGCGATGGCGGTCGCGACATCGTGGGATACTTCTGCGAACGGACCACCACGCCAGCATTGTCGGCGAGTTCTCACACTGCGGCGCTTCCATTCGTTGTATGCGACGAGCATGACTGGACTTTGGCAGATCTGTGCGCATAACGACAGGGAGGACGTGGATTGCGAGCGGTGAGTTTCAGGTTGGTGAATGAGGTCTGCTTGCACACACGGAGCTCCGTGTTGGATGATGAGGGTTGACGCGCGAGGCGGTCACAGTCACCAGTTCACTCACGGCTGCGAGTGACGCCTCATGCAGTCGCACGCGTCGTCACAGTCGAATCCAAGGCGCGCAATCGTTGACTTAGCCGTGTGGAGGCTCGCTGCACGCCACGCCTCCTGACGACGGCCATGCATGCAGGTGAGCCTGACTCGACACCCACCGCGTTCATCATCCCCAGCCTCACTCGTTACAGTCTACGCTCTTGCTTTAGGAAATACAAGGCTTGCCACTCTTTGTACAGGCGACAAGGGAGCACATACTATTTCTAAGTCTTCACGTCTTTGCGCCTCATCTCTCTCCCACAAAGATTAGACGACGCTTTGCATAGACCGTAGCAAACGTAGATCGGAAGAGCGCACTTGGAAAGCAGCACGCACGAATAGACGCACCACTATTGGGCACTTCGTTATTCTTACCTCTCACATCAGGAACTGGGCTATTCGAACAATACAGCAGTGCGCCACAGCGCCCCCAAGTGGACGAGACGCCGTTGATCGCATCCCTCATGTCAGACGTAGAGGCAGGCCGGAGGAGGAGCAGGCGGCAAACCATCCTGGCCGCAAGCGCCATCGGTGCCTGCTCCGTCACTGCTGGCAGCATCTTGTGAGCAAGCCTTTGCGTATGCATACATATGTGACGGCTTATGCAGTGCTGGGCTGACATGAACCTCTTCTTGACCACCGGTCTACAGCTGCTTCCCGCTTTTCGCTCCCAATCTCACACGCGACCTGGGTCTTTCTTTGACCCAGACAAACGCGATATGGGCCGGCGCGGTCCTTGGGGAGTACATTACGGCGGGTCCTTGGGGCGCCTTGGCGGATGCCAGGGGTCCTCGGCCTCTTTGCATCTCTGCTGCTCTGTTGTTCGGCGCAGGATACGCTCTCATGGCCGGCGCCGATGCCGAAGCGCTTAGAGCAAGGATGAATGCGACGGAAGGGGCTGCCATCTTGCAATCCGCTCTGGCAATAGACGACACAAAGGCGGCTCAGGCTGCGGGACTGATGATGGGCTACTTTCTGCTCGTGGGCGCTGGCGTTGCTGCCAGGTGAGTGGTGATGTCTGAATCACAACGGAGGTGATAGCATTGCCCTCTGAGGTGACGACGAGCGACAGCTCACACGTGCTTTTGCTACGATGCTCTCTCGATGCCGCAGCTTCTTTGCATCTCTGCGGGCTGCGACGCACTATTTCCCCTCGCATCCTTCCTTGGCTCTCTCCATACCCAGCACCCTCTTCAGCCTCTCTTCTCTCTTTCTCACCCAATTGGCGGATCTGCCAGCATTCAAAGATGCTTCAACCGGTGATCTGTCTGCGCCTAGCTTTCTCGGCTTCTTGGGAGCCCTGCTGGCGGTAGTCAACGTGTTTGGAGCCTTCGCATTTGGGGGATATCACGGCGTGGTCTCACAGCAGAAGGAGGAGGAAGCGCGTCAAGCCATAGAAAGAGCCAGCGCTTCGCAGGAAAGCAGTCATCAGACAGGCCACGCGTTGCCTGGCTCGGAAACGGTGCCAGCAGGCATTGCGCCTCCGACGAGTCTGCCAGTACCCGAGCAACCATCGGAAGCCACCCCACTACTGCGAGGCGACGTTGAAAGCGACCGCAATGCTCCAGCGATGCCCGCGACCCTTCCTCTAGTGTCGTCGTCGCCATCCTTTCGCGCGTACTTGCGATCGCCAGCATTTTGGAGCCTTACTTTGCTGCTCTTCGCAGCGGCTGGAGGTGCAGAGATGGTCATGTCGAGTGTAGGAAGCATGGTGGTCAGTCTCTTGGCGGTGCACGCCACCGATGCTTCCCAGATCGGCAGAGAGGAGCTCAAAGTGCGAACAAGACTCGTTGGTGTGCTGGGTGAGTGTTTTGGCCAATCTTTTCGTCCGATGATGCCGGCTGTTGGCGGCGAATCTGGCGAGGACTGCATGTTAACAGACTTCGCCCTTCATCAGCCACCACCAACACAATATCTCGCTTGCTTGCAGGTCTGGCCTCGGACGCCTTGGATCCTACTCGTCCATTCGCATCGAGCTCCGAAGTTACAAGGGCTCAGTCTCCGATCCGACGTGCCCTGCACCGCCTATCTCAAATTCGAATGTCTCGAGTCACTATCTTAATGGCGGGTCAAAGCATCCTGCTGCTCTCCTTCGTCTATGCCGCCAGCGCTCTCGACTCGATCGCTGGTCTCTCAGCACTGTGCTCGGCCGTCGGAGCCGGCTATGGGATGCTCTTTACCCTCATACCTTCCGTAATTCTAATCGCGTGGGGACAACAGCATTTTGGAAGGAATTGGGGAAGCATGACGTACGCTGCTGCGGCTGGCAGTCTTGGCTTCAGCATCCTCTTTGCTCAAGTCAGCGACAGTGTCGCGCAACGCACTCAGAATCAGGCGAATGCAGCGTTGCACGGCTTTGGTGCAGAGGCGATGAAGCTGGGTGCGGCGAGAGCCTTCACTGCAGGTCTTGCGAAACCGAGCTTTGGAGACGCTTGCTTGATGGCCCATGGTGTGCTTGTACAAGCACTCTTCTCGTCTCAAGACGGAAGTGCAGGACGTACAGCTGGGTTGCTCGGGACACACACGCCCGCACTCGATAGTGTGGCAGGGTTGACTCAAGATTCGCTACCAGCAGACAAGTTATGCCTGGTCGGAAGAGCGTGCTTTGGCCCCAGCTTTGCGGCTACTAGCGCTGTCAGCCTCGTCGCGCTCATAGGCATCCTACCCTTGTGGTACAGGTGGAGAAGTCGCTTGTAATTTAGATCAACTTGCCCAGCTCGCGTCATTTTGTATCATGATCCACAATTAGATCTACGTGCCACCCTCGTGCCATTTTCATCCCTTCGTCCGCGAATGGGATGTGATATTGCTTGGCGATTCCATGCGCGCAAGAGCGAGAGACCGGGCCTGGTCGTCATTTGTGAATGAATCAGGCGCAACTTTTGGGGAGCCGTTTCAGTGACCACGAAGAAGGGCGGTGGGGGTATACGACATGTTTGCGTGTATGGGGGCGTTATTGCTCGTGCTCTGCAAGTTGTGCAGCGACTGCCTCTGACGAGGAACTTGGCTTAACAGTGCAGCTTCGATGCGTCATATCCTCGTCTTCCGACTTGATCGAGGGTCCTGCTTTGTGAGTGTTGATGAGTTGCATGTCGTGTGTCGCTCGCGATTAAGATCGTACGCGTGCAAGCTCGTCGTGTCGTCGTCCCATGCGACGGCGCGTAATAGCGCATAGCGCGTCCATGCATGCGTGAGCTCCGCTTCCGCGCGGACCTCAAGCACAGCTTATAGGCCCTTCAGGAAGCGCGTCCATCCCGTCCTCCACAGTCACAGTGCACACTGAGCAATCGACTGGCCATCAAAGCATTCACATTCTTGATTGGCATCGGGCAAGTCTCTCGTACATCGCTACTCGTATCGGAAGAGGAGGTCGATACTGGTCGCACATCGCCTTTCAGGAGCTGTATAGGCAACAACCAGCGCGCGCGTCTCGTCATGGCACCCAAACGTGGGGCCGTCGCCGCCGATCCGGCCTCGCAAATTGGGTAAGTGGGGACTGCATGGATGCATGTATGCGATCATTTGTATTGAGCCTTGTGATCTTTCGTTGCAGGTTCGATTCTGGTGGTATGATGGGTCAGATGAGCGGTTCGTCTGGAAACGGCGGAGGAGGAGGGCAAAGAATCGAGCCAGAGACGCTAGCACGCTAGCACGACCTAATGAGGTGTTACCCGCTCTTTCAGAATTGGCAGCGGAAAGTGCTAAGAAACGTCGCGCTGCCATCCACGCGCAAGCCAAGAAGGTAAGTCCTGGATGCTTGCTCTGCTGGGAGCGTGAGATACCCAGGCCTGTAGCGGCTGAACCAGGGTTCCTCGACGTCTGCTCACAGAGCAGCGCTGCGTACGAAAATCAGGTGCGGTTGCTGCAACAGTCACAGATGGAGCTTGCGAAGCGCATGTATGCCTGACGGCTCTTCGTATGCCTTCTCTCAGCTGAAGCGAGAGCTGTCAAGTCTAGAGGAGGCTCTGTGCGTCTATTTGGACGTCTTCAGGTGTTAGAAGGTTGCGCCTCCGCCCGTTTCTAAAGCATCTGCGCTGTCGTGCCAACAACAGCTCGAAAACATACGCCGCTTTCCGCACCGATGACCTCAACACTGAAGGCAAGATTAAAGCTACTTGGCAGCTGATTCAGGATGATGTGAAACACCTCCACGTAAGTCTTGCAATACGGAGCAGTCAACAAATGAGCGTTACAGGCTCACCTCGGTTGCCGCCGCTTCGCATCAGTCCAACGTGTGCCAGAGCTTCGAGAGTGGTGGTGCTTTGCCGCAGATCGCACAAGACAGTGAAAAAGCCATGCTAGCTTTCGAAGCATGCGAGCGCGGTGCGTGCGGATCAGGATTTTCTACCTTGCGGGTCTGCGCTTGCTCACCAGCTTTACATTCGCGATCCATGGTGGAACGGCGGGCGCAGATGGCAAGCGCCTTCATCCGGAGCAGACTGGTCCGACTAACTGATGGATCAAAACATGAACGCCAGTCCCGAAGATTTTGTGGAAGCGGAATACTCAAGCTGTGCCTCGTGAGCGAGCGCACCGATCCGCATGAGAGCACAGCGACCTGTCAATCGGGGGTGTACTCTAGTTGCGCAGACACCAATGAGCATACAGGTGAACACCTTGCGCTTTGAGAGCGGGGTGTCGGGATCATTCAAGTCGGGATGGGTAGAGAGGACTTGAAGCTGCGAAGTAGAGGTGAGATCGCCCGCACACGACTTGCGACTGCAACAGACTTGACGGTCACTTTGCTCGAGGTTCGATCTGAGCGGAATGGAGTTTGGGTAAACATCGCACATCGATCGAGCTTCAATATATCTGCGCTACAGTGGTCTCAGGCGGATATGGAATCATGAGAAAGCATCTAAGCTACAACTACTTAGACTTCATTGCGAGTCCGTTGATAGGCGAGGATCAGGGCAAATGGGCGCAGAGCCTACGCCTGCGTAGACAAAGCCTCGTGTATGGGACTCGCAGCGGGACGCCGCAGCGGTTTCGATCACGCTCAGGGACGTGGTATATGCACCAACATCGCACGATTGGCGGACCCAACACACTCCACATTGTTGCCCCATCAATTCGACATTGTTGCTCGCCCCTCCGCCAGACCGCATCCTGATTGGCATTTGCTGGACGAAGATTATCTCGACAGTCTACTCCCAGGGCGTCCTAATGACTTGGAGACACCTGCATGCCTACATATGGTCGTCGACCAATGATGCGCGGTGCCTGCATGGTGGAGGTGACCGACGAAGAGCTCATCGTCACAAGGCCTTTGGGAGGTGCCCCCTTCATACAGCCCAATCGTGTATGGAATGGAAGAGAGTGTCGGAGGGATGGCGAAGCCCGCGCACCCGACGCACCCAGGCAGCACCTACCAGCCAGATGATGAGGAGCAGGTTCCAAGCCGTGTAAAGGACGACTTCATTTCGCACGTGGAGAAAGACACTGCAACCCGAGGTAAGGCGGCGGATCAATCTGCGCTCGCCCTCCAGCATCCGCGCCCCTGCGATTAGAAGCATCGCAACAATTAGGCACATCCGGTCGCCTGCAGTCACACTCTCATCAAATGATGACGAGTGGTGCTGCTTTGCCGAGATGTTAGGATCCCGGACCACTCTCTCTAATCGCTCCGTCGCGGTGTCCGGCCGGGCGACCTGGCGCGACAATCTACAGAGGAAATGGCGACAGATGACTCACGACTTGAAGCGCTACAGTGTCGGATCCGTGCGTGCAGCACGGACACTATACTTCATCCCTCGCTCTTGCCACTCGCTGGAATTGAGCGGGGAGCCCATGGGCGTCATGCAGGCACAGCTCATTCACGTTGACTCATTCGTGATGTGGATTCATGAATTTGTCGCATGTGGCACACGCACCAACGACGCAGCGCGGCATCGGCGCTCCGTCGAGTTGAAGCTGTTATCAGCAGGTGCTTCACACGCGGGCACTTCGCCTCTGAAAGCAGATCGCAATTCGCGTCGGACGGCGCCGTCATCTCTCGTTTCGCACGACGTTCTTGGGATCGAGCTCTATAGGCCTCTGACGCAAACCGACGGCTTTTCACCCTCATTTCCGAGGACGACACATCTGCAGGAGCCACAGCCGACATACAGAGCCAGGCCTCGGAATTGGCGCCCTTTCTTGCCAACTGCTCGCGATCGCACGATGCATGCTGGTGCTCTCCCCTCCTGCTATAATATGCCCTGGATGAAGCTCAAATGAAATCACAATGCGCGACCAGCATACGCCCATAATTAGGTCTCAGTGCCAGTCTGCTCGATGCAGCATATGGCGCAGTCACACGGGCGCAAGCCACAGCGATTGGACCACTCGTGCTCCATTGCCCATGGCCACCTACAGCACGTTTGACTCGCTCACTGACGCGAGACCAGACTCGACGCTTATGCATTCACAGCGGACTGATAACACCTTTCTTCACGACTCACGACTCTGACATCAGCCATAGGCATTTGTGCAGTCTGCGCACAGCTCGTGCTGAGCCAAGATTCCAGTCTGCGCACATTCACATTGTGGTACACGAGTCGGATTGGAAATACTTGCGCACAGTCCACGCACTCGTGACTTCACTTCAACGTCTTTAAGCTAGAATTTGCCTTCACTCTTCTGCTGCACGCCCAATTAGCCAAAGGCAGAGATCGTGTTCGCACGGCAGCGCAAGACTCACTCACACTGTGACTCACGACTCGCTGTCGTCGCTTCATTAATTTTACGTGCTTGCGCTTGGGCTGTAGAGGCGTCTATAAAATTGCGGCACCCTCTTACCGCCGACACACGCACCCCTCTCCGTCGTTCCCACATCAACGCAACCTTTCCTTTACCCACCACCTACCTGCCTTCTCAATCCTGCCTCGGGCGCACCTCAAGAATTTGCTTGATTTATTCGACCTAAGCTATAAGTCTAGCTCCTCTGCCTGCCTCGTATCTCGCTTCTCTCCCCAGCTCCGACCTCTGTACTTCGCCCTCGATTTGCCTTTCGCCCCGCCACCGCCACCACACCGTATCGTCAGCATCTTACGCCGATCACACTCTCATCACTCACTCCACTCACTCTGAAATTTCCCCGCCTTGCTCAGGCCTCCTTGCCACTTCTGACTATTCCGACGAGGTCAAGCGCTCGTTCTCCAATGTCTACACCCAGCCTACTGCCACAAGCCGTTGTCATGTCGCGTAATTTTGTGGCTATGGGGCCTGCAACCAGGATCAGCAAGCGCTGCCCGTGGACACCGGAAGAAGAACGGCTGCTCGTGGAAGCCGTCACTAAAGGTGAGCGATTATAGCTCCGCATAGCATGACAATTCTTGAAAGGCATCTGACTTGCAGTCTCTTTCCCATGCCTCGGCTTCGCACAGAGACGCCAGGCTGCATCGACTGGCACAGAGTCGCTTCTGCTCTGCCGCCCAACCGCAACAACAAAGACGCCAGAAAGCGCTGGGTGTGCATGAGAGACCGCGCGACGTCGAGCAGCGGCGCTTGGACCGACGAAGAAGATGAGCGCTTGCGTCACGCCATTGCCAAAAATGGTCCTCAGTGGATGCAAGTAGCCAAAGAGGTTCGCACTCGCAATAGCGAACGTGAGTTCTGACAGCGTCAACAGTTGCCGTACTCCTTTGTTGACCTTTCCATGGTGCTCTTGTGGTCCATCAGAATGCTCCAAGCGATGGCATGATGTTCTTGACCCGACGATCTGCCGCAGCCCATGGACACCCGAAGAGGACGAGCGTCTGCTCAATCTAGTACGCGCCGTCGGTCGACACTGGTCACGGATCGCTCACGAGCATTTCGGGCGCCGTACAGGTCTCAGCCTAAAAAACAGGTCAGTAGAATAAGACGGTCCATCACACTCACGATGTCCACGCTGACCTGTCTCACGTCGCGCGCAGGTACATGTATCTCGTTCGCGTGCGCGCCCGCCAAGCGATGGAGTCAAGGCAATCTTCAGCAGGCGACAACGAGATGACAACCAATGATACGTACGCCCGTCGAGGCTCAGAGAGCGTAGTCCGCATGAGCCAGGTTGGATCGAATCGTCGACACACCATCTCCAACTCTACATCTCCCGTCAAGACCTCTTTCGACCACAGCGAGATCGAGGTTCCATCGCAGTCCGCCTACTTTAGCTTCCAAAATGGCCGCATGCAGTCGCACATCGACCACCCACAGGCTCATAGGCCAGTGCCGCAGCACGCTTTTTCGAGCTGGTTGGCCGGCGAAACCCCTCACCGCGGACACGAACAAGCAGTGTACGACGATCGGTCGATTAGTCCGCAATGGGTCACCGCGCCGATGCAGCAGCACAACGCGCATGGCTCGTCCTCGTGTTCCAACTCGCCGCAGACAAGTTATGCGTCATGGCAGACCTTGACTCCGGCGTCTAGCACAGAAATTTCGCCGCATTACCAAACTTCGCCCTGCGGTGGGCTGGACCAAGGCGCTGGAGTCTCACCGATGGAGAGCGTCGGAAGCTACTACTGCCAGCCTAGAACCTTGCTCAGCTCTCCTTCGGAGCCTCGCAATTCTTTCGGAGCCTATGCTGCGAATTACAGCGCATTTGACGAAGCCGAGGGAAGTGCCGGACTGATTGGACCGACACGTCACAATCGCGCCCATACCATTTCGGCACTTGTGCACAATGGTCCCGCTTTGCCCTTGATCAACCACACGAGCCCAATGCGCCACACCATGAGCGGCGCACCTCGTCCTCACCTGAGCCCTTACATGTCACGCGGCGAAGGCATGGTTTCACACACCGTGGACCACAGCGTCCCTCCAGCAATGGGAGCGCCTGCAGGTCTGGATGGCGCCAAACGGGAGCAGACTGAATCGAACCAAGGTATGACGCCAAGTACCTCGGTCAACTCTACCCTAAGCAACAACCCTGATCTTTGGCGTTGTGACACAGAAGGCAGCATCAGCAACAACACGAGCTCCAGCGACATGGACGATGATGTTGATCCCAGCATCCCTCTGCCCCATCAGCGCAACAGAAATCACTCGCTGGCCCTTTCTTGCGCCGCCAACCTCGACGAAGCCGAGAGCAAGGCTTTGATGATGTCTGGCACCATCTCGGCCTCGCCTTCGGCAGCGCAGCAGTGGATGTGATTCCGCTCGGCATCGCTGACGTCAAGCGAGAAATACCAACTCTGCAACATTAGAAGTTGGACCCGTGCCAGATCACCTCGCCTTTCCGACAAAAAAAATCCCTTTCACCGATCGTCTGCAGCTTCGCGCCCAGCCTTCCTGTTACGCCCTGTGAGAACGGAAAGGCTCCTCGATTGTCTTCGACTCACGTGTCACCAGGCCTCCTCATCTTCACCGGTCCTCATCTCGATTCCTTTCCCTCCACTCGCAACGTCATCAGTGTCCCGTCACCAAAAGCGTCGTTCATCGCGTCGGCTTCATTCTCGCTTTGTGTCATCATCTTCGGGGTCATCCGCTTGATGGGCAACCTTCTAACCCCCCTCAGCCCTCCAAAATCGAACAGACTTTTGTCTAATGTGTAACACTTAATGTTGACTTTTCGAGCTATCTAGGCATCACTCTCTTTTTGAGCGACTCATCGGATCAAGGACTCTTGCTCCCCCATTTTCAAGTTCTACTTTATCGGCACGGATATCTCATCCGCGCGCCCTCCTCGAAGGGTCGTGAGTCATTCCTTTCAGAACGCACCGAAACCTGATCCAACTGCCGACACTCTTTTGGGCTCGTTCATCAGAGAATGTCAATTGCTTTTCATCCTTGTTCATGCGCCATCCGTGATGCCGAGCCCATGTGAGGTTGTGAGGTGCTTGTTAGCGTCTTCCAGACATTCGGGCTAATTGGTTGCCTCGAGTGACGCTCTAGTTCTCGGGAGGAATGATGTCATTCTTGACCAAGTACTGAACGATCTGCTCCACCGCCTCGTCCACCGATGTAGCACCCGCCTTGATGTGGATTTCCGGCTTCTGAGGCGCTTCGTACGGAGCAGAGATGCCGGTGAATTCTGCGATTGTGATGAAGCGACGGAGTGAGCTAGAGTTTACAATTGATGAGGTAGCAGCTTGAATACATGCCCAATGACTTTTCAGCACCAGCTTTCCCCTTCCCGCCCCACCTTATCTGCTCACCTTTGATCTCTCCAGCCCTAGCTTTCTTGTACAGGCCCTTGGGATCCCTCTTTTCGCATTCCTCTACAGAAGCATCGACGAACACCTCGATGAAAGGGAGGGGAGGATCGTGCTTTGCATGCAGAGATCTAGCCAGGTCTCGATCGGCAGCGTAGGGCGAGATGAAGGAGGTGATGGTGACTGCGCAGCTGGACGCGAAGAGCAGAGACACCTGGGGTACGACGATGACATCGCGTAGGGGGGTTGGGAGCGAATGCGAGTCAGAATGGTCGTGCATGAGTGGCTCTTTGCATACCGCACCTGCACCGCTTGAGCTGATAGCGGCATTGCATGTATGCGCTCTCTATACGCACCTCTGCGATTCTCCTAATGTTTTCTTCCCTGTCCTTTGGGCTGAAGCCCAAATCCTTGTTCAAACCGAACCGGATATTGTCTCCATCCAGCCTGAAGCTGTTCCTTCCGCTCCTGATCAGCCTGTTCTCGAGCGCTACTGCGATGGTGGACTTGCCGGATGCTGAGAGACCAGTGAACCAAAGCGTCGAGCCCGCAACGCCTAGAGCTGAAGATCGCTCAGAGTAGGTGATGCCTGCATGATGAGTAATGTTGGTCGCCATTGTTTGGATGCTAGAGAGGGAAGTGACTCGGTGCAATGGGAGCAATGACGCTTCAAAGGGACGACTGTTGGAACCGCGCTGGCTATGTTGTTGCTCAAGAGATGAAGGGTCGAAAGGGGAAGAGAATGAACAAGGCAAGCGTATCTGTTCAATTGATGTATCCGACGGACTCGCCCTTGGACTCGCTGACGCTTGGACTCAAAACTTGGATCTTCTAGACCGAAGCGAGCGAGCGCGAGGATTGCATGCAACTCACACCGCATGCACCGCCGTTCCCGCACCTCTCCACTTCTTGATGAGGATTCGTGCTTCGAAAAATTCCCCGGCGAAGGCCAAGCAAAGGATGGCGTGCGAGGCGCAGGAGGCGCGGGAGCGAGCACAGAGTCACGAGTTGAAATTGAGCCGAGGCAAGCGAAGAGCTTCTCGAGAACAATCTAGGCCTTCACGGCCAACCATCAGGCTGGCACAGCAACAGTCGTGAGTGAGTGCATCGTGAATCGTGAATCGTGAATCGTGAATCGTGAATCACATCAATCGTGAAACACGGATCGTGAATCACGATCGAGCGACGACGAATCCGACCCGCATTCTTCAACAGTCTAGGAGGTCGCAACCCAACTCGATAGAAAAATAGATGCTCGTGGCGTTGAGACAATCGGAGACAACAGACAAGACAGACACAATTGGCTTTCCGATGTTGCGTCAACGAGCGTGCAATTTTGAGCAGGACGTGCTGATGAGGATATCAATTGTGATCTTCTACTATACAAGGCGCCAGCGACGATCAAGCTCGGCGATGCTGAGGCAAGAGGCAAGAGACGTGAGCAACTAGCTTCAGAGACGGTGCTCTGGCTTGCTCTATGCGAGACAGGTAGGACAGAGATTGAGGCGGTGACGACTTGCTAGCTGCAAAGATTGAGGAGCAGGAGGCGAACGAGGCGGACGTAAGAGGGAGTGGACGAGCAACTGCTTGCTTCGGTCCCTATATGTCTCGTCAAGCGAGCGATCGGAGCAAAGCGGTCGCTACAAAAAGTACTGAGGAGTTTCTCGCTGCTGTTGGTTCTGCTGAGCCTGTCCATCCGTCTCGTTCTCAGGCGCTTCGGCAAACGTGTTGAAGTGTTTCGATCCATCTGGTCCAACTTCCAATATGCTCGCCATGTTCCCGCACCTGTAGCAGTAATTAGGCGCTGACCAGACCGTCGACAGCTTGTCGTCGTAGAGCACGGAGAACCCCTCCATACAGAGCTGATGAGCTCGCAGAATGTGATGCATGTTGTTTCGCTCCAAGAAATGCTTGACTACTGCTGAGCCAAACGTGTAGCCAGCACCTCTGAGACCACAAAGGAAGCAAGCATCTGTCAGCGATGACCGTGATATTGGTCGTCGATCCACAGAAGTCGGCTTTGACGTACCTTGGACTGATAGCAAAGTCCGTCGCGGCAGGATCCGGATCTGACCATACCAAGTCCGCCATTGGACCTTCATGTGGAATTTCTGACGGCAAAGCCCACAACCTCCTCTTTTCAGCAGCGATCTGGGCACCACGCAGAGTTTTGCACACACCTCTAAATCGATCGATGATCTTGACCTGATCTATGTAGTGCACGCTGGGAGACAACCCTGCCGAAGTTCGGGACCGCAAGCATCAGCGTCAATCTGATTCCGGCGCGCAGAACCGCTTTCAGACCAGACGCACCGCCATGCACGCAGAATATCCGGTCGTCAATGACGACCGACAGAGTGAGGAAGTCGAACATGTCCGTAAAGTAGGTCCACACGTTGGCGCTTCCGTACTTGCGCATACATTCCGCATAGAAGCCGTAAGTCTGGGAAGCAGAGAAGAATACCGAGTACAGAGGGTAAGAAAGCTGAGCTTCTATGAGGAGACATTGATGGACAGCAATTGGACCACGCGAATCACAATGCCGTGCCGGGCTCTGGTTGGAACAGTGCCTGCAGCCCACTCGAGCGCAAGCGCAAGAGCGTTGGACTTCTTGTCGGGCTCGCAAGACAACCAAGACACCTGTTAAGGCTTGAACATGTTTGCTTGACTCACCTGAGTCACAGCCCGACTTTCGTGATTGCCCCGAATTAACTGCACTCTGTCGGGATACCTCAATTTGAGACATGTCAGTAGAGACATCGTCTCCACGCTGAAGTAGCCTCGGTCGACGTAGTCCCCTGCGAGAAGGGTGAGGGGACTGGTCAGATGACCAAATGCTACTGGGGCGCGATACATATGTCCGGCGCTCACCCAGAAAAAGATAGTTGGTGTGGGGAGAGTATCCTCCGATCCTGAAGATTTCTATCAAGTCGTAAAATTGACTGTGAAGCCAGAGAGAGAGAGAGAGCATATCTCGCTGAGCTTTCCAGCTGCAACTCCCACATCCGCTTTCCTCGGCACCCACAACGTCCCCCATCTAAGCGTATACACTCACCCGTGTATGTCCCCAACGACGGTTACGGGAGCAGAAACGTGCACCACATTGCTTTCCCTCATCAGCAGCTCTTTGGTTTTCTCGCAAATCTCCCTCAATAGTGCTTCCCCAAGCAGCTGCTTCGAGAGCAACTGCGAGATACAAGCATCCAGATCGAAAGGCATCTTGTAGTAGATGATGCTATGTGCCACCGTGCGCCCGTGATACTACGTCCGAGATCGAGATCGATGAAAGCAAAGGTGGAGGTGGTGATCCTCGGCTCTGCAACGTCTGGCTTGTGAGCTCGCGATTTGAAGCCCAATGCTCAAAATTGCCAGCGCAAAGAGTCCAAAGGAAGAAGGAGAGACTATGACGGAAGGTGGTACGCCCATCGACAATTGGATCGTGCGTGGAAAGAATGAATCAGACACGGTCAAAGGCAAGGCCCAAGAAAGGCTTCGTTCCCGCAAATCGCGAAGCTTTGGGATGACGCTCGCGTGCGAAGCTACAAGCAGGCTAGCGCAACGGACCTCCGACGTCGAGCTGGCAGCATGCTAGATGCGGCGCAGGGAAGGAAGATGATCTGGTGGTGAGTGGGACGCGTATGCTCGCTCTTTTCGCGCAAGTCATACAGCGGTGCTGCAAAGGCGCGCAACGCGGTGCTGGAAAGCACTCGTGAGTCGAGTCTCGTGACTTTTGAGGCGATTTAAGGATCGAGCTTAGCTTGCATGGGAAAGCCAGCCTTGAGACGCAGGTGTGGTGTCCATGCAGCAGCAGCATGCAAGCTTTGAGCCTCGAATCAATTTGAATGGTGAATCTAGCTGGCTGGCTGAAAGATGCTGTCAAGGCTTGCAAGCTCTTGACTACCACTCATCCCATTCCCACCTTCCGGCGTCCTTCATCGCTGTTCGCTCGTAACAATCAGTTGACACAGTGTAGACATCCTCCAGGAAGCCATTTGTGCCCTGCTTGCCCCTTCCTTTGCATCACATCGCGACACGCTCTTCGCAGGAAAACGCCGCACATCGAGTCGAGCCCGCTGTGCTGTATCCTGGGCTGTCACGATGTCCGAATCTGCCCCCAATCCGGGTTTGCATCCGGTCAGCTCCACTGCGGCTGCTCGTGAGCCACTCAGCGGTCTGGTGGACTCCACTGCCAACCTGAAAGTGTCCGACAAAGAGGATGCAGGCGCTGCAGCTGCAGATTCAGCTTCCAAGTCCAGTGCCCCAGCGGGTGCGAACAAGAAGGCCTCCAAAGCTGCCAAAAAGTCGGCCGCAAACGACGCAGCGGGAGCGCAAAAGCATCCTTTGGAATTCACTCCCAAACCTGCATTCTTCGATGCGAGGTTGGAGATTTTTGAAAAGCTGCAAAAGGAACAGGAGGAGGAGCGGGCGAAGAAGGAAAGGGCGCCCATCAAGATCACCATGCCGGATGGAAGCGAGAGGGATGCCACCAGCTGGGAGACCACACCCATGGATATCGCCAAGGCCATCAGCAAGAGCTTGAGCGATAGAATCGTCATCTCAAAGGTGAGCGTGCGCTCGGCTGCGCTTGCTCGAGCATCCGGGAAGCTAGCATTCGTCCGCGGCGTCTAGATCAGAGCTTAGGAAATGAATGGATGGCAAATCAGGCTGTGTGCTGATGCAATTCTCATTCCAATGTGCTGTGTGGTGCGCGCCACTCAGGTCAATGATCAGCTGTGGGACCTCGAGCGTCCCTTCGAAGGTCCCGCCAAGCTCGAGCTGTTCGACTTTGAGACGCCCGAGGGCAAGCGCGTCTTTTGGCACAGCAGCGCGCACGTTCTAGGAGAAGCAGCAGAGCGTCACTACGGGTGTCACTTGTGCATTGGACCTCCCACCGACGAAGGCTTCTACTACGAGATGGGAATGGGCGACAGTCAAGATCGCACTGTCCGCACAGAAGATTTTGGTGCGCTTGAGACGCTCATCCAGAGCGCCATCAAGGACAAGCAAAAATTTGAAAGGGTCATTGTCACAAAGGAGCAGCTTTTGGAAATGTTCAAGTACAACAAGTACAAGCAGTACATCATCAACACCAAAATCCAAGATGGAACGAGCACTACAGTGTACAGGTGCGGACCTATGGTGGACCTATGTGTCGGCCCACACGTGCCTCATACGGGTCGCATCAAGGCCATGGCCATCTTGAAAAACTCTGCTTCTTATTTCCTGGGTGATCAAGCCAACGACTCGCTTCAGCGGATGTACGGAATTTCGTTTCCCGACAAGAAGCAAATGACTGAGTACAAGCAGTTCTTGGCTGAGGCCGAAAAGCGAGACCACAGGAAGATTGGCAAAGCTCAAGAGCTGTTTCTCTTCAACGAGATGAGTCCTGGCAGTTGTTTCTGGCTGCCCCACGGAGCTCGGATCTACAATACTCTGCTCGAATTTATGAAGGGCGAATACCGAAAGAGAGGCTTCGACGAGGTCATCAGCCCCAACATGTTCAGCTCAAAGCTTTGGACCACCTCGGGCCATTGGCAGAACTACAAGGATGATATGTTCGTCCTGCCAGTAGACAAGGAACAATTTGGACTGAAGCCCATGAATTGCCCAGGACACGCGCTCATGTTTGCCGCCCGTGACAGATCCTACAAGGATCTGCCTTTGAGGTTTGCAGAATTTGGCGTCATCCATCGGAACGAGGCGAGCGGTGCTCTGTCTGGTCTCACGCGCGTGAGAAGATTTGTGCAGGACGATGCCCACATCTTTTGCATGGCGAATCAGGTGAGCGGCTGGGTGCAATCAGGAAAGCGCACCTGAACAGCGCACCGACCTCCTTATCTGCCCTTCGAAACGCAGATCGAAGACGAGGTGACGAGCTGCTTCGAGTTCATGAACGACGTGTACGGCAAGTTTGGCTTCCAATTCAAACTGGAATTGTCGACCAGGCCGGAGAACTTCTTGGGAGACATCGAGACTTGGAATGAGGCTGAGAAACGTCTTCAGAATGCGCTAGACAAGTTCGTGCCGGGCAAATGGGAGCTAAATCCTGGTGATGGCGCATTCTATGGACCCAAGATCGACATTACCATCTCGGACGCTATGCGACGCCAATTCCAGTGGTAAGTGGTGGAAGAACTTTTGATCGTCGCGTGAGCAATTCCGGGACTGGCCAACTGATTGGATCACTCTCGGTCATCAATTCAGCGCCACGATCCAGCTTGACTTCCAGCTGCCTCAGAGATTTGGCCTGCAATTCAGGTCTAACAAGGTCTCGGCGGATGGAAGTGATCACGAGAGGCCGGTCATGGTGAGTTGCTCTTTGTACAGCTATGGTAGAGCTGCCCTGCTGAATTCTACCTCCCTCGCGCTGCGGTCTAGATCCACCGAGCGATTCTCGGCTCTCTCGAAAGATTCATCGCCATCCTCACCGAGCATTTCGCCGGCAAATGGCCTCTTTGGCTCTCCCCCCGTCAGGTAAGCTGCAGCCACCAAAGCCCTTCATTGTCGTCGGGTCTCGGCTTTCTGAATGGCGAACCCACGTCCCACATCACTTGCGCTACAGGTCATGGTCGTCCCCGTCACTCAATCCGTGTACGGATATGCCGAGAGCATCAAGTCCAAGCTCTGGGACCTTGGCTTCTTCACCGATGTGGACCTCACTGCCGAGACCTTGCCAAAGAAGATCCGCACGGCAGAAATCGCTCAATATGTAAGTGCAAGGGTAGATGCATCTACGGTGACGACCACGTCTGAACGGAGTGCTCGCTTTCGCTCTCCTACCAGAACTTTATTCTCGTCGTTGGGCACAGCGAGATGGAGACGAACAGGTGAGATGATACTGTTTCAGGTTAGACAGAAGCGCGCTGCCTCGTTGCAAGATGCTGATGCCTCAACATCCTACGCTTGTACTCTGCAGCGTCAACGTTAGAAACGGGCGAGAGGGGGGCAAAGGTAGAGATGAGATCATCCCGCTCGAGGATGTCTGTCAGAGATTGCTCAAGCTCAAGAATGAGCGGTCCCTCGAGAATAACCTCTGAAATCGTCAAAGCGTGGGCAATGCGCGCACTTCCATGCAATGCTTTCATCGTCAAAATTGCATGCAATAGCTCGAGACTTTGCGCCTCTCTTGTGGTCATCTGCAAAGCTCTCGATGTAGGATAGCTGGCTCTTCTAGAGAAGACGAGACGTGCAAGGTCGAGTCAAGAGGAGTCTCAGATCTACGATCGATGATAGTGGATTGGGCAAAGAAGGAGAGGTAGTCAGTCATGACTCCAAAGAGCGGATGCGCCTCTTCTGCCACTCACGAATCGTTTGTAGCTGTGCGCTTCATACGTCTTCTTGCCCTTTCCGCCACGTTTATGCCTTCCACTAGCAGTGACCTTCATTCTAGGTTCGATCAACCCTCGAACAGTCAGACTCTGGAACCTATCCCTGAACAGATTGCCTTCGGGTCTCAGGCTCCGGAGATTCTCGCTCAATTCTTCTCCCAGCTGCACATCGTCCTCCGCCTTGGGCTTTGGCACTTTGAACTTGCCCAGCCGTTGACCTGCCAAACCTGCTTTTGACAATCTGGACTCGCGTGAAGACAGCTTTGACAGCCGCGAAGCGACGCGCTTCGCTTCGGCTTCGAGAGCTGCCTTCTTGAGGGCGGAAAGAGAGGATAGCTGCGCACGTTGAATCTTGGCGGCTTTGGCTGCAAGGCGGAGAGTTTGCTACAAAGTTGACAGGCGCACGTTCCGCATTGCATTGTCAGCTGAATCAACATTCCATCAGAGGCTGTGACTGCGTATCAGCCTATGCTCCTCACCTCATGACGGACTCTCTTTGCTCGATTTAGCTGCACTCTCGTCTTCCTCTTGGGATCCTTCTTCACGACTGGTGCCTCCGCTTCATCTTCTCCTACAGTATCGTCATCATCTTGCTCAGCTTCATCGCCGACAAGCATACCTCGCACCCTTTTAGCATCGGCCTCATCCATTTTCGCGATCTTGCCTCCATCGTCCCACTCCTTCTTGAAAGCTTCGTGCCTTAGCCGCTCGTGTTCGTGCGCAACAGCCTCGGCACCCACCCGGGCCAAGAGCGCATCGTGTGATTCCAGGGTAGGATTGTAGGATTGGCCGGCGTGCGGCTGCGAGATGGCTGGTCGCGATACATGAACGGAAGCACCAAGGGTTCGAGGAGCTTTCGTCGGCAGCTGGTGAGACATGAGAAAGCAGGAATGCGATCAGGACAAGCCAGACATCTGAAACGCAGAGCACCGGACTCACCTTGTTGAATTCTCTCTGAGCGTTGGCTAGCCACTCGTCCTCCTCCTCCTCAGCAGCGGCAACGTCAACCGCACCGCGCTCGTCCGCTGTTGCGTCTTGCCATATATCTGCGTGAGCATCAGGAGCGGCCTCTCTCACCCTGCCTTGCTCCCCTTCCACCACAGCGCCGAAGGGTCCCCTGATAGTGTGCCCGGCCAATCTCTTGAGCTGATCCTTCTGAGATTTGCTTATTCTGTTCAGCCTTGCTCTGCGCTTGTCTTCTGCTGTCATTTGACCTTCTGAGCTCTTGCTCTGGTCTTGTCGCTTAGCTCGACCGGTCAATGCTGGTACTGCACTGCTGCTCTGCAGACCCTCCATGCTGCGCAGAGGCTTCTTCAGCCTGTGAGACCTGGCAAGTTGACGCGCAACGTCTTCGTCCCCCACCCTGTCCTCCACAAACAGCTCGTCAAAACCCGCTGCCTTGTCCTTCTCTGTCTCGTCGTCGATCTTCTTTCCCTTTCCCTTGCCTTTGGTGGAAGTCCGTGACGGCAAGCCTGCTCTCTCTCTGGCCCTCGCCTCTTCCATTCCAGCTTCCACCTCTGATAAGTCGACATGCTTCCTCCATGACGCCTTGTTCTTTCGCGATGTCCGGCGCGACGATTGGCCGGACCTTGCATCCATCAGTCCCGAAGCGTCTTTGCTTCGCGGTGCTGAGCTCGATTTGGGCATCTTGAAAGACTCTTACAACGACGGAGCTCTCTTTGACCTGTGTGCGATTTCAGGTGCCGAACCTCGCGCTATCTTGCGGCGGTATTCAGCTCCTTCAGTAGAGATGCTGGAAGATTGTTGAGCGTGGTAGTATAATTATCAAGATTGACCGTGGGCAAGGACTGACAGAGGCAGTGAGAAGAAGGCGGTCAAGTCTGTCCCTTCGACATCGAGCCACATTCAAGATTTGATGCAGCGGCCAAATTTCACGACACATCCCTCTCTCTCGCACGGGAGCACATTGAGCAGCCCGTGTCGAGTCACGTGCGTGTGTGCGCAGTCCACGTGCGCGAAGGGCGCTCGCTGCTGATGAGGCGCGTTTCCAAACGGCTTCAACCGGTTGGCTGGCCCTGCCTATACATGCTGTATGCCTGCGTGCCGCGTTCTTGAAGGCGCCCGCCCGCGCTCGCTCGCCCATTCGGGTGCAGTCGCACGCAGCAAGGCTGGCGTTTGGGCTCACCAAGCGGCACGCACGCAGCGAACGCAGCCTACCGCACACACACACATCTTCTCAGCGCGGACACGCGTTTGCGCTTGCTCGTTGCCTGTTTGAGCTTCCAAGTGATTCACAAATCACAAGCAGGTACCCTATCTAACCTTGCCAGAACGCCATCACGCCACCGCTCCGCATTCTCTTCGTCTATCCGCTAGTCTTCGTAGCCTGCCGTTGAGCTATCGCAAAATGTCGGCTCGTTACTTGGTTAACAGCGCTCTCCGCAGCCCAGCGGTGCTCAGACCCGCTGCTCCTTCTCTCACCCGATCTGTCCCTCGCTCTTTCGCTAGCATTGCTCAGAGGCAGGTGAGTACTTTGAAAGAGACTTCCCGCGCGGTGGATCTCGATTGTGCTGGATACAGCAGCGGCTCTCTCCTTTGCAAATCGGAGCAGCGGCGTGCAGATGCGCAAAAGTGGGCACGAAGGAAATCGTGGGCAGGCGAAATGCACACACTTGCGCATGTGCCCAAGGATCGGGAAGAATGCAGTCGGACCTTCGAGCTCACCAAAGATGTCGAGAACCTCAGCGCCATGTAGAGGCGGATCATTTGCTTGTCGGAGGAATAGCTGGAGCGTTCTGGCTGACATGTCATGTGCGCTCCCGTTCTTCTTCGCAGCCCATCACGCAGACCACGACTCTGCCAAATGGTCTTACCGTTGCGACAGAATCCAGCCCTTCCGCACAGACGGCCACCGTGGGTGTCTGGATTGATGCTGGTTCGCGAGCGGAGACGGACAGGACCAACGGAACTGCGCATTTCTTGGAGCACATGGCCTTCAAAGGTGAGTCTGCACGTCGAACCACATCCGAAGTTCGCCGAAGTGAAAAGAGAGGCGTACTGCGCACTAGAAGCGGACGTGGTCAGTGCAGGCACTCATCCAGCATAAGCCTTTGCTCGTTCATTGAATTACAGGCACGGGTCGCCGCAATCAGCACGCCTTGGAGCTGGAAGTAGAGAACCTGGGTGCGCACCTCAACGCATACACTTCCCGAGAGCAAACAGTCTACTACGCCAAGGCTTTCCGCAAGGACGTGCCCCAAGCAGTGGACATCATTTCTGATATTTTGCAAAATTCCAAATTGGAGAACGGTGCCATCGAGAGGGAACGCGATGTGATTCTGCGCGAGCAGGAGGAGGTCGACAAGCAGCTGGATGAGGTCGTGTTTGATCACCTCCACTCCGTGGCTTTCCAAGGTGAGTCTGCAAAGGGAGCATGGACACATCCCATGCTTCTGCCTGCTCACGTGCCCCCGCGCGTCTCTCTCTCATCTTGGCAGGACAAGCCTTGGGACGCACCATCCTTGGACCCAAGGAGAACATTCTCTCCATCAAGCGCGACGATCTCGCCTCCTACATTCAGACCAACTACTCCGCCGACCGAATGGTTCTCGTTGGTGCTGGTGGTATTGAACACGACGCCCTTGTGAAGCTGGCCGAGAAAAATTTTGGCAGCCTGCCCACTTCTTCCAATCCCATCAAGCTGGGCAACACCGCTGGTCCCAAGACCAAGTTCGTAGGGTCTGAGGTCCGCATTCGCGATGATGACTCGCCCACCATCAACCTTGCCATCGCGGTCGAGGGAGCTGGGTGGTCTAGCCCTGACTACTTCCCCTTGTTGGTTCTGCAAGCCATCATGGGCAACTGGGACCGATCTCTTGGATCGAGTCCTCTGCTCAGCTCGCGCTTGTCTCACATTTACTCTTCCAACAACTACGCCAACTCCTTCATGCACTTCAGCACCTCCTACTCCGACACAGGTCTTTGGGGCATCTACATTGTCTCGGAAAACTTTATGAACTTGGACGATGTGGTGCACTTTACCCTGAGGGAGTGGCAGAGGATGAGCTCGGCGCCTACTGAGGGAGAGGTGGAGAGAGCAAAGAGCCAACTCAAGGCAAGCTTGCTTCTGGGTCTGGACGGAACCACCGCGATCGCGGAGGACATTGGTCGTCAACTCGTCACTACTGGTCGCAGAGCTACACCTGCGGAAATCTCTGCCGCCATCGAGGCTGTTGGACCTGCTCAGATCCAACAAGTCGCCCGCAAGTACCTTTGTGAGTCACGAACTTTTCAATGAGGCGGTCCACTGTTCTTACACTCATTCGCTCATTCGTTCCAACAGGGGACGCTGATATCGCCATCTCCGCTCATGGTCGCGTGGAAGGATTGCTCGACTACAGCAGAAGTGAGTACAAGGGCAGAGCCTGACAGACCGACTCGTGCACCGACATGTAACTTACATGTCCCACCCTATTCACCCCTCACCGCAGTTCGCAACGACATGTCGAGCATGTGAGTACGACGCGACCGGCCCACTCTGAGCAGCGATCTTGATGCTGATGTTCTCGTCTTCTGATCTCCGCAGGGTGTGGTAAAGAACTCCCGTCTACCGCATTGTGCCAGACGCCTGTATTCGCGTAGACTTGCGCCTTCTGTAGACCGGAGCGAGCAATCAAATTGTCGTCGTCTTTAGGAAAGCTGAGGCTCAAAGCGTGACCGTTCCAACGTCGATTGAGCGGTCAATGCTTGCCGTTCATGCTGCATCGTGAAAGCAGAGTGGCGAATGGACGTAAGGTGCCTCACGAGTGAGCAGGGATCTCAAACCCGTCTCCAGTCTGAGCGACAGAAACGCCGGCAGACGAGAAAAACGACGGAAGTCGATGAAGCATGCTGCCCAGCCGACATTGCGCAATCACTCAGTGCTCTCCGTGAATATCTTGACCCACCTCCGTGCGATGCGTCCGGAGGCATGATATGAAGTGCGTCAGGGCCGTTGAGTAGGGTTGCAGCATGGATAAGAATGAGATCCTTATCGACGCAGGGGTACAGTGACGCAGGACAGATCCGATGACGGTTCTACACCAGCGTCATGACCCAGTCAGAGTCCGAGTTGCGAAAGGCGAGAGAGTGGAGACGGCGATTAGTGATCATTCCGAGTCACAAAGGTTTTGACGCTGTATCACCTTGCGCAGAAGGCTTTTCTCCGTTAGCGCAAGCTGTCGGATCGGGGAAAAGGCGCCAGGCTCGTGAAGCTTCCTTCACAGCCAGCTCGTGCTGGTACAAATGTCTTTTAGCGGCCTTGCTGCACGCACCAGCATCCTCTTGGCGAAACGCGCTGCAAGACGCCGGACGAAGCGCGAGGATACGGAGCTACGCAGGCTTGGCAGGCGGGACTTCATCACGACTCGTGACTGTTTAGCTTAAGTCCGACATTTCACGCGCACCACAGCGCGCGGCGCGAATAAAGTCCGGAAGAACCGCTTGCCGTGACCGCTGCTGCTTGCTCTGCATATCTCCATCAAGATTTTTGTGCACGGATAGGTCATGATCACAACCGCAATGCTTCTTCTCCAAAGGGAGTGAGAGTGGTGAGTTTGTGATCAATGTATCGTAACGACCGTAATCGTGAAACTGAGGAAGAGAAGCAAAAGGTGCATGAGCTTGCGCACCCGTCACTGCATGCTCCGATGCAACCTGAACGAGGTTTGCAGCGAGGTTTGCAGCATGCACAGGACTGATGGTACCATACGCTTGTCTGCGAACGAAAGTGACCGATAAAGGTACAAAAAGGGGGAACTTCGTGGCCACTTAATGTTGTCGCTCATCCTCAACTCACAACCGACTAAGCAACAAGCGAGGCTGAGACTGCCTCTTCTTAGCCTGCCCCCGCCAGCCGAGTCTTGCCTCTTCTAACCCATAGACACGCCTACCCTCGCAGCAAGCATGTCTACTATTGCCTCGGTCTTCTCGACCTCCATCGCGGGAGAGATACTCAATCATCTCACCCACGGTACGGTAGCCACGCGGCCGGAACAATCGCAGCATTTTGTCCCTCCATACGCTCTCCAATCAGCAACAAAGGCTCTTGATGCAGTGCCCGAACTTTCAGAAAAGGCAGCGCGCTCCTCGTACACGTCTTCTGGCAATGCGACGCCCCGCCCTGCGAGCGTCGCCGATGTTAAAGGGCGAGCTTCCAGTGCCGAAACTCTAGCAGATGAAGCAAAGGCAGCTATCAAGCCTGCGCAGGATGTTGAAGCAGGCGTCAAAGAAATGTCTGAAGGCTTCACAGATGGCGCTGCGCCCGAACGGATAGAGTCTCGGATCCTACCCTCGAAGCCTATCCCTAAAGGCGTCAAGGTGGTGGGCTGGTACTCGGATGATGACGATGAGAATCCTCAGAACTGGTCGAGCCGCAAAAAGCAGAGCGTGGCGATGCTGATCAGCTTCATGACGTTCAGCGTCTACGCCTCTTCCGCCGCATACACGCCCTCCATACCCGGCGTCATGGCAGAATTCCAAGTATCGCAGGTGCAAGCCATCATGGGTCTTTCGCTCTTCGTCATCGCGTACGGAATTGGTCCCATCTTCTTCTCGGGTCCCTCAGAGCTGGCAGTTTTAGGCCGCAACCGGCTCTACATTCCTACACACATTCTCCTCGTAGCCAGCAACTTTTTGGCTGCTTTCGCACCAAACTATTCGACCTTGATGGCAGCTCGGTTCATGGCCGGCTTCTTTGGCTCCCCAGCCCTGGCAACGGGCGGAGCATCCTTGGGCGACATGTTTGACAACCTCAAACTGCCCATCTACATCGCCGTCTGGAGCGGAGGAGCCATCTGTGGCCCTGTTTTCGGACCTGTGCTTGGAGGATACGCAGCGCAGTACAGTACGTGGAGATGGCCACTCTACATCATCACGATTCTGAGCATCATCAGTCTATTCTGCTTGACATTCTTGCTGCCCGAGACTTATGCACCCACAATCCTGCTGCACCGCGCTCAACGCCTGCGCAAGTTGACAGGAGACGAATCCCTTAAGAGTCAAAGCGAAATCGATCAAGACTCCGTCGCCTTTTCTTCCATCTTGGCCGAGTCCATCTGGAGGCCCATCCGTCTCGCTTTCGAGCCCATCGTCTTTTTCACCTGCGCCTACCTCGGCCTGGTCTATGCCGCCTTCTACCTCTTCTTTGAGGCCTTTCCCATCCTCTACTCTTCCTACGGCTGGGGTCTCGGAGCTCAGTCGCTGCCCTTCTTGGCCTTTGCAGTCTCGGGCGTCATCTCCGTCGGCGCATACATCTGGTACATTCAAAACATCTACGCTCCTCGATTTAGGGCCAAGGCTGAAAAGGGTATCATCGAGCCGGAAGACAGGCTCAGCATCGCTTTGGCCGGCTTTGCTGCTTTTCCGGTCTCCATCCTCATCTTTGGTTGGACAGCAGAATATCAAGTGCACTGGATCGTTCCGACCATCTTTGCAGCTCTGCTACTCCCCAGCGTCTTTTTATCATTTCAATCCCTGCTCGTCTATCTGCCAATGTGCTACCCTACCGTCGCAGCTTCCGTCTTGGCCACCTGCTCCGTCATCAGATCCAGCTTGGCGGGCGCTTTCCCGATCTTTGGACACGCTTTCTACAGCAAGCTTGGATTGGGAGTTGGAAGCACAGTCATCGCTGCCATCGGCATCGCCCTCGGACTTTGGCTGTTTGTCCTTCGCAAGTGGGGCGTTGTGCTGAGGAGAAGATCAAAGTATGCTCATGTCTACTAGTCTGCGCTCACCACGATGCGTTCTTCGCTCCTTTTGTAACATACCCCTGTGCCTCGCAATCACCTCCAGATGCAATCGATGGTTGAATTGTGATCAACACTTACAGGCCTGGCAGTTCGCTCACTCGTGGGTCTGCACGCATTTCCAAGACTCTAGATGTCGTTATATACTCGACTACGTCCAGGCGGCCAAGGTCCTCAAGAATGGTGTGAGGCTGTATATGGTGGTCTGTGCAAATGTGATTGGCGCCCTTTGAGCTGCAAAGACCGGCAGATGAAATTGGCGTCGCAATTGAATGGGAGTCTGAGTCATCATGCAGCGATGAATGGGTGAGTATCGCTGTGTTTGTGTGAGATGCGTGACCTGAAACAATCACAGACCACAGTCATCAATGCTGTGCCCAATGTCTCACGAGTGCTGCGCCCATTTGCCTCTTGCAGCAATGAGCGTGGACAAGACTCGCCTCGCCTCTATATAGTCATCCCTCCACCATCGCACGCAGCATCCAGCACATGCCCGCCTCGTCAGCATCCTCTGACGCGTGTGAAAGGGCAGTCGATGCTGTGCTACCAGCATGTCCCGGCTCTTCTGCAGCATGCATGGGCATCGATCGACGTCTGCTCTCAAGGCAGCTCTGTGTATGTATGTGGCGATTCGTACAAGTAGTAAGTGACACAGTGGCGATGCAGTCGTGAGTGGCGCTGTCTTCTCAAGCAGCGCTCAAATAGGCCTGCCCCCCCCTCCCAGCATGGACTCGCGGTGATCCGCTCACGACTTGCACTACACTCAAACTCACTTACATTCACGGCTCCAAGAGCAGATTCGCGACCGTCATCTGTCGTATTTACCGTCTCCTACTCGGCTGCTCGTAATGTTGCTCTCACTTCAAAGGGCACTGCTTTGTGGTTGGATGGCTGTGGCTTTGGACGCAGCGCTTGTCGCAGCTGTCGTGCTGCCGCAACACGGCTCGATGGATCTTTTCCCGAGGTACGTGTGGACGCTTTGAGTACCACTGGGTGCGACCCCTCCATTCGCGCGCCACCTTACGGTAAAACATCCTCCGCCTGCCGCAAAGGTCGCCTCTTTTAGGTGGCTGGCTCAAGAAAGCTACCGGTAGCGGCTCTGCGAGTGCTTCCAGCTCTGCGGGAAAGACCTTTTACAATCCAGCTGTGAGTGAAATCTTGGTGCGATTTGTCATAGACTTGCTGAAGCGTTCAGATACGACGGGCGGCGCGTACCTGCAGCACGATGCTGCGCACGTCTCGAGGTGGTATACGGATGTGGGAATGCTAAAGTGGGAACAGGACAGGGACAAGGGATTCACTCGGGTCAACGGTCACCCCAGCAAGCCTCCTGACACCTCTTTTTGGACTCGGCAAAAGGCGGTGAGTGTGGCACAGATTAGTCAAGGCCTGGGCTCAGCCTTGGCAGCTGACAGTCTCGTCGAGTCTTCTGGCGTCTCGACGCTCCATCGCTGAACTTTCAATCCATGTGCAGAAATCGGACATGAAATCGCTCCACATGTACAAGAAGCATCCGTCAGAATCGTCTGCTTATGCGTTCAACAAGCACACGGGAAAGTGGACCACGACTTCCGGCTGGCAGGATGGTGTCCCGGATCTCTTCAGCAAGAGCGTCATGATGGATCATCAGCCTCCCTCAGCGTCGTCTGACTTTCGTTGACATTTGCGGTACACAATTGACAAATGACATTTTGAATTCAGACCTTGGCCATCCAGGTCTGAGGAAATGTAAACTCTCGCTCTCCGCTACCTCAACCTCGCATACTGTTGTAGTCGTGAGTGGCAGCTCGAGCTCGAACGTGCATCCGTGCAGCTGGTGGAGAGCCAGGTGGCAAAAACAAAAGGCGTTCGATGTCGGCTCCTGCTCCGAGCAAGGCGACTCCAGATACAGGCAAAGCCAGGAGAAAGGCCAATGCTAGCTTGCAAAAAGTTGGCCCACGGCACTGCTTTCGGAATAAATGCGATTGGCGTGGATATGTTTTGTGACTCGCAATCGCGTCTTGTCTTCGTCGCTCGCCGTTCGGCCAGGCGACTATACTCCGACTTCCTCATTCGCGGAATTTGCGGGTGTGAAACGTCCTCAGCATAGATAAAAGGTGACCAAAATTACGCAATTTCGGTGGCCGAGCCTAGTGGCAAATACTACACGCCCGCTTCGAGGCCCAGCGGCATATTCACATCAGGGGATGACCTGGGGCTTGGTCATGAAGCTAGGCGATACAATATACGGATGCAGGCTGCTTGCTCGAAGACAGCACCGAGGCTCCCGCATGCTTTGTAGGTGAAGTGCCAACATCGACGTCATTTGCAAGCGGCGAGGCAATGATGAGTGGCGAGATCCAGTCGCAAACCAGAAAGAGCCGATGTAGTCGACTGCTCGAATCGCGATCGCCCTCGGAACCCAGCTGCGCTCCGATCTCGCGGCAGAACGATCATGGTGAAAGCGTCAGCCCTAGCGTGAAAGCTGGGCCATCTCGAAGGTACTCGTTGAGCCTTGTTATGGGCCTAAAGGCTTGCTGCCGTTTGCAAGTCCTGTGTATATGGTGCTCATTACGTCGTAAAGCTTGCTGCCGTGTCTGTGGTCTGCTATATTGCTCGTGCCTTGTCATCAAGGCCAGTAGGGCAAGTTTGACCAGCTTGATGCAGAACAGATGAGACGTGAGGTATAAGAGCGTCAAAGCACAGCCAGCTCCCTGTGCTTGTGTTTGACCCTTGCCCCAATACGGTTGACCTGCTCTTTGAGTCGCGACTGCACCGCAGCTGGCTTGCTTGTACGTCGAAGCGTCACGTTTGTACCCGTTGGCTTTCAAGCTGCCATCTTCGTTCGCAGCTACAGCTTGCGCTTGCTCAGAATGCTCCTCAAGAACGATGCTCTGCACCTGGTCGGGAGTCTCGTTGCCATCGCGTCGACGTGCAACGCGGCAGCCTTGCCAAGTCACGCATCTGCCTCAGCGCTTTCGAAGCGGTGAATGGTACTCCGATGCAAGGGAAGCACACAGCCCGCTCACACCAAATCCGGCTCCCCCCCCCTCTCTCCGGCCGCATACTGCATCGAGCAACCACAGGGCAGGAGGGAGCAGCTCTTCTCAGCCCTACGTAAATCCAGACGTGAGCAATGCCCTTGCAAAGCATCAGCACCTGCAGTCGTGATCGCTGGACTGAGCACACTCTCCCCCCTCGCTCCGTGCGCGCTTTTGTAAAGCACGACACTGCTCACATTTCGCGCTGGTATCATCCGCAATCTGGACAGCTCGCATGGGCCAAGGACAGGAACCGAGGCTTCACCGTAGTTCTAGGCGCCGCCGTCCACCCGCCTGACGATGATTGGAAGACCGAGATTAGAGCAGTGAGTAAGGCAGGATCTTCATCTCAGGGCATGTGGATCGTCACTGAGCAGCGGCAAATGTTCACGGTTTGCGCTTATCACTTCCCGTAGAAGAAGGACCTGGAGAGTTTCTACATGCACAAGCAGGACTCCACGACTGGCGAGACGCACCAATTCAACAAGGGTACCGGCAATTGGGACTTGCTAGACCCAGATCTCTGGAAAAACGTCGCGCTGGATATTGCTCGGCCTCCGAAACCTTAGCACCGAAAGAGAGTCACGTCCCTCGCCCTGATCGTGCACAATAGAATTGCATGCTCATGTAACAAAGATGATGACTCTACAGATTCCGCGAAGAGCTTTGAACCCATCCGCTCTCAATGCTCGTCGCGGTCAGGAGCGGGCGGTGGTTGAAAGATGCTGTCGAGTGTGTGCGCGCCCGAAACAGAGCCGTGCTTGTCTGTCAAGAAAGCACCACTAGAGTCTGTCGTCGTTCCAGCGGCCAAGGAGTGGCTATTGGGCAGATCTCCCGCTGGAGCGCTCGTGGTGGAGCTGGCCCGCCCGCCTTCGAGCCTCCTGGCTGCTCTGTCCCGGTACCGTGCACCGCTATCAGGCGGATACTCTCCAGTAGCCGAGCTCACACCAGGCACACCGTGCATTTGGCCCCATGCTGCCAGATTGTCGTGACTGGGCGCTCGAGACGGGTATGCACTGCCATGCGAGCCCACGAGACTTCTCGCGCGAGATCTCGTGCCGGTCACAGTATGTGACCCTGGCGTACTGCCAGACGACATGAACCTGTAGCGCGTAGGCGAAGTTGCGCGAGATCGACTGATAGTGTGATAATGCGGATGGCCGGTGAAAGTGTGCCCGGCCGAAGGTAGCAGGTAATGATGAGACGCGGACGAAGGTTTGCGTTCGTGATGACCTCCGAGCAAGAGAGCTCTGGCAGCCTCATCCGCGCCTGAGCGGTGGTAATGCTCCATAGCTGCCGCTTTGTCCGTGATCCACGGCGTGCCCGGCTCTGAGGAAGGGCGAGGTGGCTGGGGTATCCTGCCCGACTTTGTGATCGAGTCGGAAAGGCGTACGCCTTTGCCGATGGCCCAGGAGCAGAGATAACCGACCACTCGTCGTTCTATGGCATAGAAGAGGCCCACAAACGGAATAGTGCCTTCGATGGCCTCACGTAAGCCCCAAGTATCTTCGTGTCTGACGATTCGTCCGGCGTCATTGAACTCTAAACGGCTCATGAGACGCAATTGAATCGTGCACAGATGACGCAACACTTGACGAGGGTGGAAGAGACCCCAGACGAAGCTGCTCACGGTAGACCTTCCCAGCCCTTCGTGAGACCAGTGTGGTACGACTGCAGGCTGGGTGGGGCGGTGCATGACGGTGGTCACACCATCGCCTTCTGCATCGCCATAGCTGTACTGTTCATCCTCGTCGTAGTCTCCATTGACGCTGGGAGGAGTGCTTGCGCGCGCATGCCAAGGATGAGCACTGTGAGGAGCCGAGGATCCGGGGCCAGAAGACATTGGACGGATACTGTGCCCTGGTCCAGGAGTGTGTGGCCTCGAAGAGCCCCACAGGCTGTAAGGTGTTACTGGTGAGTGCGGGCCACTCTTCGCTGCTCCTCCACCTCCAAATCCGAAGCGGCTGAAGACCGAGCTGCTTCCGTCGTTGTTGGGCGCAGGATAGGCAGAGCTTCCGCTTGCGTAATTAAGGAAGGGATGCGGCGTCAAGGAGCTGTGTGCAGCATGACTGGTGGCACCAGGAGCTGGGGTGCGAGCTGTCGACTTGGGAGGTGCCGAGCCGAACAAACTTGGCAAAAAGGTGACGCTGATAGTCTGGTCGATGATACCAGCACGAGTTCCGTCTGCACGTGAAAGACGCATCGAAAGGCAAGGGAAATCAGTCGCCAAACAAAGTGGGCGCGCGTCGGACCCCACCTGAGCAAGCATGAAGAATGGTCCGATCTGACCGCGTTTACTTACCGAATTCGAAGTCGGAGCAGATGACGTCTCTCAACTCGCTCGTGACGTCCATTCCTGGCAGGGCAAAAGCCATGATGAATTGGTTGGCAATCTGCTCTCTGCCCACGGCAGCCAAGAGCGGCGATTCGAATACTGAATCCGCGCGCAGAGTGGCACGATGAGACAATGATTCACAAGTTAGCTGATGCATCTGTGATTGGCGTCATGTGGCTTGCCGTCTTGCTCTCAATTGTGCTTAAGCGGATGTATGCGTCGGTGACTCACATGCATCGTACTCGTAGTAGTGCTGAACCATCTGTCGGACCTCGTCTGCGGATCGCTTGCCTCCATACAAGGTGCTGTGTAAGCCCAAGATAATGTCCGTCAATGTGCTCGGACTTGGAGGTCCGTGGCTGAAATGACCTTCGTACGGAGCAAAGTCGTGGGGCATTCCATGCTGAGGATGAGCAGAGCTGGGCTGAGGGTCCTGGCCACCTTTGACTGATGACAAGCTCAGAGACATGCTATGACCGACGCCCTTGCTGGGCGTCGTAGCAGGAGGCGCTGTTGCGTGAGATGCATTTCCAGAAGCACTTGTGCCTCGACTGTGGCCGTAGACGCTGCTCGCTTTGGGCGTCTTTGAAGGATGACCCGAAGCTGAAGATGGAAAGTATGAGTCAGAAGTTGGGTTGGGTGGTCGGTGGTGTCGTGACCAAGTACCACCCGATTGGGATTTGTCGCCCTTGCCCTGACCTCCTTCACCAGGGATGTCTATGTGCATGCCTTTGCCATGCTCCTCAGAGGCTGGCGTCGCTGCACCACGGGGAAATGGCACTGTCGGCGCTGACATCGCTCGGCAGAGACCGTGATTGTAAAATTCGATGTGCTCAGTTGGGCTGAGTGTGGTGGTGGGGTTCAAACGTAGAGCAGCTCTGCAAGATGGCGAACCACTACTTTCGGAGTGGTGCGGTGTCGTTTGCGAGGTGTGTATGCCGTTGAAAGCCCCGATGTTATGCGGTCGGAGGGTTAATGGGGTAAAATCGTTGACGACCGTTGCGTTCGACAGGCGAGGGGGAGTCTCGCGACAAAGCCCATGGGTGTGGTGGTGACGCGAGGGAATGCGGGCGGCCTTGGAGGAAGTGTCTATGGCACCCTTGAAGGAATGAGCTTGGTTTCAAGGTTGAAAAGTCGGAGAAAGATGTGCGCTAGATGAGATCGAGCAATCCGAAAGAGGGTCGGTCGGCTTCGTCGCGCTGATGATGTGCCTGCGCAGGTCAACAATAGCCGGAACTCGTGATGGATGAATCTGGTTGTATGCACGGTTATGTCGGTGGATGGATCGCGGCTGTTGGGCCTGCAGGCTGCAGCAGCCAGAAGGGACGGCATGAGGCCGAGTGGCGCTCTTAAAATGCAGGCATCAGTAGGCGCCCATGTGTCCTATATAGCTGTGTCCGCGTACGCGTGTGCTGGCGAGCCTAGACTCTGCTCGTCTTCAGCTGCACAGCATCGCCACCCTTTCAATTAAGCTGCAGCAGCAAAGCAAGGCGCAGATGTGAATCAAAATGTGAATGCGGGGAAGGTGTACCGTACGAGCAGGAGCTCAGGCGCGGTCTCCCAGCTGATCAAGGAGACTCGCGATTCGCCCTCATCTGCAGTACCGCTGCTAGGGCGAGGCAGCAGAGCAGTGCCAAGTGCACGCACGCATCGATCTTCACGGCCGAGGTCGCGATGCATGCATGCAGTCATCCACAGCATGCACGACTTCCTATAGCTCGTCGACAGGCTGCAGCAGCGCAGTAAGCAGAGGGCCATCAGCGTACCCTACGTACCGCAGGCAGTGGCGGATGCGGAAAGACGAGGGGCACACGCTCCTCCACCTACTTACAGCATGCTGACCCTACTTCTCTGTAAGGCGTTCGTGATTGATCCGATCCTTCACATCACGATCGTGGCCGGGCGTGGATCGCGAACTTATCGCGCGACAGTGCTTTCACCGGCACTCGCCTGCGGTCTGAACGCGAGCGGTATGCGATGGCTTGAAGCTGCCTGTACAATCTGAAATGAACAATCACGAACATCACGATCTATGACTCGCAAATTCACATTTTAGCTTCCGAGCGATCGTACGAATTTGCGGGCAGAGATTCGACGCTAAGTGCAAGGCTAGGCAGGGTTTGTTGATTTCAGCAGCAAAATCACAAATTCGATTTGATAGCCAAGCCGCCAGCCGAGGGGTCTCGCCATCAGAAAGAGAGAATGGCAAAGGGAATTGTGCGAATTTCCAAGCCATTCTTCAATTTATCGGGATGATGGTCCACCCCCAAACCTCAGCTTATCATGAGACATGATGCGCTCTCATTCGTGAATTTATCCCGAACGATAGGAATCAGGGGCTTTCGCGCGGGAGACTGCTCGCCATGCTAAGCGAGTTCCGCGAGCGATGCTGCAAGGGGTGAAAAGGGGAAAGGCCCGGTTACGCAGGACGGACGGATCATCCTCGCGATTCACAGGCGTGAGCTTGAGGTTGAATTGCAAGCCAAGCGCCACCTACCCCCGCATGCTCCTCTCTGCCTCTAGTAGAGTAGTAGTAGTGACAAACGTTCGAGCACGCACTCACAATTTCATTTCGCAAAGTCGGTATTCAGGAGTCGTGAGTGTGCTGATGGTAGAGCACTTTGCCTAGCGGCATCCGCGAAAATTGATCAGCAATGGGCGCGGCAACTCAAATACATTCCGTCCAAGGGTTCCAAAGCGCCATCCAAGAATCACGAATGGTGCCTATCACGAAAGTCCAGATCTACTGTGCTACTCACAACACTCAGACTACGACTACAGTACCGCAGAGGAGGGCCTTCACATGATCCGCGTCTCGAGCTTCGAAATGAGTCAGAAGTATGAGAGAGGCCTGGGCATCCGGTTCCCGCGCTTCGCGTGGGCCTCTCCATGAGCGAACCACTCGTGACTTTGGGCTCCTTCCTCAATCGATGGGCGGCGGGAAATGTCGCTCGGTGCCGCAGAAGAGGAGCTTGGGCACAGATGTAAGTCGCGACCAGCAGTGTGCGCAACCACAACAAAAAAGTAGTGGTAGTAGCGAGCAAGATGTGCGTCATCTTCGCTGGTCACAAGTGCACGTACTCGTACCTTGGACTGACGCGTGCAGCTCAGAAGCCAACAAGGTTGAGCAGGGCCTGGGCGATGCGCTGACCAAATGACGAGACAGCTAGGTAGCGTCGCTGGTAAGTTCTGCCAGGCTTCACCAACGAGCGAGTGGCATGCAGCAGTACTACTATTCACGATTACCTCACGTCAACCAGACGATATCCTGCACTCATGACTTTTGACCGTTGCAAGCACGCTAGGCTGCGTCATCACCATGTGGAAATGGTTTCGTTCAAGGTTCGCATTTTTCTTTTGGAGACAAGTGAGAGAGGAAAAGGGTGGGTCGGTCGTGGGGTAGCGGACTACTTGTGTACATAACGCGACGGGCGTAATTGACATCTCTCTCTGTGTTTGCAAAGAAGGCAGGCAAGCAATCAAGATTTTTAACAAGACTGCGTTTTTTCTTGGAGAGATGGCTTGATTCGGACTGATGGGCTTGGAAGTCCTCGAGGGGCTTCTTGGAGGATTGACGAGCGACTCGAAGGTCTTTCGAAGGAGAGGAGTGGGAGGAGGTTTCGAGGACGAGCAGGGATGTGTTCGGTGACGTCGACTAGAATTTGAGAGTGTCGTAGGCATTGAGGGAAAGAGTCTTTGGGATTGCAAAAGGAGACAAAGCGGTAAGGCGAGCTTTGGCGTCCACTCTTCTATCTTGCCCTTCCGGGTGGGCAAGGAAAGGTTAGAAAGGATGCCGAAGCTCAACAGCGCATGGGGTGGGGTGCCGGTGACAATGACGGGAGGGCCGCTGTTCGATATGCTTTGACGTTTTGCGAACCTAGCCTCATGCGAATTGACAGCTTCAAGCTGCACCACCCTGAGACAATCTCATCTTCTCCTGCTCGAGACGCTGATAGAGCAGGCTCACAGCGAGCTGGATGTTGGCTGGTGGACCGGTGATGGTCACTAGCCGCTCGCTGCCACTGCCACCTGCGGCAATGCCGGCGCCCGGCTCCATGATTTTGATGTGAGATGCAGACATTTGTCGGATCTCGTTGATCTTCGACCCTCCTTTGCCGATAATGCAGCCGACCAAATCGTTCGGAATAAAGATTTGCTGCGTCTGCGAGCCGGGAGGGATCTGGTTGTTGCCGAACGATGCTGGAGCTCCTCCACCGGGAGCGCCGTATCCACCGCCGCCAAAGCCTCCCGGCGCTCCTGGCTGTCCGTACGGGCCAGCTCCGCCACGCGAAGGTGCCATAGCTGCAGTAGCAGTGGCACCGCTCGTGGGCTGGTAGGCAATGTTGTGCGAGTTTCTTTCCGAGTGCTCCAGGAGGATCGTACCCACGTAGTAGACTGCAATGTGAACAGCGTCAGCAACACCCGATATGCTCAATACCCGCTGCGAGAGCCGATGGTCGGTGTCAGTTTCGAGCGGGATTTGGCACGAGCACAGCATATTACCTCGGCTTTTCTCTGCTACCCCTGCTTCCTCTGCTTGCTCACCTCGGTGCTGTTGGGTAGCATGGCCTCTCCTGCTGTGAGTCGCGCTCCACTCGCTTCTTGGATCTCCTTGATCTTCGTGCCTCCTTTCCCAATGACTGAACCCATACGAGCATGGGGAACGATGAATCTGATCGTAACAGCCCTGCTGCCCGGCACAGATGGCTGTTCAAAGGGCTCATCATTGATCCTTCGCACGATGAGACCGAAAGCCTGAGAATAGAAGTGCACGTTTGTTCAACCCTCGGCAAGACTACGATCGCTCACCCCAAGAGCAAAGGCCACGCCAATGCTCAGCACTGGCTTTTTCGAAGCTGTCATCACCCACCTTGGAAACCGCATCAAGCTGGCCAGCAACAGTCAGGATCCTCTCGGGGTTGCTAGGAATGTGCTCACTCTGTTGCAATGTGACAGACAGGGCAAGGTTCGGGGTCAGCGACTGAAACTTTGCTATCAAAGATATGCAAGCTCATTCGCTAATCGCAAGCCTGAATCGCGAACCGCGGCAACTCACGATCGTCAAACGGGCGCCGCTCTTGTCTCTGATCTCGTTGATGTGTTTGCCGCCCTTGCCAATGATGATGGAAGCATCTCCAGAGATGATGAGGCAACGCATAGCGATAGGCTGAGGCTCTGGTTGAGCAGCATCTGCAGCCGAGTCTTGCGCATTCGCATCTGCCCCATTGTCCTCCTCCGCGTTGACAGGTGCTGCGACGTCCTCCGCCGCCGCCAGCTCCTTAGAATCTCTATCCTCGCCAACGTCCATCTTTTTATCGTCACTGCTCATCTTGCTGGCCTCCTTTTCGATGGAAGGAGATTTTGAGGGCGCTTCGGGGCTTCCTTTGGCGCGCTTGACTTCCTTGCTTGCGGGCTCGTGCTCTTGCTCCGGGCTCGTGGTCCTCTCTCGTTTGGTCGAGGCTCCTGTTGCCATGACGAGGGTGGCAGTACAAACGCGCAAATTCGCAAACGCGCGATGGGCGAGCAATTGATGCGCGGCGGTTGAGGAGATGGTAGACAGAAGAGCTTGAATCAGCAACCCGAGGACTTCTATGCCCAACTTGATCCAAGACGTGGACGAAGTGCAAGTGTGTGAATGGAGTTGCAACCCAGCGTCGCGCTACCCCGAACTTATTTTACCGACGCAGCAGAAGGTTGGTAGATGAGCAGCAGGTTTAGAAGGATGGCACGGCGTTGAGAGGAAAGGTGGGAGTGGATGAGTCAAGAGAAGGAAAGGAAGGCCAGAGGTAATGCAGCAGCGAAAGATGGTCTTTGGCCGGGTCATTGATACGAACGAGCGTGGCTGCCACAATCAAACGCTTGTGGAGGTGTTCAGGCCAAAGCCGTTTCCGTGCACTTCGTAGAACCAATGAAGGTTCCTTTCGAGCCCGCTCTGACCTCGCCAGACTTGAGGCTGGAGAACACTCACCCTAGATTGACCTGCTCAGGCACCAAAAACTTCTCGCTTTACGCTGATTGCCTTGACTGGGGCCCAGCGGCAAGATGGCGAAAGTTGGGATAGCGCTGCGCCGTCCAGAAGCGCGCGAGTGCAAAGGGGTGGAAGCCAGCCCGGACTTCAAGCCTGTCGTCGGAGATTTTGCCCTGATCAGGTTGTGGATGCAGAGGGAACGTTCGGCAGCCGGATGAGGGTTGTGCGGAATGGATGGCCAAGGCAGGGACTCAGAAGCTGATTCAAAAGCCTACTTGTGATGCTTGCAATGACGTGCAATGCTACACGCAGTCACAGTGATTGAAGAGACGAGGATGGAAGTGTGGTGTACACGAGAGCGAAATGAAATTGTCATACGCCATGCTGCGCTCGTCTTTCCTCCATGCTGCAAGCATATACAGCGCGCGTCCACTCAGGCTTGGGATCCAAGATCAAGGGCTGCCTGCTGCTGCTGCAAGTCTTGCCCTGCTGTAGCTCTGTAGCTGTGATCTGCTGCTGCAGAGCGCGCAAGTCGCGGCGCGCGCGCGCGCGCATCTCGTGCGACGTGCGCACCCTTCCTGCATATGCTGGGCCCGTATAGCAGCAGAATCCAGCCGCGCGGCTTTCGGCTCGGCGCGCTGCTATTATATTCGTGATTGTAAGCGCAGACAGACGGCTCGAGTGACAGCAGCGGCGGCGCAGCGTCATCACAGCATACACATATACAAGCTGTTTATGGCATCGGTATACAATTAATAAAGCAAGAATCAAGAATACTATATCAGCGAATTGATGAACAGCGCCATGCATGAGCATGGAGGCCCGCCGCATGTGTATATCAGTGTATGTACATGTACCGCGTATATATTTACGCGCGCCTGCCGCGCGCGCCGGCCAAGATCTCCGCCGAGGTGTGTGGTGGTGCTCACCTCCATGCGATCGATGCTCTCTGACACAGCGTAGCACACACATATATAAACAGCCAAACACAGCAACGCGAGGGAGCCCATCACACCTGCACCGGCAAGCAAGATGAACCTCTTCGCGTGCAAATGACTCACGCTCCAGTTTCGACTTTTGAGGTCCATGGACAAGTCTTAATTAGGACGCGAGTCGTGAGTCAAGTGTGAGAACAAGAATTTCAATCAGAACCTTGTATGTCGATCAATCACAATGTCGAAAGCTTACGGCGAATCCTTTGGGCCCCCAAGCTGCCCGCTGCGCTATGCTGCGGCTGCGGCCGCTCTGCAAGCGCAGCTCAACACGTAAAGGACGGTACCGAATCACGAATGGACACTCACGATTCATGTCTAAACATCGGTATGAGCGTCAGCAAGTGTGAAAGGAGCAGCTCCAGAGTTCGGCTTCGGGCAACTGGGATGAGTGGCGTATGACTCGCCGACCCTTTTCGTGCGCATCAGAAGCGCTCGAGATCAAGCATAGGATGCTTCGCAGCGCAACTGCACCGCGACTAGAAGACTGCCATCCAAGATGCACGACTGCCATCCACGACAAACGATTCTTTGTGATTCCCAAGTGACACCTTGCCTTGCTCAGCGTGACTGCGTCTTGCTGGAGTTGGAACCGCAAATCGTGAATGTGTGGACAAAGATGGGGCCGTGCAAAAGAGATCGCCGCAAGTCCACGTGGCTCGCAGTCTGCCGCGGCCGTGGATTACCGGCGTCTCTCCTGATCAGACGACCTATGCTACATGTACGGAGGGCGAGCCGAGACGACAGCCCCCTGGTATCTTTGCCAGCATGCTAGTGAGATTGACCTGTTGTGGTGAGTGCTGGCATGACATTCCGCTCTCATCGTGGTACAGTAGTCTTGAGCAGGGGCATCGTGCACTCGAGACTTGAGTGCCCTTTCTCGAGTCTTGAGTGTAGCGCAATGAGGAGTGTAGCACAGTGAAGACAAACGCGATGCCACATACACCATACGAAGTAGCGTTGGTGATTGGGATGGATCGAGTGTAGACGGCCCCGGCTTCGAGCCTGCAATCACGAATCACCAATGTGAATCGTGAATGTGAATCTGAATGGTGAATGCTCACCAGAACACTTCGTCGCTCATCATCGGCGCTTCCACGCGACGCGCGCGTTGCACACGCGGGGCCCACCAACTTAATTGGTTCATGCACAACGAATCGCGCCTTGTTTGAAGACACGCCGCGTGACCATATAGCGCCCTCGCGGGATATATATATATATACGGTATACACATATCTGCTGGTGATGCTGCATGCGTAACTGCTGTGATGCCCGCGGCCGCAACAACGTACAGCCTGATCCAGCAGCTGTTGGGCCTGCCCATGCAGATCAACAGCACTCGTACTGCAGCAGCTGCTGCATGCTTGAGCTGCACGGATGGACAGATATGCTCGTGACTCATCAGACTGTACAGCTGTCAAGAGTCTGAGTCAAGAGTCGTGAGTCTGCCGCTGCTGCTGCTAAAATCGTGATTGGACCTTGTGTGAGCAAGTCTGATGAGTGTCCTGCTGCCTCCCTGCCGTTATTGTGATCTGGACCTCGCGGTGCATGCATGGGACACGCTCGTGACTGTGCGCATTCGGGATGGCCAAGGCGACGGCCCAGACGCACACACACCTTTGTCGAGCTTTCATTCACGGTGCGGGTGTTCGCGTGCCGGCCGCTTCTCAGCATCCTCATTCAGATTGACGGCAGACCGGCCATCCTGACATTCTGGCGTTGCACTTCATTTCATCCCTGGTTGCCGAATTGCGTTGACGAATAACGACTGTCCGTCCCTCGAATACCGCATAGTGCGGGTCAATTGGCGCTCATCAGTTGTCATCCGTCGCCCCTGTATTTCGCTCGTCATCCTCCGACCTCGTTCAGTCTGACGCCATGTACGCTTAGAGCTTTCGACTTGGGCCGGTCTGACTTCAGGGAGTTGGCTGCAGCGGGACACCTAGTAAACATTGGCGTCACATATGCCCGACCTTTAGTCGTCTTCGTCGACGACCGCTACGCGCTCAAAGTCGACCGCCACACTGGCTGCTCTCGACATCGAACGAGAAATTTCAGCACACCAACCTGCATCCGCGATCACAGCCCCTCAGACGCGTAACACCCCAGGATCTTGGCGTCAGGACACCGCTCCCTTATGCTATTCTCACTCTGAGCTTCTTCTAGCACTTTGCCGCTCGCATTTGCACCCACTCAACATTTCAGACTCTCTCTGGGTTCTTGGGCGCACGGCGCCGCTCTGCATCGAGCGAGGAAGCAGCACTCCTTGTCCTCGAGGTTCGTGCGTTCAAGATGAATACCATCTTTGGACGTAACAAAGGTCGCTCGCGCGTGCCAACAAACGAGAGCTCTGGGTCTTATAACTCGTTTGGTCCATCTGGTCCCTCGAGCCCCTCCCATCAATCAGGTTACAGCACCGCTGAAGTCATAGGAAGCAACACGGGCCCTAGGATGCAAGTGGGGCCTCCAATGCCCGTTGCAGCCCCAAGGAGTAGTGCCATGTCATATGTGAGTGGTCAGCTTGAGAGGCTCCGCTTCATCGTTCTTGGGCGCCTTCTGTGGTAAGGCCAGCTCCACGACGACGCATCCCCCACTGCTTCACTGAACTCACTCCCTTTGCGGCCGTGCGCAACAGCTGCAATCAGATCCAATGGCCGGGGGCTCCCAGCGATCGAGATCAAGTCGAGGAGATCCAGACGATTTTGGCGCGCACTCGAGCGGATCCTCGCCCAGCTCCTTGCACAAGCGCACTCCGTCGGGCGCTTCTGGCGGCAGCTCTCGGTATACAGGCCCTCCTGTTTCCGACTACGGCACCAGATCCTCCAGACTGACATCATCCACCACATCCAGCTCTGCGCACCTGGGAACACATGACATCTTGAATCGCATGTCGATAGCCAGTGCAGCGTCAGCTTCGATAGGGCAGCCAATCTTCAGCTCAGAACACCACCACACCCACATCCCTGCCATGCCACCCACTTCTCGCTCGCATTCGAGCGTGTCCTCCCAGAGGGGGGCTGGTGGCTCAGGTCCTGCGCCAGGCTCGCTGAATGCGTCCGAGTTCTATTTTGCGCGTCCAGACGACGCCGAGGTGGAGCGTCTCTTTGCGGATCTAATGGACAAGCGAGACTTTCTCAATGTACCCGGAGGTAATCTTACTGACGAGCTGAAGGAGCAAGCGCGGCGGAACATGCTCAGCTTTGCGCCGGACAAGAAGTGGCAGCTCGTCTACAACGACAGGCTGACGGAGTGGCATGGCGAACGGGAAAGGGAGAGAAATCGCAGGCACGCTGGCTCTGGCGCGTATGGAGGTCCAGGAGGCGCGAGTGCCTCAATGGGCATCGCTCGCAACACTCCAGAATGGTTCATCAAGAAGTTTATGGACGGGACTGTGACGACAAAGCACATCGAAAGCCTGGCCGTCACTCTACGAACGTGCGCCATCGGGTGGATCCAGGGCTTTGTAGAAGCTAAGGGAACTCCAGTACTTGCTAGCTTCCTCAATGGCTTGCACTCTAAGGGCGTCAAGTCGGATACCGATTTGGCCCTAGAATACGAGGTGCTCAAGGCCTTTAGAAGTCTCTTCAACTCGAAGCCGGGCGCCAATGATGCGCTTGCTCAACCAAAGTGCATCAATGGCATCGCACACTCGATGGTCTCTGCTCACTTGGCGACTCGTAAGCAAGCTGCAGACATTCTGCTTTTCTTGTGCCACTGGGACAAGCCCACAGGTCATCGTCTCGTGCTACGAGGCTTCGACGAACTCAAGGCCTTCAACTCGGATCACGGCCGCTTTGACGCCTGGTTCCGGGTCCTAGAGCAGACCATCGATGGCAGAGGGACTCTGGGAAGTCGCGTAGGAGCCAGCGAAGAGATCAAGAAGCTCAGTCTAGCCGGTCCCAACGGCGCCGCTTTGGACTCCTCGCTCAACGAGTATGCCATCAACAACATGTTCCTCATCAATGCAATACTGAAGGAGGAGATTGTACCCGAGTTCGAGGTGCGCGTGCATCTGCGCAACCAGATGGATGCGAGCGGCCTGCAGCGCATCTTGATCAAGATGAGAGCGTTCAAGAATCCAGACCTGGATAGTCAGATCGGCCAGTACGAGAAAGGCGCAGAGGCGGATCACGATGACGTTGTGGAGAACTGGAACAAGGATGTGCTGACGGATATGTCGGACCCCGTGGACGTCTTCAAGGCTGTGGTAGAGAAGATATCCGGCTCGAGAGCATACGACTTTTTCCTTTCGGCGCTACAGCACTTGCTTTTGATCAGGCAAGAGGGAGACGGCCTGGTACACCATTATCAGCTCATTGACTCTATGATAACGTCGGTGGTGATGGACAGGAATGGAGCAGTCGAGAGCAACGACGTCAGCTCGCTACTTGGCACCAGCGTCAATTCCATACTTGCGCGCTTTGCTGATCAAGAGCAGCAAGCTACAATGCAAGCGGAGCTTGCGCGGACGAAGGCACGATTGCGAGAGCAAGAAGAAGAACGGCGTCGCTTGGAGTCACAGCTCAATCAAGGCAGCCAAGGTCTGATTGGCGAGCTTCAGCGTCGCATCGAGATCCTTGAGGAGGATCTTGCACTTGCGCGAGGCAACACGTCGGCCGCCCAGAATGAGATGGAGGACATGGAGAAGGCATACGTCGATAGAGTGGTGGCCCTTGAGATCCAAATTCGAGAGCTATACGACATGCTTCGGGAAGCACAGATGGAAGGTGGCGTAGCTGATCCTGCGGATAATCCTGGCAGTCTGGATCGTAAGCACCTAGTTGAGACGCTCGAGAAGCAACTTGAAAGAAATCGAACTATCAAGAAGCTCGAAGCAAACGCTCGCAAGAAGCCGCTCTCCACTGCCGGGGCACCGCCCTTGCCCGAGACACGTGAGGCTGAGGAGGCTGCTGCTGCCTTGCAAGAAGAGGATCGCAAATCTCGTCAGCGAATTTCTCGAAGCGTGCGGCGCCAATCTCGCGCGAACAGTCGCAGTGCCGCGGCCGCTGCCCTCGAGGAAGCCGGAGAAAAGGCCACTGAATCGGCGTTGGGCGAGAGCAGCGACGAGGACCTCGACCCGCAGAGCGACGCCGCGAAGTGGAAAATTCAAGCTACTCTTGCTGCTGGAATGGCCCGCAACACCGAGTTGCAGGGCCGGATGGCGGATGCCCGAGCCACGCGACGCAGGCGAGGCACGGGCCAAGCCAGTGACTTGATCGTGCCGGAACAATTGCTGCCCGAGCACCCTGCTTTGTCGCCTCCGACCTCTGCAGCTACCGTCACGGATCATGCACCGCGCGAAGATGCAAGCTTCCCAGCGCCTCCTGCGCCTCCTCCTCCCCCTGCCGTCACGAGCGATGGCCCGTCACTTTTGGATGAAATCAGAAGGAGAAAGGGCACTCCGAATCGGACTGCTGCCACTCCAGCGCAGGAGCTCGCTCCTTCGCCAATGCCTGCCCATGCGCAGCCTGTTTTGAGCGACATGGGACCGCCTGCGGTCCCAGCTTCTGCTGTGGGGCCACCTCCGCCTGCTCCACCCCCTCCGCCGCCGCCGCCACCACCACCCGCACCCGGTATGCTCGTCCCGCCCGCATCGAGAGGCCAAGCAGGACAAGCACCACCGCCCCCGCCTCCGCCGCCTTTGCCAAGCCCTGCACAGCTGGCGGCCATTCCGGCCACTCCACCTCCACCTCCGCCTCCGCCTCCTTCCGCCTCTGTGCTCGGCACGCCAGTGTCCGCATCGTTCGCGACCGATCCCACTCGAGACTCGCTCCTCGATGTGCGAGCAAGTTATGCAGGGTCTGGACTCGTTGGTCCTGCTCATGCACCGCCAGCGCCTCCCCTGCCTGGGGGACTCTACGCTAATGCGGCACATCGCAAGGAAGTGATGGAGATGGCCAGAACACGTATGAAGCAGTTGCAGTGGGACAAGCTTAATCCACAGCATGCCGCAGAGACTGTCTGGGGTACCACCAATCATTCAGACGAGGCCAAGCTGACCGAAATGTTGCGCGAGCAGGGACTCTTCGAAGAGATGGAAGAGGACTTTAAGGCCAAACAGATCGCGAGGCGTGCCACTCAGCAGAATGGAGCTGCAAAGAAGGACAAAATGGAGTTCAAGACGCATCTCAGTCTTCAGACACGGCAGGGTATCGAGATGGTGCTTCGACGCATCAAGAGCAGCCTCACTGGTGCCAAGCATGCGACTCCCGAGGAAGTTGCTCACCACATTGTCAATTGCGACGAAGCGGTGCTGGACGAGAGCTTCTTGACCGAACTCTTGAGGCACTATCCCGAAAGCGAGACCAAAGGACAGCTTGGCGAGTACCGAAATGCGTCTGATGAGGATCTCAGACTTTTGCATCCCGCCGATCGTCTTGTCGTCCTATTGATGACGGTACCTCATTTGAAGGAAAAGGTGAAAGGTCTCCTCTTCATGACGCGATACCGCGAGGTGTTTGATCTCATCAAGGAGGGCTCCACACGCATACGTGACGCATCGGAAACGCTGGTGCACGCCACGAATTTTGCGCGTCTCCTGACACTCATTCTGATGATGGGTAATTACCTCAACGCGAATGGTGTGCAGGGCGGGGCGTTCGGCTTCAAAATCTCGAGCATCAACAAGCTTGTGGACACGAAGGCCAGCGACGGGACTACGCTTCTGCACTTTGTGGAGCGGACCATCAACAAGTGTTTTCCAGAAGTAGAGTCATTCCTCGAGGAGCTCGACAAACCCTCTGAGGCTTGTAGAGGTGAGTGTCGGCTCGTGTTGAGTGTCTTTGGCCGTGTGAGACTCATGGATGTCACTTTGAACTTTAGTGCAACTGCTTGACCTAAAACGAGACCTCGCGGAGCTCAAGTCGGGCAGTCTTCAGCACAAAAAGGAGCTCGATCGCTTTCTGGACGAAGCGGAGGAGCGCATCGAAGACCCGTACACCAAGCTCATGCTGCCATTCCTCAACGAGGCTCATCAGCATTTGCAGCGCCTCTCCGATCAAGTCACGATGACGGAGCGAACGTATGGAGATGCACTCAAGTACTTTGGAGAAGGTCCCGATCCTCGTCGGCGAGGTTTCCCGGCCCAGCAACCAATGCGCACAGAAGACTTCTTTGGCATCTTCCGAGAGTTTTGCACAGCTTATCGCAAGATCAAGGCTGACAATGTCAGAATCGGCGAGCAGAGAGCCATGGAAGCCAAGCGTAGAGCAGCGGCAGAAGAACGCGAAAAGGAGAGGCAAGAAGCTCTTGCGCGCAAGGAAGCAGGGGTGGACGATAGCGCCGTCTTGGAGACGTTGCTTGGCACTCTGCGCTCTGGTGGCATGCAACCCAAGCAGAAGCGTAAAGCTAGAGCTCGACGATCTGCCGCCAAAGAAGGCTCGCCATCGACCCCTACTGCGATCGAAGGCAATCCGTCGGATATCGCAGCAGCCATGCTCGCCAGGCTACAAGGAGACGGCGGTGGAGCTCCCTCACCTACTAGCACCTCGTCTGCTAGCCGGTTGGTGCGCAGAAGAGACAGGCGAGGTGCTAATCGCAGTTCTGATCAGCTCAAAGATGCATCGAGCCCCGTCCTACAGCAAGCCACTGATCTGGCAAATCGAGGAGATGCGCCAACGGTCGATGTGCCAGAACTTGAAGAACAACCTGATCAGGATCACGAACTGGTGGAGTCTGCGGAGGCCTCGCCTACCACAGAGTACGCTTCTGGGGAAGACGAAGAGGAAACGGGTGGCAGAGAGGAGCAAGTGCAGCCTGCCGCGGTTTTGTCTGATGACGCAGCGATTGAAGCCGATATGTCGACTGGCAGCGCTGGACAGTTGGCAGGGCTTGATTGGGTCGACCCAGACGTGAGCGGATTCAGCACCACCTCTGCGCCTCGAGCTTCGACACCGGATCAGACAGTCAGGCCTTGAGGCATAGGGCAGCCTTGAGCGTGCTTTGTCTCGCAATGCTCCATCTTCCATTACCTTTTCATTGCCTGCTATCCAGGTGTGCATTGTCGTGCAGACGCCGGTTGCGTGTCAGTGCTCTCACCACACAGTATCTATTTCACATCTCCGCCTCGTAAATGTGACCGCGTGGTCCGCCTTTTACTTCACTGCAGCTGTACTTTGAGATACAAACCGTTCAAACCTTCTGGCAGCTTGTGATTGGGACGATCGGCCTTTGGATCATGAGCTGTGCTAGTAGTAGTATGGCAGCCCAAATCCAGGTAGGTGGATGAGGATTAGCAATGGATATCTCGTGCTGGTGGTGCTGCGTACATGTAGCTAGGGGCGCGCAAGCCCGTGCGTTGTGCAGACCTATTTGGCCGATGACGTTGCATACAGTGTTATATGCATGATGGGGACCATGCACACAGCGTCCCGCCCTGCGGCCGGGCTCCTCGGCACGGCAAAGCCGCGCGCTAAATAAGATGTTCGCATCATCAGCAGCAGCATATCACGCGCACCAGCCCCAGTCACGAATTTGAGCCGGGAGCTGTGCTGCGATTCCATTTTAAGCTTTGTGAGCTAGGACGCGCGCAACATGCAATGCGCACTCGTTTGTACTTCACCTTGCGGACTTTTGACCGTCAGGGGCCACACAGAGGCGTTGCAGCTTGTTGCAGCACACAGCCAGCTGCGATACTCCGCCTTCGCACTCACGACTGAAACGCTATCCCAAACGCATCAGCATCAAGACAAGCCCACAGTCCGACTTCTGGTAAGCTGTGGGCTATAGGCTTTCCAAGATCGCTATCTTGTCTGCTGCTGGCGATTGGCACAGCTGCCATCGCGCCTAGACATCTTATAGCCTCATACCGACGTGATCCCGATCTGACAGCGACACAAACAGCTCACCCACGAGCCTTGGCATACGACCTCACCTTTGCCTAGCACTTAAGACTACCCGATGCTGAAACAATCGCCATGACGCACTCAGTGGGCGGAGAGGTGGAGCAGATACACGAGCTGGATGCGCAGCTGCGATCCGATGCTCTTTCACATCTGCGCCGCTTCCTCTCCATCATTTCCCCAGCAGACCTAGTTGACGATGAAGCAGCGCCTCTCCCAGACTCAGATTTCGAGCTGCGCGAAGCGCCCTTGTCAGCATGGACGAAGCTGCACTCCACGCCAGCGCTCGACATTGTTCGACATCCCACCATGCCCCTCTTCAGCATCAGCTCGTTCCTAGGTGGCGTCACTGTGGAGCAGTTTTGGACGCTCATGGCTAGTATAGAGAACCGCAAGCTCTGGGATGCGAGCTGCGAGAGCGGACACGTCGTGCGATGGCTGGACGGGCTGGGCAGTCTCAAGCAAGCTCTGAGAGTGGAAGAGATGCGCTTCGGAAGCGTGTAAGTCTCGTTCAGAGTAGCGCATACAGACCGGTCTGGGGCACGCATCATCCGCACAGAACTCATCACTGATACCTGCAGACATGTCTCGCTCACAGCTTCATGGTGGCAAAGCCACGATGCTTGCGCCTGCTGAGTGTCGATGTGCAGCTCGCTAGCACGGCAGACTCTCCGATGCGGTTGGCGTCCATCAGCGCCTCGACTCGCGGGCCTCCTCCTCCCAAGGGCTACACACAATTCGAATTGGGAATCGGTGGTTTTCTCGTCGAGGCGATTCCAGCCCAGGACGGCATTCGCGTTACTCAGCTGTCCGATCTGGGTGAAGTTGCTGCGTGGGTCCCTCAAAGCGTGGTGAAGCTGGTCAGCGCAACGCTCGTCCCTCGCAGTTTAGCCAACATCGCCAAGATTGCCAAGCGACTCGGAGAGAACCCGATACTCACGGGCGAGACGTCTAAATATAGTGAAGACATGGAAGCTGATCCGCTTATAGAGGTGTCGGGAGGTGCTGTGTGGCACAGAGAGCGCCTCCTGCCTCCTCTTCTACATACATGCTTGGCAGAGCTACAGCCAGAGGAATTGGCGCAGCCCGCATCGTCATGCTCACCACTCGAGAGTACGCAGCTCGGCGACCAGATGAGCGCTCCTCATCGTCGTGCTCACTCAAGATCCATCTCCTCCGCCTTGAGCAAATCACCGCAGCCCTCCGGCAGCTCCTTCACGCTCACCTTGCAACGCCTCTCGACTCGTCTGTCCAGCTCTTTTCGAAGTCCCTCCACTTCCCCAAAGGAGCTCAGAAGAGGCGCATCCGAAGGAGCCGAAGGCTATCCCTTTCCGTCGTGCCCCACTCCAGCGAAGAATAGACCCGCCTTCTTGCGTTCTAAATCCGGCTTGTCTGCAACTTCGACCGACATTAGCAGCTCAGTGTCGACGATGCAAGACTTATGTAGGACGTGGGAAGAATCTGCAAGTCTTGGTGGCAGTGAAACTGTCCCGGGCACGCCAGTCGATGAGACCATGGCAAGGAGTGGTCAGCTTGCCGGCGTGGAGGAGGTCGACACGTCAGCCGAAGAGAACTCACCGGATCCAGGGGCACTGGGCCTTTCTGATGACGAGGAGCTGGTGCCACCTCTGACATCAAAACCTCGCCATTCCTATGCGGAACGGCACACGATCGATGCTCACTGGAAGCGGCTGACGCTTGCCATAGCTCAGGGGAAGCGTGCTGTCGACCCGCAAGGGATCAGCTCCGGCGCTTCGGCACCCGAGTCTTCCTCCGTTGCTCCCATGGGCTCTGAAACACACAGAACAGCCACCTCGGATGCAAACACTGCCCAGGCGTCCGAGATCCCAGAGCTCCTTGCAGATGCGTTGCAAACCTCGTTGTTGCCTTTTGATGGGCGCCGGCGATCGCGCAGAGTGGATCGCCGAATGTCGAGAGCAGAGCGCGACGCCCAGCGGCTGTCGAACTTTCTCATACTCGGATCTGATGCGCTTTCCATGGTTCTTGCTCCCGCGGCGAGACAGAGCGTCATAGAAAGGCCCACGCCGATTGCGTCGTCGAATCTAGATCCTTGGCAAGAAGGCGAGGACGGGGGTTTCAGCTCTCACGGCGATGATTGGGATGCCTCGAAGCCAAGCAAGCTCTCAGCCAGTGTGCTCCCACCCTCTCTGAAGAAGCTGGGCAGAGCTCAAAGTGCCTCCTCAGCAAGCGTGTGCACCGCCGCGACCCACGCATTCGGTCATCACGATGCAACCATTTCACAGGCTCATCGTCCTGATTCGACCATCGAAAAAGAATCCGGTCATAGCCAAGGCTGGAGCTACTCTTCCATAGCTGAAGTGCCGTATGCGGTCGCTCTGGGACTGATCAATCTGAGCTACGTCGCTCTGGCGACGGCTGGACGCCAATCCGAGCCAAATTCACCTGATCCTGCTCACGGTGCGCGCAGGACAAGTGGTGGCTGCTCATCGATTGCTTCCGCTGGTCTAGATCACTTCGCATCTGCTGCTTCCATTACACATGGCAACTCGGCATTTGTAGCGCCATCGTCTCCAAGCCAACTTTCCATCGCGGCCGAGCCGGCCAGGAGATCCACGTATGATCCAGCAGACTCCAAGCTACATCCTTTCCCAGGATCGCTGGGCCGAAAGCATGCAGGTGTCGATTTGCCGCCGATTGGTCAACATCACTACCAGTATCTAGAGAGGGCTGCTGAAGTGCACTCAGCGACGACAGGCGAAGCTTCGACGCAACATACCGAGTCTTCGTATATCGCCAGTAGCCTCAATTGGATCGCCAGATCCGTCTACTTGCGGTGATGCTCCACTACGAGGACTCGCTGGATCGAGCGGTAACCGCTTGCGACGTTGCGTACTGTACCCGTGCATCACGCGTACAGGTCACCTCCAGGAGACGCCTGCTAAGCTCACGTGCACACCGGGTGAGCAAATTGCAAGGCTCTAATCCGTGATAGCGCTCGGAGTGCGACTTAAGCCGTACGAAAGAGGAAAGCGGTATGTTTGTCGCCGATTGACTAGGCAGCGGGCGCGGATGGGGAAAGGAGGCATGTGTATGATGGCATGCATGCAACACCGCCTCAAGCATGAGGCGGAATTCTGTAGCCGTTCTAGGTAGGAGATCGGTCAACGCGCAGCACCTTTCAGCATCACCCGGCTAGTCAATGCACGCATAGTTCTGCGTTCACAACGGGCTCAAGTCGACATTGCGCGCACACCTACCTGAAGCGGCACATCTATCGCAGCTGTCCCCGAAAGCTTGGCATATTCGGGACTGCTGCCTCAATCGTCTGAGGCTGGCAACGTGACATGCTCGGCGAGCTGCCCAATGCGACCAATGCTCGCCGTGAAGGGGAAGGTGAAGCTTCCGCCGCTACGGCAAGGTGTGTGAAATTGTTCGCGAAGAAATGTTCCGAAGGTCTCAGGATCTGCTCGATGAGCCTGGCCTTGTCCGCTGAGGCCACTTGCGGCCGGAGCGCAAGGTGTCGACGTCCTCTAAGATGCTAGGCCTAGGAATTGCTTCCATGGTCCCACAATCTGCTCGAGCTCGACGCTCGCATCTGGGGATATGGTGAATTGGCCATGCTATGGCAGAGGTGTATGGGAGCTGGGCGGTCTAGGAAAAGTCATAAAAGGTGGCCCATTTACGTCCAAGGTTCCCCCCATCTTTCTTCATCTCACACAAAGCCTTCTCGACTCACAATCACAGCATCTGCTAACGTCAACAGCCTTGAGACCTTGGTCTACCTCTAACTCTTTACTTAGCAACAAGTCAACCTTTACTTCTGACCTCGACAATGTCTCGTCGACAGGCAATCAACTCTTACATCCAGGACCGCGAGACCGTCTCGCCTCCTCCAGCCATGACTGCGGCGCCTTACTTCGAGTGGGTAACCGCTGACGAGCACATCGCTTGGGTCACCGCAAGTGTCGAGCGTCTTGTTCGCCCGCATCTCCACCAAGCCAGCCTCAATGAGGACGATTGCAGCTTCGATGGGCACGTTCCTCTGAGCGCCGAAGTCGAAACTCTCTCCTCGGTCTGTGACAGCGTCAGCGCGCCGACTCCACCGACCGCTCCCGTCAACAAGCTCATTGCTTTATCTTCCTCTGTCGACGAGGACGGAGCCACCTTGCTTGACGAAGAGCGCGTCATTGCGCAGCCTATCTCGGCTCAGGATGATGAACTCGCCGCACTAGAAGAGGGTGCTTACTGGCGCTCTCCTCTTGGCAACAGTGATGCTACTCCTGCCAACGGTGGCCTCAGCTGGCCCACCCCTCTCAATGTCTCGGAGTCTGGATCGCCAGAAGTCTACTTCAATCACAGCCTCAGGTCCACGCCCATGATTCGCACTCGTGGAAATGTGCTGTCCGCCCCAGCATACCCACTGCCCAGCGTGGATGTGGTGAACGCCCTCAGCGAGTGTCGAAGACGGGCTGCAACAATTGATGAAGACGAGACCCCAAGAGCCCTCGGTGTCAGGTGGGGTGCCTACTCGCTGGCTGAGGAAGCCGAATACATTCGCGTGTTGCACACGCGTGCACAACGCAGACCCGAGTGCAACCAAGTTTATATGGATCACAAATCCGACTACACGACCACAACGTGCGGGGCCCGATCTCGCTCCACGACGTTCACGTCTGTTGAGAGCGGCTCCTCACTCAAGGGCCTCGGCATTTCCGGAATCGATGGGCCCTTGCGAGTCCCTAGCGAGGCACCCTCCACTCAGCGTCAGGTCCGGGAAGCTGCCATGTATCTTCGCGAATTTAGCATGGCGCACGCCGAAGAAGCGCGTCAGCGGATGGCTGATCAGGCTACGAACGCACGACGAACGGCCGACATCAAGGAAGCTGGCCTTGCCATCCAGAAATTTGGCGCCGCTCATGCCGACAAAGCTCGCGCGCGCCTGCTCCAGGCTCATGAGGCCAAGGACGAGACCAGGACCAGACTCCTGTCGATCGATGTCGTCCGCAAGTGCATCCAGCGCCGTAGAGATGCCAAGAAAGCTCAACAAGCCGAGAAGCTTAGACGCGAGAAGGTAGCCGACCAAATCAATGGCCTCCATGCTCTTTACCGCAAGCAGGACGCCGAGAGGCGCGAGGAGATTGAGATCGAACGCGAAATGCGACGCGAGGCAAGACGTGCCATGCAACCTCGCTACGCCTAAGCCTGCTGCCATTGCGCTCTCGACAACACCAAGACTCGGTCGACTCTGATATTCTGATTCCGGGAATTGTTCCTGCTTCCGCGTCTGTCCTCTCTCTCACGATCCTCTACAATAACTCAAAACATACGAACACAGCACTCATGACTCGCATCTTCATGCATCTCAAGACCTTGCTCTCGACACGCTCATCACAAACGTACATATTCCAGTCTGCAGCACGTTTCAACGACTCGTAATGACCATGTTCGATTTCGATCTACTGTGACTCGACGAGATGAAGGTGTGGGCTGAATCAGCCAGGTCCGATCTGAGCAAGAAAGAGGCCAAGAGAGAATCTCGTGTCAGCGTGGGAAGCCTGAAAGGATCGTCGCGGTGTGAGGCAGCACCACCCAAAAAGGGTGTCGCGCATCCGATGAGATGCTCACCCTCGGCAGATCGAAGTGGTCGGTTTGAGCTATGACGATGCGCGCAAGGCCGATTGGAGATGGAACGGAGGCTCTGCGTGTCAGTCTTGAGTGCTCGAGGATGTGATTGCTCGATGAGATGCTTTGCGAGATGCGGCACGAGCTCGCGTGTTTACGATGGCCCAAACTCGAGAGCATAGCCGACTGTATGCGATCACTGCTCCTCTCACAAATGCCTGTCTAAGCTACCTCGAATCGAGCGCTCACAACCATGGTTGTTCCACCGCAGCTCGTTCCAACTCACCTTCAAGGTACTTGTTGAAATCGTCGACCTTCTCTTTGTGACTCTTTTTAGCCTCTTTGGCCACTCGTTCCCTCATCCTCTTCAACCTGACTTCCTGAAACTTTCTCTCAGCTTCCGTCATGGTTCGACCGGTTTTTGACTTTGAGGAAGAGGCGACATTGTTATCTTGAGAATCTTCCACCAACGCTTGCTCTCGAAGCATCAAGCTTTGAGCTTCAGGATCGTGCGAGCTGAGCTGGCCGTGCTGATCGTCGTTTAGGATGGCCTTGGAGGAGGAGGAGGAAGAAGCGACGCTGGGATCGTGCGCATCGGGAGACAAGGTCGGAGAGCTCTTATGCTTGCTGCTGCTGTTGCCGCCGCCGCCGATGCTGCTGCTGCTGCTGCTGCTCTTCTTCTTCTTCTTGGACTTGCTCGAATCGTCCCCTTTGAATTTGAGACTTCCACCGGGCTTGAATTTGTAGGCGCTGCTCATGTGGCTGCTAGGGGGTGGCATGGTGCAAGCACGCGGCCAGAGCCGCCGCGGGCACGCCCAATTGAAGGTGCGTTCTTGGCAAGCGGATTGGTGCGGGATGACTTGGTGCGTAGCGTACGGTCAGAGCACGACCAAGATGTCGAAGGTGAGCTTGATGTGAAAAGCGTAGTGAGGTCGAAGATGGACATTACGATCGTACAACGAGAATGCCGGCGCGGGGGGCTCCATCGCCTGCCCTGCCTGCCTGCCTGCCTGCTCGTGGCTGCATGGCTCGACACCCGCATCGCTTCGACGTCGCGGCGGGTTCGGGCTCCGCGGAGGGGAGGAACATGCCGCACGTGATCATCGAAAGCCTTAGCGCCAAATGCTTGGAACGCCATCCATCCAGCTTTGAGTTTTGAATGCAGCAGCAGGTCCACAACTCTTGACTCTCGACTCTTGACTCTTTAAATATGCAATGTGAATCGACTCGCACTTGCTTGTCCTCGCGAAGCCAAGGCTCTCACACATCATCACTCACGACCCAGCTATCCTCATCGTCAACAAAGAGTCACGCGTGACGCTCCTCGAGGCTCTCACTTGAGCCAGGGCCAATCAGGCGGTACTCTGTTGGGATCCTTCATCCAGCCCCGTCATTCGTGGCATCCCCACGCAACATCGGTATCGACCATGTCCATCCCGACGCACGCGCAGACGTACGCTTCTCGAGCGCAGAAGCTCAAGAATCCGGCAGGAAAAGCACTGCTGGAAGTGATGGAGCGCAAGCAATCCAACCTTTGCGTATCAGTGGATGTGACCAGCAAAAAAGATCTGTTGGATGTGGTCAAGAGCGTTGCAAAATTCGTTTGTCTCGTCAAGGTGGGTTGGCTGAAAGGGACGAATACAGTCCAGATGTTTGGGCTGTATTAAGGTGGAGGTTCGCTCGCGTTGATCGTCTGTGGTTGACGATGCTCCTACTCGCTACAGACGCACATCGACATCGTGTCCGACTTTGATCAAGACTTGATCGATCAGCTCGTCGCTCTCTCCAAAGCGGAAGACTTTTTGATCTTCGAAGATCGCAAATTTGCCGATATAGGTCAGTTTCCCATCTCTCCTCTGGCCCCCTCGCTCTTTGCTACAACGACGATGCTCGATCTTTCGTGCGCACAGGCAACACCGTTTCGCTTCAGTATGGGGCAGGAGTGCACAAGATCGCCTCCTGGGCGCACATCACCAATGCCCACTTGGTGCCAGGTCCAGGTATCATAGACGGTCTCAGGACGGTGGGAGAGCCTTTGCAAAGAGGACTACTGCTGCTGGCTGAAATGTCGTCCAAGGGAACTCTTGCTAAGGGCGACTACTCGCAAGAATGCGTCAAAGCTGCCAGGGCTAATCAAGACTTTGTCTTTGGCTTCATCGCCATGCATCGTGTGCAGGACGACGACCTTGTCGATTCCGCCGTCCCTGTCGAAAGGGACGCAGAGGACTTTTTGGTGCTGACGCCCGGTGTGGGACTGGATGTGTCTGGAGATGCTATGGGACAACAATACAGGACGCCTCAGCAGGTCATCGGCGAGAGCAAATGCGACGTCATCATCGTGGGAAGAGGCATATACGGAGCTTTGTTGAAGAGCGATGATAGAGCGAGCGCGATTGAACAAGTCAGGAAACAAGGAGAGAGATACAGAGTAGCTGGTTGGCAAGCTTACGAGCAGAGGTTGACGGGTGCGTGAGCTTAGCCGTACGCCCTGTAGGTCCCTTAGCAAACAATGTCATCTTTCGTCATGTCTGATTCATCTTTCATTTGTGCGTGTGCCACTCGTGACCTCTTAGATCATGGAAGCATATCAGCTGCATCAGTGCAGCAGCTCGACGCTTCTGTGCCAACGTCTTCAAAGATGAACATCTTCGGGTACGGCAGTCTCATTTTCAAGCCGCCACCTCATACCATCCGAAGGACCGTAGGGTACATTAGAGGCTTCACGCGGAGGTTCGCTCAGAGCAGCATAGATCATAGAGGCGTTCCTTCCAGACCTGGAAGGGTCGTCACATTGGTCGAAGCTAAAGATTGGCACGCCTTTGCTGACGCGGAGGATACGCCAGAGGGCGACATTGTCTGGGGAGTCTGCTGGACTAGTGAGCGTTTCGGAGCGCTTTGGGACTTTGAACCACGCAGTGCTGACATGCAATCCTAATTTACGCGCGCTCAACTTCTAGTCGATCCGGCACACGCCAAGGACGTCAGGGCCTATTTAGACCACAGAGAGATCAATGGATACACGCCCACCTACACCGACATCTGGGCACCTTCCACGAACACGCGAAGCGCAGATGAGATAGTCGTCAAGTCGTGCTTGGTCTACGTAGGCCTTCCAAGCAACCCAGCATTCGTAGGCCCTTCGAGATCCCTGCAGGAATTAGCAGAATACATCTTCACTTGCTCTGGTCCTAGCGGAAGGAACGACGAGTACGTTTTGAAGCTGGCTAGAGCTACAAGGAACCTTTCCAATCAAGTCAGGGACTCTCATCTGTTCGAGTTGGAGAGGATCCTGCTCCAGATTCGCGAAAGAGAGGGACTGCCGCTGCTGGATGAAGATGTGGTGGACGAAGAGCGGGAACAACGCATCATGGAGGAGGTGATCGCCAGAAACAAGGCCAACGGAAAGCCTTTGTAGCACACACACTTTTGTCACGTCTCGTTGCATATAAATACACCGAACATGATCACGGCGACAACACTGCTTCGAAGGCATCTCTGTATTTTGGAGCAGTACGCGTGCATCGCGACAACGCTTTGAGGAGGTAGTAGAGTGAGAGTACAGCACCGATCGCAGGACGCGGTCGGCGAGGAATGTGTGGGTGAATGACTCTTATGGTACACGTGCGTCTGGTTATCGCGATGCCCCTGACGCCCCTTAGTGCTTGAACTGTTTGGTCTTGAGAAGGAGGCCGAGAACTTCGTGGCTGTAGAGTGGTGATGTGTGTGTGAAAGTCGCTGTTTGGTCTTATTTGCAGAATCGACAACCCGTCGCTATCGAATGCTCAGGAATACTCTTTTCGTCCAAGTGTCCTGCCGCAAGCTCCATTACGCCGCCGCCACTGGTTGTGGTGCCGAGGCGTCCGGTTCCGTCATAGGGCTCAGCAGCTCACGTCCACGCATCACAAGGGCAGCTGGATAGCCGCGCTCTGCCATGCGATCGGCCAGACGAGCAGCTTCAGCCTTCTGACCAGCTGCGACCTCTGCTCTGATGAGCTCGAGCCAGGTGCTCGGCTCTTTCTGCACGTCGCGCATGGCATGCGCGAGGTGATGCTGAGATGCTCGGGCGACCTCTGCAGGGGTAGGCTCGTGCGAGATGCCATCGCTGGGACCGGCGCCTGCGTGATGTTGACGATGTCCGATCGGATGATTGCCGATCGCAGCCATACCGACAGGCGGATCGCGCATCTCGTTGAAGACTGCACGAGCACGGGCGAGCCCTTCGCTAGTGCCTTCTGAACTGAAAGCGCGAATGACGAGGTTGGCCACATATGCCGTCAGGCCCACGCTCGAGTCCGCGCGCATCCGGTCGATGTATTGCTGCACCAGGTCCACGCGACCGTGTTGCAAAAGCACGCCCAATAGAGCCTCGTAAGCAACAGAGTCTGGCATAGCGCTGGATGGTTTGTAATGCACTCCGGCTTGCCAGGATGTACGTGCAAGTGTGGACGGGTGTCGAGCGATGGACTCAAAGACAGCGATGGCCCTGTCGACGTCCGCAGCACCGTACGCGTTGATGAGCGAAGCCCAGTGAGTGCCGTTGACATGCGCGTCTCCATCCATCACGAGCTGATTGAAGATAGACTCCATCTCTTGAAGCATGGGAGGCTGCAGCAGACCAAAAGTGTCAAGCAAGAGCTTGTAAGTGTGCTCGGATGGCTGCACCCGCAATCTTTGCATTTTCTCGTAATACAAAAGGGCTTTCTCGCGATCTCCATTGTTGACGAAGTACTGTATAAGTGTATTGAACGGTGGCGGGCGCAGTGGGTAGCGCCGGGACCTCGCATTTGTTTCGCCTTCCAGAATTGCAAAAATGCGTTCAGCATTCGCGATATCGCCCGTGCGCACGCAAGCATTGATGACGGAACCAATGGTCACCACAGTGGGCTTGAGGTCACGTCCTGGCTCTTGCATCTCGTGGAAGAGTTGCAAAGCGAGCTCGGCCTTGCGTGCTCGGGCGAGCTTCGAGATGGTAGCAGTGTACAGGTAAGCCGAAGGCACGCAGCCAAGCCGCTGAGACTCGGCAAACAGTTCCTGAGCAACAAGGGCATCGTCGGTAGTGTCGTTGATGTTGGCAATCAGCGCGCCGTACGCGCTGGCATCGGGTACGCGCCCTGCGTTGATGATGCGGTGACGGAAGATGGACGCAGCGTCTGTTTCACCAGCATGAGACAGAGCGGCCATCACCGCGTTTTCTAATCTGTACCAGGACTCGACTTGCCATTTCTGGTCGCCTCCGATCGACTGCACCAGAACAGAGCCCATGCTGTAGAGTTCCCATAGACGGTCGAGCTTACCTCGTCGTCCGGCATCGTCGATCAGCAGTTCCATAGGTGGGATGTCGATGTAGCTTCCCACTTCGGAGAGCAACTCTGTCACGCTCGTCCAAGCTCGGTCGCAGGCTTCGTGTCGCCTACTAGGGTTTTTGACGGACGATAAAGTATCGTGAATTCGGGCACTCTTGTCGAGATCGATCATCTGCACCTCGGGAAGAGGTCGAACAGGCAAAGGAGCTAACACGGGGGGCGGCAACAAGGAATGGGGCGCCGCGTCCGCGCCCTCCTCGGCATTAGAGTGCTCAAGAACCGATGTCGGTGCCGTAGAGACGGGCGAGCGCAGCTGGTCGTGACTGGACTCGCTGCTAGCAGTGTCGAGCAGAGTGGCAGACTCGGGTGCCGAAGCCGCGCTCGCAGCAGGCTGAGCGGCGGAAGGGCTTGAATCGATGCTTTGAGCAAATTGTCGGCCAGGCTCGCCGTGCCTCTGAGCTGCGATTGTTTGTACGCGTCCGACAAGCGCTGAAGCGTGCTGCGATTTGGCGAGCAAGCTGGTCCATAACATGCCAAGACCGTCTTCTTTGAAAGCGTTGAGGTCCTGCGAGTGCAAACGTTCTTCTTCGATGGCGAACGCTTCTTGAAGGCATTTGAGTTCGGTGAGTGTCAAGCCCTCAATCCATGCTGTGGGCAAATCATGACGAGAGAGCCGGAAAAGTTCGGTGAAGCGCTTTACGAGCTCGTCGTTCGACCAAAGGTCAGCGACCGAAGCAAAGGTGGCGGTGAAGATATATCGACAGGCACAGTCGAGCAAAGCGACTGGACTGGCATCTGCGGAGTTCAAGATTTGAAGTGCAGCTCCCTGCAGCTTCGATCTCGTCTGCTCATCGAATGCGCCCAGGCGGCCGTCTTGCAAGCGAGGTCCGCGGCGGGCAATCCATGTGAGCGTAGAAGCGGCATCTGTGGATCTGCCCGTCGCAGCAAGGCCATCAACGGTCTGGAGCACGGCGTGGACAAATGTCTCTGCACTCTGATCCTCAACGTCGTCTCGAGCTCCTAAGCGCTTTGGCTCGCTGACCAGAGGCACCAAGGCGATGTTCCGTTCCAGCAGCTGCGTAGCGTGTTCACGCTCTTCTCCAGTTGACAACGCTTTGGCTGTCGCTGCATTGAGCATAATGAGATGCAAGAGCGTTGCGAGGGCTTCGGGCGCTTGCTGTAGCGATAGTCGAGAATTGTCGTGGCCATCGAATACTGATTCAGCAGCCTCGTTGGCTATCAGCAAAGGTCGCAAAGTCTGTTGCGCATCTCGTGTGTACGCCTCAGGATCGTCTTGCTTGAGAGTGTCCACGATGAGCTTTGAAAGTTCGTAGAGGCTTGGCTTTGAGAGATGGCCTCGGGCCATTTGATGGTTCCCTTTTGTGAGGCTGGCGTGCTGCTCGTACCAGGAGCAGGCAGAAGCAACGTCTCCTGAGTGAACAAAGCCCAGAACAAAGTTTGACACCCGCGCACTGGCCACCTTGATTTGAAGTTTCGCTGCATCCCCTTCGAGATCCTGCGCTGAGAAATTATCGGGAGGCAGCGTCTGACTCAGAAGAGCTACAGCGCCTGGTGCATCGCTTGCTGCAAAGTGGGCTCTGACCAGAGCATCGAAAAGGTTGTCTGTATGCTTGTCAGTCTTGATGTCAGCATCTATTTGCGACTGCGCTTGTTGAAAGACTTGCAACAGGTGTTGCGTTGGTGCCTGCCCCTGCGCATCGCTTGGCTCCTCTATCAGAGCTTGAGCGGCCACGATGGAGTGTAGCAAAGGAGCGTACGCTCGAGCATGCTCGCGCGCATCTCTGGCGGCAGGTCTGCCCATCTCGAGCAACCTTTCGCACTTTTGCACGTCACCCCGCAGAGCAGCGACCTCCAAGAAGCTCTGCCATGGTGCGGCGTGACCAGCGGCGTGCGCAGCGCAGGTGAGTCTCCATGCAAGAGAGTAGTGCCGACCCGCTGCCACGTTCTGCGATCCACTTGCAATTTGAGCAGTCAGATCCGCACTTGTCAATGGTAATTTTTCTGGCAAAGCGCTGAGGCCGACTTGGCTGAGCAGCTCCGAACGCTCAGCGTTCAAGAGACAGGCGATGACGCAGTCGTAGGAGCGCCCATCGGGTAGGAGATCCACGTCCAAAAGGCGTTTCCAAAGGCCGATGGCGAGTTTAGCCGAGACAGTGGCGCCGAGCACATCCTGACTTGCGGATAGTAGCCTAAGGCATAGATTCAAAGTGGAAAGAAGTGCTTCTTCCTTTGGTAATTTGTGCACCTGACCAGCGATTTCAGTTATTCTGACTTTGATCCACGAGGGTCGTTCGCCAACTCGAAGCAAATGGAATAACTGAGTGCAACTATTTTCGATGGTCTGGATTGTCGAACTTTTCTCTATGAAGTGTTTTTCACTGGAGAATTTGACGGCATGCAGCGGTTGTTCCTTCTCGCTCCGCTGCAGTGAGTCCGTATCGCGCTCGCTTCGCGCTGTCGGTATTCTGATGCCTTTGGATGTGGAAGCAGCACGCCTTGTGGTAGGAGGCGGCTGGACCGCCTCGACGACCTCGGGATCCGCACGGCCGGAAGCTGAAGTTGTCGATAGGGAGCGCGAGCGCATCTTCTGGCGTCCCGAAACATCTTGAATGTGTGGCGATGGCGGCACTGTGGTGGAGGTGGAGGATGGGGCGGTAGCTGTAGAGATCGAGCGACTCAGCTCGAGACTTGGCCGTGCATGCGATGATGCCTCGCAGCCGTGCGCGCCGACGAGCATTGGCTGCTTGGTGTTGTTGAAGGCATCGGCAAAGCGTCTCTGAAATTGAGCGCTTGGGGATATTTGCTGCCTGAGCGCGAGAGCGCGTGAGCTCCTCTGCGGTTGCCTGTGCGCGAGCTCCTCCTCATCATCGAATCCTGTTGATCCATCGTTCGAGCCCGAAGCGGAAGCATTGGCGAGCGCACGACTCGAGCTCTAAACGCGAGAGGATGAATCGAGTGTCAGCCCACAGCGAATTCGAGGAGCAGGGTGCTCGAGGGCAGGTATGACCCACCTGAAAATGTGAATGCGCACCCCGCCCAGCGTGATACTTGGCGCCTCCGATTCCAGCTCCACTTCCACTACCGCTCAGTCCTTGCGCTGTCGAAGAAGCTGATGAGGATGCGCCCGAGCTGAAGGCATTGCGAATACCTTGTGCACCATTGTGTGCAGCAGCACCGGCTGCCGCGCCTCCAGCCGCTGCACCAGCAGCGGCATACCGGAGGAACGACGAAGCGAACTTGGCCGCTATGGGCATGGGGCGACACAAGTAGCCCTCTAGAGCTGTTGCTCGTGACCAGGAATAGCTGCAACGATGGTAGCTGCGTGGAAGGGCGCTTCAAAGGCTTGGGGATGATCGGCGCTGAAAGCAACGAGAGCTCAGCGCCACAAGTTGTGCGCAGACTGGTCGCTGGCAGTCTCGGTCGAGCCAATGTGGATGGACCGATTGATCGATTTGGAATTGCTCCGTGGCTGATGTGTTTGTCCAACCTTGTGGGTGATTCGTTGTCGTTGATCAGGAAGGTTCGCTGTAGGACGATGACCGCGCTGCAACGTCGACTCACACTTTTGACTTGAACGTCCAGATTCTCGCATCAAGGCGCGCGTGGTCGCTTCCAGAAATTCTGTAAGCTGATGCCCGCGATGCCCATGCATGCGGGCCCATTCAGTAATTCGGTGCAAGCCGGTCCGGCGGGCAACGGAGAACACGTGATCGACACACGTCCGACGCTGACGCGGCGTGAACAATAAATTCGAGAATATTTTCTGAGTAATGCCCTGGTTGCATGGTCTCCGCGAGCAGACATTCACTGATGATTCACAATTGTGATTTTGCTATCAAATCCACGTCCGCTTTCACATTCAAAATCGCGATTCACAGCCAGCACGACCCGTGTTGATTCGTGATTCGCTGACTGCTGATTCAAGATCGTGAACCTCGACTGTTCAAACGTCCATCGCCACGGGATCACTGAAAGCATTACATTTTGAAATGTTGCCCAATGTTTGGCGACTGTTGATGCCGCACGATCATCCTCGCCACAAACTTTACGCGCATTCGCACCAAGCTCCGACGCATCAAGAACACGCTTTTGAAGCTCCGCTCACGCCGAGCATCAGCGCCAGAGCTTCGGTGCGGGTGGGCGTCGAATGGTGAAGACGACCCGCATGTCGAGCTCCTCTACAGGTACATGATGACGACTGGCAGGAAGTCGAATCGGGTTGGCCTGAGCGGGGAGCTTTGCATGCGGACGTACAATCCAGGGCTCCATCTTCAGCTGGTCCCTGGCTCCATGGTCAGCAGGGAAGTCGGGTATCGCACCGCACAGCATGTATGCGGTCGCTCGTCACCCGGCTCATCCTTTCATGCTCCCCCTTTCTCTGCAAGCGGGCAAGACATCCCGTGGGCTCGCGCTCGCCACCAAATGTCGTCTCACAAGCTTCATTCAGCATGCGATATTCACAATCAAAATGACGCGGGCAGGACGGAAGGCAGTCCTGCGGGACGTCAATACCCCAGCGACCACAGTCACACGGAATGGGCGAACGAATATGCACGTCTAGTAGTGGGTGGGTCTTAGCGTGGTCTCGGCGTTTGTTACGCTCAAACACTTGGCTTGCTCGGCTGCGAGCGGATCTGCACCCGCCGAGATACCATTCATCGAGTCGATAGAGCTGTCATGCTCTTGATTTGCCGCTGCAAAGTCAAGCCGGGTCACCCTGCAGTCGCTGCGTCTTTCCACTGAAACACTACCTTCGCATTGGTATCGTGCTGTGAGCAGAAGAGCAGCGCAAGATCCGGCCAGTAGACAAATCGCATGGATGCGTTACGAAAGCCAAGTGCGGCTCGGTCATGATGCTCCTCTGCAAGCGCAGGCAGGTACAGTCAACTAGCGCGCATGAGCATGTGCCTGGGCGTCGAACCAAACGCAACAACAGCCTTGCTCACTGCTGTTGCTCTTGTCAAGGCCCTGACAATTGCCATCGTGACCCCGGTGGATTGCCTGCTATTCCTTCCGTCGGTCTCGGACTTCGATACTTGCAGTGCGCTCCAAGTTGGACAGATCATGCGGCTCATGCTGTTTGCTCGTATCACGATAGCAGCGGTCGCGAAGCACGGGAAGGTGCATTTTGTAAGTCATGTTGGACGCTCATGCCTGTAGGCACTGCAGCGCCCGTATGTGCCTTGCCTTCATTCAGCTTGTGTGCGCATGCCCTCTGGCGCAGCATCGCGTGATACCAAAGGATGCCCATGGCCTCCAATGAGAAGGCGGCAGTCACGACTTGCTTTTCGTACATAAGGTGGAGCAGGCAACAGTGGGAAACGACCTTTGACCGAAGCCTGGTCGTTCTCATGCGCTACTCAGCCCTTCTCCGCCGCGACTTTACATTGGCAATCCCTGAAAAGCTGATTCGTCAAACTGCACTCTGGTCACAGCTTGCCCAGCATGGAAGCAATCAGCAGCATAGCGGCGCATCGCAATCGTCTGACGATGCAGATGCTGTGTCCGCCGGAAGGATGTCCACAGAACCTCTATGTGGACGGCACGGCATGGTTCGTGCCAGGTGATCCTTGGCGAAGGCGACATGAACTGGAAGGATATCGACTTTCGCTGGGCATCATCTTCGGCATCTGGGCCTACGAGTACATCTTGACGTTCTGGTCAGAAGAGCTACCCCGCTGGAAGACCCTCTTCCAGGGCAAGATTATCCCCGTCAACATCTTGACGCTTATTTCTCGGTATTCGAGCGTTGCTGGCGCCGTGTCCGTCTGCGTCTATGCATGGAGACCAACGGCCAACAATTGTCAATTCATCCTTTCGTTCACCGTCGCCAACGTTGCCCTCATTTGGTCCACCACCAGTGGCATCTTCTTCCTGCGGATATGCGGTCTCTACCAGCTGCCCTCCGACAAGTGGAGGGTAAAAGCACCGATGCTTGGTCTTCTCGTCGTCGTCACCGGTCTGTGGATCGCAGCAGCAGCTGGATACAAGACGAGGCCGATTCCCGAAATCATTCAGCAGCCGTACTACAATGGCTGCGCACCAGCTCCGAGCCCCATGTGGCGCATCATGGGCTGGGGAGCATCGATGGTCTTCGACGCTCTAACTTTCGTCCTCTCACTGTATGCGGCCAAGCATCGTCTGTTCACCGGCAGCACGCCAATCCAAGCCGGTCAATTTGGCATTGAAGGCATTTCCAAGATCCACGCTCGCAGTACTGGACTCTCTCACTTCATTACAGTATCGGCATGGATCGTCTTCATCATCACCATGGTCGGAAATGCAGCTTGTTTCTTCACTCTCATCTTCTCTCGCAACCTTATCCTCAGCGTGATTCCCATCGCACCGTTTGCAGCTCTTAGGACCATGGTCACATCTCGACTCGTGTACCACTCGCATCTGTGGGCTGAGGGCAAATCGGCGCTTCTCACCATGCCTGCTCCCACCGTTGGTGCCGTGCGGACAACGAGCGGCTTTGGCATAGAGCATCGGGACGTCATCGGTCAGCTCTGGACCGTACCACCTCCGGAGACTAAGGAAAACGCGCAATCCGATCCCTTACCACCAGCTGCACTCGCCATTCCTTACACTCAACAGATCCTGAAGAGGTCCTCCTTTGATAGTTCCAGCTCCAGAGATCGACAAGTCGGCTCCGATGCTCGCCTGCACATGCGCGACCAGTTTGCCATGCAGCGTCAATACCCTTCAGCGGATCCTGCCGTCAACCAATTCCCCAAGGTACTCGATGCACCCTTCACGAGGAGAGGCAGCAACTTTTCCAGCGCCGAGACGCCGCCGACAAGGAATCAGTGGGGTCGAATGGATGAATCGGCCAACTTTGAGATGCATACAAGCACAGCCCGATCCCCTTCCGCCCAAGATGATCTGGAATCGGCAAGCTCTTCTTCTCGCGCGCTGCACGGATGGACGAGAAGCGAAAGCTGATTTGCCCCCATCGACATCTTGCTTCTATATAGAATGATGTAGTGAACGCCCTTTTGCACGTGCTCCTTCGATCTGACGCTGTGTCTCACACCCCTGTACCATCGGAACGTCACTCAAGAGCGCATCGATCGCTAATCTCCTGCAACGAAATAGATCTGTACTCCCTCGCCTTCTCCTTGCAATTTTCTGAGTGGCTTGAGTACTGCGGCGACTTGGCGGCTTGAACGATATAGAGATGGCAGAGGCGCCTGCAACAACCGCCCAAAGGTCTGACCCTTTGCGCCCCGGGGTCAAGAAGGGTCGTCGACAATTGCAGCTGACCTGCTGGTGGCATATTTGACCATAGAGAGTATTTCTTGACGGCCCTCCAGCACCTCCATCTCTCCCAGGATGCTGATGGCGACTGCGAGCGAGTGTTCATTACAGGCAAGCCAAGACCGGCATCAAGGCTTTTCGCAAGTGCCACTCGGACATTGCAACGCAAACCCTCCATCGTGAATGCCAAGCTTGAAAGCTCGCTGCAGCGCGAGCACTTGCGAATGTACGGCGAGGGGCAAAGCAAAGGATTTCATTTTGGAATCTGAATCACAAGGCACGAATCGGCTGCTCGGCACGAGTTGCACGACTTTAATTGAGAGAACCACACTCACGGCCGGCGGCTCGTGACTGACGCCTCTCCCGCTCTGCCGGCGGGTCGAAAATGCAAAGCGTGCTACGGCCCACGGCACGCAAACAACCCTTCGGCATAACCTCCACTCACACCCACAGACACCTGCATGCACACTCCGCACAGAGTAATCGTGACTTGTGACTGCGCAAATGAATAATGAAGGAGCTGATTGCCACTTGACGCTCATGAAGTATAGACACTGACTCGCGACTTGTCCTACCCATTCGCTTGCGATCGTGCAACCATCTAACGTCGTGTGGAATAAGCGATGTGCGCCTGACCATCCCTCGCCAACACGACCGACCCATCTCACATTACAACACACCTCAGCAGCATTGATCCCCTTCAAATCGACGCTGACACTCTCACTCATCATTAAAGCGTCTCGCTAGCAAACATGGCCGCACCCACAGGAGCCTCTGCCGATCCTCATCGTTACGCTTCCTCTCCCGAGCTGCCCATCCCAGACGAAGCTCTCTCCCTCTTCCGAACATCTAGCTACCTCAGCTCTCTCTCCACTACCGCACTGGTACAGCACATAATTCAAACAAGAGATCAAGTCTTTCCTCATGCGCCTTATCCATGCTTGGGAAGTTTCAGATTCTTGATGCCTGCTATACATACCTGCGGACCGCAAGGCACTTACAAAGCGTTGCTTGCCCATCTCAAAAGTCGAGCGGGAGGAGAGGAAGCAGGAGCACCTCCGAAGAAGCATTTGGATCTGGGTTGCGCAATGGGACAGGATACGCGCAGATTGATCGTGGATGGAGTACCCTCTGATCGATTAGTAGCTGCTGATCTGTCCAAGGACCTCATGGACGCAGGACACGCCATGTACGACGATGCATCAGCGCGAGAGCGAATCGGAGGTACAAAGTGGTTGGTGTGCGATGTGTTTGATGAGCAGCACGTTCAAAGAGTGCGCGACGAGGCGAGAGAGGATGGCGGCGGATACGGCAGCATCTACATCGGAAGCTTTTTGCACCTGTTCGATCTCGGTGAGTCGTTTGCGCGAGGAAACACATCTCACAAATAGATTGAATTTTTCGCTCATCATGCAATGCCCGCAGACGAGCAAAAGTCGATCGTCAAGACTCTAGACGGTCTCCTCTCGCATCATCCAGCTTCTCAGATCCTAGGTCGTCAAGTCGGACTGCCGCTCGGTCGATCCGTCGAGGAGAAGCAGGGCAAGTGGAAGGGGAATCAATCGACCGATAGGGCCTATAGACACGACATCGAATCCTTCAAACAACTTTGGGGAAGAGATTGGGACGTGTATGTGGAGGAGGAGGATTTTGGAGGTCGATATGGGGATGGAGATGTTGCGAGCAGAGGCAGCACAGCAGACCATGCCACTAAGCGGTTGCTATTCAGGATCGTGCGCAAATCTCATCAGAATGTATAGCCACTGTGACTCCCGCACACGCATGCACCCCGAGTCTCGCACACGTGCAAGACGATTGGAGCATCCAACACCATGACTTTGCCGCATGCAAATCGCTATTCACATTGCTGCACAAGTGTGCCTTGCTCATTCTGCTTTTCTTCCTCGCAATGCCGACACTCCTACAGGCCCTTGCTAGCCAGAGCCCCGTTGAAGGACTTGACTGCAGTGTAGAATGCTTGCTTTGCGTCCGTCGCTTGCTTGGTGTCGGCGCCAGGAGCAGCCTCGAGCACGAGGAGCAAAGTAGCGGTGGGCGTAGCAAAGAGGACGTTCTGCGAGATGAACAAAATGGCCGGCCAGCGAGCAAGCGGATAAGCGGGTGAACGAGCGAGCGACAAGAAAGGTGAGTACAACAGATCACAACAACCCTCTTGGCAGTGGGCGCGGGCGCACATACTCACCTTGTCGGAGTGCAAAGACGCAATCTCGGCTGGATACTGATTACCGCGAGGACCTGAAAGAGTGTACTCTGTTCCTCCCAACGTGATCTTGTCCACATTGGAAATGTCACCTGCAGGAGATGAGAGACGAGTAAAGATGTCCAACAGGTTGTTCACCTCTTCTGGAGCAAAGGCGTTGGCAAAGGATGGGGTGGTGCTACGAGGATGACAGGCCAAAGTTGGGGCACACGGGTGAGCGGGGATAAGGGTGTGGCATGGCACCACCAGGGCCTACTTGTAGCGGCGGGTGCCCACGTGAAGACGAATGACTCACGCGCCTACGGGTTGACCATCATCCTTGTCAAACAGCGCCACGTTGCTAACCACGCTGTTCTGAGATGCGAGATGAGTCTTGATGAGCTCTGCGGGGAGAGTGCCAGTGCGAATGTCAGCGCGGGCGAAAGGGGCTAGCCTCATTTGCTCATCCAAAGGTGTCGCTTGGAATTCATAGCGTCAAGCTGGATGCTTGCGAACGCATCCGCTGATCCGCCGCTCGCCCTCGCCGCGCTATCCCACGCGCTCCTCGCCCTCGTGACTTGCTTCGCCCGTCGCATCTTCTGAAACACTTGCACTCACCATCGAAATCAAAGTTGCTGAGCAGACTCTTGCGCGTACCGGGAGGAGCGTCCTGGATGGTAGCTTCAGTCAGCCCCTTTCCTCCTGGTGCTTCACCTCCTTTGCTGCCAGCCATATTGAGCGTATGTGTGAATGTGAGCGCTTTGGGTTGTGGTGTATTTGGCGCAAGATCTCGCTTTCAGACTTTTGACGCTTAGAATTGGTGTGTCAAGACACTTCGTACAGTCACGAATGGATGTGGTGAGAAGGCAAAAAGAGGCGGGAGCGGCCGAGGTTTGACTCTGGTTCTCGCTTGCGCACCCATTCTTCCATTGTGATTCTCGAAGCGACAAAAGCGCACAAAGGCTTCCTGTGATCTCCATGCAGAGCCATGACCTAGCACAACTACCACAGCCATGCGGAGACGTCATCCATCCTCCTTCCCTCGAAGCGTGCAAATCGCCAGTCACGGGTTGCGAGTCTTGAACACCCCCACCCAAGAGAAAAGGCAGCTGGGGGCGGGCGCGGGCGAACGATGACTCAAAGGTTCGATCAGTCTGAGCATCTGTGGTGTGTAGCGCTCCTTGACCGAATCCACGGTCACGAGTCGCTGTACATACACACACACACACACAACAGGTCTCGACGGGTGACTTTGTCAGAGAACATCGTCAATCACGAATGCCTTGATCCGAGCTGAACCCTAGCTGCTGCTCATCATCATCACAGATGCATGTGGTCTGTGCTGCTGACCAAACCCTGACAGATGATGCACATATGCATGCAGCTAGGCTCGCGCGCGGTGCACGCTGGGCCTCGCTACTACTCGTAATTTGCTTTGTCCGATCACGGCCAGCATGGAGCATGACTTCACCCGTGCGAGTGATGCGGGCTTTTCGAAGCGCACGTGACTTGCGATTGTTGGTCGCTCTATAGAGCTTGCGATCGCGAACGACCAAAGCGAGATGCGGGACTTGAAGGATGAAAAGGCGATGGATGCATTCACCGACCGAAGGATAAAGAGGTTGCTTAAGCGTTACGACGACCCAGCTCCATGGCGACTCTAAAGCTCCCACAACTCGCAAATCCGTCTGCTCTTTTGTCTTCCATCGGAAAGCTTTTGTGCCAGGCTGCAAGACAATGCCAGCCGGGGTGAATGCTCGAGTCCTGTGAGTGTGGATCGAGCCAAAGCAATCCAAGTAGACATCTCACTCCCTTCTCCCTCTCTCGCGCCCCCCTTCTCCCCAACTCGACCCTGCTTCCATACCACACATCCCTCAGACGGGACATCACAACGCGTCGAGCAGTAGCCTCCACCGAGCTGCTCCGTCGAGCCTACAAGTACTTGGCGCGCAATACGACCTTGCCAGCAAAGACGAGGCATCAAGCGCAATTAGGCCTGAACGCTTTGCCTCCTAATACGAGGCCTACCAGAGTGGTGGAGAGGTGTATCGCGACAGGCAGAGGAAGAGGAGTGATTACTGAATTTGGACTTTGCAGAGTGAGTCGTCCATCTTCTTTTTGGGGGGCTTAAGAGGGGGCGAGCGGGCCAGAAATGCCGCCTGAGATGGAGGGGCGTTGCATGGTTGCGCAGATCTTGGCTTGCTCGCATAGACGTTGCGCTGTGTGGGTCGTGATAGATGGATGCTTCAGTCGAATGTCAAGAGGAGCGTCTTCTACGTTCGGGCCGTACCTGCGACTCATCGATCTTTGTCTGACCGCTCACTGCCCGCCTTTGATCATCAGTACGCCTTCAGGAAGAAGGCGCTGGCAAACGAGCTTCAGGGCGTGCAGAAGGGTTCATGGTAGTCTTCTAGCGTCGGATCAATCCATGCCAAATCATTAGCCCAAACTGTGCGTTGTCAGAGAGCGAACGGTCAGGATTTCGAATTTTGACAGGGTATCGTATGTGCAAAGGTGTGGTGTAAGTGTTAAGTGTTGGAAAAGGCGCACAGTCACAAGTATGGTTCAAGCGTCTGTCGGGAAACGTCGCTCATCAGGCAGTCATCTTTGTCGCTGGGTCTGAGTCTAGGTCTCGCTTCTGTCAGACCAGCATGGAACTCAATCTCATCGAGCGCCTCAAATTCAGCGTCGGGAGCCGAATGTCAACGCTACATGCGGAAATGAAAAGGTGGTCAGCCGCTCTCTGTCCTGGGTTTCGCAGCACACGAACAAGCATCACTCACAAAATCTACGCAAACAAAAATTTCAGGGGCAAGAAGTGTAAAGTGCAGTCCTATCAGCAGCTGCGAAGGTCACAAACTCAACGCACGTGCACTCACGGATTGACGAAATCCTTCGGCGGGGCAGCGGGATTTTGGTTCGGGGTTGGAGGAAGACCTGGCCTGCCAGCGGTAGGGCCCGGCATGGGCATGGGCATTGGCATCGCTGCAGGTGCTCCTGCCCGGCTGTATGGACTGAGCATGCCACGCACGCCCGATGTGAAGCGGGAAGCTTGTGGTGCAACCAGCGGCACGTTGGCCATGCCTAAAGGAATCGACGCAGGGGGTACAGCCGCCGGCCTCGGACCACCATTGCCGATGTTTCTGGCGGTCGTGGTGGGCGGAGTAGCTTTTCCTGGCGCCTTCGTACCGGACTGAATCGAGCTCTTGGAATTGTTGGAGGAAGCGCTGGAAGACGAGACTGATGAGGCGCCGTCTGTGCTACTTTTCCCTTTGCTTCCGCTGTCACTTCCAACAGTGCTGGGAGCTGGCAGCTCGGCAGAGTACTTTGCTTTCATGGAGAAGAGCTCGGCGATATCCCTCTCCAACTCTCGCTTCATCTCGCGAATCTTGCCCACGTCTTCGAACATGCGCGAGATCTGATCGAAGGGGCGGAGAGAGGAGATTAGCACTCTAGATTGTATGACATCCGGAGCGCTTGGTTCATGAGACCCACCTCTTGCCCAAGAACGCCTTTGAGTTCATTAACGTGCGCATCGATGTTGTTTCTCAACATCTCTCGGCTTGCAAGCTGCACAGTCTGGATGACCTTGGCGTTGTGCTCAGCTGTGGCTCTCTGGACGCTCTCAGTGTACCCTTTGAGGGCCGCTTCGCTCTCAGCTTTAGCCTGCGCATCCGCTTGTCGTTGGGCATTCTGCTGCGCAACCAAAGACTCGATAGCTGCAGAAGATTGTGAGGCATTTTTGCCGATTGAGCATAGACCTCTACACCCTGTGGAAACACGACCTCACCTTCCTTAGGACTGAGTTCCTTCTCTTTTGCAGCGTTCTGTTGCTCTTTCAACTCTTGCTCGGCTCGGATCTGACATGCAGGCAAAGGCAGTCAGTCGGCGGCATACAAGGCGTCTGGCTGCGTCTTCAACAAAACTGACCTTTTCGAGGATGAGATCTGCCAGATCGTCTTGCTCTTTGGCTCGCACAGAAGAGTTCCTCTCCTCCTCGGCATCTCTCTCACTCTTTCGGCTGACTTCAGAGGCTGTACGACGAGCTTCCTCCTCCTCGCGCCGTTTCGCTTCCTCGTCCTTTCGCTCGAGCAAGTGCTTGAGAATCTCTTCAACAGCCAGAGAGAGAGCTGCAGTCTGCGCTGCAGCTACTGATGTATCTTGCTTGGTCGCCGTTGAGTCGGTAGTCACCGTTTCGGTCGACGTAGCTGATGTTGAAGACTTCGCGCTGCGGCTCTCCACTTCTTTGGCATTAGCCTTCGTAGAGGCACCGACAGTCACGTCAGATTCATCGCCATCGTCATCCTTGTCGGCGGCGGCTTTCTTTTTTGCCTCATCAACCTGCTCTGTGACCGTGGCTACTGCCGCGCTGCCAGCACCGAGCTCCGCTGCTTCTTTGATGACCTCTCTCAACTTGCTCTCGTCTCCCAGGGATGTTGCCTCCTTGAGCCTCTGCATTAGCGACTTCGGAACATCGATTTTCTCTGGCAACTTGCCAGTCTTGGGATCTGCCTTGGCACCAGCCTCTGCCGGACGATTGGCTTGACGCTGTCTTTCCTTGTGCGCATCCCACTCAGACACGGCTGCGTGGACTAAAGCTGCCCCTCCCGCCGCTGCTGCCAGCGGACCCAATTTGGACAGGAAATTTCGTCGGTCGGAGCGCTTCCTCGCGGCCTTTTCTTCCTTCGAAAGCTTCTTCGAGTTCGCACGTGAGCCCGAGTGTGCCCAGACGTCTTGATTACGCAGCGCTCCCGGCGAAGCCTCTGAGTGCCAAGTGCGCGTTCCAGAGCGTGATAAGGGAGCCGGGGTGAAGAGGGCAGGAGGTGCCCCCGCTGCGGCGGCATTGGGCGGAAACCCTCCCCCGCCTCCCGCTGCGGTGTGTGCGGTCCACTGTCCACCATTGCCAAAGGGCGGCGGTTCGCGTGGCGGTGGGGCTGCACGACCATCGGAAAGCTGATAAGATGCGAGGTCTGCGCTTCCAGAGCTCGTAGGCGGTGCTCCCGAGACACCTCGACTGCTCGTCGTCGCTGAGCGCTGCAAATGCTGATTGCCCGCGTCCGCAACACCAGGGCCACTTCGCGGTGCTTCGGCCACAGTCGTCGGTCCTGATCCAGTCTTGAGCTGCGCAAGCTCTTGATGGAGCTGAGATACGCCGCTGGTCAGTTCGCGCCATTCTTTCGACCTGTCGACGACGTCCTTCTCCAACCAGGTGTTGAGCTCATTGAGATAGCGAGCAATGTCTTGTTGCTGGGCTTGCTGCGCAGCGCGCGCCCCTTCGTTGTCTCGAATCGCCTGGAGGACTGCCTCTAGCTCGGGACTCGGCTTGGACTGCTCTTTGAAGGAGCCGGGGGACAAGTCGCACCTCTCGTTGCCGTATGAGCTTGGGTCAGGCATGGACATCCCCGTCGCGACCATACCAGAGGGCTGAGATGGTGACCGTTGGTCGCGTTGGACGAGATTGCTGCGAGCCCATCGGACCGTGTTGTCTTTCTCGGGTAGATCCGGTGCGCCATACCACCCAGCATTGCTGTTGCCCTGTTGTGTACCCCGTTGACGACGCACTTCTGCTTCCATATTGAGGCCAACTTGACTTGTATGAGGAGCAAAAATCGCCTTGGGAGGTCGAGCTTCGGACGCCGATGTAGATGGTGCAGCCCCATACAGGAAGACGTCGTCTGGAGCGCGACCTCTCAGAGTCGTAGCCTGGCTACGAATCGAAGGAGCGTAAGAGGAGGCAGCGTCCGTGTTCGCTGGAGTTGGGGGCACGCCTAATTCCGAGCGCCAGTCTCGTGCAGGCACTCTCTCGCGAGAGAGAGTTGAAGCTGACGAAGATGGAGGAAGCGGAATCTTTTCCTGGTCTTCCCTACTCATCTCGAGTGTAGCAGGTGCGCTAGTGCGGCTTCGCTTAGGTCGGTCGGCTAGAATGGCTTGATCGCGTCCATCGATGGGATCGCCGTCGAGATTGCGATTCTCTGGTCGCAAGGCTCGCGGTAGACCTGCCTCTCTCACAAGCTCTCGGAGTGTACCTCTTCCGTTTAGAGAGCTTGTGGTATCCACTTGGGACTGCATGCGGTCCAACAGCTTTTCTAGTGTCTCTTGGACTTTCAACAGCTCGTGATCAGAGCGAGTTGAAACAAGGTCGTCACCTTTTGGGACTGCAGTATCCGTCGCCTGAGCTTGCGCCTTCTCTTGAAGGCGCGTCTGTCCCTCGAAAACGTTACCGACGAGGCTCAGTACCCTGTCGAGCTTCTCTTGCACTGCTGCAAGCTCGGCGTGATCGTTGCGTCGAGGTGTCGAAGCACCTTCATCCTTGCTAGATGCAGTCGTGCCCGCGCTGCTTCTGCGCCTCGACGAGCTGCGCTCCGAAAGTTCGTGTGCTGTGGTGGACCTCTTGCTGGCTGAGGAAATTTTGCGCTGCAAGCCAGCGATCACATCCTGGAAAGAGCGAATCTGCTCTTCGAGATGTGCCTCGCGCGCTTCGCGTGCAGCCTGTTGTTCCTCGAGATAAGTGAGCAGACGAGCTACGTCGCCGGAGCTCACGCTTGCGCTGCCATTCTTGCTGCTCAGCGAGCTACGGGCAGCTATTACAGGCTTGGTAATGGACAAAATGTCCTCGCACTCTGCCGACTCTTCTGCCTTCGGTAAAGAGGTCCGGCCCTGCTTTCGCGGAGTGCGCTTCAGTGCAGAGGCCAGATCAGAGTGCTGCAAAGAGGGCGGCTTTACTTGTGTGCTTTGCGCCTGCGATTGAGTCTCTTCGAGCACTGTCTCAAGGAGCCGTGACTCTTCGCGCGGCAAATTTGCTGGCGCTGCCTTTGCAGCGCTTTGCGATGTCAATTCCAGTGCCGCACCGCCAGGCGCACGTTTGGGCCGAGCCTCCGCACTCAGATGCGCTGCTAGGTTCTGAAGGTCGGAGCCTGGTCGACTTATGCAGCTCGCTTCACAATCGCTTCTAGGTGGACGCTGGCTCGCAGAATCGCTGGGAACTAATTCACGGGATGACGAATCCCAGTCGAACTCGCTCGGGGGTGGAGAAGCGCGATCCTGTTCGAATGGCGTAGACACCACAAGCGCCGTGTCGTGAGAATTGTCCTGGACCGGTTTGCGCCAGGTCTGTGGACTCGCGTGCGCTCGCGGTGCTTCAGTGAGTGGCCGTTCTGGAGACGGCCTGTCCTTTGGTGGGACAGGTGGTGGACGAGGAGGCTGCTCATTACCGGATGATGGTTCGGATGCCCAAATGCCTGCAATGCGCTGAATCGTCTCCTTGCCACTGCCACCGCCAGTGCTCGGAGAGATGGGGTCAGACTGCGCAGATGCAAGTACCTGGGACTGCGATTGCCCCACGAGCAATTGCACAGCCTGATTGACGGATACCTGATTATCTCCACAGGCTGACGGACTCTGACTCTCGAGCACCTGCGTCTGGCCTTGCTGGGCAGATGTGTCCCTGCCCTGCGCCATCCCAAGCGCCTCCCTGAGAAAAGAGATGCAAGCAGTACAAGAATCAGCAGTCGTGAGTGTAAAGCACGCGTCCTGCCTGCAGAGACTCCGCACTGCTACTCACCACGCTGCTGTGATCCATTGCACGCGATCGATAGCCCTGTCGACCGCGATGCGCTCTACACCATCATCAAAAACAAGTTGAAAAGCGTGAATGTCTCCCAGACCCTGGGCAAGAGCGGTCTGTGCTGCAACATCGTGCTGGCTGTTTGGATGCACGGCACTCGGCAAGGAGAACACCTCTAAGCAAGCTCGTAGGTCCAAGACCACATTTTCGCGCCCTCCGCCGCGCGGTATCCAGCTCAGGGCCACGGCTGTAGGCAAAAGGATCGCCTGAGCGCGCTGCCAATGGGGTTGCCTGTGGTGCACGTTAAAGTAGAACACTGTTCCTTGACGCAGCGGAGCAGCTCGTTGACGGTGTTCTCCGATCAACTCCAATGCACCTCGATTGTCCAAAGGCAGGCGACCACTCTCTACATTCTGGCGAAAAGATGCTTGGGTGCCGTGTGTACGAGCGCTGAGTGCACTGCGGTCGTCTGACATGCGTCGCGCTTCAGCGACTTGCCCGCCGCTTTCACCACTGCGCCATGCGCTGGGTGGGGCTTGAGCTTCAGCAGCGTCTGAAGCGCGAGAAGCTTCACGCAAAGGATCTGATGGAGTTGCACCCCTCGAGAAAGCGCGTGCGAGATTGCGCACACCTCCAGCAAGGCTGACGCTGCCGGTGCTTCCGCTTCCCCCTCGTCGAGTAGGACTGGACCCCGCAGATTTTGTCCCAGCTGAAACAGAAGGCGGGCCCTTCGGGTCAGCTGTAGGGCTAGCATTGGTGCGCTGCCTCTCAGCAGAGGTCCTGCGTATGTGCAGCGGAGAGGTTGAGAAGCCGAACAGCGAAGGAGAAGGCTTTCGAGAGCCGCTGAGTACACGTCGAGGACTGCGAGAGGGCGTGCGCGTCGGCCCGTCAAGCGTGTCCAGAGGTCCGGGCTCCCTATTCTCCTCGTCTGCTACAACTTGTGAGATCATCTCCGCGCCAACAGCAGCGATGCGAGCTCTGGAGGCTGAGACCTGCGCTCTTCTCCGGAGCGCCAACTTCGAAGTCTCTGCCGCAGCGTCGCTCTGCTCTGGAGCGGTTGACAGCTCATTATCGACCCGAAACGACAATTTCGAGCTGGGTGTGATAGAAGCAGGTGAGCTGACTAAAGATTCAGGTTTGTCGCGAAGAGCCTTGCGATATCGCTCTGCAATCTCCTGCGATGGTGTGTGCTTTCCAAAAGGTACTTCAGCAGCCCGAGACTTGGTAGGCTTTGGCTGTGCCACTGCCTGTGCACTTGGCGCATTGCTTGGGCTAGGGACCGATTGCATTTCTTGCTCAAAGAAAGCTATCAGGTCTCGCGCCTTTGTAGGTGTCCCGGGAGCGCGAAGTTGCGAGCGCAAAGCAGGTCCAGCTATCGCCTTTTCGCTTTGACTATTGCTGATCGAGTGACCCACGGCGAAAGTCGAGTCACTCAGGGCAGGATGCAAAGAACGAAGAGATCTTGTCGAATCATGAGCAGGGAGGTCGCGCTTCTGTGTCCTTACAGGTGACACGAGATGCGACGTGGCTCCGGGTCCAAGCGAAGCGTCTCGATCAGTGTGGCTTCTCACATGTGCATCCAGCGCCGCTATACCTAAGCCTTCCAGCTGTCTATCTGCTCGTGCAGCGTCGCTTGGGGTCTCAGATGGCGTGTCAAGGTCACCGATTTGTTTTCTCACCGCCTCGGACGTCGCGACTGGAAAGGTCTTGATGTCGCGTGCCACATCATGCGTTTTGGCGCTAGACCAATTCGAGGACTCGGAGTAGGCGAGCTTAGATGGACTAGATGGAGCGACTTGCTCAAGGGGACTCGCGCACTGCTGCTTCGACACCATGTAAGTGGCAGCATCATATCCAGCCGTGGTAGGTGGAGTGCCTGGACTCCTGACCAAACCAGCCGTGGTAGGGGTTGGAAGGAGAACACTGGCACTTCCTTTGTGGATGCTGTGGATGCCCGAGCTCACAGAAGTTGCTGCCGTCATATCCGTCTCGAGTCGCCTCAGCATGGGTGGATAGGGATGATGCCTCCCATGCCCACCGGCGGTGCCCAACTTGTGGCTGTAGAACTCGGGGGGAAACGGCGAAGCGTCGCTGGACATGGGCAAGCCAGGAGAGGTCGGTGCAGTGGATGGAGACCTCTGTTCCATCCTGCTCCAAAAGTTCAGACCACTTCCGCTCTGGCTCATGTGACTTCCAGCGAGGGTGCTTGAATTTGGTGAAAACGGTCCGAGATGCGCGGACCTTTGCCCAGCTCGACGAGGTGGCGGGAAGCGAGGCCTTGCGGCTTGTTCAGAATCGCTAGCGATTGGCAAGCGTGGTCCAGCTGTATCCATAGTAGCTCTATTTCTGGCTTCTCGGCTCATAATACTGCTGCTTTGGCTATTCATGCTCGTCACTGAAGAGCTTTCGGCGGTAAGGCTCCTTTGATGAGCTGGTCGAGGACTAGTCTGGTGGGCTGCTTCCATTCCGGGGCTCAGAGAACCCTCCGCGGCCGAGCAGAAAGATCGACCAGATGCTGCGCTGATGTGGGAGCCGCTGTCCGAGGAATGTGCATTCACCACTCGCGAGTCGCCCCTCTGCATTGCCATTACTCTTTCTTTGACGCTGCCGGAACGGGGTAAGCTTGGCCGAGGGGCGTCTAGCCTGCTGTGTACGTGTTGCTGAGGTGATGATTCTGCGTGCTCGGACGCGTTGCTCATCTCCTCGAGCATGTCGAGCACCGCTTGCTCTTCTGGCCCAAGAACCCCTGAAGAGATCTCGCGTGCCAGCTAAATGGAGATTGACAGGTCAGTACCGGCGACAGTCAGCTCAGCGGCGACGAGCATACTCACAGACTCTGCAACCAGACGGTCTTGATGCTGAGGATCGAGTGCGCTGCATTGCGCACGTTCGATGTCGTCATTGACCACCATTAGTGTTCCATCTGTTCCACCAGCAACCCTTGCGTCTTCTGCCGCCCTATCTCTTGCACTCATGACTTCCGCAGCCCCATACGGCACCTCCAAGCTCGTGTACGCGACTTCTGAATCCGAGTCAATTGAATCGCGCTTTGCGTATAACGAACGTGCCTTTGTCACCGAAGACTTTGGAACGCGAGCACCGGACTCTTCCAAGACGAGTTGAGAGATCAGCTCCTTCTCGCTGTCGTCCGAATGTGTCAGATTGGGTGTGGAGCTGGAGGCGACCTTTGCCAGAGGGCCCGCAAGGACGCTTTTCGCAGCTTCTGCTTTGTCCCTCAGAGCCTGCTTGGAGAACATTGCTCTGTTGACCATACTCGTCACCCAGCGACTTGTGGATCCAGCCACAGAGCGCACGCTGCCAGTGGTCGAGAATCCCCGCGTAATCGCAGGACTGCTTGGCTGAAAGGGATAGACAGTGGCACTCCCCAATTTGAGCTGCGCACTACTGGGCCTGACCGTTTCTATCGACCTGACGCTTGGTGTTCTGTCAAGGTCGTGCGGAGCAGCAGGCCGGTGAAGCCGGTGAATATCGTTCTCTCGATCAGAGATTACTATCTCATCGCCTACGCAGTAATGGTACTGGCTGCCGTGGTCAATGCACGTTGCGGCGCTGGTAGTCGCGTCTGAAACGTCGGATGTGCGTGGCGCAGCAATTGTCTGGGCTGCGATATCGGACAGAGCGAGCCCGGAAATGTTATCTTCTGGCAGGATGGAGGGATCAGGCGTTGCTTCTGTATGAAGTGTGGAGTCAGCTGCGACAGATGCGACATGTAGATCTGTTGATGGATCGCTGGGTGGTGACAAGTTTGGCAAGTCGTTGTCTTCGGGAAGATCTGCGCTGCTCGATTTGGATAGTGTCGGAGTCGAATCTTGAATTCCTGCGGTACGGGGACAGGCTGGGCCGTCGTGAAGATCCAGCTGAGCTGCAAGTAGTGTATCAGCATCAGACTGCTCCAGCACCGTCAACGGCACGTCCCCTTCTCCACTCGAGCAGCCTTGGCCACCCTTAGAAGCCTCCTTGTAGGATTCGGCGCTAGTGAAGGTGTTGACTTCGGAAGACGCGTCTGGCGCGTCTTCCAACACTGGCAGGCTGCCTGCCGTGGTGTTGTTCTCTCCGTTTGCAATGACCGAATGCGCGTCTTGCAGATCATCCTGCATGTCTCTGGCAACATCTACCAATATGGGTGCCTTCGGCAGAGGGCGCTTTGCTGTGATGCCGTGCATCTCTGCTGAGGCGCTTTGTTGCTCTGCACCATCCTCTTGCGCCATCGGTCGCGCGCATGTGGGTTCCGTAGGCAAGCCTTCAGCTTGCACGCCACTTTGAAAGGTCGGCTCGTCGACTTTGACCACTGGAGCGACATCATCGTCAGCAAGTGACTCCTTCTCGGCGCTAGTGGAGGTGCGCCGTGGCGAAATGGCTGGCGGCTTCGAACGTAGCTTTGGGCGAGCATCCGCGTCCTCTGTTTCGGAAGTTGAGTCCATCGTTACTTCAAAGGCTTGCAATCCCTCTCAATCACGTTGGCAAGCTCAAGGAGAGGGTCCAGGGGCGTTATTTCGACTGTTGATGGAAACAATACGCGCCTCGAAAGACATGGAGAGAGCGCAGGTAGGCTTTTCCAGGATACGCTACAGGAGACGACTCCGCGTGGCTCAGAGAGGTTGCAGACGTATGAGGCGGAGGACTGACCCTGGTGGGTCTTCATAGGGGATGCAGATGCAGGCGTAGACGAAGCTACAGCCACGAGCCGTGAGTCACAAGTCACGATGAGGGCGGGTGGGTGTGCGCATGCTGCCAGCAGCTATGGACGCCTCTTCGCGCCATAGCTGTATGGGCTGCTGCGCAGCAACCAGCAGCAGCATGCACTTTGGGTGTCAGCAAGCAGTCACCGCCGTCGCCAGTGCAGGCTGCGATGAGTCAAAACCAGCCGCGTGCGTGCGAGTGCTGGATGCTCTGCTGCGTCGCCATAACGTCTGGCTCCGTATTTTGGGTCTCGCCGCGGTGGGGTGCGCGTCTCTTCTCGCGACGCGCCATATCCTCCAATCGCGTGTGCAGTGTGGGTGCCGCAACCCGCAAGAGCGTGTGCCCTATAGATCAGTCAAGATTGGTACGCTTCAATCGCAAGCAGGAATTCACAGATCGATTAATGAGATCAACTTCCACCGCCAGCATCATAGAAGCGATGGAAGGAACTTTTTAGTGATCCTCACGTCAGCCGCTGCTGAAAGTCAGTGCCTTCCGAAGTGTCCTCACTGTGAACACAAGACTCCGGGATTCCGATTGGCAGAAGACGCAGCTCTCAAACGCATGCGATAGGTACTGCATGGTCCGAGTTGAGCACCTTGACGTTTGCTACTTCTCACAACCCTAAGGAAAGTAGCCGCCATTGTTGACGTGCACGACCTGTCCGGGCGTCAGGCAGGAAAGTAGTCAGCACCGTTAATCACAGGCATCGAGGAACGGCATGTCGGTATGTAGCACACCCACCTGTCCAGTCATGCAGTTAGTGTAAACAGGATCGGCCAGGAAGACAAAGGCGCCTGCTAGTTCAGCCGGCTGTGCGGGTCGACCTGCGGTCAAGTCAAAGACGTCCAAAGACTTAGGAATGAGCTAAGGTCCGGACTCTCCGGACCGCTTCCCCGCCTTTCAGAGGCCAGTCACTCACCGTGCAGAGGAATCGCACCAACGCCCCAACCTTCCATGCTTTCTGCTGTTCGGGACGCCGGCTGCATGGGCGTGTAAACGGGCCCTGGTGCGACTGCGTTCACGCGGATGCCCTTGGGGGCAAGCTGGCCCGCAAGTGCTTTAGTGAAAGTAACGATTGCGCTGAAGCAGTCACAGAACACGATAGATGGATCAGCGCTTGAGCGGTGACCCGGATCTGAAGGCCAGTCTCACCCTTTGGTGGCGGCGTAGTCGGCAAATCCGATGCTGCCCTTGTGAGCAGTCACGCTCGCATCGTTGATGATTGTGCCCGCACCTCGCTTCAAGTGTGGCAATGCGAACTTGGCAAGAGCAATCATGGCCACGATGTTCGTCTGGAAGGTATTTTCGACGTTTTTCAAATCGATCTCTGCAAGGTCCTTGCACTCGATCTGCTGGCTTGCGTTGTTCACCAGGATCTCCAGACCTCCCCATTGTTTGACGTGAGTGTCAATCAGGCTCTTGCAATACGCGTGATCCTTGACGTCTCCTGGCACAACGATGATGGACTTGCTGCCAGGTCCTTCCTTGACCAGCTGCTCGACCGTCCTTGCATCCTCGGCTTCTTCGGGCAGACACGCCAGAGTAATCTTTGCACCCTCGCGAGCGTAGAACAGCGCAATGGCACGGCCGATGCCACTATCGCCACCGGTGATGATCGCACGTCGACCTTCAAGCTTGCCCGTGCCTTTGTACTCCGTCAAGTACGGCTTCCCGTCATTGTCCCAAGTTTCGACCTGGTAGTGCGCCGCTCCTGGCTTCATGTCCTTATCCAGTCCAGGGCCTGTTTGTGACTGCTTACTTGGTATAGCATTCGGGTACGCAGTAACAATGTCATGTTGCTCCTCCAAGTGCGACTGTTTCCCGTGGATCTTGTCTGAGTTGCTTGACATTTTGGGCTGTCTAGCGGAGGGTAGCAGGTATGACGTGGGTAATGTGGGCGTGTCTCTCAAGGCGCTGGCTACTCGACTTGCGTGCGTGATGGTAGTCGTAATAGTCAAAATTTGATCTGGTTTCGGTTGTGCTTGAGATTCATATTCTGCACCACCCGCCATGTCGGACCTGCGAATCGAGCTCGCAGTCTTCCCACGCCTGTGCCCGCACGTCATCACCACTGCCTCGGCACTGCGGCCCGTTGCGAGAGCTCTTCAATCATAAGATCAATTGTGCGCTCGCTGAGACTGCCGTGGCTGCTGACCAACAGCTTGGCCAGGGCGCGCATGTTGGATTTCCTGCCCGATATCAAGGCGGTCTCGCTGTAGGCCCCACCGGTCGTTGAAGCTGCAGATGCAGGTCATGAGACCATCCATGCCATCACGATCGAGGCTATGCCATCGGCGTGTTCCATCTCCATCATGCTGGGCTGGTGACGCATGCAGCTTGATGAGAAATTACGACTCGCCTCACAGACTGTACCTACATACTGAACATGCCTGGCGGGCTTTCTTTTGTGTTGGGCAAAAGGTGATGGATGAGGCATGAGGCAAGCTTGGACCCTGCCGAAGCTAACGAACGCCACAGCAGGGGACGGGCCAGTGAGTCGCGACTGCTGCGTCACCATTCACGACTGCGTTCCCACGGCTCGCCGCCCCTTCCGATCGCGGAGTGCAGCTGGACAGAGCTAAGCTTGCTTGCATGCATCATGGTGACTCGTGACTGCTGCAAGCACGCGTCACAAACAGAAGTCTCATTCGTGATTAGACGCAAATCTCAAGACTCTTCTAGCCAATCGTGAATGTAGGGGCTAAGAGAGCCTGTCGCCTTCTATCGCATGGAGCATCTACAAATTTTCATCAACAATGCCTTCATCCTCCTCGCGTTCTGCCTATAATGATCCACGCAGGTGAACACCGTTCAAGTCGGCATAGTCCTTGCCAAGATCTCCAAGCCGAGCTCTGGAATGCGCTTCCGCCGGAGCCATGGGCTGTCATTTTGATTGGCTGCTTTTAAACCTAACCCTGGGCAAGAGAGGATCCAGGCAGCGGTCATGAATGCTGATGGAAGCTTTCGCGACCTGGGGTGGCCTGCACAACGAGCTGCCAGCACCCTGGTTTGACTGCAAAGGATTGCGCGCCACCTCGGGTTCGCTGTGGCTCATCCGTCTTCGATGCGCACCGTAAGGAAGCCTCTTGATACAAGATCCAGCGCTCGCAACAGCATCTCAAATCGAAAGACCGCGTGTAGTAAGTATTCTTGAAGGAACGCGCTCCGAGCCGTAGTAGTACGTGCAAGACTCATCAGACTGTGGCGACTCGCACAGGTGGAAATCAAGGTCTTGGAGCCAGCCGCGCAATCGTGCAATGTGCGTGGACTCATCCCGGCACCTAGCAACGCTGCACCTTAGCTGACTGGCGATACACTGAGCATCGCTCTAGCCTCGCAACATGCCTGCCCCTGCGCAGTTGAGGAGGCTGCGCGCGGGAAGGCGTCGAGGACCAGTCGTGAGTGGTCTTCTGCGCAAAGCGTTATGGCACCGACACGATGAGCGACCGGCAGCAGGGCGCAGGCGCAGAGAATGTCTGTGTGGGGCGCTTTACTCTGTGCAGAGCCCCCAAGGCCTCCTTAGGCCTGAGGATCAACATCTACAGACAGAGGCCACCCAGTCTTGCTCAGATCGCCATCCAAAGCTCTTACATTTGCTCACCAACCACATCTTGAGCGATGGGGGACCGGTTCATTCCTCGAGCTCTTCGCACAAAACTTTCTGAACTTGTGGAGAGCAAAATGGTATCGACATACACAGCTGACTGCTGGTGGAAGGGAGTCTGGATACACGAGCAGAGTGTTGAGGCATCGCTCGATCAATCATGGCATATGAGCGGCAGAAAGCATGCGTCGATTGATCACAACTCAGCTCTTCGAGACGAGTCTGTCGCAGCTGGCGGCGTCGGATGCTGCTATATGCTGTGTTAATTCACGATTGTGACAAGCGCGACAGCAGCTGTTGCATGGCTCTGAGACATGCTACCAACGGCACGGCCATCATTAGTGAGTGCATGGTATGGATTGATTGCCAGCAGCATATAGCAAGCTGGCGGCTGTCCGGCGCGGCGCAGTCAGCAGCCTTCAATCTTGAATGGTGAATCAGAATCCGACATCAACCAAATAAGTGCGCCACGACGGCCCGCCCGACATGCATGCACATACCAAGGTACAATCAACTACATATATGACTGCTTATTAGTTGCTGGATTCCAATTTGGGTTCGCACTAATTGATCGCTGCTCATCAGCAGCATTGCCGATCGCGCTTGGTCTCACCACGGTCTCGGTGGATCTACGCCAGAAGAACGCGCGGCATCATGATACTCACGACCGACTCGCGAATCGCACACCCGCGTGCTGCCGACATGATCATCGTCAGCAGCAGAGCGTTCTGCCTCTCACTCACAGCGATCACAATACGAATACGTGGATGCGCTTGTTTAATTCCGATCACGATCTGAATCCGAATTCCTCTCGACGAGTCCGCACGTCGGTCCGCTAGCTTATAGTTCGCTAGCTGCTTCAACACGTCGTCGCAGTCTCAGTACAAAATACAAGCACGAGCATATTTAAGGCCATCGCGGACGCCTTCACCTCGCGCGCGCGGGCCCTTGGCTCTCTGGGTTTCGACTCTCTTTGGCCTGTTGACAACGCTCTGTTTGGATGCGTCTCACAATCCTCGGCGCTCCTATCAATTACAGCTAGCTCTGCGAGCTGCTCTCACGACTTGCATCGCCTTACTCTGTGGGTCGAGATCCTGCTCGGCCTGGCTCCTTTCGCACGTCCAACAACGTCGTCGCAAAGCGCTCACGACCTTCTCACGGTCACCGCAGCCGCGGTGGACCCTTCATCTCGAAGGAGCACTCAACCAATCGCGAACCCCGAAGAGGCCATTACTGCATCGGGAACCATGCCTACTGCACAGCAAGATCCTAGAGAATCAACGCCTCCCAGGTCGTCGCGAGAGTCGAGACGAGAAGCAGCCCATTTCACGCCAGATGATCCCGGCAAAGTCTTACAAGCACGGATCAGCCCAGCGGTGGAACGTGGGCCTTTGGTTGGCAATGCGTTCAATAGACCTTCGCAGAGAAAACAAGTCCTCGATGCCTCATCTCATCGACCGCGCGACATTGGTCTTGTTTCGTCATCGCTCCTCGAATCGCGCGTCGACAGTCATGACCACGACCGACCCTCTTCGGCCCTGGCTCTGCACCCGGCGGAATCAACGCACTCATCTCCCATTCGTCCGGCTCTGCGTCCATGTCGTAGTGTCGACAAGATGCATCAAAGGCAAGCTTCTCTTCAACCCATACCGGAGCGGCAACGACGAGACCTGGCGCTCGAGAGCAATGTCACCCCGACCAGACCCCTTCGTCTTGGTCAACGAGCCAGCGTTGGCAAAGAGCTGCACAGCGAATCCTCTGATACTGATGACGCGGCTGAACATGATCCGCCCGGCAGTTGCGGCCGCATATCCCGGAGATCTTCTCGGGACGTACGAAGAAGTAGCTGGACGAGCGCCAAGCTGTCTTCGCCGCAAGGCTCGGTGGATGAGCGTTTGCTCCATCGCAAATCTGCACTCTCTGTCCTCTCGAATACACACTCTTGCTCTCGCACCTGCGATATGACGAAGCCCAGCATGTCGAATGCTACCCTGCACTCGCGTATCGATTGCTCACCTCTCGACGAGCACACAGAATCAGGTTCGCGCTCACAAGCAGCACTCCTCTCGGCTCTGCTGGCCGTGGGAGATGCTGAAGTGGCGTTGCGCCAGGCTCGCGAGGCTCTTGAGACCGCCTTTGCACATGGACAAGCACAAGCCAGCTCGCAAGTGCCTCGCAGCCGAAGCAAGCCATCCTCATCCACCACAAATGGCAACTCTCCGTTCAGAGATGTGCTCTCCATGCCTGCAAGCACGTCCATAAGTAATACAAGCCCTGACGTGATTACGCAGCAAAGCCAGCGCGAAGCCGACCACAAAGATCCGGCATCTCCGCAGTCCTCCGCTGCTGGTTCGACACCTCGAGTCGTCAAGTCTTACGAGTCTCTCAGCTCAGCAGCGGTTTCTGGTCAAGGCACTTCGTCCAGCGTAGGCGTCGTCCAATCTTGTGAGCGCACACAAGCCATTGAAGGACAGTTCGCAGCATCCGTCGCGTCGCCTACCGTCTTGGCACGTGCTGCATCGCTCCTTGAACGACGCCAAAGAGAACGGGTAAAGGCTCAAAACGCCATGCTTGAACGCTTCGGTATGGGATCAACACCGTCTGCAATCGCAGAAGAAATGGAGAATTTGGCGCCGGCATCTGAGCAACGCAAGACTACAGCCGAACGTGGATCTGCCGCTTTTCACCTCAGCTCTGCGCAGGTGCCGTCCCTGCTTGCTATCGAACTACCCAAACGCAGACCGCCCCACGCAAAAGATGCACCGACGCGCGAAGACCCTGATAGTGACTCCTCTATTTACAGTCTCGGGCCCGACAGCGGTCTTGCCACTGCACGTATCACAGAAGCTCTGGCTCGCGCTGCTAGCATCACAAGAAGGGGTCAAGAGCACCAGCTTGAAGCGCGACAACACGAGAGGCAGGGTGCCGACGGCGCAGAAATAGCTGACGGTCCATCGCTCTCTGCCGCGAGCACCGAAGATGAGTGCGTAATGATCAGCGCTTCTCTGACCCCACGAGACGCATCCGACATGTCGCCAAGGCAAAGTCCAAGCAGGACTGAAAATCGCGAGAGCACTTGCGCGACACCATCACGAAGACACTCCATCAACGTATGGTCCCCCGCATTCAATCCGGACGAATCACCTCACCAGCTCCAAGGTCATCCCTCGCCAGTCTTTGGTTTTGAACTGCGATCAGGCAGGAGCAGCATGTACAGCCTCAGCGCGCTTTCAGCACATGCGCACGCCAATCGAACATCGATACGTCTTTCACAGAACTTCAACGGTACGGCAGACTCCGACCTCGGCATCAAGCGAGATTCCAAACTAGTAGCTGGATCAGCCACGACGGGCTCGGATCTAGGCACCGTGCCGAGCTTGAAGGGAGAGAAGCCCCGTCAAGATCCCCTTGACACCGTGTGCGACGCCAGGCCTAGCAGCGCTCAGGCGCCTGCGAGCTCGGAAAGCTTAGTTGACGACGACACTGGTACGTACATGGCTGACTAGCAAATTCAGCAGCTTAGGTAGCAGCGAGCGTCAATGATAGCTGACATATCAGATTGTTCCACACAGATGAAAAGCTGTCAGCAGCCCGCGCAGATCTGCAATTTGGCCATTCGCGCCCGTCCAATGCGATTCTCGAGAGTACAGAGGATGTGGAGGGCAGCATTCCTGACGAGTCGGATCAAAGCATTCCGGATGCGGCTCTCTTCCGGCCACATGAACTCTCGCAAATCGTGGAAGTGGACGAGCCCAGCAAGACGATGTCGAGTCGTCTCTCTGTGACTGCATCCGTGACAGCCGAGCTATCACGCAGTTTTTCGCGCTCGACTGCACGAAATGGAGGAAAGCGACAATTGAGCTGGACGCCCGTATCTCAAATCGAAGCTGCTGATTCCTCTGCGCGTTGCCCTCCGCCTCCCTTGGAGCTCGAGGAGGCGATGCTGCGGGCTAGCATTGAGCCCGCCTGGAAGACGCCTCCGGCTTGGGCTCGGCAGGATCTGCCATGGGAAGAGCTACGTGTATGCTACGACACGGCCGAGGTTGCAGGCACAGTTGACAGCATGCAACCAGCACCGAAAGTAGCGAGCTCTCACGCCGTTCCGTCCTCCGCTCGTGAGATCAATGCCGGAGAGCTCGGTGGCCAGGATGATGCACCTGCGGAGCACCACGCGTCGAAAACTACACCGCGAAGAGAGCCGAGGGCAGTGACTTCGCTCATCGACACGACCGGACCTACTCCCGAGTGTGCTCGAGTCCTAGCAGACATCATGGATGACTCGGAACAAGCAGTGGGAGCTGGGCACTCCTCAGCAATCGATCACTCTGAGATCGTTGGCCCTGCTTCGGACACTTGCCCCGAAGGCTGGTCGATATCATCGCTATCGCACTTTGCGGCGCCAACCGGGCTCAATGAATCGCACGCGCCTCCGAGCGAGCTGAGAAGATCCGATGCATCCCCTTCCCGCCTCGGTGCCCAGGCGAAGCCTCTTCTTCGGACAAGGGGTCCAGAACTATCTGGTGCGGGCGACACACGTGAGAATAGCCTCGGTCTTTCGACGTCGCAGCTGGTACAGAGCCACTGGAGTTCTGACACTTCAGCGTTCAACATCAATGACAGCTATGGCGGATTTCAGCTCCGCAGCGATCTTGCCACTCTAGCGGAGAACGGGCGCACCTCGTTGAGGCTGGAGGTGAGCGGCTCAGAAAGGGGACCCGGAAGGTCGTCGCAAATCTCCAGCGCACACACTTCTGAAGGCCAGACGCGTTGGAGTCAAGAGTCAGCTTCGGACGTAGCACCAGAACGCTCCGAGTCTCGAGTCGACGATTTGCATCATGGTCGCCAAGAATCGACCTTGCCCCGAACGATGCCAGCGCAAGACTTTCCAGGTCAACATGGGCAGACAAAATCAAGCTTGATATCATCGATCCTTCCAAAAGGTCTGCACGCGCGTGAGCACGGTCATTTGCAATCTTCAAGCGTGGATTCTGCACCACCCAAAGAGCCTTTGCCCAAGACACCCACGCCAGTGAAAAATCACCGCTTGCGCAAGTTGTCGCACAAGGTCTCTGACGTTGCTCTTGCATCATCGCGATCGTCTAGCATCGACACTGAAGGAGGCTGGCTTCGGAGTAGACCTTTGGGAGTCTTTCCCCAGGAACAAAGACAAAGCGCTCAGCCTCTCCTTGGAGCATCCATGTTCGGCGGAACGTCAATGGCCAAGAAAGCGGCTGCCGCAATGTCGGCTCAACACATGATGAAACAGCATGTTGAAGGATTACGAGAGTGTCAGTCTGCCTCGGCTCCGGTCTCTGTTTCCGCGCAACGCGTTTCATCAGCCTTATCAGTTGCTGTTCTCCCCAAGTCGAGCCACGCTGCTCCTGTGGTCGCCCCTTTGACTCACAAGGAGCCTGTTTTGCGAGCACGCTCCAGCTCACTTCAACGCACAGACACGCGCCACTCGGATACCGAGCAGCTTAGAGACGACTGCTCAACCACATCCGGCCTTTCTCTGTCGAGCAGGCCTGCGCGCGAAGTGCCTCCTGGCCGTTCGCTGTCCAACTGGTTCGCCCGACGCAGGCCGAGGACATCGTCAGCTGACTTGCGAAGCAGCATCACCAGACTTTCACCTACCTACCGCACACGCCGCGAAGATGCCAGCAGCACCGTTGGCGGCGCAATGGCGGAAAGTCGGATGGGTACACTGCTATTCTTCCCTGAGCCACCCGGTCGCATGACGCCAGATGGGTACCGCAAGGACGGCAGGGAACTGATATCGCCATGCTCGCGAGCCTCCACTGAGTGCCAGCCGTCTCGGCTTGCGACAGCGTGGTCCACCGTGTCGGGCAAAGTGCGCATCGATCTCAGCAAGTCGGACCTGGCTTTGGCACATCGCTCTGATCGCAAGCGTTTTCCTTCGTCTGAATCCATCGCAGCAGCCAGCATGAATAGCTTTCGAAGTGTCGGTAATCTGATACGCTCCGCATCTGTTCAGAGCGCTACTGCAAGCAGTGCCTCGACCAGGGGACCAGCTACCGGGAGCGGCGGCGAGACTTTAGCATCGCTGTCGCCTAGATCAGCTGAATGGTCAAATATGCTCCATCCAGATAAGGCACAAAAGAATAGAGGAAATTCCACCAACGCTCTGCGAAGCAAGGTCAACACAAAGCCACGCAGCTTTTCTCTGCCGCTTGAGAATCCAATGTCGATGGGGCTACAGAGTTTGCGGCCACACGCGGATGTCAGACCGATGTCGAGGGCTGATTCGATGAGCAGTCTGGGCCCTCCAAGTTCGGCGCTGAGTCCACCGAGCGGCGGCCGAATGAGCAAGGCTAAGAGGACGGCAGCCGACCGAGGCCTGACTCTGAGCCCCACGGAGTCCAATGTCGCTCTTCTGCAGAGAGTAAGCGCTGCCTACGGTTGTCGTTCCACATCTAGTACACATCAAGAGCCTTTGCGACCCGTTGGGATGCCGGCCAACATGCGAGATCGCGGCGGGCTTATCAGCCCAACTACGTGTCCTGAGCAGGTCCACTCAGCTCCTTTGTCTCGTCCGGGTGGAGCCGAAGATGTATCGACACTGCCAAATGGGCGTCTAGTCAATGTTGGCCTGAATGCGCTTGACACTGCCTTCGACTCGGAGCTACCGGCTTACAGCAGACATGCGGAGCAGCTGCCTAGCCGCAGAGATTCGCCAGCAAGGATGTCGCGAGTCTATAGCCAACCAAGTACGCCTGGAACGTTTGGAGCTCATGGGGCAGATTTCAACGCTACCTTTAGAAGTCAGCAGGTAGCTCAAATGGCCCATCCACGACTCTGCTCCGCATCGCCTCACGAAATTGTCGACAGTCCGGCGCCGCTCTCTCCCGACTCTTGCCGCGCTTGGCTTGCGAGCGCTGACGTCTAGCCGACTCGATCTGTGCTTGTTCTGCAGCTTCATCGTGACGATTTGTTCTTCACCTCATGTCCAGAATACCTGCATCTAAAGACCAGAACAAAACGACCATTCCAGAAGCACATGAAAGACTTTGCTTCGCCTCTTACGATTTAGACCTCATATGAATCAAGGTCCCCATCCCCGCTCCGACGGGTTCGGAGTCAATGTTCACGAGCTGCACGTTGCATTACGCACGCCGTTTCATGTGCCTGCCCAGCAGCGTTTTACGTCGACTCGATTTGCAAAGCTCATTCAAGATTCTGCTGATGTATTTCTTGATCTTGATGGGTGCCCTTCCTCGTCTGAGGTGGTCACTGAGTGCTCGAGCGTGTGCTTGCTGATCAGACCACATGAAGATGAAGATTGAAAAAGATGTTCATCATTGTCCAATTTGCAGTACTAAGCTGCTGCATGATGGTGGTCAAGAGTCAGTGTAAGGAGAGTCGATCTTCCGATCACGTGTCCACAAATTCTTGGGCAAATCTTGAGACTGAATTCAGGCGACCCTGTGCTCCCAATTTCAATTCTCATCAAATTCACAACCAATGCCCAGCAAATCACGGATGTTCTTCTCCACCGACTCCTCCGCTGTCCAAGCGAGCAAAACAACTACGATTCAGTGCTGCACGCCTCTAGAGCGCGCAGGATGGAGCGAGCAGTCACAGTGTAGCATTCGAGCAGTCGACAGTCAGGCCTGCTAGAAGCACGCTCACTCGACCATGAGCCAAACGTACATTCTTGCGGCCTTGGCGCTGGATCACTTATCCCAGCGTCGGACATCCGTCAACGCTGCTTGCTCGTATGTGATAGCCTCGCAGTCTTCTGACCGGTCTCGCATCAAGACAGGTCATTCGCCGCATCATGCAGCAAGCCGAGGGCCACATCAGGCGTCTAGATCGGGTCCCCATCGCGCGGTGGACGAGAGACGTCTCTTGGCACTTGTTAGCAACACTCTGAGCTTTAGAGAGTCGCTACAAATCATCTTGGATCGCTCAGAAGTGATGCAGCGCGAGAGCAAGATGTTCGACTTGGGCGGAAAGCCTGGAGCGTTGGGTGGAGCGCAAGGGTCGGACATGCAAGCACCAGATGCAAAGAAGCGTAAGCGAAGCGAGCATGGTGGTGGTCCATCGGTCGCAAAAGCTTGGCCAGCGGCCAGTCACAAGGGCACAGTGCCAAGCTCGAGCGCTTTGGCCCTGGTGATGCTGTACGAACTCCTGTTGTCGGGTCACAGACCATCCTGTTCGGCATCTTGGCCTCCTCGTAAAGCGGTCGATGCCAACATGCTCAAGCTCAAGTCGGAGCTGGCACGACTGAGAGCCCAACGTGGAGCTGCTTCAATCGATGATCTCAGAGATCAGCTGGAGCTGGAGCAAAAGAGGAAAGCAGGAAGATGCCCGAGATGGGTAAGGGTCAACCCGCTCTCTGCGCTCATCAAGACCCGCATGAAGAGTAAAGGGGCGGATGCCCATTCATCGCCCATCAACATTCTGTGTGAGCTCTTGACGGAACAAGGCTGGCGAGAAGGTCGTGGTGAGGTGCTCACGAAGGAAGATAGGTGAGTGTCTGGATTGACACGGCGAGTGATGAGACGCTATCGACACTGATCGTGTCTCACGTTGCTGACCGACCATCTCGAGACGCCTGGCAGCAAATCATTCTTGCGGTCGCAGATCTTGCCAGATGTACTGGGGTTACATCCCAGCGCGACCGCTGAGCTGATCAGCACCGGCTTGTACGAACAGCGCGCAGTCATACTCCAGGATCTAGCAAGCTGCTTTCCCGCCAGCATCTTGCTAAGCCCGTTGAGGCTAGATGGATCGATGGGCTCCTTGGGTGCCTCAGCGATCAGTCACGCACACACTGCAAAGCGCAACCAGTCAGATTCAAGGAATGCCGCGTTGTTCTCAGTGCCACCACTGCATGTGGTTGATGCGACATCTGCGCCGGGCAATAAGACTTCACATCTTAGCAGCATTCTGTACTCTAACTTCACCTCGCAGACACCAGCCAGGACGCAAGCACGCGTGACAGCGTTTGAAGAGGACAAGGATCGCTTCGCAACACTTGTGTCGCAGCTTGACAAGGCCGGGTGTCTGGATGACTCGTATGGCTTGCACGCAACGAGTGGCAAAAGACCAATGACCGACAGCAGCTTTCCTCCACCAAAAAAGAAGAGCAAATTTGATGGTGTCGATTCGAAGGCGCCGCACCACACTGCAAAAGTCGGAATCTCTACACGTGCACCTACCCCAGGACTGGTCTTGCCGAGATTGGGCGACTTCCTCAAGACTAATCCTGCTGATGAGGAATGGAAGGACGTGCAGGGCATGCTCTTGGATCCAAGCTGCTCTGGCAGTGGCATCCTAAGCAGGTCGGAGTACTCAATGGCCAGCTCGTCGACCAGGGCGCAGCAATCCAGCAAGCATACTCTTGGCTTACAAGGGGCAGCTGGCGACACAGGACGAGTCGCGAAGGCTGCAAACGGACGTTTGAGAGGCACTCAGCAGCACCTTGGCCCATCTCTTGAAGAGGAAGAAGTTGTCACTGATCAAGCTGCCAATGGAAGTGAAGAAGCCAGGATAGCTGCTTTGGCCAACTTTCAGCTGTCGATGATCAAGCATGCAATGAAGTTCCCGGCTCTGGAACGCTTGGTGTATTCAACCTGTTCCATTCATGCTGAAGAGAATGAAGAGGTGGTCATGAAGGCTCTCGAATCTGACGAAGCTGTACAAAAGGGATGGAATTTGGCGCCCGCAAGTCAAGTCCTGCCGAGCTGGAAGGGAAGAGGTCTAGTTGACAGCTGCGGTGGAGACAAGCGTGAGTGGTATCGCGCAGTGCCTCTCCAAATTCTTCGACCCTCCATGCTCAGCTTGCTGCCTTTCCGTCCCGACAGAGCTCGCCGAATCGATGATTCGCTGTCGGCCGGGCGGCGACGCCGCGATAGTTGACAAGCTAGGGAAGGATGAAGCACACATGGAAGCCAGTAACGGATTTTTCGTTGCCCTTTTCGTGCGCCGTAGCTCAGGATCGCCGACCGCGTCACAATCGCCCACGGATAGCAGCACCATTGACCAATTGCCGCCAGTCAAGGGATCTTCCACTTTGACAAAGTCGGCAAAGAAACGGGCGAACGCCAAACTCAAAGCCAAGGAAGGCGGGCAATTGCAAGTCACGACGGATGCAAAAGCTCATTCCTTGATACCTGCTCGCAATCAATGACATGCTTGTTAATCTCACCCTCGGGAGCGCAGTACGCGCTCCGCCGCCGACTGTAATACATATTAATACATATTCACGCCGACCTGAAGCGCGCAGAGATGTGAGATCGATACGTTGTTCAAGACGGCGGGCTCTCTACGTAGAAAGCTCCGTCGTGCGTCACCTCAGCACACCTCCGCCGTTGTGTCCACACGAGCGTTCGAGCGAGACGGCAGATGTGGTTCGAGCTCGTCTATGAGCGAAAGTGCGGGGTGCAGCTACAGACGAAATACATGCAGTGCTTAGCGTTTGTCGATCGGCTGATCCACGCCTGAGAGTATAGGATCGGCATTTGCGCGCTCGATGCTCGACGTGGTCCCGACGAAGGTTCATTTCTTCTTCAGATAAGCGCCTTTGTTTAATCTTTGACTGCTTTCGGAGCGGAGCGAGACCAGTGTGAGTAGTGACGACCGAACATGCCAGCCGAAGATCATGGGCGTCAAGGGAGGTGAGACCCGTAAGTCTCCAAAAAGCGCTGATCAGGGTGATCGAGCTTTCTTCATCACGACTTGTCATGAATGGTGAATGTTCGAGGCTGCTGATGCCTTAGGTATAGCTCCACGGAACACGCACGCACCCGCGCTAGTGCGAGGAAGAAGAGGGACATGACAGAATCTTCTTCGCGCGGGACGTTTCGCCTAGCGCAGACGACCCCACCATCAGCAGGCTGCTATGTATAGCTGCTGGCGCTGCTCCTGCTCAGCGCAGTCTCCGAACTGCATGTGCACACCTAAGCTTTCTGCCGTCGTGCGTGCATGGCTCGATCGCGAGTCTCTTCCGCGAATGTGCAGCATGTACTCATGCATGCATGCCAGAGAGCTGCTGATGCGCGGCCTCGCATGCAAGAGCGCGCGGGGCAAACGAGCTCCGCGGAAATTTGATCTGTCTAATACTCAAGACTCGCACGGCGCCCTCCTGTTCGTTATTGTGTGCGCGCCAAGAAAGTCACGAGTGTGAGACAGGATGTCTTAGCGTCGTTATCGTGCAGATTGAATTGAGTCTTGATTTCTAAATCGCAACTGAATTCTGATGCATCGTGATCGCCAAAGTCAAATGGAGACTCAAGACTTACTTGATGCGTGGTGACTTGATTTGAGCGTGTTATCACTCAATTGATGTTTAGGATTTCAATCTTCAACACCAAGTCAAGAGAATCGTGATTGAAAGTCGAGTCGAATTGAAACAGATAACAGTCTGAGTGCAGCTTTGGTTCTCCGACGGCCCTTCACACAAGGTGCACTCAAAGGGACCTCGAGCAGCGAGGTCTCAAACAATTCAAGTTTGAGTCTCGATTTGGGATGCGATTTCTGGCCTGATTTGATTGCCCGCTCCGGAAATCTGCTGAACGCGGAGACGCGCGGGCTGCCCAGCTGCCATACGCGCGCAAAACGCTACGGTGAAGGAGGTGGACTTCGGTGCCCACCAGTCTTGAATTTCAAGTCGCTTTTGCTTCCGGACCCTCCAGCTGCTGCGTGTGTAGCATGGTACAGTCACGAGTACCGGTATCGTGCTGCTCTGCGACTACGCATAGAGATAGAGAGATCTTACGTCTGGGTCGGTTGTTCTCAAGGGCAGCCTCAACCGATGCTCCAATCCACCAGTCCATCACCTTGACCAACCTCCCTGACCGCTCTCCTATTTCCTCACATCTGCGCCTCTGTCCGCGTGGTCGGCCGGCGATCACCGCTCATTTCAAGGACTCACCTCTTGCCGCGCTTCGCCCTTCCTCCACGCATCATTACCCTTTGCGGGACTCGTCTTGATTTCATTGCTTCATCTCACCACGCTCGCCGACGAATTAGGCACCGCATCAATTACGATGGCCGACCCTGGGTCCGAGGTGGAGCGCGAAGAGCGTCGCAAAAACAGATCGCGTCCTCGTGAGCATTCTGTGACCAGTCGACATCAATCACGCAGAGGCGTCTCTGCCAGACGTAGCTCCAACGCTTCCCGGCCATCCTCTTCTGGTCGAGCTGATGGAGATGGCCCATCATCTGTAGGACATGCCTCTACAGCATATCATTCCGTCCGTCCATATCCCGCGCGCAGTATCGGCACCTCTGGCTCAGATGATCGGCCTTCGACCGGAAGCTCCGCTGCAGCTAGCGCACCCTCATCTTCCTCAGCCCAACCTCCTCGAGGTGCTCGCGCCGACCGTGCGACCAGATCCAGCGTGAGACCAGACAACTCAGGCCCTCAGATCAATGCCGCCACCGAGGACTTGAAACGCACAGAATCGCACGAGCAAGATTTGAAACACGTCGGAGCTCAAGGCAGCGGTACTGCGACGATGAGTGCTGCTGCAGGAATTGCGATGCTTGGAGGAGCGGGAATGATATCGCAACAACAAGGCTCTGGAGCGATGAGAGGAGCAGCAGACTCGCAAGCTAGCGAGCATGCAGTCGCTCAGGGCTTGCACCGAGCGGAACGCGCCAGGCTGACGCTCAAGTCGCCTGAAGCTCTTCGTCAGAACGAGCAAGCGGGCCTGATGCGTGGATCCAGCTACAAACGAGGAAGTATGGCACAACAACTCTCTCCTGTCACCGCTTCTTGGCCCAACACTCCCAGCAGCCCCCTGGATGACTTTCACACGGCTGTCAACACGCCGTACTCGATCCATGGAGAGCTCGCTCAATCGCCCGTCCATGCCAAGAAGATGCTGCCAGATGACGAGAAAGCAGGGATCAATTCATATGATCAGCCGTACGATTCTGCGAATCAAACACCCTCAAGAGCATCGCCACCCCATCACGGCAAGCTCGAGTCCGACAACAGCGATGGCCGCAGTCAACATAGCGTCTTGTCTGGCGACCAAGATTCTACCCTCGAGACACCCCCATACAAAGCTACTACTGGCGACCTCTTTAGATTCGCCACCAAGTTCGAACTCTTTCTCAACTTTCTCGGTCTCATTGCGGCGTGTGGAGCAGGGGTGGCACAGCCACTGATGACTGTCGGTGAGTAGGGCTGTTTTGGTCTGGTGCCCCGCCTCAGGTGAAGCAGCCAAATCTCTTGCTTACGCTCGTCAGCCCCATCTTGTGGCCGCCTTGCTCGCAGTCTTTGGCAATCTCACCACCTCTTTCTTGGACTATACAAATCAGCTCGGTCGGGACCCTACCCTTCCTGGTGCAATGGAGGCCATGCAGCGCGCAAGGGACGAGCTCAGAGATGCCGTCGGGCGTGACGCGCTCTTACTGCTGTACATTGGCATTGCCATGTTCGGCGCCACGTATCTGTACATGGCCACCTGGATGTACACTGGCGAGACGATCACTGGGCGCATTCGCCAAAACTACTTGGCTGCTGTGATGCGTCAAGAGATTGCCTATTTTGACCTTGTCGGCGCCGGGGAGATCACATCGCGCATACAAAGCGATATTCAGCTCATTCAGGAAGGCATCTCGGACAAGGTGCCCATGTCCTTCATGTTTCTTGCGACTTTTGTGGCAGGCTTTGCGGTCGCTTTCGCCAAGTCATGGCTGCTGGCATTGGTCATGTCCTCCATCGTGCCCTGCATCATTGCGGCAGGTGCTCTGATGAACGTGCTTGCAACGAAGCATCAACAGACGGAGCTGGACTATGTCTCCCATGCCGCAACGGTCGCCGAAGAGGCCATGAGCACTGTACGCACAGCCAAAGCTTTTGGGATCGAGCAGCGTCTCGTAGACCTCTACGACGAGTACAATGTGCCCACCTCCCGCACTGGAAGGGCGAAAGCTGTCATCAATGGTGTCGGCATGGGTGTCTTCTTCTTCGTCATCTACTCTTCGTATGCCCTCGCCTTCTGGGAAGGATCACGGCTGATCGCCAGCGGTACCATCGAGACTGGTGTCGTCATGAATGTCGTCTTCTCAATCCTGATGGGTGCTTTCAGCATGGCGATGTTGGCGCCGAACGCACAAGCCTGGGCATATGGAATTGCCAGCGCAGGCAAGATCTTCGAGACCATCGATCGAGTTCCAGAAATCGACTCGGCCAGCGACTCCGGCGCTCGCCCTACGAGATGCGACGGTGAGATCGAAGTGTGCAACGTCGACTTCCGCTATCCTGCCCGCAGAGAGGTGCCAATCTTGGAGAACTTTAGCGTTCAGATTCCTCGAGGCAAGATCACCGCTCTGGTGGGTGCATCGGGGTCCGGAAAGAGCACAATCGTTTCCCTGGTAGAACGCTTCTACGATCCGGAATCAGGCGCTGTCTTCCTTGATGGCCGCGATCTCCGCGATTTGAACCTCAAATGGCTCCGTACGCAGATCGGCTTGGTCAGTCAGGAACCGACACTCTTCGCGACCACAATCCGACAAAACATAGGATTCGGCCTGCTCAACACGGTCTGGGAGAAGGCGGATCAAGAAAAGAAGGATGAGCTGATCATCGAGGCCGCAAAGCAGGCCAACGCGCACGCTTTCATTCAGCAACTACCAGATGGATATGAAACTATGGTCGGCGAGCGTGGTTTCCTATTGAGTGGTGGTCAGAAGCAGCGTGTCGCTATCGCGCGCGCAATAGTGAAAAACCCACGAATTCTTCTACTGGATGAGGCTACGTCAGCCCTCGACACGCAGAGCGAGGGAATCGTACAAGATGCCCTGGACAAGGCGTCAAAAGGTCGAACGACCATCACTATCGCGCACAGACTGAGCACGATCAAAAACGCTGACAATATCGTCGTGATGGGCAAAGGTACAATCTTGGAGACTGGAACCCACGACGAATTGCTCCGACGACCGGATGGTGCCTACTCTAGTCTTGTCAGTGCTCAAAAGATCCGTGCCAATACGTCATCAGCGCACGTGTACGAGGACGAAGAGGAAGAGCTTGAGGAGCTGCGCCGTCGAGCGTTGGCCGCCCAGGTCGAAGGTCTGGGTCGCTCCAAGTCGAGGCAGAGCATCCACAGTATTACAAGTGCTATCCTCCGGCGCCGGAAGGAGGAGCACGAGGGCGAGAAGCCTCGTCAGTACAGCCTCTTCTATTTGCTCTACCGCCTCGCTGTCATCAACAAGGGCCACATTCTCAGTCTCTACGTCCCCGGCTTCATCGGATCTTTCTTGAGCGGCGCAGTATACCCCGCATTCTCTATTCTCTTCGGCATTGCGCTGCAGAACTTTAGCAAGTGCAGCAACTTGGGTGGAGAAGCTTGCCCTGAGCCTGCACGCTCCGACATGAGACACCAAGCCAACTTGAACGCCTTGTACTTCTTCATCATCAGCATTCTGTCAACGTTTGCCATCGCGATCCAAAATCACCATCTGATGATGGCTTCCAGCTATCTCATGGAGCGGGTCCGACGGCTTTCCCTGCTTGCTTACCTGCGCGCAGATGTCTCCTATTTTGACGAAGATGGACATGCGAGCGGTGTGCTGACGGCATCTCTGTCTGACAACGCTCAAAAGATTAACGGATTGGTCGGTGTGACGATGGGTACCATCTTCCAGAGCGTTGCTACGCTCATCGTGGGCTACATCATTGGGCTGATCTACGGCTGGAAGCTTGCCCTCGTCTGCATTTCCGTCACCCCTTTGACGCTCTCTGCTGGGTTCATCCGCCTGGAATTGGTGGTTCTCAAAGATGCCAAGATCAAGAAAGCTCATGAGGGTGCAGCCCAACGAGCTTGCGAAGCCGCAGCTTCAATCAGGACCGTGGCCGCATTGACCAGCGAAGGTCACTTCCAGGCCGTCTACAAGGAGGAGCTCCGTGGTCCTGCAAAGATCACGCATCGTGCAGCGCTGTACTCAACCATCTTCTACGCCATCTCGCAGGCTTTGGCATTTGGCGTCATCGCACTTGCGTTCTGGTACGGCAGTGGCCTGCTACTGGACGGCGAAATATCCTCTGGGCACTTCTTCACTGTTCTCACCTCCGTCATTTTCGGATCCATCCAAGCTGGTAATGTCTTCAACTTTGTGCCCGACATTTCCAACGCTCGATCGGCTGCCGATGACACCATTCGTCTGCTTGACATGAAGCCTGAAATCGACAGCGAATCGACAGAGGGCATCATCCTCGACAAGTGCGAAGGCCGTGTACAGTTCGAGAAAGTGCACTTCCGCTACCCGACTAGACCAGGTGTACGCGTCCTTGCTGGTATCGATCTCGACATCAAGCCTGGAACGTACTGTGCTCTGGTGGGAGGAAGCGGATGCGGGAAGTCGACGACGATACAGCTCATTGAGCGTTTCTACGATGCAGTGTCTGGACGCGTGCTCATTGACGGTCACGACATTACTGACCTCAATCTGAAGTCACTTCGCAAGCATGTAGCGCTCGTCTCGCAAGAGCCCACTTTGTACGACGGCACCATCGCGTACAACTTGCGCCTGGGCGCCTTCGAAGATGCCGACCAGGTCACCGATCAGCAGCTGCAGCGCGCTGCTGCCCAGGCCAATATCTTGAACTTTATCGAATCCCTACCAAACGGCTTTGAAACAGAAGTTGGTGGAAAGGGTACTCAATTATCAGGAGGTCAGAAGCAGCGCATTGCCATTGCTCGTGCTCTGATCAGGGACCCTAAGATCCTTCTCCTCGACGAAGCTACCTCCGCTCTGGACAGCGAGAGCGAAAGGGTGGTGCAAGACGCGTTAGATCGTGCTGCGCGTGGAAGGACCACGATCGCGATTGCCCACCGTCTGTCGACCATCAGCAGGTCCGACCGTATCTTTGTGCTGCAGAATGGCATCGTGGCAGAGCAGGGAGAGCACTCATCGTTGATGAGGCTGGGCGGCCTATACTCCCAGCTCGTCTCTCTGCAAGAGCTACAGAGAGACGAGTAAGCTCTTCGTCGCTCAACAATTGCCACTCTGGCAGTCCTGACGCCGATTCATCTCACTTTCGCGTCGCATTTCGTCTTCTACATCCCCGTCCTTGTACATGCTGAGCAGCCCTTCTCGCGCGGTGCACTCGCGATACACACACTCTTTTCCTCACCACTCGCGGATTTTCGGACTTGTTACGTAATCGCTCCTGTTGTGCTTCTCAATCTCATCGCATCTCTCTCATGGCCATTTGCTTCGTGCTGCGCGTTGATCCAGAGACCACTCACTGGGTGATCGATGCGTGCCTTGAGCTTCTTGTCTTTGGTCTGGAGCGTGGCTGCTGTTCTTGCGACGACCCGCTCGAGTGTGTGGTGTTCGCGAGCGCTGCGCTCAAGCAGGCAAACGAGCTGAAGCATCCTAGTATGCGACTGTGAGGTAGCATGTAGAGCGAGCCAAGATTGTGAGCTTGGACGAGTCGAGTGAATTGGCTCGAACCCTTGCACGAAACCCGTTCGGTCAAGGGAAGGAGCTTTTGGCGCCTCGCGTCAAGTTTCGAGGGGCGCGTGCGACGCCAAGATGAGCCTCGGCTCGGCAACGTTGCGTTGTGGCAGCAGCAGCTGCCTGCCGAAGTCTCCCCACGTTCAAAAGCGAACTGGCTGCATGATTCAGCAGAGGATGCGTGCAGCAATCTGAAACTGAATCACCAAAAAAGGGCTGCGACGTGATGGTCAACTCACAAATTTCCATACACTCGCATCCCTACGGCTAGAAGAGGTCGACTGAGGTTTTTGAGCCACAATCACTCGAGACTTGCTCGTACAAGTGCCACCTTCAAAGAGTCCCTCAGCCCAGCTCTCGGGCATCATATCGCATCCCGCAATCTACCATCACCACCATGCCGAACTATACGCTCACACACAATCCGAGCGTAGCTCCCGATCAAGCGCATTCATCTGCCTCTGCGCCCACCTCATCATTGGAAGCATGCACACCAGCAGAGACTCAGCTCTCGCTGTTGTCTGTATCGCTGCAAATACTGGACCAGCCTCTGACTCTGTTGAGATCGGGTCAGGTGGGAGACAAGGAGATGACTAAGCCTTCTTCTCTCATTCCCGGCAGTTCACTAGGACGCCATCTGAGACAGTGAGTAGCTGTGCCCGTGACCTTTGCAAGAGCATCACCGCAGATTCCTACCTGTAACCCCTGCTCTCTCTCGTGCTGACAGACTTTCGCTCGTGCCGCGCAGCATGCACGACCACTTTCGACTACTTCTAGACGCACTGCCCTCATCGAGCACTCGATCGAGCACGCAGCCTTTGCTTTTGAATTATGACGTGCGATTGAGATCGCCGCTGGAGGAATCCGCCTCAACAGCCATAGCGGAGCTCGAATCGGCTCAACAGAGGCTGAGAGAGGCTTTTGCAATGGAAGAACAGCGAGGAGAGGAGAGAAGCGCAGCTTCTTCTTCTTCTTCTTCTTCTTCTGCTGCTGCTGCTGCTGCTGCTGAGCCTCTTGTGCAAAGGAAGATCATCTTGAAGGCTACTACACCCATGAGCGTCGAGTTTGAGAGCACCGTTGGGAGAGAAGTGAGTTGGTGATGGCGGTCGCTGTGCTTGTATGCAATGCATACGGGATGGCTCGGGTCCTCTCACATCGATCGTCCTAGAATTTCGTCTCTGACCCTGTCGAGCCTCCCCATCTCAGCTGTGGTTTGTCTGTCTTCACGCGATCCACCACTTGGCTCTGATGAGGCCCATCCTGTCGCAGGAGCTTGGCTTGAAGCTGGATGCAGAATTTGGCGTAGCTCCCTCTACGCTCGTCAATAGGGCCTGGAACACGGGCAGAGCTATCGCGTCCAAGCTTTGACGCGCACAAGAATCTCAGAACAGTCTTACCTCTCGCCGCATCGCAACCTCACCTTTCGCTCAAGGAATGTTGCGTCAGTATTTACAAAAAGTCACATCATTGTTCAACATTTCATCGCATATCTGACCCTCAATTGGCGTCTGATCGGTTACGGGTGCTCACAAGTAGCTTGCGAAGCTCTGGGTGGACGAGAAAATGGTATCGCATTATGGAGACGTCAGGCCCAAGTATATCAGTACGAGGCGGATGGGACAGGAGGCAGCGAAGCCGATCATGGCATAGACGATGACCTTGGCGAGGACTGCGAGGCGGCATGAGCAAGGGGCACATCAGCGAGCCAAGGCTTGTGCAGTAAGATGCGCAGCTGGTCAGACACTCACCGTCAGCGTCATAATGCCGTACTTTGTCAGCATGTGTCCTATTCTCGGGTCGTTCGAACGACAATCCGCGGTCCTGCTCATCCTGTTGCCTTTGCTTCTCTTCCGCTGAAAGCGCGCCAGCGATACGATTGGCCAGACTATCGCCCGGCAGCTCTGCCAGATGACTCGTAAAAGGAACCGGCAGAGTGGAGCCATCACCGAGTGTGAAGCGAATCTTGTTGCGCTCGAGCGAGCCGGACCGTCTCCTGGAAGAAGCTTGTGCAGGACTGGGCGACGGATACCGCAAGGGTGCAGGATATTCTCCTCCTTCACTCGACGTCTGCTTTTTGCTGTCGGATTTGTCCTTACTGCTTTTCCTTAGGTACGTCGCGGCGGAAAAGTAATGCCTTCGTGGGATGATCACGCCGAATGAATCCTGCACAAATCTCAGTGTCGGAGGAAGGATCACCTGGCAAACGGTCTTTGTTGCTATTCTAACCGCCATGATCAAAGCAACGCCTGTCCATTGCAGAATGGGGGACGTTTCAGTGTTGAGTCAGCACCAGACCCACGCGTGACAGTCGCTCTGAGGCGTATCCACCCACCGAGGACCAGTGCTGTGAGGGATTTGAGGCCCCAAAGCGCCCAAGTCAAGAGGACAGAGGCATCTCCCTTCGTTTGCAACGAAGCGAGCCAAGGCTGAGGCTCAGAGATACCGATAGCTCCGTACCACATCTGCTTTGCTTTCTCTGCAACACCTGGCCCGTCGGGCCAATGCGAGTCAAGAGGATGATCGTTCCTATCCAAAAGGTCCCACTTGCAATTTGCCCATCTCGCCAGCACCACACCCAAGACCACGGCGATGAAAGCGATGGCGTCTTCGAAGCAGGGGCAATCGTCTAGCGGTTGCGGATGAATGGAGACCATGAGGAGGGTTGCTGGGATCGACACCAGTGGGACTGTCCAGCCCTCCAGAATGTAAAATCGCTCAATCGCGTCCATAAAGTGCCACTGCACCCATGAGATTCCAGCCCCTAGTAACGAGCCTGCGACGCAATCTAGAATGAGAGTGCGGGAAATGAGAAGCGTGATGTTTAGAACAGGTTGACGTTCCCATCCTTCTCTGCTAACAATACCTACTCACCCATCAGACTGTGCATGCCAGCATACAGCCTCCCGTAGACGACGCTGATTGCGTAGTATCCCAGCAGAATCTCCCAAAACCAGCTGTCCAGGACGGGTGACTGCGCATGCGATCTCAAGGCACCAAGCCAGAGGTAAAGATAAAATGCAACTCCCATAGCGTTGGTGCTATGCGTGGACAAAAAGCCATACTCCAGGTGAGTCGTACCGATGACCAACCTGGTGCATGGCGGACTAAAAGGTCGAGGAATGCAAAAGAGATCCTTGATGGCAGAGGAGAAATAGACGCCAAATGCAAGGACATTGACCAGTCCGCGGGCTAGCATAGGACTGCCGAGCCAAAAGGCCATTGGCAAGAAGATCAGAAAGAAGGAGTGCGTGCCGAGGAGCGAAGTGTACACAAAGTATCTGTCCAGATTTGGCCTCCTTACAATCGTCTGAGGACAGGCGAGACAGCGGAATTCCCATGTCAGCCACGGAGGGCTGTTCGCAAAGCAGCACAGAGCGTGGAGAGCTCCGGGAGACTGTGCATACTGCTCGCCCCTACCGCATTGCATGGCATGATTGCACGACTCACTTGATGCCAAGCTAGCCATCTGCTCTCCCGCTTCAGGTTTCTAATCAAGAATCTCCTGATGGGCCCAATGACAGGTCCCAAGTACACATCGTACACTTCATCGGGGTAGATGCCAATGTCCACGCTCGGTCCGCCGGCCAGTCCGGGCGAAGGAGAGCTCGTGTGGCTCCTATCGATATTGTTCGGCGATGAAGCGGCTGCCACATGAGCGCCATCCGGGCTGGCTATCCTCGGAACAGGCGTATTGCTTCGAGAAGGGGTAGCGAGCACATCCACAGTGATGGGCGAGGAAGTGGGAATGGGATGAGTGCTTCGTAGACGTTGCTGCAAGGAATCGGGAGGTTGAGGTCGATGAGCTAGAGAAGTGGAGGAGGCCGAATGCACTGGCGATTTGTTCATGGAGCGTGAAGGCGGTCGAGAGATTGGCGTGGGCACGCGGTCTGGAGCAGCGTGAGAAGGGGCCGACATGATGATGTTCCCCTCTTTGAAGACGACAATTCTGTTAGCAGCCAAATTTTGATGGGACAAGTCGCGGATCTTCGTCACACTCTTCTGAGACTGCGCTAGATGCGGTCGTTCCGCAGATATAGTCGAGGTTGAACGACAGATTGAATGAGGTGAGGCTACATTCAGGCCAAGCAAGCCAGCAAGAGTGACTGTTTACTGAGCGAGGTACGCTACGCAGTCAAAGGTTGGCGCGAAATTGGCGTCATGTTCGGTCTGGAGAAAAGTAGTCGTGAGTGATCGAGTGCGCGCAAGCGAGTGTCACGAGACTTGTCGCGCTGCAGCTGCATGGACGCGTGCATCTGCTGAAACACCGATTTGTGCGAGTCGTGAGTGATGAGAGTCACGCGTGTTGCATTCGTGATTCGTGACTGTTGACACAAAACTCACACATTTTGATTCGTGACTCTTGACTCGTGCATTCACATTCACGACCCGCGCTGGAAAGTTCGGGTGAGCAGATGCTCTCTTGCGCGCAATCATGTTTCTGCACTCGATCGGGCTCAAGATAGCAGCACGCTTTCTTACGAAGAATTACAAATCATGAATCACGAATCAAATGGATGCATGGCTCTTCCGGCCAGGACGCGCGGCAATCTTGAATCATGCGAACTCCGAATCAAGAAGCACGAACCAGTGAATGACGAGTCACAAGTCATCAAGCTCTCTCATCTTTGACTTGGGACTCGTGACTGTTGCAGAATCACGGAGACTGGATCGTGAGTTTGCCGTGAGTAGTCGATCTTCAGTCAAAATCAAGAGATCTGGGGTCCACAACTTGTATCGTCACAGATCTTGAATGCAGGGCATCCGGCCCCAGCTGCTGGTATATCGCGCGACAATCAATATTCAAATCTTGAATCAAGGCGATGGGAACCTGCAAGTCTGAGTGCTGGGCGCAAGATGATCAAGTCATTTTGTCTCGTGTGGCTTAAATCAGCAAATCAACCCTCGAAGAGCAGTTTAGTAGTCGTCAGCAGCACACGCAATCGAGGCACTTCGGCAGAAGAGTCACTCACGGGGACGCTTGCCCCACGCTGCCGAACAGCAGTCGACAGCAGCTATACAAGTCTTGATCGATTGCGTTGACTCGCTCTACTGATTGGTTCTGAAACGCTATACAGCACATGATCAGACTCGATCAAGGCTCATCATGACTTTGCAAGACGCCGCGCGGATCTTGTCGGTACAATGTGAATTCAGAATCGACGTTTGCAGTCAGAGTCACCAGTGGTGCATTGACAGCAGCGAAGATGACCAGAGGCGCGATACGGCCATGTGATCTGCCGAAGATGGCGCTTTCTTTGATTAAGGGGTGCCTCGTCTCATCCGGTGCAGCTTCGTTGGATAGGCGTCGCTGCTATAAAGTCCCAGTCGTGAGTGTTTGTTTTGCAAGCTCGCATCACTACAACGCTTCAACTGACAGCCATTTCTCGATTCGTGCTGCCTCGACCGACCCCTCCATTTTGCGCTCTTTCAGTCAAGCAATAATCGCCGCCAATCATCTGCTCCTATCATTTGCTCGCACAACCAACACTCCAATATGAGCACCGGCGACCCATCGCCAGCCAGCGTCACTCCACTTCTAAGCGATCTGCTCCGACAGTGCAACGTGACAAAAGGGTACCGAGTGGTCAACTCCAAACGAGCCCACCGCCTGCAAGAAAAGATCTTGCAGCTCATCCACATCGACCGCAGCGAGAGTGGACCGAACTTTACCCACGGATCTTATTTGCGCAAATGTCAAGCTGGCCAAAGTCAAGTGCCAGAGTACGTCCGGGTGGAGCGCATCAAGCGGAAAGGTGATAGGAGTATGCGCATCTATGGTCCAATCCTGATCGGGGTGGAGTCGACACCTTTGTACCCTTTAGGTCCAGCAGACGCTTTGTTTGTCACACCACGAACATTCAGTGGAAGCATGGACGACTTTGATGCCGTCGTGCAGGGTATCAGCTGCAGCCACGAGTCAGTAAAGGAATTTGATTCTGAAGCACCACCCACCACGAAGCTCGCTGCTGACGTTCTGCGATGATCTCTCTTCGCACACTCTCTCTGTCGCTTCACGCCAGATTTGACGAAACAACGACCTGCTTCACTAGACCCGAGGCAAAGCCTGCATCAGTGGAACAAGCATTCCATCTGCACGACTTTGTGTACCTTCGAGCATCCGGTAGAGACTGTGACCCGAGCCGTGCAGACCTGCTGCGCGTAGCGCAGATCACCGAGTTACAGAGTGCTCAGCCGTCCAAAGTCTTGTTGCTTGACCCACACGAGGACAAAAGTAGACCATACTTGCGTGCACAGGGCAAGTCGATGCGCATCAACTACAACCGTATCCGAGGTCTGTTCTGCTCTAGCCTTTCGCTCGACGTAATTAGCCCTCTGACTTACCCTCTGCTGTGTTGCAACACTTCACTCAGGTCGTTGCTGGGTACAGACGGTGCCTTTAGTCGCCCAAGCGGACGATGAGATGAGCCAGCATTTCGATAAAGACACCTTCTACGTCATCGGTCAGACTCTACCCGTGTGCAAAGAGTGCGCATCTTCACATGAAAGGCGGCACAACGTGAGGAGAAAGTTGGCACAAAAGCCACTAGCTGTGCTCGACTTGTTCTCTGGTGCAGGCGGCTTGGGCTTGGGATTTGCGCAATCCGAGATCGCCGAGTGTCGCTGGGCGATAGAGCAGGACATTTGCGCTGCAAAGACATTCTCGGCCACACATCCTGGGGCGCAGGTGTACGCTGGCGACGCCAATGATGCGTTGATCGCCGTAATTGCCAAGCAGTTTCACGGTGTTCTTCCTCGACCTGGAGAGGTGGACGTCATTCTTACCGGCCCACCGTGTCAGGTCAGTGATGCCACGAGAAGCACAGCCTTGCTTTCTATCGACTCATTCTTCTGCGTCTCCTCCGATACCCATTCAGGGCTTCACACTGGCAAACTGCAACCACTCAGACGAAGATCCGCGTAACTTGCTGGTTCCGGTGGCAGTGAGTCGAGACCAGCGCGCATTGTATCGATGTGTGGAAGCGTAGCTACCGTCTCTGACGAGTTCTTTGCGAGTTTCCAAGTTATCATATATCGATATCTACAGGTGCGCATGCGCGTCCCCTTGCGCTGGTCCTGAAAGTTTGGGAGCCTTTCTAATGCTGTCAAGTCCTTGCTTGGTAGACCTAGATGGGCCATCATCGAAAATGTGACTGGCCTGGTTGACAAGAACAACGGCACCGTCGGTAAGTATCAACGGTGCCAATGTACAAGGTCTGTTTGTTCTGCACTCTTAAGCTCCTCAATCTCTTAGGAGACGTCAAGCAAGGAATGCCACGTCTGATCATGTCAGCACTGGTGACTTTGGGTTACAGGTGAGCAACAGCTGACCCAGCTTGACAGCCTGCTACGAACCAGTGGCTGACTGCAAGACAAGTGCCTTGGTCGTGACGGTAGCGTGCGTCTGGCGACCATCTCAGCAGCGTCGATGGGTGTGCCCCAGTCCAGAACGCGTGTGGTGGTCGTTGCCGCCAAGGCAGGCGAAGTGCTGCCCGATTTGCCTCTTCCCAGTCACACTGTTCCAGGAAGTCAGTCTACGCGAGAATGGTCCATCCTATCCGGCTTGGACGACACCGTTGAATTCAAAGTAGCTTCTAGGCGCAGAGATGACGGACAAGCGCCCAGACGATGGGTGTCGGCCTGGGAAGCCGTCGGAGACCTCGAGCGTTTCGACTGGGAAAACCCACACATCATTTACCCAGCAGATAAGGACGACCCCGAAGACTCGTACCGCCAGCGTCGCCTTTTGAAGGTGCCATCATTTGCCTGCAACCTTGTCCCAGGCTCGCGCACCTTGGGCATCGGGCCAGTCAAGTCAAAGTATCACTCGAGACCAAAGTCGGAGCATCAGTTGCTAGCAAGGTCTTGGAGGAGGAAAAAGAGCGACGCGGGCGAAGAGCAAGTCTCTCAGCATCGGACAGTAGCTCCGACGCTAGGAGATGCAGAGAGGGTGGCAAACGTGGATCTGAAGCCTGGGGCCAACCACCTGAGTTGGCGTCCATTTAGACCACGGTTGACGCCGCACTACCTGCGCTTCTCATCCGAGGCTTTCGGCAACAACAATTGCTACCCTTCAGCTTACCAGCGTTCCGACCCCGAGGAGATCTTCAGCACGACGCTCACCGAAATTTCACCTTCCTCTTTGCACGGCACCGTACTTCACTGGAACCAGTACAGGACGCTGAGCATTCGAGAGGCCGCCAGATCTCAAGGTTTCCCAGATTGGTTACACTTCGAGACTGGCGGCGACTTTGCCAACGCTGCGAAACAAATTGGCAATGCCGTGCCGATCCCCTTGGCTAGTGCGCTTGGCGTGGCTTTGCGAGAGGCAATAATCGACCGGACTGTGCGGCACCGTCCCACGGAGCAGAAAGCACCTGCGATAATTCCCGCCGCGCCACCCGACTCTCAACCACGAGACAACATCCACCACCATGGAGCCGCCCCGAGTGCCGCAATTGCTGGCGGCAGAGGGAACGGGGTACCCGCTGCATGCTTCCAAGTGGCAAAAATTCCCCCATTCAAGCAGAAACGCACGGCACAATGAGGGTTTTAATTTCACGATTGTGATTGGGATTGGAGAATGTTGTTCTTCTCTGCAAATCCAGCGCTCGCAATGGCTCTGACATTTCTGCGAACGGTTTCGAAGATGCTGCGTAGATGTCGTCGAAGCGCAAAGGGCAAGGACGCGCATTGGTCATTCTCATGATCGAGCGAGACCTGACCAAGCATGACATCAGCACGAGCTTGCATCCCCTGCACCCATCCTTGTGATTTAGCACTGCGTGATGTAATGAAGAAGTCAGACGATCGTTCATGTCCCGCGCGAGAAGATCAAGCCGCCAGATGACTCACGGGAGGCGCGTCCTGGGTACGGGTGTTGAGAATCAGGGCAACGATGAGTCCATACAGACCCAACACTTCGGCGACTGTTTCGTCGCAAGAAGGCATAAGGCATGGAGCATCAGCTGGTGCTCTGGTAGCAGACAGAACCAATGCAGACTTACAAATGAGAATAAGAATCTTTGGCGAGAGCGGGTAAGCGCGGCGGGATGTCAGTACCTTGCTCTTCATCCATGCTGAGCCTCGCGCAACCCGTCCATACTAGCGGAGCGCTACAACTCTTTGCTGTCGAGCTCTTGACGGCCATCGAGCACACGTCTCACGATCGGCAATCGCGAGGCCTGTTTGCAGCATTGCAACGCTGGTAGTGCCCGCTTTTCCCCACATTTCTCCGTGCCCACTCACCATGCCAATGAACAGGCGCGGCTGTTGTGCCGTACCGCGTACACCAGCATCTCCAACAATTCCGATGGCAAAGCCGGCAGCCAGTCCAGCCAGACCGACACTCAGACCAGCGCCAAGTTGAATGAATCCAGCATAGAGGGACATGGGGGATTTGACTGCACGGAGGAGGGCATAGCCGAAATCGGTGTCAGCGAGCACGTCTCGTACAAGTCATCCACAATATGCTACTCACTGTCACCACTGATCAAGACGGAGACGACGAGACCGTAAATGGCAATGATACCAGCCATGATGACTGGAATGATACACTTGATGAGCAGGTCGGGACGCAGCACACCCATGGCGCTGATACCAACACCAGACTTGGAGGTGCCGTAAGAAGCACCCAAGCCTGAAGCCAGCAGGGCAAGGACAATTTGGGAGGCGTGTGAGAAGCTGTCGATCCATTGCGCAGAGTGGGCTTTGCTTACTCACAGGTGAAGACGATTGCGGCAGTGCAGCCCATCGCTACGCGCACAAGAGAGAAGAGACGTCAGCATGGAACACTTGACCTCTCTCAAGGCGTCTGATGCTATGGCTCACCTCCGAAGAAGGGTGCGTACACCGGGCAAAGCTCGGACACAGCGGACATATTGACTGTAAAAAGGTGAGAGCCGCATCGATTAGCTTACGAAGCCGTAACAAGGCGGGTCAAGCACAGCGGCGCCAGTCTCTGGATCTCAAAAGTGTGCTCACCTTCTGTGAGATTGGGAGTCTGGGGTGTAGCAGCGAGTGAGACGTCGTTTTCTAGTTCCCGTCGAGTATGCGTTGGCGGCAATGTGTACAGTGTCCGTAATGGTGCAGTAATAAGCGAGCGGGTCAAGTTGTGAAGCGCCCGGAATTCGAGGTGCTCTGGCGATGCGATCGATGATGCTGTGAGCGCGCGTTGCAGAACAGGGCACGCGCCACCCGAAGCATGAGCCAGGGGCTTCCTTGTCGACACGTGGCTCTCGGCATACTTGGCAACAAGTCACGTGTTCTTGATATCGGTCCAAAGCTCTCGAGCCCAAGCGCTGCTGCTGCTGCAGCTGAGCACAAAACAAGGGTCTGCATGCATGCTGCCTACAAGATCGGAGAGGGTGTGGAGAGGCGTGCAGTAGCAAAGCTCAGGTCAACGCCCACAGCAGAATGCGACTACTCACGACTACTGCTGCGCAGACGCGAGTCTTATCATGCATGGCTGCTCGCTGACTGACCGGGTGCCTGAGCGAAAGTGACACTTTGAGGTAGCACAGACCCATCAGACATGCATGATCGATGCTGGCCCCGCCCTTCAATTTATCAGTCCGCGGTGAGACGGAGCACAGCAAAATAAGCCCAGCAGCATTGCTGATGGATGGCCTCATCGTTTCGTATGCTGTGCAAGGTACTCGATCGAGAGCGCCCTAGATAGCACGATGAGCCAGAGCTGAAAGTGCGCACGACGGCAGACTCGATCCGAGCTGTAGAAGAGGTGCCCAGCCACTTTCAGCGCAAGATCGAATCGCTGCTGCTGCTGCTGTGCACGCCAGAGCTGAACAAGGCACGCTCGAGCACGAGCGCGAGCGTCAGCATGCGCAATCTGTTGCATCCAGCCCGCTCTGGCGTGATGAGGGCTATGTGCACATGATCATGAATCACAATTACGCTGTGTGGGTTGCGAACAGGGGCATCGCTAATCTCTCGCATGTGCGTGTGGGTACGCATTAGGCGAATCGTGATTGAGTAGATGGTCGAGTATCAAAATCTTATATCATCCAGACTGTTGTCTCGTGTCCTTCATCCCAGCCACAACGTCTCGTCCGTTCTTGACTTCGCTCGCCACCCACCCATCCATCCATCCATCCTCTCTCTCATTCCCCATCTGCTGCTCAGTCAATGCAGTCCGGTGGCACGATAGTGACATCACCTCTAAGTGCAGCGCCACCAACCATCCGCTCACACTCTCACTCGCGACGCCTCCGTTGATCGATCCACCGCTTCAATTCCTTCATCAAGAGAAGCGCTGCTCTCAGACTAGGCCATCCGAAATGGAGCGTCTTCCCTCGCTCGGCCAGCCCACAGGCTCGTCGCAGTCGTCGCAGTCTCAGGAGGTCAAGCACATGCTCGTCCTCCACCTTCCTATAACATACTCAAAGCTGGACTCGTACTCTTCCCGTGGGCAAATCGTAGATGCTACAAGAAGTTGGTCGCGCCAATTGTGCTTTCTAGAGGACCACGGGGAGGTCACCCTGGCTCGAGCTAGCGAAGGTACCATCATTGACCATCTTGATCGTTCCATCCAAAGTGAGCAAGCACATTTTGCCAACAAGGTCGTCTCACGCAAGCATGCCAAGATCTGCTGGAACAATGGGGTGCCATCCATCGTCGACCTCGGAAGCACGCATGGCACGCAGTACTCAGATATTGGGGCGTACCTCGACCCTTACTCCAACAATTGGCGAGTTTCGTCGGCGCTTGCCGCTTTTGCGCCACCCGTCGCATTCTTGAAGCCAGGAATTCGTCAGAACTTGACCCACGGAGCTCTCATCACGCTTGGTAAGGACATGGGCTCTCAAGAACAGTGTCATCAAGCTGTTCGTGCGCTGGTGAGTGTTTATTGTCCCTCCGCGATGCAGAAGCGGACCGATAGCTTGTCCTCTGCACTGGTGCAGATGATGCCGCATGGGAAACCTGAGCTAATGGCTCGCCGATCTTGTGATTCTACCTTCCCAGGTTGAGATCAGGAAGGTCTTGAGGCCTGTCGCCCAACAACACTATCTCCCTCCGCTCTCGGATGTAATCGCTTCGGATTCGACGCAGACTCTTCATCCATCGTGCTCTCTCCCCAGTAGCACTATGCAAGGGTCACTGGATGCATGCAAGAAGCCGATCACCGTTCACCGTGTGCACGACTCGGATGAAGAAGGCGACCAAGATGTACCTGAACTCACCAGCGACAGTGACGAGGTGGAGGTCATCGAGGAGCCGGAAGTCTCTCCAGAAGTGACCCTCGTCGGCATTCGCACACCAAGTCGCCGGCATAACGAGCCGAGCGGGACTTGCAAGCTGGCATCCGGTCCCACTGCCGCACTCAAGACGGATGAAGACGTCGTGTTTAGCTTTTCGAGCTGGTCTCCTAAAGGGGGAGCACGCAGCCAGCCCACAGAGCGAGTCGTCCCACGTCCGATCGCAAGTGCCCCCACTCTCCATGCACGAGCGCTTATGGCTGGCTGGAGCGAGGCACTCTTGCACCGTGCTTCCTTCAGCAAGTCCAGACCACTGGGGGCATCAACGCTCAGATCCGCGTCCTCTGCACTCACAAATCGCTTTGCCCAGCCCGCCTCACCGTCATCGGCAGCATCAGTAGCCGGCAGCGCGGCTAGCTCCGCAAAATCTGGACAGAGCGCGAATCCCGACGGTGTCTCAGCAGCATCTGTCGCAGAGGTCGTGCAGCGTCCTCGTCCACTAAGCTTCTCGCCATCTAGCAAGGCTCCCCTTGCGGTAGCCGATTCGAACGATCTGGACAGCGCCTCCGCCTCCGCTGTCCAGTCTACCAGCACCCGTCCATCTCAAACCCACGACGCTGGCATCGCCCTCGCAAACTTGGAATTTAATGTCAGCCCTCAATCAGGGCCAACCGAGGACGGACAGAGTGCATGGCTTGGAACGCGACGCATCAGCTCCACGCTTCACCCGCCTTGCTCGGATCGCTCCTCGGGCGAAGTTCCTCATGGCAATCTCGCCCTGGGCCCGTTCTCTGACCCCGACCGTGAAGGTCCTCTCTCTCTTCATTCTCTCTATCGACGCGAGACCAGTCCCGTGGATGAGTGTGACGATGACAATTCTAACAGCTCCGATGAATCGGACGGCGACACATCGGATTCTTCCGGCTCGAAGGAACAAGACAGCCACTCTGAAACCAGTGTTCTTGACGGCGATGCTCAGCTCAGTGACGAGGAAGACATAGCTTCCGTGGCCGAAGATGCTAGCTTGTCTGACGACCTGGATGACGAGGCCTTCCCCGTCGAGGAGGGCGAGCTCGATGAAGACGCCTTCTCAGAGGAGCCGGATGAGGAGGCTTTCCTTGAAGAATTAGATGAGGATGCCTTCCCTGATGATCTGGACGAAGATGACGGATCTGCGCGCGAGGGTACGTCCGCTGAACGCGAGGAACTGTCAGCGAGCGAGCAAAGCGAGGCTTCCCGAGACAATGGTCTCGAGCATGGCAACCGTCCCACCGATCACGCACGCGGAGCTTCAAGCGAGAACCATGTGATGACTGACGTCAATGACAACTTGCCCGTGACAAGTCCAGCTGTGGTAGAAGCTACGCAGCGAGAGATCATCCAAGATCGCGCCCCTGAAACGACTGCAGTCTTTACTCAAGAAGCGGCTGCAACGACAGTCGATGACTCCTCTGATTACAACCCCACCCTTGCCATTACTCAAGCTCAGAGGTCTCCAGAGTCTAATCTCTCGCCTCTCACCAGTCAGCCACGGGACGACGACCGGCAGACGTTGCAAAGCAGGTACGAGCCCTCATTGACTACTCACATGCAAGAGGCTGCTGAGCAGCTTCGCTGCTTGCAGCGCTCAGAACTGATACGGGCGGTCGTTGCAAGAAGAGAGGCTCTAGATCTCAGCCTGCAGCAAGAGAGAATTCGTTTCGCACGGGAAGAATCAGAGATGGCGCTCGCTCGCAGCATGAACGAGCAGCCTAGCTTCGAGGAGCAGCGGGTTCAGGATGCTGCGCCAACACAGGCAACCTCACCTGCAGCAGTCGAGACTCCAAGCACCCAACAGACACCTGCAGAACTCGAATCGCCACTTCGTCATCTCCGTGCGATGACAGCTCAGATGGGAAACCAAGGTCAGGTGCACGCTGCAATGCTCTTGCGACAGCTTCAAGCGCGACCCACTCCTTCCACACGTGAAGCGGCCGAAACACGCAGGCTGTCTCTTTGTGCGCTGACGCGCAGACTTGCCCGGATCGACTCCCCTGAGGCGCTCTTGCCGGTGGTCACGACTGTGACATCGCCGTCGAACATTTCTCAACATCCGCCGACAAAATCCTCGCCTTTTGTGTGCGACGTTGAGCAGCCTCTCGCCGAGACAGCCAAGGTTCAGAACAATGGCAAACGTAAGCGCAACTCGGTGGATGCCTCCACGCAGATCAACGAGGAGCAAGTCAGCGAGCGCATGAGCTCTCCTTTGCCCGTAAGCCCTCCCCCGAAGCGCGCCCGTCTCGACGTTTTCGGGGGTGTTGTTGTCGGCGCGATGATTGGTGCAGTCGGGTAAGTGCGCGGTCACCATTGTGTGTATGCTGTCAAAGCTGACATTTCGGTCGTGTCTTCTCTCAGCACCTTCGTAGGACTCGCCTCCTTAGGCCGCTCGAGCATGTAGGCATGACGCGCCACGTCGCTCTGAAGGTCGCACACTCAGAAGTGTTAACAACCCTTTCCCAAGAAGTGCAGCGTTTGCGTGACCACTGCCGTGCGGTGGTTTCGCTCAGTCTCAAGCCGAATCTCTGATCCGAAAGAATCCAACAGCCACAGTGTCAACTTCTCTTGATCGGTCCTAGTATTCCAACACAAGATCCACAATTTCAAGCGCTACTACTGGCTGAGAAAACTACCATCCACCGAGCCGATCACATTTATCCATTTGTAATCCCGCATTCCTCTCACACGTCCTGCACACCCCTCATCTGTAAAGACCGCCCCCATGTTGAACTCATCGCCCTCGTCCTCGCCCTCGCCCACGACCCCCGCCTTGACTTTGAATTACGATGTTTGTGTTTCCGCGTCTGTGTGTAGCGGATTCGAGCCTTGAACGTGCGCAGCACAGATCCAAGGCCTGATGCGGTTCTATGTAGCTGTGGCCTGCATGTGGGCACAGCAGAATTGCGCCCTCGTGCGCAATTTTTAGCCCTCCAAAGAACGCTCGTTGCCAGAACGCCTCATCTATCCTACAGCTATTTGCAGTCACGGTCTGATGAGTGAGCTGCTGAATGCGGGCGCCGTTTTCCTAGCCACACAGCCAGCAGGCCTGCTGCTGCTGCAGCATCATGCACGCCAGCTTATCCGTGCATGCGCACATGCCCGTCACCTGATGCACGTTGAGTCGAGAGCCGGCGGTGAGCTCTCTTGCTGAATGCATAGAGACGGATGCGTGTTTCCGCCTTGCTATATTTCTTCCGCTCACAACTCCACGCTGCCATCCGCAGCTTCCAGAGCAGGTCGGCTGGTCCGCTCTCTTTTTGCAATCGTGGATTCAAGCCATCACCTTCATGAACTATCAGCCACCGCATTCCACTTCTCATCTCCTTGCGAGTGTCGGAGAGCCCTCCTCAGACTCTGCTCGATGAGCGAACCCGCTAGCAATGCCGCGCTTGGGGCGACCCGTTCCCAAGCCACTGCGACCTCCCAAAGCGGGCTTCCGAACCAAGAGCCTTCACCGACTTCCACCGCTCCTGAGAACAAGGGTGCGCCATCGGAAGACGCAGCTTTGAAAGATGCCGCTTCGCGCGGCGAAGATGTCGGCGCGGACCCACGCCGAAAGAGTCGGGTGCCAGAGTGGATGTCCAAAGCGTTGAAAGATCCGCGAAGCTGGAAGAACCTGCTCCGTTGCTGGGCGGCTTCGTGGGTATGCTTCATTCTGCTCTTTCCCAACAAGTCGCTGGCCACGCTCGGTCAAGCTGCTTTCTTCACGTGTATCGTCACGATCATGATCCCATCCAACATGCCCGTCTTTATTTGGCTGCTGGCCAACACCACCTTGGTCCTTGGAGCAGCTTTCGGGTGGGCCTGGTCCGCCGCGGGAATGGCTGCATCTCGACGTGCCAGACCTGCGGGTGTACTGAGCGAGAGGTTGCAATCCGTGCAGAGCTCCGTCGCTACGGCGACCAACCCGCAAGCTGCTTACAGGGGTGCCATCTTCAGGGGAGAGCTCGTCCAGCCGGCCAGCACTGGAGTCACGGCTGCCTTCTTCGTCGTGGGCTGCTACTTCTTTGCAGTGATCATGGCCAAAGCACCAAAGCTCAAGATCTTCGCAATCTTTGGAATCATCGTCATGGACATCGGATTGACCTACGGGCCGCTCTTTCCAGCGCCTCCATACACTATCCCGACCATTTTCATGCTACCGATCGGCGTAGCGCTTGGAGTAGCATTCGCATGTATGCTGCTCATCTTCCCCGAAACGCTCTCCCACAGCTGGACGACTGGTCTGACAGAGCTGCTTGGCACTCTGAGCAAGTTGCTTAGCGTCCACCAAGACAGTCTCAAAGCCATTGCGCAAGATCCTGCCGCTGCACGCAGCTTCGAGACGAAATTCGCACCTGTGCGACTGAGCGCCATCGACCTGCTGGAGAGCTTGGGTGGACAGCAAGCCTTCCTTGACCTGGAGGTATCCTATGCGCGCTACTCCAACAAGGACCTCAAGTCGATGTACAAGAAAGTCGCTTTGACCACGGTGCGCCTGATGGGCATTCAAGCTTTTCATCATTTCATCGAGGATGACGACATCAACTACGGAGCTTCGCTGGATGACGTCACCGAGGGCAAAGAAGTGCTCAATGACGATGTCGAAAAGCAGACCGTCCACGCTGCGGACACCGCAAGGCTACACGATCTGCGTCAAAAGATGCGCGTCGCTCAACGCCAGCAAGGCGTGGAGCTCAGTCAACTGCTCCCCAAGATGGAGGCAGCCAGCGAACGCTTGTTTGCAGCTTCCTATCAATGTCTGCACGAGACTTCGCAGTGGCTGCGCGCGACGAACCAAAACAGATGGCTCGGGCAACAGAGCGCGGAACAGCACCAAAAAAGCCTCGACTTGCTGACCGCAGCGGCGCAGGAGCTGACGGAAGCTGTGGCAGATTTCAAGTCGAAGGAGCTGGCCCAACTCATTGCCCCATGTGAGTTGCGAAATGCAAGGTTCGTCATGTCCGCGCTGGACTCATCTCGACCCGTTCTTCGTTGCAGACGCACAGCACTTTCGCATTGGAGACGATGGGGAGCATTTTCTGACAGACGAAACTGTTCAGGACTTTTCACTTGGCTGTCGTCCGCTTCATTTGGCATTCGTCTGGGTCAAGAATCAGGAGAGGTTCGCATTGACCCTGGCTGACTTTACGAGAGAGGTGCGCCACATTGCTCAGAAGCATCCGCGCAGCAAGCTCTGGTTCCCACTGTCTCTGCGCAAGTTGTGGAAAGTGGCCTTCTCGAGACATCACGGACACACCGGAGGCATCGTGTCTGCAGGCGCTCAAGGGGTGGAAGAGCCAGCACCAGCAACGTCGTCGAGTAGCGGCTCTACCACAGGCGTTAACCATGGCGCCGACGATTCCGACGAGGAGGAAGAAGAAGCTCTACCAGACAAGCGCGAGCTGAAGCGGCAAGAAAAGGCCAAAGCTGCAGAGCGCAAGGCCGAGGCAAAGCGCAAGCGACTGCAAGCGATGCGAGATCTGGACTCCTTACCTCCTTCGCACGTGGGCCACAAGCTAGGAAGATCGCTTGCAGGCTTCTACGACTTTTTCTCCTCATCCGATGGCATGTTTGCACTTCGATTTGTGATTGGATCGATCGCGCTCTGGGTGCCGGCGGTCCTTCCAAGCTCGGCTGGCTTTGTCTACCAGAATCGAGGTATCTGGGCGCTCATCATGTTCCAGACCGGGATGGCGAGCACGAGTGGCGAGCTGTTCTTTTCGATTGCCGCTAGACTGCTTGGCACGGTCATAGGACTGCTGGCTGGTGCGGTTTGCTGGTACATCGGATCGGGAAGCGGCAACGGCAATCCTTACGGTCTCGCAGCTACGATGGCAGTGGTGCTCCTACCCATCATGTTCTTCCGGCTATACGCACCGCCAATCCTTCTCTTACCAACGATGATGTGCGGCGTGACAGTCGTTCTCATCGTTGGCTACAGCTGGATTGATGCGGGCCACCTGGCTGGCATCTCTGTCAACAGCGGCATCGGCATCGAGGTGGCATGGAGAAGAGGATTACTGGTCATCATCGGAATGGCAGTCTCTGTCATCATCGTCCTTTTCCCGCGTCCTCCGAGCACCAGGAAGCAGGTCAGATTGCATTTTGCAGCTTCCACAGCGTCAATTTTGGATCTCTACGAGAGTCTCATGGGCGCATTCGTGACTGTTGCGGACCGACAAGAGGATCTCGCATCGCTCGACGAGACTTTGGCATCTTTGCGGCCACGTTACGTCGGCGCGTTGGTGAGACTCAAAGGCCTAAAAGCGGCGGTCGGCATGGCCAGACTGGATCTTCAAATCCGAGGGAAATGGCCGGCAAAGAGATACGAGCAGATGCTGACTGTTCACGCCAGGCTGCTCGAATCTCTCTCCCAGCTCTTTGCCGTTCTTTCAGACACCAAAGATGATCTGGAGTGGAGGCGACGCTTCGGGAAGAGGACACCCTTCTGCAGCCCAGAGATCACTCAAGACGTGATCGCGACGTTGGTGCTCGTGCAGCACGCCTTGAAGAGCGGGCGATTGATTCCACCGGGTGCCACTGGGTCCTTGTTGGACAGAGTGGTGGTCAGGTATCAGCAAGTTTTCCGGGAGCGCACCTCTTCCAATGCTTCGCGAGCTGAACAGCTCACTCTGGAACAAGTCAGAGACGATACCTATGTACTCCACATGGCTGGTGTCTCCAGCTTTTTCGCTTTCGTCGCTCGTCTCGATGAGCTTGTCGCGCTCTGTCTCTGAGCACGGAGTCGATCGTGTTCGACTTGCCGCACAGTTCGCGCCTTTTGTAAATGGACCCTGTCTCTAGTCATTCGCCCCGCTAATGAGCATGATACCCATGTGATGCACCAAGAGTTCGACTGTGCTGCGCCAAGGTGGTGAAGTCATTTGGCAGGTTGGCGGGGCTGGAACGGATGCTCGTGAGGACGTGTGTGCTGGTAATGTCCCCGCACGCAATATAGAGGGTGAGTGGTACAGCACGTGCGGATTCCGCGCAGCCGGCAACTCCGGGCCGGATGTGACGCTTCGCGGCGGGGCCCCGTGTAAGCAACCTTGTTGCATGGCAGCTGTGTACGTCAATTGAATGCCTTTCACTAACTGGTGACAATGCACCCTAACGCGATGAACATGAGCGAACTCACGCGAGCTGTCCTCATCCCTCTTACACACCCTCACTCGCGCGAATCAAATCTCGATACGCTCTCGCAGGATTCGTCAACATGCGCATCGAGGAAGTGCACCGCCTCAATCCACCCATCGAGGGCGACCCTTGGGAAGTCCAGCCGGTTTTGCGATCGCTGCTAGCCCGACACTTGGCTGCTACAGTGCCCGACTCCAATCCAGAGCTCCACCATGAGCTGCTGGAGCGACTGCGCAGTCTCGGAAAGGAAGTGCAGACGAGCCTGAGGCCGATCGCCGAGACGTTGGACCCTTGCGAGGGACCCAAGCTGATCCAGTATGACCAGTGGGGTCAGCGATTGGACAAGGTCGTCACGAGCGAGGGATGGAGAGCCATCGCCACTTGGCTGGCTGAGCGAGGCGTGCCTGGAGAGGCGTTCGACGAAGAGTACCAACAAGCGTACTTGGCTGATAGGGAGAAGAGCGCTGGCGGCAAAAAGAGATTGGGCGGAGCTGCTCGTTTGTATGCTCAGGCTCGCACCCATCTCGTGTCGGCAGACAGCCACGTCGGTCTGTGTCCCATCAGCATGACTGATGGCGGTATCCTGGCTCTGGCTCGATTTGGCACCAAGGATCAAAAGGATCGATGGCTTGCGCGTCTGCTGCACCGCGGGCCGGGTGCAGCGTTCGCAGGGCAGTGGATGACCGAAAGAGCAGGCGGAAGCTCCGTCAACTTCACCGAGACGAGAGCTGCGCGACTGGATGGGGGCGATTCTACCAAGGGCAAGCCTGGAGACTTGTACCTCTTGAACGGCTTCAAATGGTTCTCTTCAGCTGCGGATGGTCACGTCGCCTTTGCGCTGGCCAGGACATCGGACGAGGGTTCCAGAGGCTTGTCGCTATTCCTCGTCCCTTTGCGTCGTCAGGACCGACCTGCGCTGCCGGCAAACTTGGTACCCGAGTGCGATGCACGAGCACCTCATTCCACACTGAATGGAGTGCGCATTCATCGACTGAAGAACAAGCTCGGCTCTCACCATCTGCCTACAGCCGAGCTTGAGCTCGATGGGGCCGTCGCGGAGCTGGTGGGTGAAGTCGGCAAAGGGGTGAAGCAGATCTCCAACATTCTCAACATCACTCGCATTTACAGCGCCAGTGGATCTGTCGCAGCTCTCGCTCGCAACCACAATCTGGCCGTGGAGTACGCCAAGGGAAGAACGGTGGATGGGGGACACCTGCTCGCGAACGTGCCCTTGCACGTGGCGGAGCTCGCCAAGGTCGGCGTTATCCATTCTGGCCTATCGGCGCTCCTTTGGAAAGCAGTAGCGCTCTACTCAAGAGTGGAAGCGGACAAAGCACTGCCTCACGAAGCAGCCATGGCCAGGTTGCTCATTCCCGTTGTCAAGGCGTACGCTGCCACGCTGGGAACGCAGTACTCGGCGGTCTGCTTGGCGAGTTTGGGAGGCCAAGGATATATGTCCGAGACGCCTACAACGACACTGCTCAGAGACAGCCTCGTCGAGACGATCTGGGAAGGCACAGCTTCGGTGCTGAGCTTGGACGTAGCTCGCGTGCTTGTGCAGACCAGAGGAGAAGCCCTGTTCGAATTTGTCGTCGAGATTGAGCGTTCCCTGGGAGAGTCGTACCAGCATCTTAGACCAGCTACAGACGCTTCGAAGAATGAAGGCTTTCAGTCTGGCCCAGCCGAAGATGTCCGAGACCTATTGCGAGACACTACAGACTGCCTCGACGCTTTGCGAAGTCGCGGCTGGAAAATGCTGCAGAGCGGTCTGGCCAGCAACGACGCTCGGATCGCCCGTTTGCTGCTGGAGACCATCGCCAAGGTCACCGCCATTGAACAGCTGCTAGCGCACGCAGCTTGGCTGAACACCACTCATCAGAATGCTTTCGAAGCTGTCCTCTACGTCAAGCGAGCTCAGCGCTTCCTCGAATTGACAGGCGGCTTTGAGACGACGATACGTCAGCTTCAAGTCGAGTCGGCTAGCTTTTCGGAGACAGCAAGCACCGACAGACTCTTGGCTCTCATCGACGTCCCCATGGTTGGACCCTCTCCTGCTCAGTCCCTTGGCGCTCTGAGGGCGAATCTGTAGCCCTTGCCGATCCGTGGTCCGATTCACGCTGCTGCACGTGCAGAGCTACAGAATAGCTAATGGATCTCGATTGCTTCACAGACGGCATTGAAAGACTACGTCTCCGTTTCTCTTCCGTTGCAAACGCTCCATGTGGCAGCGGTCTAGCGTAGATACCCAAGTGTGAGAGTAGAGCGCTCATTGATACCGACCGCAAAGCAGTGGGCGATTTCTCTGACAAGCAAGGTCTGCGAATCGACAACAGCGCTTGCTGGCTGAGAACTGTGTCGTAGCGATCATGATTTCAGCGTTGGTTTGAGCGCGGCGAAGAACTCGAGAGCTTCCAGCAATGTCGATGTGCAAGCGGAAATCCGTACACTGACGTCGACCTTGTCAATTCTCGAGGCGACTGAATGGAGCACTGAAAAGAATCGGGACAGCAGAGGGCAAAAAGCACACGCCGGCTCTTCGAAACCGTCGGCGGCCTAAAAGACACAAAACTAAAAACCTACGGCATCTGGGATTCACGAGTGGTCCCCCACCTCATTACTGACCAGACCCTACAGGGTTTCCGCTTCTGGGATCAGACGGGACCAGGCACGTTTCCTGTGGTGTGGCCGTAGATACTAGACTGATCATGTCACAAATATATATACGGTTCTCACTCCCATCATCCCGTGCAGCTCGCTTCGCTCGCTGCACCCGCTATCACAGATCGGACGGGATGTGGCTCGTTTCCGGGGGTATGGCTGTAGATATTGTGGGCAGCATGTCACAAATATATATACCCATGATTTTTCTATCAACTCATCCGCCTTTGCCAAGGAGAGGGCTCCACATGTTTTTAAGCGCAGAGCCAGCCGCAAGAAAGTGAGGGTGTGGTGAGCTGCACATCCTCGGGCGCATGGTCTTGTGCAGCTCGCCGCGCTCGTACAGACAGAACCTCCGGGCTTGCTGAGTGCATGCATGGCACCGTCCTGTGCCGCTCGCTAAATTCGATACACCCTCTCCCGACACCGATAGAAGGTGAGGGGGCATTTTCTCCGTGCTCCTCAAACACTCAAGGATATTCACCAGTCACAGGGATCCCATCGGACTCTTGTTCGCACGACTCGGTCGACGGCGACGTGCAATTTCAATGAGCTTTGGACATTTCACAGCAAGCGTTGTTGTTGTTCAAATTGAAGGCTAATGCTAGGATTTTCTGGTAGAGCACTGATATGTTGCGCAAGAACGAATTGCTAGTTATGATGGACTGCGCTCGAGGAGCAAACCACCCGAAAATGCCAGAAGCATACCGAGAGAGCTGCTCTATAGCTTCTCCTTGAATTCCACAGCTGATGCGTCTTGAGCTGAGCGGTCCTCGACCTTGTGAACGAGCCACTGCTCGAGCTGCGATATGAATTCGGTGTGGGCTGTGTCTTCGTGCGTCAAGAGCGCATCGAAAGCGTGAACTGCATCCTCCATAATGACGCTGGCAAAGCGACGAGTTGGTTCCACGCGACCGTCAGGTATGGAACCTTGTTGAGTCTTCCTTTTGCTCGACGAGCTTTTGCCTGCGTCCGGCAGCAAATCGTCGAGCGCCGCAGCGGCAGAATTTGAGCCTCGTAGTGCCGACATAAAGTCGATGGTCGCGTTGACGGGAACGAAGTCATCTGCTGATCCGTGGAAGATGAAGATGGGGGGATACGGCTCATTGACGGGAGCGTGTGCGATGGGAGAAGTGCCAGAGATTACTTTGGTCGGGTTCAGCGCGTTCAAAGACCAATGACGCAGAGCAGGATAGAGCGCGTTCGCCTGCAGAAGCGCTTCAGCAAGACCCACGCGTCTGAGACCCTCCGCTTCTCCTCTCCATGGCCGTCGGATGTCCATGCCGACCTCTGCGCGGGCAGCTACGACATGAGGTGACTGGTCGAGCAGAGCTGGAAGCTCCGGAGATGTATGAGCGGCGCGCCTTTCATCTTCAGCCTGCGCTGCACGCAGGACTGGGTGCAGAGATGCCGTCGGCGCTGAGCCTGCGTGGGGAAGCGACAGAATGGGATAGGCCATGATTACGCTCAAGGGGGGTGGGGAGAGGAGCGCGCCGCTGGGCCGTTTGCAGACATGTGCCATTCCGCCCGTCAGCCAACAACCAGTGAGAGGCACCAACAGGCACCACATTCCACTTTCGCGACTCACCCCAGTGCTGCGAGATAGCCTCCCGCCCCTGCACCAAAGATGATGCACCTGGTATGGTCCAATCCTCCTCTCCTTTGCAAATCTTCCCACGCTTCATCAAGAGGTTTCGTTCCGCTCTCCACCTCTGCGCCAGATCCAGCAGCCGAGACGATCCAGGGTAAATCTTCTCTGATGAATGTCCAAAGCTCTTGCACATCTGACCAAGCAGCGTCCGGACCCGCATGAGGAGCTAACCTGTAGTCTGCGCACAGCAGCGGGAAACCTCTAGCGCTGCAGAGCTGCACGAGCCAAGTAGGAACATCGTGACGAGAGCCTGAGAGAAAGTTGCCTCCGTGTAGATACAGCACGAATGGAAGTGGTTGTGGCTTGGAGCTGGAAGGATCATTCACGCGCACAGGAGGGGTGAAAGGTGAGAGATCGACGTGAAGAGGACCCGAAGGTCTGCGCGTGTAGGTCAGCGTGACTCGCTCGCCGCTGGCCATCGTGGAGCATTTGTCGTTGAGAAGCACCGCCGAAAGGTTGGAAATGCGAGCGCGGAGAGTGTGGATGCGGGCAGAATTAGGCTGGAGGGAGCTCGAAGGGAGGCAAACGCCTCATGGATGACAAAGTTACGCACACTCGAATCGTGAGGTCGTGAATGCGGGGAACGCAACGCGCAAGCACGCACGCATGCAGCAAGGTCATCAGACGGCTATCGGCAATCCAACGGTTGCCGCGTTTGCATTTGTGCGTGAGAAGTCCTTGTGCGATCACGTGAACGCGTCGCACATAGCTACGTGGATATGATACAGAAGTTCGATCTTTGGTCTCAGTCGAGTGTTGATGAGTGTCCGGGTGGTGATGGATGTGTGAGCGGGATGATGTCATGTACACGTGCTGAAGAGTGATGGAAGCACTCGCGACTTTTGAGGAGTGGCGGCGGAGTGAAGACGATTGAGGAACGCACTGCTGGAAGGAGCGTAAAGAGAGCATGAAGCTCTAGGCGCTGTCCTTGATCTTGTCCGCAGCAAGCTCTGCCACTCCATAGAGGAAGCTTTGCAGGTGCGCAGAGATGGCCATGGGCACCACGGACGCATCGGCCACGAACACGTTGCTCGTGCCGTACACCTTAAAGTCGTTGTCCACGACACCTCCATCTTCTCTTGGCGCCATCATGCAGGTGCTCATGGGGTGCGCAACAGAACTGAACTTGTTCAGCACCCATTCCTTCCACCCTTGGTAGTCGCCATTTTGAGGGCCGTCCGGAACACCGCCGTTGCCAGCGTCAAAGCCGGGAACGGTCTCGTCTACGCCAAGCGCCTGGAAGATGCGTCGAACGGCTCTGGCAGCCTCAATTTGTACGTCGAGGTCCCATGAAGCTGAAAAGTATCGAGGATCGACGCGGGGGTTGCCAAATGCAGAATTGGCAGAAGCAGAGACGGATCCACGGCTGAAGGGCAACAGGTTCCACACCAAGCCACCCCGATCACTGGGATATCCATTGTCCGCGAAGAGCTCCACGAGGCCTTCTTGTTTGTCGAAGATGCCAGCTACATGGCTCTTGAATTGCTTTAGCATCGCATTCTTCGACACGGCTGCGCCAGCGTCAACGGCCGATTGGGCGTATGCGTCAAGGTTGTCCTCGACGTATTCGCGAACATCACTGGAATTGCTAAAGAGGTTATCGACGGACATGTATGCTGTGGGAACATATAAGTGCCAGCCTGCTCAGCTGCCTGAACACAATGTACAGTGTCGACCTGCATGCCCGACTCACCGATCAGGCCGGAAGGACCATTGCCGTCGGGATCGCCGCCACCATCAGCACCAAGGCTGCTCATCGTCTGTTCTGTCAGATGCTTGCCAACGCCATCCAAAGGCACTTTCTGCGTGATGCCCAAGTCATCGAGAAGGCCTGAAGATCCAATGCCGGAGAGCTGCAAAAACACGGGCGACGCTATGGCACCAGAGGCGGCTACCACCGCGCCAGAAACCGGTACGTCCACAAATTCTCCGTCCTCGTCCTGGCGAAGCCTGACGCTTTGAGCCTTGGCATCGCCCGAGCCGTCGTCCCAATTGATACGCTCTCCTCGGGTGCCCGTCAAAAAGATTAGATTCTTGCGCGCTTCGTTCGGAGTAATGTAGGCCGTGGCTGCAGAAACGCGAGTCTGGGCGTCCCCGGAACCTGGCAAGATGGTGTTTGGAGTTCTGCACACTCCTGGCTGCACTCCGTTGTTGCTGTCCTGAATGTGGGGAGTGCCCACAGTATTGGTGATTGCTTCGCTGTATCGGTTGATAATCTCGCCACGGTACAAGGTTGACGGGTAGCCGACTGCAACCGGTCCATCGGTGCCGTGAGCACTGGGGTCCCAATCAGCACCGAGAGCCTTGAGGTCATCAGAAGGAGGGTCAAATTTCTCAGCTTTCTTCATGTAGGGCAAGAGCATTTCCCATGACCAGCCCGTGCCAATGTCCTGTCCGAAGGCGTCGATCTGGCTTTGGGGCGGTCGGGTGACAGCCAGACCGTTGATTGAGGTGGATCCACCCAGGCCTTTTCCAGCCGATACAGAGAGTTCCCGACCATTGGCTGTCGGCTGAGCGATGGTCTGCACAGACGCGAGATGATAGGAAAAGATGTGAGCGATGCGTAGGCGAAGCGCAGGATGGGGGAGAAAGAACTTACGGGGTACTTGAAGTTCTTCTCTTCATCTGAAGTGACGTCTCCATAGCTGTATGCTGCGACCATCGCGGCGACACCACGGTCAGAGTGCTGAAGTAGCGGTGGAACATTTCTCTCCCGACTCACCGTGCACAACATTGTCCGCAGACCTGGTATCGCTGCCTGCCTCGACGCACAGAACCGAATTCTGGCTGTCCTCGCTGAGGCGTGCCGACACGACGCTGCCGGCTAAGCCACAGCCAATGACGATGTGTGAAAAGGTCTTGTCTTTGACGGCATTGAGGTCGGATGTGACTGCTGATGAAGCTCTGGTCCAGATTTGATTCAAGACGTCGCCGGTGTGGGACGACGATGATGATGAAGTTGGCAATGCTTGAATGAGAGACGGCAAAGCGCCCACAGCGAAGATGGCTGTTCCTAGCTTCATGTTTGGGTGACTGCTTCTATTCGAGATGTGAAGGTGAAGGACGGTCAAGGCTGATGGATGATTATGTGAAGCTGCGAGGGGATTCGAGGTAGGAAAAGCCAGGCTTATGTACATCTGAAGAATTTGCTGCTCCCGGATTTCCGAAGCTGCCGGAAAGACGTGTCCCAAAGTGACCATTCGGGCGCATTGACGACGTCTGGTTCACAGTTGGCAATTAGACTTTTCCGTTCCGATCCCCGTCCGCTCGGGGCTGCCATAGGCACCAGCATGGCAATCCACACACTCAAGACCGCCGCCGTCGCAGCATTCACAATTCATGCTCATCGCTGCGATGACGTACCTGAAGAGCGACACCGCCGCGTGCAATCATGCGACTCAAGACTTACGGCTGGCAATGCTTCTTACCGATGCAGTCACCTACCGGGCGGTCCATTCACCACTGTGGCTCCTAACCGTCACTTGGTCGCCGTGCTTCCGTAATTATTCTTGTGTTGGCAGGCCCGATCACAGCGCCTCTTCGGGCGGGCGTCGGGGTTGTCATGCATGCTGGTCGCAGAATTATAGGCATCACGATGCTGCCTGGCTATGATGGACGCCGGAACGCCGAGATGTGTTTCACTCTGCTGTGTCTCGGTGGAACGACGATTCGTGATTGTGGTTGCTGAGTGAGCCAAATACATGGCAAATCTTGAATGTGCTTGACACGCGCCCAGCAGCTTAATTCAAGCTAACTGCGATCGAACCCAATTGCGACGCGCCGAAAAGTTTACACGACTTCATCATGGCGCGTCTGCGCGCGAAGCTTGGCGTTAAGCGCTGCGCTCATGCGCGGCGGTGTTCGCCAGCACAAGCGTCGCCGCAAGTCCGAAGCCGGACTTTTGTTGACGCCATTCGGCGTCTTGAACGCATGGGCTGCGGCGCAGCTGCGCGTGTACACATGCACCGCGTCGCGGCACCGGGCGGGCGTACGCCACCACGCGCGATGATCGACTGACTCACGATTCTTCGGGTGCGAGGCTCCGCTGGCTTGCCATTCGCTGGGGACTGCTATGCTTGTAGCACTCGTGACTGTGAGAGATTCGCGCACGTCAGTAGAAAGCCATGTTGTTCAGCAAATTCGAAACAGCACGACTGAATTGAACAACAAACTCAGGAGAAGTGCTGTCAAGTTATGCACGCGAAGCTGCCGTCTCTCTCCCGGACGACACTTCTCCTGAGTCTCTTGTTGATCCAGCCATGTAATCTCGGATCTTCTTTGCTTGACGAAAGGAGTTTTGCAAGCGCTTGATAATGGAGATCGAAGCACGAAAGCCGAATGATCTGTTTGCGGGGCAAGGGCCGCCACAACATATGACTCGCGGGCTCGCAAAGCCGGCCAAGGATTGATCTACGTGACATTGCGATCGGATCTAGTGCGGGGCAATGATGCTAGTCGTTTCAACTGAAGGGTCATGGTAATCTACGAAGCGTGCGAGGTGGCGGCAAAGGAGCAGGCGAGGGTTGAGAGCGAGGGTCGGAGCTGAAAGAAGGAGGTAATTGAAGCCTGCAGGCGGTGATGTCAAAAAGGCAGAGCGCGAACCCCTGTCAGCCTCACTCCACACGACGCTTAGTGAGAGACGCTTAAATGAGCTCACATCGACATCACGTCGCTCCACGTCGGCTGGCTAGGATCCAACTGAAAGCCAAAAGGCGAACTAGTCGAGAGTTGTTGGAAGGCGGACCAGTTCTGAGCATCTTGAAAGTCGCCACGTTGCTGCTGCGGTAGGTTCCCGAGCAATGCCATGACGGATTGTGGCTGTGGCTGAGCGATACCATGTCCAGGTGCCTGCACGGAGGTGGAGTTGGGCAAGAAGCTGTTGGTGGCCGGAAAGGCTTGTCTGTGATGGGATTCATGAAGCATGCCATTCCGAGCCGTGACGTTGGCCAGCATGGCCAGACCATCCGCAGCTGGCTGTTCATGGCGTTGTCGATACAGCTCGGAAGCTGTCGCTGCCGTGATCATAGATGGGCCTCCGTCCTGTGGTACTCCCTGCTGCCCCGCGATAGAGTCACGTCGCCCGGCTGTCTCGTTCCAGAACACAGTGTCGGCGTCTGCACGAGCATCGCTGGGTGTCAGTACGCGTCTTTGCTCACTGTTACTGCGCGCAACATTCACTCACCGAATAGACTAGGCGCGTGGCTGTAGAATTCGGCGCCAGTCGAAGGAATGTCGTAGGCGTTTGTGCCGTGCAGATAATCGATGATCGCGCGTTGTTGCTCTGCACTGGCAGCAAAGCCGCCCCAAATCGGTTGCTGATTGGTGCTTAAAAGCATGGCCTCAGCACTGCCCTGTGAAGCATCTGCGCGAGAAACATCCGCGTCACGATACGCTTGCGTTGTCGAGTGCGAGTTCACGCCCACTCGAGAAGTCGTGGGCGGCAAAGTGGAGCTTTGGGCCGGAGCTTGTCGCTCATTTGAAGTACTCCACGCTTTGCGGGAAGAGGGGGCGACGGCATTTCCTTGAGAAGCTGCCAAGGTCGAGCTGATTTCTTCACGCTCAGAAGTGCTTGTGGGGTTCCTGGAAGCACTGCTGGTCGCGGTCTTTGACAATTTTTCTGGTGGTTGCGCTTTAGACGAGGCCCGGCTCCGTGGTCGTTTGGTCGACTTGGCGTGCACGGCGCGATGCCCAGCATCATCATGTTGATCTTTTCGCTCGCTCATGTAGCTTTCGCCGACGGTGGCAACTCCGTCCAGAAGCTGCTTATGAGCACTTGCAGCGGGCCAGCGAGAGCTGAGCTTGCCTAGCCATTGTCGGCACAAACCAAAGCGTCGCCGAGCATCTGCAGCGATGACCTTGTCCGACAGTCCGCAATTGAAGAGGAAAAGCAAGCTTGCGGAAAAGATGCAGAATGCAAGATCTCCACTCAGTCTGTCCATGTCTACCGACGTCGGTTCGAGCAAGTCGGAAAGCGTGTTGGCAGCGAGTGTGCACTTTTGGTGACTTGAATTCTCTAGCACTTCTTGGAGCGTGGCATCATCATCTTGAGGGATGAAAGGTCTGTGAAGCAGCAGGATGGCTGTATAGTACCAGACCAGAAGTACAAACAGCGATGGCAAGGGTCCGCTCGAGTCGAGCCGCGCGAGATCGGTGGGCTCGAGGCGCAAGTGTTCAGGGAGATCTTGTTTCCAAGCCGAAAGTCGCCGGTCAAGCTCTCCCAGAGTCTCTCTGGAAGTTCCTTGCCTTCGCAGAGCAGCTTTGCGTCGGAATGAGTGAACAGAGGTGAGGATGCTTTCGATGATATTGAAGAGCAGCACGCCTTGGTTCAGCGTGGAAGCGGCGTGAATGTAGCGAGGTCTAGCCGCGGTAGGCTTGCCAACAGACTCTTCAGAGTGCATCTCGACCTGATCGTCCCACAACTCCAGCTCATCATCGACGTTTTCCGAAAGGAGGGGCACGTCGCAATCACGAGCATGCATCAACACTGGTCTGCCCATCTCTGCAGAAAGCAGGGTACCGAGGATCCTGACGTGATGGATGAGTCGAACACGCGTTTCTCGTTCACCGGTGTGTGAGAGCAGATCAAGACGATGAATCGGCCACCTGTGGAAGCCAAGGTCCATCGACAAGCTTTGAGACAGGCCGCTAAGAGTCCACGCCTTCGAGAGATCTCCTTGGCCATGGTGATACAGCGCCAACAGAAATGCTGCTTGAATTGTTGACACGCAGGGTCTCAATCGCGAGGCGTAGAGGTACTGCTCCGATCGTCGAGCGAGTATCTCTCCTGGACGCTCTCCGAGCTCATCATCGAGGTTACAGTTCAGGGCGGTGATTGGCTTGGTCGACCCTTCTCGCGGCGGAGCGCCGACGCAGGTTGCGATGGCGTACACAGCTAACAGCAGGACTGGATCGATTCGAGCTGGCAGCTCGCCCAGCGGCAATTCATCCAGGGCAGGCTTATAGAGGATCGGCCAAATGGGATGAAACCCGCTCCAGTAGAAGCGCCACAAACGTGCATTAGCTGCCTCCGTGAGCAGAGGCGCACCCATCAAGTCCTGCGATTGCTCCGTTAAGAGTGTGGTCTGGTTGCGAATATTGACTAGACAAGCTCTGAGCGCTGTAGCCTCGGACGCATCTGCGTTGTCACTTCTGCCCTCTGGACGGGGCGACGAGCCTGCCGAAGTTGAAGATCCGTTACTGTCCACGTTGCCTCGAAGTAGACGGCGCGACGCTACGCCGGATGGCGACAACGTGTTGAGGATATGATCTCGGTTTGCTTGGGCGCCATTTGAGAGTACCGGCACGCCACGCAGGGGAAATCCCCGAAGGGGCGCTGTGGACGAATCGGAGCCACTGTTTTGTCGGTTCCCATTAGGCCGGGCGAGGGGCAGCGGTACGATGCTAACCGGCTGTCCACTTCTGTTGGCGCCCTCCGCGCTAGATTCGGCTCCTCGATCAGCAAGGCCCTCTAATGATGTCAGGGGTTGTGCAGAATGCGGCTTGAGCGGGGACTTGCCAGGGGCTTGCTGCTGACTTTGACGATGCAGCAAGTGTATGCCGGAGCTTGATCCTCTATGACTGACTTCCCCTTTCTCGTTGATGCCAAGGAACTCGCTATCTCGCTCTTCTGAAGATGTTGATCGCTGTCCAAGACCATCCTGGGGAGCGGCAGTCGGAGTAGGCATAGAGCGGCCTTCTGGTTCTGAAGTCTGACTCGGGAGTTGTATGCCGCGCTCAGCGCTGATGCGTTCAAGTTCTATAGCTGCAGTTTCCGTTCCTAGCTGAGCTGTGAGGTCGCGAATAGTGGTTTCGAGCTGCCTGATGAGACGCACGCGAGCCGATTCCTTGGGCGATGATCTGAAACCCTTGGGAGGACCTCGCTTCAAGCCGGAAGAGTTGTAAGAGCATGCAGTACCTAGTACCGCACAGACTTTGCATTCGGGACGCCCTACCACGCGCGAGGCGCAGGATGTCAGTCATAATCATGCCGACCGCCGCTTCGCCGCCCCTTGGACACTCACCTCCATCACAGCGACGTTTCTTGCTACTGCAAGGCAGGCACGCTTTCGCAACCCGAGCGCCTCCTTTGCTGACGGCAGGTTGGGAGCTGCCGTCAGCGTTCACGCCTTCACTCTCCTCCTTCAAGACACTGCCGCGCGACAGCGTGCGAGCTGAGGAGCTCGGATGTGGGGAATTTTCAGGTGTGGTGGCCAGGTTATGCTCCCTTGACGCCGCGTGATCGTCGCGGGAGGGCGACGTTGCGGGTCCGATTGCCTCGGTGGATGGACTCTCCTCTTCCTGTCGAGTCCCAGCGTGCGACAGGCTTCGATTTGAGGTGTTGTTTGAGACAAGTGCGGTGACCTCCGGCTGGGACGCTCGGTGTGATGGATGAGCAAGCTGGTGAGGAAGCGGAAGTCGAGGCTGGGTGCGGCTGGATGCAGCAGCAGCTTTGGAAACGACGCCTTCCAAGCCGCCGCTCTGCCCTGCACGCATTTCCGGGTCGATTCGAAATTAGAATGCTCGAGTGGCAGATTTCTAGATGCCTGAGAGGATGTTGAATGCACTAAGGTCGTTGTGCTAGCAGTACGTCTGGTAGAGGCCGCCGAGAGGGCTTGAATAAAGGTGCACTTCTGTGTGAAAGGCAGAAGGGAGCTACCGATGCGGATGCATTCCAGAGAGTCAAACGTGAGAGGGGTTCCTTGCAATGAGCTTGGCTTGCACCTCTCTTGCCACGCTTCGACTGTCGTATTGGAGGGCGATGATGAATCAGCTCTGACTGATGTGACCGCACCGCCAGGGCGTACAGATGAGTCGTGAGCCAGGCACAAGTAGCGCTGGCAGACAAGGCCGTACTGATGCGCGACGAAGGGCAGTGAAAGGCGAGAATCTGGTGAATGATGTGGATGACTATTTGTTCCTTGGGCGTCCAGTCAATGACTTCTTGTCCGATGGCAAATGTGGATGTTTATGTCATGGCCTACGAATTTGATTCACGGCATTGATCGATATCGTTTTGGCCGGCGCTGCGCATAGCATTCGTGATTTCGCTCTCGCATGCCGCGGGTCATCCCTGCCCACCAAGGCCGCGCGCCACGCGCTACACGAACCGCGCGATTTGTTTTCGCGGGTGGGTTCAAATTCACATCGATGGTGATCAATACATCAAAGCTTGCTGAACTTAGAATCGTGAATTTTGAATCACCTGCATGCGTGTAAGTCACGTCCAAGCTTGTGAATCAAGAAGTCTTGAGTTTTGATGGGTTGAATCATTGAATATGGAGCACTCACGTGACTCATATTACAACCCGACCGCGCCAGTCTGATGAGTCAAGAGTCTTGAGTTTGATGAGTCTTGAGTGCAGAAGAGGGCATCTTGCATATGTATCCCAACTCTTGACTCTTGTGTGACTGTTGTGTGGCCGGTGCACGACCGCCATGATGGCTTCTTTGACGCCTCATGCAGCACATGTCTGTGTGAAAGGTTCACGTGACCGTCTCCCCACGAAATTGGTTACCCATGCATGATGAAGCGCGTCTCGAGGTGTGCAGCACCCTCGAACGCCGGCGGGGTCTGAATCTTGAATCGTCTGGAGTCGGGTTTGGGTTCAGACTTCTTCTTCAGCACTCTTACCACACATATGGCGCTCAACTATCACTTGTGACACCGTTTCACCTCATTCAGCTCCACTAAGCAGAGCATTGCTAATTTGTACTTCCTCGGAGAGGCTCTCAGCGCAGGCCAGCAAGGGCCTTTGAAGAGGCCACCCACAGCACCCAACAGGCCCCACTCTGGCCCGAATCAGCCAAGGTCCTGCTCAAAGGCCTGAGAGCACAAGCAAACCTCGATTTTCAGAACGGGTCACTCGCAATCTGTGCCCAACAGAACAATCATGTCCAAGGGGGCGAGCGACCAGACGCCAGAGCGTCGCCTTCGAATCGCTTTTATTCACCCGGACCTCGGAATTGGTGAGCAGGAGCGGCGTCGCTTTCACGTCACATTGCAGTACACCTTTGCTCACGATGTGAGCGGTAACCTCTCATCGACGAATGTAGGCGGCGCCGAAAGGCTTGTGGTGGACTCTGCAGTGGGGCTGCAAGAGCGAGGACACGATGTGGAGATCTTGACATCTCACCATGACCCCAAGCATTGTTTTGAACCCACCAGAGATGGTAAGCATATGCCAGGACGGTTGCTGTCCTCGACCCATGCTCACCCGTATGTAATCATCTTGACACGAAGGCACCTTGGTCGTACGGCATGTGAAGACGAGCATTCCTCGCGCAATCTTCAACAGCTTTCACCTTCCCTTGGCCATAGCGCAACAATTTTCTCTCTTCTTTCAGCTCTGCATCGCGTTGCTCTGCTTCAGATTCCCTGGAGCATTGCCAAGTGGTGTCTATAGCTTTTTGAGCAGCACAAAGCCCATTGAGCCATACGACTTAATCTTTGTGGACCAGCTCAGCGCCATCGTGCCCTGGATCAGACATGTCACAGCTACTAGAGTCGTCTTCTACTGTCATTATCCGGACAAGGAAATCTCGAATAGCATTGCGAAGCAAAGAGCAATTGAAAGAGGCGAGGGCGGGCCAGGCCTGCTACGCGCGCTGTACAGGATCCCCTTCGATCTGTATGAGGAGGCTACGATGGGTGAGTTGCCTTGGATGCAAAGGCGAGACACAAAAGGGGGGGCACGCCGGCTATGGCTGTATGAAAGTCGCACGAGTAATGAGCCTCGCTATGTCTAGAACAGTCGGCGCAGCTTGGTGCGCGAAAGCTGTGTCTGACCTAATAACGCATGCGATCGATGCGCCCATCCTCTCTGCACATGCGCAGGATCTTCGGATAAGGTCTTGGTCAACTCCATTTTCACGCAAAAACAATTCATCAAAAGCTTTTCAAGACTACGCCGAGAGCCTCGTGTGCTTTATCCGGGCATTGACTTGTCTCTATACTCTGTAGCCAATGCCAAAAAAGGTGTCGAGGATCTTGGAGCACTTGGAACGACCTTCTCCGTCAAGAATGCGATCAGGAATATCTGCACCGGCTCGTGAGTCGGCGCATCTGAGCGGGCCGCCGCACCGCTAACAGACTACTATCTGTCTCCTTACCGCAACCACCAGATCGGACCATGTCACGCTCGTCTCCATCAATCGATTTGAAGCGAAGAAGAATATCTCGCTTGCTATTGAAGCATTCGCCAAAGTTCTGCAAGAAGAAAAGAAGAAGGAAAAACCGCGACCTCTGCGCTTGGTCATTGCGGGGGGTCACGACCGGCGTCTTCGAGACAACGTGGCTACGCTGGAGGAGCTGCAAGCCCAGGCTGCGAAGCTGAAGCTGAACTACACTACGCTCTTCTGGACGCCTCAGCCCTTTGAGCCTCCGGCTTCAGCGCCTCCTCCGAATCAACTGCACGCTCTCCAAGTCGTTTTCCTGCCCAGCCTACCAGGTGCCCTGCTCCCATCTCTGCTTCTTGCGCCCACCACTCGAGCTTTGCTGTACACTCCGCCGGATGAGCACTTTGGCATCGTCCCGCTCGAGGCGATGGCGTGCGGCGTGCCCGTCCTAGCTGCTAACAGCGGTGGACCCGTGGAATCCATCGTCGACGCAGGTGCCTCTGACGAGGGTGGAAACTTCAGCAACCCAGAGGGGACTGGGCTCTTGAGAGCACCAAGAGCTCAAATTTGGGCCCCCGCTATCACTTCACTTCTGGACATGAGCGACTCTCAGAGGGCAAAGATGGCGCGTGCGGCTGTCGAGCGAGTCAAGAGTCGCTTCAGCTTGCAGGTGATGACGGATGGACTTGAGAAAGCACTGTTCGACACCGATGCCCAAGGTCCTTTGAACAATGCCGAGGGGCTGCTGCTTTGGGGCAGCACGTTGACGAGTGAGTCTCAAGCCGTTCCCTTTCTCCAAACTTGCGCTGACCACCGCAGCCTCTCGAGCAGTCTTTGCCTTCACGATGGCTTTGTACCTCTACAAGGTCTATCAAGCACACCACGCTCCGGAGCCTGCGAGCGCGGCAGCAATGGCTTCTGCATCGGCGCTCTCTGCCAGCGCTTCTCTCAATGACGTCTTCAAGACCGTAACGAACGCATTAGGCTCTGCAGCTTCAGCAGCTGCGACTGTGGCCGGCTCCGCAGCCGAAGACGTTGGATCAGCAGCTGCCAGAGCCAGCGGCGCTGTAGTTGATGCGGCCTTGTGAGCAAAAGCACCATCTCTCCCCTAAATTCAGCCGCCCCGCATGGAGGATCAAGTATACTATTCTGGGCGGAGGTTTAGCGGTTTGCGGGAAACCGATACGTGGGTCAATGTCATTTATTGCTTGAAGCTCCAAAGCGAGATTGCTGGTAGCATGAAAGATTCGGGAGACAGAAGTGCGCGACATGAAGAACGAGTGTATGCGAAGAAGGTACATTATGCGTCGCCTTGGGTATACCGGCCGCAATGCAGAGAGAGGAGGGTAAGCGACTAGGCTAGGCAGAAGAGCCGCGCTCAAATTGGAGCGCTTCAGGATACTTTTCGCTGAACCATTTGCCCAGCTTGTCTGCAATGTATGCTTCATCGTGGTGGATGTTGTCGTTGAGGCAAAACAACGAAGGATTCTTTGCATCGATCTGCGCAAGGCTGTGGTCCGTGCTGTTCGCGTCGCTCAATGCCTGGATGGCGATGGGACCGTCGGACACGGTGATAGCATAGTTGTACCGTGCGATCAGGCGAGTCGCAAAATCCCTCCTGCTCCTGCCCGCCCATCTTGTGGCGGCAGTCACATCCTTCAGCAGAAAGCTTGCGTGGTGAAAGTTGTCCACCAGCGGCAAGTGAGGTGCGACACCAGCTGACCCGGCTAGCGCGTTCACGTCTCCGGGCATCGTTGCGCTATCGGATGGCAAGAACCCGCTGAGGCCAGATTCGCCGGATTGTTGCAAACGACTGAGCAAAACTTTGTGGGCACAAGGGGCGGACGTGACTGTCAGTATGATGAAGCTCTTCCGCAAAGTCTCCAATCTTAAGGCTCACTGCAATCACCACATCCCCAATGCTCGAAGGCGAGGCGCTTGAACACGTCGTTGACGTTGATACTCTCGTTTTTGGCGCGCTCAACGAAGGGCGCAAAGCAAATGGGGGCGATACGACACGCTACCATTGACTTGCTCTTCTGCCAGCGACTGGGATCGTACTCGGGCAATGGCGTCTTCACATTGTTGCGCTGCTCAAAGCCAACCATAGGGTAGCCGTCCGCGCTGGTAAAAGCGATCGACGCAGCCTTAGCTCCATTTAGGCCAGTAGTGAACAGATTCCGAGAGTAGGTGTCTTCGCCCGTCGTGGATTGCAAGGTGGTCCTTTTAGGGTAAGTAACTTTGGCTTCTGTGTGAGCGCTTGCGCCCAGCTCTTCAAGCAGGGCCTGCCATTCCGATGGCGAGTAGAACCCGTCACCGTCCGTATCCATGCGTGCCACCAAATAGGCCCAGAGGAGGGCCTCTCTGTGGCGCTCGACTATGGGGAGACAGGTTGGTCGAAGGCGTCAGAACTTGAGAAATCGGCGCGTGCCTGCACACATGACTCACTGTGGTATTGCGAGCTGGAAAATCAAGACGGCGAGAGAAGATGTTAGCTTCGAGCATCGATCAAAGCGCATGATAGGTCCAGGTCTCACTTGATGAATGCAGCGTTGAGATCTTTCTTGGCTCTGAATTTGCTGAGCTGGCTGTCCTGGAGTTGTCTTCGCCAAGTCACCTTGGCCTCTCTGAACACTGGGCCCACGAAGACCTTGTGTTGATGTGCCTGGTACCATCTCCCGCGATAGCCAAAGCGCTCACTTATGAGCGCACTAGAGTAGTGCAGGCTGGCCCACTCCCCACCTTGATTGGGTGCGTCGAAATTGGGCGCGACTGTCTCGGTCTCGAAACGGAAGATCGGGCCATACAGTGGGGTGGCAAGATCCCCTATGCTCATGTCGTTGCCAAAGAATGTGTCGTCATTCTGGCAAAAGTGACGAGCCTGTTAGCTGCATCATTGCGCGACATGCTACGCCCGCAGGAGTCATGACTTACAGAGTAGAAGAAGGTGTCAGAGAGACCCGGCTGATCACCAAGCATGGAGTCAATGACGTTGGAATTGTACGTCTGCAAACGCTTGACTCTGCATGCGTACTGCTCAATTTGATCGGTGCTGATGCTGGTGCGATCGTCAGCAAGCGCAATGTCCAGTTCACCGCGCGTAGAAGGGTCACGTCGAATGGTGCTGCTGAGCTCGGCTCGTGTTTGGCACAAGCTCGACCAGTGATGGTGCACCCTGAAGCGCTTGAGTTGCTCTTCGGAAGAGGTGCTGAACACCTGATTGCCGCTCGCAACAGTGGCATGAGAGAGGTTGAGCCACTGCGGGACTTGCCCATCGCGGGCCCTCAAAAACTCGTCGAAGAATACATCGGAGACTTGTTCGTCGCGATTCGAGGTGATTAGGGCGCGAGAAACTTCCGATGGGTGGGCTTGCGATCGAAGCCCTCTCCACATGTCGAGCGCAGTCGAAGCCGTTTTCAATAGTCGATTTGAGGTTCCTGATGAGGTCTTGGTCTGCGTTTGCACCTCGACTGTCTTCATGGCTTCTGGTGTGAGCAGAAAGTCTGTTGTAAGGAGGTGCACCTTACCAATACCAGTGCCAAGGTGTTTGAATGCGGAGCGTATCGAGTAGAGCAGCTCATTGTGTTCTCGGAAGCGACCGTTGTCATTGATGGATTCCTGCGTGAGAGAACGACGCAAAGTTAGTGCAGGTACGAAGCAAAGCTGCTATTCACCCCTCCCGACCCACCAAGATAGGCTTGTTAGCTGCTGCCCAAGACTCGTCGCGCATCAGCTCAGCGACAGTAGCGTTGCGTTGTAGTACATGCCGCGTATCGGATCCATTCACCCAGGTCCAGATACCGTCGATGCGTCCGAAACTGGACAGATCCAATCCGGCGCAGAGCTCGCCATTAGCTACCCAGCGACTCAAGCAGCTCTGATGTGCTCTGTCGAAGCTTGCCTCCCAGTCGAGACGCTGGACGGCCGCTGCAGGCTGCTCGAGGCTGGACATGGATGCCCTCCACGCTGCTGCCTCCGCCAGACCCGCTTTGTTGTACATGGCGGGCTCTGCATCCAGTTCAAATTCCTCTGATCCACCCAGAGCGCTGGAAGTCACCAGCAATGCGATGGCTAGCAAGCCGCTCAGAACGAGAACAAGTCTTTTGATGGGCACACGTCTGCGGCTGGGGTTGGTCCCTGTCCACAAACGGCTGACCAGGAACTTCGAGCGCCCGTTGCTGGAGTCATCGAGCTTTTCACCTTCCGCGGGCCCTGATACGGGAAGTAGAGGAGCCACGTCCTCGGCAGCCCAAACGCTAGAGAAGCTGCGACTGCGTCTAGTCATGGTGCTGAGCGAAAAGTTGCGTCGAGCTAGAGATGGAGAGGCAATGGTGCGAGATGATTCGAAATCTTGAAATGATTCGGTCGAGGTGTCCACTGAAATTTGGCTTGATCTCGAGGATGGCCGTGATCGCACAGGCGATTCGTCGTGAGTCGCAGCGCCACGAGACATACCAGGTCGGTCTTGAAGGCTCGTAAGGCGCTGAACAGAGTGTGTGCGTGTGTGTGTGTTGTGGAGCAAGAAGTGGGGTTGAGGAGGATGGGTCGCAGAAATATTCCTGGAGTTGGTGGTGGATGAAAGGTATTCGGAGCACGCTGCTTGATCTTAAGGAGCAAGACGGAGGAGCGTCTGGTCACGCCTTCTCTTCCACGAGCAGCATCACACGATCAACACCTGCAAGACCGTCCCGAGCTTTTAGGGGGGACTGGGTGAAACGGGAAAGATGGTGCAGCATGCAAGCACCAAAGGGCCGAGCAACGCCGTAGCTGAGATTCAACGACCATCAAACATGCCGTCGCTTCGCTCGACTGAGGATGCGAAGTCTGGCCGAGCACCGCTTCGGCTGGCTGCAAACACATCCCTGCCTTCTTCCCGACATCCGTGACTGCATTCATAATTGTGTTGTCAAGGCGAACGCCAAACCTATTCTATTGAGGGTCCCAGAATGTGGCTTCGCCGAGCCGACGATGTACGTCGTGAGGCGCGATGCGTTGGGATGTCGAGTATCGCAGGCAGACGGACGCACAACGCTCACGCTCCTGCATCTCCCCGAGGAGCATGGTGGTCAGTCAGAGAGCAGATGCCTTGGTGCTGCCCTTGTGAATCGGTGGGGCGCCTTTCTGAGAACCGCGCAGATGTACCGAGACCGAGAATGGGAATCGCTGCATGCTGGTCATAGCCAAGGGCTGGACGTGAGTCGATGGATGGTCGAGGCGTCGCATGCACTTGGTCGTGCGTGGTGAGTGCGATTAGCCGCGGCTGCTTGCTTGCTTGCTTGCTTGCGTGCTGCTGATGCTGTCGTTGCCTCTTGCTGCTGCTGCAAGCACGCAGTCACTAGTGTGGTGCTTATTTGATGGTAGCTCGTGTTGCCATTCACGATTCACGCGTGCCTGAATCTTTCGTGTGGCTTTTCCCGCGCTCCCCGTTGGAAGCGAAGCGGCAATTGTATGCGCGCGCGCATGCACGATGGACGAAGCGATGAATGCAGGGCTTGCGTGCATGTGCATGTGCATGTGCATGTGCATGCGTACCCGTAAATGTGCATACATTTACCGGTAACACACTCTATCGTGACTGTTGTATAGCGGTGATGCATGCATGGAATTCTACTCAGCCTCAGCAGGCTGCCCGAGCGTGCAGTGCAGCACATGACGAGTGAAAATCGCGCGTGTCCAATCGGGGCTGGATTTGGAAAATTCGGACTCACGACTCACGACTTGTTGCACCAGCAGCACTCGTGACGTCTCGTCAACCAACACCTGCATCGTTGATACGTACGCTCTGGCTCACTGCTCTTTGGACGCCCAAAGCAATTTTCACACCAGCACGACATACGCGCAGGATCTCGGCAGGAATTCCTACGCAATGCGTCATCGAGATCGCCACACAACAAGGCCATGCGCTCGGCTGCTGGATCGCGGCCGGGTATGTCAAAGCTCTTCGCAATTCGCAGCGCTGCGAAGCTTGCATGGTCACGCAGAGCATCAGCGAGCTGGTTCCGCCCATGCCATGCTCGAGTAGCCGCACACGGCTTGGACATAGCAATCTGTTCGGGTTGCAACATAGCATTCAGAATGGACATCGATGGTTGTAGGTGACAGGTAAGAACACAGGAAAGATTTGAGAAAATAGTAAAAGAATGTCAAAGATGTGCAGAGGCCTAGCGTAGCGAGGTCTGCCTCATCTCCACGTGAAGTGGAGCTGAGCTTCGTGCGCTTTCGATGTCTTCGGCCTCGCTCGACACAGCTGTGTAGCCAGTCCGACTTGCTGTCGCGTTCACAGCGTCTCTGCTGAAACAGAGCGCGGAGCAGAGAATGACCAGAGTACCCGCTAGTAAGCCGACATTTGCTGGCATTTTCGAGTCGATGAACAAGTAGGTGATGACCAGGCTAATGAGGATAGCGAGCGACGAGGCAAACGTCTTTGCTATGCTGTCCACCCACTTGACAGATGCGGAGACCAGCAACCCTCCTGCAGCGTTGAGGATGACGACCGACCAAGCCATGAGTCCGAAGCCTCGCATGGGGTTCCAACCAGATTGCAGGCCGTTTGCCGAGTACTCGACCGACCTGGAAGCTGCATGCAAGCCTTCCAAGCAGACCATGACGAGCGCTGGCACAATGCTGAAGCAAGACATGTGAAAGTTGCTAGCAAATATGCTGGCCGTCGATCGCTTGAGGATCTTTTCGGTAAGCACCCCTGCAAATCCGGAGAGCGTGCAGCCCATCACGACCGCAGCAAATCCTATCAGGGAGTTCGAGTTCGAATCGGATGCTCTCGATGTGTTTGCCGTCGATATTTGTACCACCGCCACCCCTGCAGCCAACGCCATGACACTACCCCATTGACGCTTGGTCAATGCGCGTCCAAGCAGGCAAGCCGAGAAAATTGCGGTGGAGATGATCTTGATTTGTGACAGGATCTGGTACTGAGCCGCGCCTGCCGATCAAGAGAAGGGACTGGGAGGATCAGTCTTGCCAGACAGTCAGGGCGCGAGCGAAGAGCAGCTTACCGAGAGACGAAGCCGCAAGGAATTGTAGGTTGCTCTGCACTACGTACAAGACTGCCGGTATGGACAGACTGAGACCGCTCTTGATATTGAGTTCTTCAAGGGCTTCCGAGACAGCAATTGGCAACACCCGCGCCAATCTTCGCGTTGCGCTCCGCTTCTCTCCTGCGGAGCCCTCGTGATAGTGATGGTGGAGCCTTTGCAAGAGGACTGCCAAAGTGGAAGTAGCGCCTTTCAATAGCTCTCCCAAGAGGACCGCGGTCGAGATGGCATAGATGGGTTTGCCTGGATCGTCTTGTGAAGGTTTCCGGCTGTGAGTGATCAATAGGCTAATGGCGCTCGTCTGAATTGCTAGCAGCGCCAAAAGCAAGCCTTGAGCTAGATGGGCTTTGTCGCTAGACATCCTGGTGCTGGGAAGTGCCAGGAGGTTTGCAGTGACGAGTATGAGTCGTGGTAGTAGAGGCAACTCGATGCTGGTCGGGGTGCTGATCGCCACGAACAGGGAGATGACAGTGATAACGAGGCTATGTGGAGCTGCGACGTTGGCTGTAAGCAGTCGAAGGAACGAGAGCCTCTGAACGGCAGGCAAGCGGCTGGGAGGCGCGAGGGCGGCTTAGCTATCAGCGAGACCAAAATGCTGCTGGACTCGCGGAGCCGATGTTGCAAGTCAAGCAATTTGGTCTGACTTTAGCAGACTTTCTTGGCGATGCGGGACACCAGAGACATGTGCGGGACAGCAGAGACATGTGCTAATCCAGTCTCAACCCCGATCGGGAGCTAGCTATAGGGAGGGCATGGCATCTGGATCGAGAAGAAGCACGTGAGTCGAGGAGCTGCTCAGCCTGCTTATTCGCTCGCTTCGACCAAGCAGTTCAACCCGCAAAGTTGCAATGGCAGGGCTCGGCTAGGATTCGACAAGCGCTCCCCGTGCGCTCAACAGGCCTCACGCTGGCTCGGCGCGTTGACAGCTTGAGTCGCGTCGTGAAGCAAGAGACGGCCATCTGAGGCTTGCGGGTCATGCCGGTTGGTGAAGAAGCAATGCGCAATCCACGACGTCTTCGCCAAGCCACACGTCAAAGTCACGCGATGCGTGTTGCGTGGTGGTGAGTTTGCTCACGCTGCTGATATCACATAGATTGCGGCCTATGCCTGTCATCGGGCAGCATGATCGTCGCAAAGAAAAGTGGGCTTGACCCTGCATGCATGATGGATGGACCTAGACGACTCGATGTGACGTTCTGCACGCGCCCCCTACCGGAAATTTACGCCACACGCCGGTCCCGGGCATGCTGCACACGCTGTGCGGAATTCGCGCCTTATACCGGCTCACATTTTGTCTTGACTGTGATGACGATTTGTTGTACCACGTATACCGTCGTTTGTAGCTATAGCAGCTAAATGTGCATCTGTCAAAGGCGGAGAACATATGTACATATGCATGGATGCATGCAGGCCTGCAGAGCTCCCGCTGCAGCACTTCCGCTGCATGCAAGGCTCCCGATGCACACACCAAGCTCGTCTTCTCACACCCAAAACTTATTGTACGGCTTGCATTCCCGCAGCAATTAAGCCATACGAAGAATTCTGGGTCGTGAGAGGTCGCGTGACGGGGGCAAAGTGAGATCAGCTGTCATTCAGTCAGAAGAGTGGGAGCGCCGCCTCGCCTCCCAATCTTGCGCATGACGATGCCACACACATCGCATTGCCCTACTTCGGCTTTGAATCGCATGCGCGCTCTGTTCAGCTGAGGCACAAGTCTCACCATCGCAAATGACCCCCCGCCGTTCTAAGAAAGATGCCAATGCAGCCACATTTGTCGCGCTGAGGAGAAGCAGACTTTGATAGCATTGCGTGAGGTAAAAAGTGTGCCTTCTACGACTGACAGGGAGGGGCTCTGCGAGAATCAATGGTGAGATGGAAAGGGGACGAACAAAGTAAAGGGCGGTGAGGAAAGTGAAGTGTAATGGCGTGACGATGGAGGGTATGTGTGGTCTCAAATGTCGGAGTGACTCAAGCCTCTGACCGCCGTGCTTCGCGAAACTCGATGGAATAGCTTCGATTTTGACGGCATGAGACGCTTTCGAGCGCCTGCTGAGAGAAGACGGAGCTTGTGATCAAGCGCGGCACTTCTTCTTTCGGCAGGTGAGGCCAGCGGCGCAACCTTCGGTCTTGTAGCAAGCACCACCCTTGTTGGCCTTAGCCGCACAGCGGTTGTTGGTACCGCAGTAAGAGTTGGTCTTGCACTGAAGTGTCTTAGTGCAACGGCCACCACGGCTGACGGAAGCAGGTTCAATACATGTCTTGTTGACGCAGTTTCCAGACGTGCAGCCGACGTCTTTGTAGCAGACTCCACCGGAAGCCACCTTGACATTGCACTTGGAGTACTCGCAGAAAGATCCTGCGGTGCATTGATCCGAGGCGTTGCACGTTTCACCCTTGACACCTTGACCTTTGACGGGAACACACTTGCCGTTGGTGCAGTTGAAGCTGTGAGAAAGATACTGTCGGTCTCAGCGTCGATCAAGAAGGCAAGTCATGACATGACAACACTCACCTGGCACAATTGGCGTTCTTGTAGCATTGAGCGCCCGTTGAGACGACGGGTTTACAGACACCTCTTTCACAGTTGCCTGTGCCACAGTCGGCAGACTTGGTGCAGCCAGTGCCGGGTGCGGAAGTTCCCGTGGGACGTGGGACGACCGAGACGGAAGTTGAGGTGGGACCGGATGGAACGGATCGTCTCTCGGCGTAGAGATCGCGCTCGAACCAGTGATTGCGCGCGTCCAAGATCTCCATGTCTTCCTGAGTGAGATCGCCCATGTTGAGGGCGTTGACTTTGGAAGACGAAGCGATGACCATCGCCAGAGGGAGGAGGGCAAGCAAAGTGACGCGCATTGTGGCGAGATGCGATGAGGACAGGTACGGGACTCGAGACGAGGGAAAGTAGCAGAAGAGAGAGATCGAGCGGTGAGATCAAATTGAGAGAGGGAACGTGGGAGAAGTGCTTCGTGAGGAGCGAAGGGTCGTTGCAATCAAACAAGGCTCCTTTTGTAAGCCTCTCTGATGACACGTACCATTCCTGCAAAGCTTGCCGCGCCTACACAGGCTTCGTACCACAGACACTGCAGATCGAGACGTCGTGACGTTGTGATACTCCACTGGCGACTGCCGAAGTGCGCGAAGAATGATTTCGGGAAAGTTTTTGTGGCGTGCTGCCAAGGCTGATGGAGTTCCAATCAACATGCCAAAGAGCTTCCGACAACGGGCAACCCCGACGATGGAGACCTGGACTTGATCCCGGTCACGCGACACGGCGGTGGAAAAGAGCAGCGCAACCTCGCCAGCAGCTGCTCGGGAGGAAAAATTCCTCGCCGAGACAGCCTTTGATCGAGTCTTGACGAGCACCTCTGGCCGTGGATGGAAGTCAGGCTTCGGCCCGTACTGACCGACGAAGCCTGAGACTCCGCTGACATCGGGAAGCTGGGAAGCTTCTGAGACCGTCCTTGCAGGATGTCTTGCACACTCCCGAAGCTGAGCGACATATCGTGATGGGCCGAAGATCGGAGACGAATGAGGTAAGACCAGTGATGAGGGATACGATTATCTCTCTACTGTGGCTGCCTCGTTCCTGCGTCACGATTGAGAAGCCACGAGAGGCAGTGCTCGCTCGGCTTACATCGGCGTCGTGGATCGACTGCTGTGCGCGACGATACTGCATCGCTCATGCTACTGCCTGAATTGGGAGCTTCTCAGCTTAGAGATTCATACGCTTCTGTGGCGTTTTTCGACACTCTTGCTTGCAATAGAACGACTTCAGTATTAGCTGAGCATGTGTCGCTGCCTCTGTTCAGTCCCTGCGAGGGCCATGCAACGCCACATCGTCTCGCACGCAGGCAGGGCCCAGATGCGAGCCGACTTGCGCTCCTGACCGTGTGTCCGCAACTAGACATTGCGAAGGCTCAGCAAAATCTCTTCATGCTGCTGCTCTTGCTCCTCTTCACGTGTTCGAGATTTTGCTTTGCGCCGTAGCACACCCAAAAGTGTTCAATGGACGCTCTGCTCTGGGTCGTGGGGTGGGATGGTGAAGCAACACTTCGCGCGCGTGTGGCTTTGCCTGGCTTGTGCATGCCCACGCGCGTGCGGTGCATGCAGCAGCACTGACACATGTACCACCAGTCACGCGAGTGTGTGTCGTGCATGCTGCACTCAAGACTGTACCGCCAACATCCTTCCAGCTAGTCGTAGGGACCGGTACCGTACCGTACCTCCGGTACGTACCCGAGTTGTATGCACCGACATGCATGCGCCAAATGCAGCTGCAGGTAGGCGAGCGGAGCCTGGAGCGGGAGCCTGCTGTGACAGCATCGGGACAGCAGCTGGCATATTGCATGCAGATCAGAGCAGCGGCAATTAATCGTGAAAAGGGGGTTTTGCGTGCGTCGTGAGAATGGCAAGGAGTTGTGAACGGCTAGGCACCACCTCTCGCCTACAGACACAGGTCCAGGCCCTTTTGTGATGCTGACCACACTTCACACTTTCTCCTTGGCTCGTCGACTGCCGCGCCCACTCATGCCAGATTGACATCTCTCCCAAGACCCGAGGAATTTGCCATTGGGTGAGCTGGTAGCTGGTGCCTCCTGCTCCCTTCCCGCGCGTGCCGTGGCGCCGTTCATGCAGCTTTGCAATGTGGGAGAAGGAGGGGCGTGCCGTTGGATGTGCAAGAACCGCACAGCGTGGCCGGTAAGACCGTGGATGTGAGCGTCAATGTTTGAAGGAAGAGACATGAGTCCTCCGCGGATGAGCGGCCGAAAGACTCGCTGTGCTCCACACTTGGGTTGAAGAGCTGGCAGCGGAGGCGTCAGCCTCAACCCAATAGCCACGAGTGCCATCTCCGCAACTACGCTTTGATTGCAAAGAGAAAAGTCGTTCACTATCAGCCCAGCTGGAATGATGGCCGCGCTACTCTTCATCCCCACCACACTCCTGACATCCGGCAACTCGGCATTCACAGCAGCGACGTCCACCATATACAAAAACGGTTGCTTCATCTTCAAACCTCATCCAATCGCACCGTCGAAAGGCAAGTGCTCGTCAAGATGAAGATCATCACCATGATGGCGCAACAACGACTGGTGGTGCGTTTCGCGCTTTGGTCGTGTGCTTGGCTGCTGCTTTCTGTCGTTCTCCACCTCTGCGCTCCAGCGCGCTTTCCCCTCTTCGGCACGCAGAGAGTGCGTCGCATCGACGACCGAGCCATCGAGCTGTGGACCACACACATTGGTAATCATGCCGTGCAGCCTCAAGATCGATACAGCTTGAGAGAGCTCGGCTTCCGCACGCATGTCTACGCCGAGCTACTTCGAAGAGGCGCTTCGCTTGAGCTGAATGCGCTGAGCGAGGTGCTATGGAAATTTGTTCCTGGGGTGTGGGAGCTCCGAGAGCTGTCACGACCTCGGCACACCGTCTCTGGCTCTCTCGTACCTCTGCGGGAAGGTATCGTCATGGCGGTGACGTCCAACACCGTACTTGCAGCACTTCAAACCATTACTGTGCTCCGCTCGACGCACAAATGCAGTCTGCCCATCGAAGTGTATCACTACGGAGCAAGCGAGTTGGACAAGCCTCTGAAGAGTGCGCTCGAATCCATGCGCGATGTAAGGGTCATAGACATCTACGAGCTACCTTACTTTTCAAGCGCAATGGAAGATGACGCTGGTAGGATCCCAAACGGCCCAGAATCCCAAGCTAGGCAAGCGATGGCGCTCCTAGCCACCAAATTCCAGCGCGTCGTGCTCAGCGCTCCAGACATCACATGGATGGCCGATCCTGCCCTCCTTTTTCAGCAACAAGGCTTCCTCCAGACTGGCACTTTCCTATTCCGCGAGAGAGGCTTGCCAGCAACTGCGAGGGCACAGCGCATGGTCAGCTGGCTTAAAGACCAATTTGACGAGTCGTGGCCCAGTCAGAGACTCTCTTCCTTGCCATTTTGGGATTACGTTGCCGATGGCGTGATGACGCCCAAGGTAGCGGCCTTCGACAAGAGCAGAGCCGGAGTGTTCTCAGCTCTACTTGCCAATCTGGCCATGCACCAAAAATCTTCTCGTGACCACATCTGGTCCAGATTCAGCCAAGGTGAGCTACCTATTGACTGCGTGCCCCTGGCTTTGTGCTGATGCTGATGCGACTCTGGGCCCATTCATCAGGCCAAGTCGAGTCGCTCTTCTTATCTTTCGAGCTATCCAACATGCCTTACCATCTGTCTGAAAATACCCCGGGGGCTGTCGGCTCGTTTGTGGGAAACGATTGGTTCGGCAGCACACAACAGGATGGCGAAGCAAGCATCTGCTCGGCTAGAGCTGTGCATTTCTTGTCCCAGATGCCAGTCGCTCCTCTCGAGCGCCACAACGGCAGTAGCAGCATCTACAGTGGGTTTAGTGGAGGCATCTTCCGAAGCACGCGGGGAGCCTCCTCGAAAGCTGTGCTAGCTCCTCAGCCTCTGTGGCTCGACGCGCCAATCTTTGAGACGAGGACGACCGAAACATTCTTCAACGCCACAGCCTGGGCCATGCACGGACGATGGGAGATGGACGTGACGCAGGCTTCCATCAACCACAACAGCCCTTGGTGCTTCCGCGGGGCGACATTGCGCAGCGTGGATCAACTTGGCTCCACTCGCATCAATCTTGATCGCATCAAGTCCATCCTGCGTCAATGCAACAACCACTTCCGTCCGCTTGTTGGACTCTTCGCTGCAATGCCAGTCCGCAGCGAGGAATGAGGGCCTCGGGGCTTACGGGGCGTACGGGTGGACCACGCGTCGAGATCGCTCGTGATGACTCTTGCACTACATTGTATTTGCTATACAGATGACTTGGAACTGATGCTCATGGCCCGGGTGACTGCTTGTAGCGTGGGAGCCATCAGCTAGGGAGTGAGCAGACCAAACCCTAGGTCAGTCGGAGTCGTCTCGATGATCTAATACACAGACCCGCGACACATACCATGCGCACTCGCTCGCTTCCTTGCCCCGGAAGAGCGGCTTCAGCCTCTTGCTCGACCTTCAGCCCTTGCTCGCGCAATCGCCCAATCGCTCCGAGCATACGAGCAGCTCTAGCGGGTTGCTGTGACAAGGCCGCCCAGTATTGGCGCAGGAATTCGTTGACGGCTGCTTGGTGCGACATCACCGACTTCAAGATAGCATCAGGCACGATTTCTGGATGCAGCACGCAGTGCATTGCAAAGATTCGGTCAGCGGCGGCATGCCAAGGATTGCTGTCACGAGACAGTCTCGTAGCCACTCACCGGCCCTCGAGCTCGCGCGCGCGGCTGATTTGGCCTTGATCGAACTCAGCATTACCTTCATTCCGCCAGCGCTGCTCGTGGGCTTGAAATCGCCCAGCTTGTGATTCGAGACAGAGGGCAGCGCTGTAAGACAGCTATGGAGTGCTGCTTGTAGTTGCTGGCAGGTGCGGAAGCAAGTCCAGCGATGAGTGCCATCATCTGCGGAGAGACTTTGCGGAAGGACGGCGACGCACCTCATCGGTAAGTACATCGGGGCCCAGATCAGTGGTGCCGCGCGCTCTCTTCTCAAACATCCCCTTCTTTCTAGTGAGGTCTAATGGGATGCCTCTTGCCTCGCCCTCCTCGTCAAGATCCATCATGTGGATGCTGTCCCAATAGCGCCCGTGCGTGGCGCCGCCATAGTCTTGATCAACACCAATCTTGCGCCTTTTGTTGCCCTCCGCATCCTCCTGAGCGCCGAGCGCATCGTCTAATAGACTAGCACTGTGTTCATTGAAGCGGCGCAAGAGAGGTAGCGCCGTCTTTGTCCCCCCTCGCATCGTGTAGTCTGCCAAGTTGCCCGTCTCCTGGTGATCTTCTGCAGTGGCACCCAGATCGAGGAGCGCGTCGTGTGCGTTGTGCTCCTTGCGAGGTTCGATCTCTGCAAGGTAGGGAGTCTGCATGAGCATTCACGATGACCTGCCTGGCTCACATGCGCGCGCGTAACTCACGATCATCTTCATTCTGCTCGAGATACTTGTCAAAGATGTCATCCTCTCTGAAGATGTGAGCATTGGCCGCTGATCTGGCAGAGGTACGCAAGCGATGGTAGAGGCGAGATTGAAAGTAGCGAGTCCAGAATGCGGCTTCATCCATCTGTGATGAGCAGGCCCGCCCACTTGGTCAGTACCTCTTTTCACCACCGTAGAGCAGGTCTGCACTCACCACCTTGGGTACATTTTCCTCCCACGCTCGGCGCACGACTGGATACTGCTCAAAGAGGTCCCTTTTCAGCTGTGGCGTGATCTCCACCCTCATCTCTCCCCGCTCGTCCGTCCTTGGTCTCGGGTCTGCGATGCGCGCGTTGCGCCCCGATGTTTGCTCAGCAGCAGCCCTCTCTGCACTGAGAAGCGCTTTTCTTGTAGGATGATCCCAAAACTCCGCGTCTTTCAACTCTCCCGACATGACCAGATCGCGATGCAGCGAAGCGAGTTGCGGATTAGCTCGTAGCACGCTGTACCTCAAGTCTAGCTCCGTCACTCTGTTCTTCGCCTTGTTATTTGGCGTGGACGATTGTCCAGTCGCTGGGGACGCCGCTGCCCTCGAGCTTTTGCCAGAGACTGTTGCCGATACTGCTGTTGCGGAGGCAAGGGCGTGGGCAGGATCAGGAGCAGCGGCAGCGGCAGGTACAGGTGATGCAGCTGCAGAGCTTTGCTGCGCGGCTTGTCTGTCCTTATTCTCGGCGACAATGGGGCTTAAGTGATCCTTGACTTGATCTCGCCGCTGCACTTCTCCACCATCGCCGTTCGTGTCCGGTGTGAAATAGAGCATGACCTTGGTCTTGCCTCCGGCACCGGGCGTATCTGGTGATAGTGCAATACCCATCGCAGTAGTGCTAGCGCCCGCTTTGGAGACACTCAGGCCAACAATGTGAGTCAGCGGGACGTGGAGGGAAGAGCCCGAAGAGGAGCTCGAAGAGGGCGCCCATGAGAGGTGACGGCTGTCGATACTGAGCGTGCCCGGCAGCTTCTGGTACGACACGGCTGCCCGAAGCACTCCACTTTGGCTTGCCATTTGGCTAGCGGATCCCTGAAAGGCAGGCTTGATCGAGGGCGGATGGTGTCTCTCTCGATCAGTGTAGCAGGGGCCGCGTGATTCAAAGACGAACGTCGAATGAATCAAGGTGTCACCCTCGTACACAGGATAGAAGCATGCGGCAAGTTCGCTGCCAATGTTTGACAAGGATTACGAGTGATGGGCCAAGACTTGCGAGTGAATGAGTTTTGAGGTGGCTGTTTAGATGAGTGAGTCACGGCTCAAGAACCAAGGGTTACAGACCTCACGCACTTGATTGGCGGCGTAATCACGAATGGGCACTCACCCACTCGCTCAACTCCCGTCTCACCAATCATTGAATCACGATTCAAACTCACACGGGCTCAGCGACAAAACTCAAGACTCAAGTGGAGAAGACGCCTCGAGTGTCACGTGATATCACGTGATTCTTTGCATGATCTTGTGACAGGCAACCAAAACGGTCTGGCCGCCGCGCTTGGCTCATGTCGTGCGAGCGTGTGCGCGCGCTTCCCACCTCTGCTCGACCATCCTGCACGCAGAGTCCTGAGTTGAAGACCACAGCAGCAATCGATCACCCCTCCCATATGCTCTGCCAGAGAGGAGACGTGGCCGAGGGACAAGAGTGAGTGAAAAGTCATGAGTTCCGCTCGCGACGCACCCGGGGACTCCAAGCTCGGTTCGTTGACGCGTGACAGCCGGCATGCAAGCGCTCGATCCCGCGTCAGGATGTGTGGCGTATGCACAACTCTGCGACTCGATGCTGCTGCATCCCATCCCGTGTCACATCTGTGCTTTGCAGCTTGCATGCGCCATGCACTCAAAAGTCTGGAGTGGCTTTTCCTCTGGGCGGAGCTCAATGGATGAGCGAGGGCGGATTGTATGAGGCAAAGCGTTTGTGCTAGCCGGCACACATTCACACGCCCCTTACTAGGTGCACCACGGCATGTGATGCAACAGCTAGCGGATGCCCCTACGCCTTTCACTTGCAGCCTTGTTGCCTGGCCAGCCTTGAGGTCTAATCGAAGACTGCGCGGGTATGAATCAGCCGAGCTCCTGTCCATCCTGGTCTGGACGCACTCGGCCGCCTTGAGTGAGCTGCAGCAGGCTGCGTTGTTCGCCGAGCAAACAAGCCCTGTGGGCTGGCGACGGGTATTTTGGTCCTCACCACGGGAAGACAGCTTCTAAGATGGATAAGACCGACGGTCGAGCGCAACCCTGCAGCGCGGTCTTTGCGTTCATTCAGGCAACTGCCGACTTTTTTAGAAAGCGCGTCGGTCGCCAGCCATCTGTCGAGTAGGCTTCTTAAAGGCGGTCTTCAGTCCTGACAGCGCTCTTCAAGGTAACCTCACCGCATCGATCACAATATCCGGCGTCGTCCCTCGCTGTCCTCTCAACACTCCACCCATCGAGATGCACGTCGACCCAGCGAGTCCGCTGACCTTGAAGATGCGGACAGCCGCCTTTGGACCTCGAGAACGACTTCCCGCTAGGCACGGCGACGAGTCGTTCGACTTGTCCCCAAAACATCAACGACAATCATTCGAAAGTCCCATGCAGAGGCCATGGGGACCTAATTACAAGCAGAGTGTCGCTCCATCCCCTCGTGTGCTCTGGTTCACCACGAGGCGCTTTCTTCTCAGCCTCGACGGGCTAGCCCTTGCCGTCTTCGCGTTGCTCGCTTGGCGCTACTTGCTTTTCCCTTCGCGAGACATCGATGTGAGCGGCATGCAAGCCAAGGCAAGCACCGACTCGTACTTCCTAGATCTGTGGGTCAAGCACGTCACGGATCATCCGATACGTGCAAGAGATCGGACAGGCTTCTCGGAGATGGGACTTCGCACATCCATGTATGCCCATCTCTTGGCCGACCCATCCCTTCCGGATTTCGAAGAGTACGAGCGCAAGCTGTGGCCCTTTATTCCTGGAATCGCCAGCCTGCGCAAAAGCTACTTTGAAGGCGCGCGCTATGCCAGCGAGAAGCGACCAAAGACTCGCGGTATTGTCATGTCTTTGGGCAAGAACGACTTCGACTTTGCCATTCAGGTGAGCTGGGTTCAGAGGAGTTGCTTCAGCAAGCACTGACCCCACCCAGTCATCCTCGTTGCGCTGTAGTACATTTCGATCATCCGCGATCACTACCGCTCGAACATCCCCATAGAGCTCTACTACTACGGCGAGGATGACCTTCCACCTCACATGCGACACTACCTCACCACAGAATTTCCAAACGTCTCGACAGTGGATCTCGAAGCGCTTGGTTTCTTTGACGAGAACTTGACTCAGTTGAAGAGGCAAGGATTTGCTCTGAAACCGTTCGCTCTTGTTGCGACAAACTTTACAGAAGTGATGCTGGCGGATGCGGATGCTGTGCTGCTTGCTTCACCGGAGGAATTCTTTGAGCAGAAAGGTTTCAAAGAGACTGGCACGCTATTCTTCCACGACAGAGATCACGTCCGTGCAGGAGCAGCTGCCATCATCCACGAATTCATGAACAGCAACTTGGAAGCTCGAGGGCCAAGCGAGCGACTGGCCAAAAGTGCTTTCTGGCAACGCAAGGGCATCTACGAGCAAGAGTCTGGCATCGTCGTGGTGGACAAAAGTCGCATGGAAGTCTTCGCTGCTCTGCTGTTCTCAGCTTGGCAGAATACGGGCGAGGTGCGACGCCGGACAACTTACCGCATCTTTTGGGGCGACAAGGTAAGCAGCACAGAAGTCCTACGAGCCTATCGCGGTCGACACTCACATTCTGGCAGCCTCACAGGAGACCTTTTGGCTGGCGTTCGAGCTCGCTGGCTTCCAGTACTTTTTCGTCAAGCACTACGCCGGGGCTATCGGACGCGAGCATGCTGCTCACGCCGAAGGCTTTTGCTCCGAGCACCCCTTTCACGTCTTCGACGCTCCTGGCACCATCATTAGTGACGGTAGCCATGCGGCGAGCAACCTCACTCAGGCGAAGGCCGAAGCCGAGGCTGCTGCATCTGCCCTCTTGATGGCTGATGTGGAAAACCAGGATCCGAAAAGCACCGCAGTCCAGCTTGCGCGCAAAGAGGCGCGCAAGGTCAAGCCGGCCTGGTTCAATGGAAGCTTGCTGGAGCTCAAAAAAATCTCAAGAGAGCTATACATTAGCCCCACGGCTTGGGCCATTGATGGACAGTGGGAATTTCTGGAAGACAGCGAGCTGTGGTGCTTGAGAAACTACACGGCTATGCCCATGTCCGAGCATGGCTTGGACAGAAATATCCAGCAACTTATCTCGACTGGAACGAGAGGCCTCGCGCGGAGCAATGCTGCCATGAGCCGTGGTGAATTTGCGCCGCGTGGTGAAGAATTCGATATCCCAGCGTGAACGAGGGCCTTTCTCAAGCACGTGACTCTTCCTCCGGCTCAATTGCATCGCAAGGTACCCACACTTCTTTGTATACTTGTCTGTTCTATCAATCATATTGTTTGTCACCTCAACGGAGTCACGGATGCCTTCTGCCATTCAAGATTTCACCATGGCATGCTGGCATGCTGGACACGTCACGAAAGGCGCACGGTGATTGGCCCACAAGCTCACCGCCTGTCCACGCTGATGAGCGTCGCGCTTATCAACAGCGCGACATTCACGATTTTCGGTGAGATGCACGACGAGCCGTGAGTCGCGCTAGTCCGATGAATTTCCGCGCTAAGCAGATTCGCGGGTCGCGACCTACATCAGCGGGGCGTACGCGGCACCAGCAACACACGCATCAGGGGCCGAGGCAACGTCCATATATCCGACACCCGAGGGAGGTCTCGCGGATGTCACGTGACTCGTGATAGACGACTACCGGTACTCACGACCCAAGACTCAAAACTCATCAAGACTTGACTCCAGCCTCTTGACTCGACTCTTGACTGAAAATTTCTACAGATTGTTTGTGATCTATATAGTCTCGTGCAGCTCACAGATCCAAGCTCGATCGCTCGCTCAGCTGTCGCACCTGGGCTTTGCTCGTGGGGAAGGTGGAACGGGCGTGTTGAAGCCATCGGCGAGCTTGCAAAGACGCGCTATGTTCTCGGAACATCTATGCTCAGGCTCAATGATAATAATACATCACATCTGAAAACCTCATCAGTCACGACCGGGTCGCATTTCAAGGCCGTGCGATGCTCCCGGTGGACACGCGACAGCCGCGATTGCGCCCAGAGCACGGGAAAGCGCGAGCACAGAGGACACGCAATCAGCTCCATGTGGCAGGCGACTAGCAGCAGGAGACATGCAAGCTGCAATCGCTGTCTGGGCTCAGGGTGCTTCGCTCGGGCTTAGACGATGAAGGAGATCTTCAATCATCACGATATCGATGCAGGGCGGGAGCAGAGCAGCGCCCATTGGGGCAGTGTCGAGCGGCGAGGACCGGCGTTCACTTGAAGCTAGTGGGGTCTTGAGTGAGGGTAGCGACAGTGAGGGCCAAAGTTGTCAGGCGTCGATGTTGAGACGGCGCGCTCATTCTCTTGCTACCACATCGTACAGTCCCGACCACGTCTGTCTGTGATGATAATTGAGGTTGGTGGAAGTACCCTCGTGGTCGACTCACGACCAGCCCACGACAAGAGATGACCGCGATGGCCCAGCCTTGACCGATGTCAGAACACCATCCAAAAAGCACGTACATCACCGGCAGTAGTGGGGCTGCGGCGTGACTTTAGATGCACGCCAAAGAAGAGTCGCGCTGCCGATTGTGGATCAACAACAATCAAAATCGCAAATTAAAATGAAGTCAGCTCATTCCCTCGTTACTATACTTGCCTTTTCCAACCGTGAAGTTTGAAAACCTGAGGTGGACGCTACGATGATATTTGATATGTGTGCCCCAGCAGTCAGACGAGAAGTTGCGTGGGCCACACAACACCGGACGAGAACCGACGCCTAATTTCCAGCAGCAGCAGCTGAGTCATCATGGCCACTTTGATTATGATCCATGCTGGATCGTTGACTGAGACGCGCAAACCGTAACCACGATCGAACAAGTCTCATCAGTGCACCCAATCGTGAATTGTCTGACTTTCTTCGAATGGCGCTGGTAGCTCATCAGGTGTAAGGCGATCAACAGGACGACCTCCCTGTCTTTTACCGACGAGCGCCGCAATTAAGCCGCAATCGTGAATTAAGGAATTCAGCCATTCAGGTTTACCACTCAATCAAGATGACCCGGACGTTGAACCAATTCCGCCGCTTGCGCATTCGTGATTCACCCTGAATCAAGGCTGTCACGGAACTAAGGCTGTCCTGCGGGTCGGGCATTCTACCTATACATATGATTCGGTCTTGATCAGACTCATTTGCATGAGTGCTTCCATCTATATATGCGGTAGCTACCATAGGTCTCACACGCGACAACAGCATGTCTCGTCGCGCCGGCCCTCGCCGTCATCCTCAGCCGGGGTGTTGGTGCCCACGCTGAATCACGAATGAATTGGACCGCTGCGGCACAGCGGCAGTGCCTGCGGTGAGTCGGCGGGCGCTACGGGTCAATGCCCGCACCACGCCACGCAAGGTCTGCGCGCATGGCTGCGCTGCCGATGTCTCGCCTCGTCGCGCGTGCTGATGTCAAAAGTTTCAAGAACTCGCATGATGGCAACGCAGATGCGTGCAAGCACGGCCCATGAACTGGTCAAATTCGTCAATGTCCTGATCATCATCAGCATATGCACCTGCCTGCGGGTACCCGCACGGCAGTATGCTGGTGGATGAGCGGCTGATGATGAGATCGGTGAGCGGCGCTTTGATCTGGATCACGCTCGTGATTGAATGCTGTGAATAATCAGAACGCGATGCATGACCAGCACACGGCCGCCTCAACTCGACTGAATTCTGAATCAAGGCACAAGCCGGGACAATCCGAATAGCGAGTCGTGAGTCCAGACAAATTACCATCCACCGTGGTGACTGTCCCATCGTCGAAAAGACACAGCGAATTCGATGCAGCCTTAGCTCGAGAGGGACTCGGACGATCCACTCGGTTGCTCGCGCTGCACGACTGCTCGTGCGCCGCATGCTGCATTCTGCTTGCTGTCGACAACGCAGCTTGCTTTGTGGAGCGTGGACACGAAGGGCGGTTTACAGAAGTGAATCTGAGTAGAGAAGGTTTCAAGCCGGACGCTGCCGGCGCTCTTGCGGCGATTCATGAGTATTGTTCACTCTGACTACATATGACCATACCCGGTAGGTGCTTGCTGCTGAGCGCAATGTCGTCGCCGACTCAAGCACAACAGATGCAGGCACATCGCCACTACTCTTCACAAGCGGCCTAGCAGAGCTTACACAGCTTTCGTCCACACATGGGTTGCTGCATGCACTGCACATGCAGAAGCTCAACCAAGTAACCAATTTCTGATGTCTGGGCGGCGTTACAAGTCGACGCGTGGCACTAGAGAAGTCACGAGTGACGAGCGCTTGCTCGACGCGTGACAGTGCACTCACTGCGTGGTGACTCTGCTGCAAAATTTCGAGTCGCTTTCAGCTGCCATGGCGGCGACGCTGATGACGAGGCAGCTCATCAGTGCCATCCCCAATCGTCTCGCGCCCGTATAGCGCCTCGATGGATCAAGGCCGAATTACCGCCGCCGTCACCGCTCTTCGTGATTGCCGGTGCATTCCATCTCACACTTTCTCGTTGCTCTCCCTTCATTGTAGGCGTAGAAAAGCACCTCATCCGTCACCTCCAAATCGCACATGGGCTGCTATATTCCCACCAGTCCTGACATTTGACGCCCAGTCCGCAATCAAGCTCTCCGACAGCAGCGGTTCTCACAAATTCGGCGCGACGACCTTTTCCTTCCAGATTATCCCCTAATCATTCCACCCAGATCAGGCCAGAGGTCAAGCGACGGAGGATTCTCGCGCTTCGCTTCGCAGTCGAGTTTCACACTGCTTCTCACACTCATCTGACCAAGGATCACCTGTGTCTCGCGCAGCTAGGTGCTGCCGAGCTTGCTGCATCTTCAGGGAGGGCCCTCGCATCCATATTCATCCGCTTGGTCTAAGTACCTCTCATCGTCGCTCTCGAGAGGCACACAGCACATTGCGCGTCCGACTTCCTCAAGGCTAGAGTCCGTCTCTATCGCTTGCCTCGAAGCCTTCAGACACAATGAGCATTCCGAACCACAGCGGGCACGTCTACGTCCCCTCCAGCAGTCAGGCTACATGGGGAGCACCACCTACGGGTCCAGTCGACACTCAGGCACCTTTTGCAGGTCCCTACCATCCTAGTATGCCGCCTCATTTTGTCGTACCGGGAACCGGAGCCGTGCCCATAATGAGCAACGATGGGTCTTCGCCGACTTTTGCTCCTCAGCATGGCTTTGAGATGAATGGAACCCGACCGACACCGCCCGCCTCCACCTCAGGCCCTTACAACGCCCCCGCTGGCCCCTCAATTTCTCTCCTTTCTCAAGCGCTGCAAGCTAACCTAGCCAGGCAGCAAGCGCACCATGAAGCAGCGCAGAGACACAGCCAGCAGTGGGGCGTGGAGCAACACGCTCAAGCAGCGCCTGCGGCAACACACCCTGGCGGCTTCCAAGATCGTACACATCACCATCCACCATCCGCCGAACTGGCTGGCGCTGACACGTCTGCCAGCATGATCTCTCCGTCTCCGTACGTGAGTCATAGCCGTCAAGCCAGCAGCGCTGCCCATTCAGCACTAGCATCGGCGTCGTCTTCTCGGCCAATCTCTCCTGTAGCGAGCTGGAACCATTCCAACTCTCGGCGCCGCATCGACTCAAGTGCAGGAGCTAATGGCCGGTCTCATGATTCGAGTTGGCTTCAGGAACCCTCTGGTCCGCAGAATCCTTCCACTCGCGCATACAGAGAGCCTGAAGCTTTTGTGGACCCCTTTTCGCCCGAAGAACCTGGACCTCGACACGAGCAGTTCTACGGAGTTGTACCGCCCAAAAGCAATGCAGCTCCACCCGGTGCTGCGCTGGCCAATGATCACATGGGCCTTTCGACAGCATCCAACCGTGGCAAGCCAAGCGCGCTCTATGCTGCGTCTGGAGACAGCGCAGCCTATCCGTCTGTATCAGCACTTGAGGACGAGGAGGCATCTATATTGAGACAGCGGGAGCGTCGAGGAAGTGCTGGAGCTGGCGATGGTGATGACGAAGAAGTAGATCCCGAGTTGATGGCTCGCAAGGATCCCCTGGCTACACAGGTGTGGCGAATGTACGCCAAGCAGAAGAATGCAATGCCGCACGGTGCTCGAATGGAGGTGAGTTTCTTGGAGAGAAAGACAGCGCGGCTCAGGTTCAGGCTCAATGACCAACCTGATACTGAATTACTGCGCTCCGCACGTAGAATCTGACGTGGCGCATGATGGCAATGACTTTGCGCAAAAAGAAGGAGCAGGAAAAGATGGAGGCCGAGCAGGAGCGCAGTAGGCTGGCGGCTGCTGAAACTGGTGGCGCAGCGACGACGTCTGATACTGCAAGCGCAAGCGCAATTTCCGCTTCGCAGCCGACGTCGCCCTCGTCCGTCAGTCGCGCCTCGCTGGCAGACTCCTCTCGCCGTAGCAGTGGCTCGCATCTGGAGCAACCAGAAGCAATCTCGCACTCGGGCATCCTCAATTCTGGCTCCTTGCATGGCCTCACTACCATCGCAGGTCCGTCGGCGCCGATTCACGGTCGAGGACTCGGCAAGGGCCGGGCGCGCTTCGTCGAAATTGCCGAAGAGGAAGAGCGCGGCCGTCGCGGCCGAAGCTCGCGCACTCCTGAGAGCAGTGGCACCGCTGGCAGTGTCGGGATCGTACAACACGAAGATGATCCCATGGATTGGCGTGCCAAGAGTAAAAGCAGGTCCAGATCCAGGTCTGTCAGCGCAATGGACTGGCGAGCTGCGAGTCGGTCACGCTCTCGGCCGCCTGCTGCGCAGCTGCTGAGCCGCATTGACGAGCCGGAAGGAGCAGATGCGAACACTCTCAGCCAGTCTGCTCCTAACAGCGGCGGATTCTCCTTCTCGGACTTCGCCGGACTTGTCGCAGATTCGCCAAACGGTTTTGCAGAAGTGCCCGAGCTGTTAGCGCTTGGGACATTACCAGCGTCGAATCCTTTGGCACACGCAGACTTTGCTTCGGAAACGAAGCTTGGGCCGGCAGCACAGGCAGTCAAAGATTCGCAGCAAACGGCCACTTCCAGTGGTGGTCCCGGTCGCTCTGCAGCTGCTGCCCAAAAAGCATCCATGCAGCAAGCGTTCCGCAAGGCAGCTTTCAGCGACCTGTTTGCTGGCACAGGTCTGCCGGGTCATGGACGTCGGTCTGGCACGGACGAGCGCAACGTGCCATTCTTCGTCGGAGGTCGCAAGACTAGCTGGGATATGCACTCCATTGGAGCCAACTCTGCTGGCGCGCCTCAGTCAAACATTGGCAGCGTGCCAGGCATTGCCGATTTCAGCAGCCACCAAGCCAACCATCACCCCGAGTACGGGTTCGTCCCTCGATTGGTCCGGAAGACTAGCTTTGATCACAAGGTGTCTGAACGAAGCAGATCCCGCGCACCACAGCCTCATCCATCTCCCTACGATGGCATCGCAGCGTCAAATGCTCGGAAACGTGCCTACGAGCCATCTCCGGCTCGCCCACCTCCAAGCGCTCCTTACACGCAAGACCAGCGCGTCGCCGCTGGCCTGTCCCGACTGCTACCTTCTTTCGCTCAGTCAGATGCGATGTACCCCGGCGTTGTGCCTATGTCCACATTCGATTTCTCCATTCCCCCACCAGGGGACGGCATGGGCCATCATCTCACGGTACCAGGCGGACCCGGCTCGCAACCCAGCATGGGCGCTTTCGATCCCCATTCAGTGCCAGCATCTGCTCTCCAGAGTCCAGATTCAGCTGGGTTCCCAACTTCGTATGGCCCCCAGGGGGCTGCGACTCTTAACAGCCCGAGCGACAGCTCCGCTCTTGCTGAAAGTCATGGCGCTGCTGGTCAGCACATGCCCACTCCGCAGAACGATATAGAAGCCATCATGAGCATGTTCTACAATTCTGACGCAACCCTCGCCGCTCAGCAACACCCCGGTATCACACACATCAACCCTAATCAAGTCTTTGGTCATGGCCCTGGTGGGTTCGATCCTGCAGCTATCACTGCAGCCCACAACATGCTGAATGGCCTCGCCTCTGGTGACGAAGGCTCGGTCACATCGCCGTGGGCGTATAGCCCGGCAAGCGCGCAGACGAATTCCGATCCAGCTTCCACTCCTCCTTTCCAAGGTCCACCCCAAAGCGGCTATCACTCTAGCCCTCTGAGCGGCGCTCCACCTGGCAGATCTCTCGAGCACATCCCCTCCCGCTCAGGAAGCTCGGGCAATCTTCAAGGCGCTGCCGGTCTGCACGGAAAGGCTGGCCAAAGCTCCAAGAACGGGTCAGGCTCCGACGCCACGAAGCCGACGAATGGAACCATTGGCGAGGGCGCGTTGGCCTCCACCTCAAAGTCCGACTCAACCAGTATGGCAACTGCTGATCCACCTACTGTTTGCTCCAACTGCTCCACCATGAAGACGCCTCTGTGGCGTCGCGATCCAGATGGAAATCCGCTATGCAATGCTTGCGGTTTGTTCCTCAAGCTGCATGGTGTCGTCCGGCCGCTATCCCTCAAGACGGATACCATCAAGAAACGCAACCGAGCAGGTGCAGCTAGCAAGGACAAGGCGAGGCTCGCAGCAATCGGTAAGCCGCAGCCGATGCCCCCTCAAGTAGTTCCCCCTCAGCCTCATCACATGGTGGTCACAGCAGCCAATGACAAAAGACAGAGGCGCGACAGCAAATAGACTCGCCTAAGGTACGCACGCCGCCCGCGACCTGCTCTCTCAGTTCTCTTCTGCGCACGCAGGAATCCTGATAGAGTACCCTTCGCACCTACACCTCTCACGCAAACTGTAATTCTTGGTTCTGGCCTATTGCTCAGACGATCAAGTGTTGTACAAATATCCTGACTGTCCCATGATCCTGCCAGTCTTCTGTTGCCGTGTGCAGACTCAACCACCCCATATAGACCTCAGTATCAGAAATGCGCATCGTATTACCTATCATCGATGGCCGCTCGTTGCGAGAGCTCGCCGTGCTGCTAATGGCGGGATTATAATGTATGTGGAGCGTTTGGCTAGACACACCATGGGAATGCGTTGGTCGCAAGTCTGCCGCCTTTCCCTCTCGCTTCGATGTCCACCTCGCAGCTATGGGCCCGAGTACTCTCTCACTGCATACCGGTATGAGCCCGAGGGACACGTACACGAGATGACTCAGCACGGCTACGCCATGCTTTCCACCTTTGCCAGACGCGACAAGAATGACGACGCACGCGGGAGCAGCGTGGCTGTCGTTTGCGTCTCGCTCACTAGCCAAGATGCTCTTGCACGCGTGGACGGGATGAGAGTCTGCCGACTAGAAACGGTCAAGAGTGGGTGAGTATAGGAGGAATGCACAGCGCGACACAGAAGTGTCCTGCCGCGACGACGCGTTTAGCGGGCGCTCGCCCGTGCATCATGCGAAACCAACACCTTGCAGCAAGGCTGGCTGGCCATCGCCGCTTGCGGAGCCAATCTCTGAGCGATGACATGTTTGTCCACTTTCCGACGATGGCAAGCAAAGCTTCAACAGAAGTCTCTTCTGAGTGTGAACCAAGCCTGAGGGTCTGACGAGATCTTTGACGCTTCTCACACCTGATCAACAGCTGTTAGGATCACGGCCTTTGGGTCAGATCCCAGCGTTCGGGGATACGCGCCTGACAAGCGCTTTTCACACGACATCTTCTTAGCCACTCAAGCCGCCGATCCTATCAGGAGCGCCTTCCTTGTCCTGTCACTAAGAGCTCGGTAGCACTGATACGCTGACCGATCATTACTCGTGCCCTCACCGCCTTCAACATCAGCCACCGTCCGTGCCCGCCTTGGCAGCCAAGTCTCATCCGGCATCATTTTCGAACAACCTGCTTGCGCCCATTCCAATTCCCGTGTACTGTGGCGTGCCGGAGTCTGGGAGTAGGACTCGCCACTACGTCCCAAATTCAGTTTCCGCGTCACTTACAAGTCTAACTTGGTCTGGTGTCGCTCGTCTCGGCTGACGTACACCAAGCGCACATTGAACATACGATACGCATGCACACACGAGTCGTGCGGTCTTTGGCGAGACTCATCGCCCGGCAATCATTAAAGTCCACAAGCCCTGTGCGAGCTCTACCCGTATTGAGGTTCACGCTCGACTGCATCAAGTCAGCGCGCTCGCACCCTGCAACGGCCTGCAGTTGAGCCTTCAAGCGATCTTAGGAGGCCCCAGTCTGCTTCAAAGAATCAGACGACATGGCAGCACACCTCATCTCTTTTCTGGAGCGCCCTCCTCCTCGACTCGGTCATCGCGAGCCGATGAATCCAGAGCGCAGCGATGCGGCGAGCACGTGCACTAGTGGATCGGTAGCAAAGGAGTCGTCGTCAAGTGCGACGCTCAACGCAGCAACTCGGGATCTCGCCGCATTCCTCGAAGCTGCACCCAGCGGAGCGTCACAGCTTCCAGGACCTGTCCAGCGCAAAACCGCACGCGCAATCTTAGAGGAGCTTGCGCATTCTCCCGCAACAAGTGTGGAAGGTGATGACTCTTGCGATGCTGGGCGGGGAAGAAGCGGAGAGAATGCCAAGGACCTGGGGTTAGATGAGCACGCGAAGTTGGTAGCTTTGCGAACACTCAAAGAGATTGGAAGACTGTCTGCGGGTGGCAGCGCCGAGGTTGCAAAGCCGGAGGTGAGTGACGGGGGGCTGAAGAGAATTGTAATGCTTGCTGTAATAACTCTGCTCCTTGTGGCCCTTGCCAGTCGCTTCGGACGCTTCTTGCGTGCGTCCATAGACCGCCTCCCTCGCTCGAAGGCTACAAGGACAGTGGTGCTCCCATCTCGAGCGCATTGAAGCGCGTCATTGGCCGCGTAACCCCCTCCAGCCGACAGCGCACCTCTTCATCCAGCTCGAACAAGTCGCAAGCTTCTCTCAGACTAGTGCCCGATAGCCGCAGCCGAGAAGCACGGCAGCGTAGTGCATCGCCGTCTTCACATGATGGTCGGAGCCTTGTAATGCGAGACCATATCAGCATCGAGCAGTGGCGGACGTCTGACATGGCCCTCAGATGTATCAACAATGCGCTCTATTTGCACGAAGACATGCGCTCGCGCTTCGGATCGCCGGAGATAGGTGGTGGGCGCATTGCGCTACAGATGCTGCAGGTGAGTAGTGGTCCAGAAGCAGTGGCAGGACACCTCAAAGCTGATAGAAGCTCGTATGCCGTTGATAGAATCCTTCTGTGACCCCTGCCGAAATTCTCTTCCTGTCGGCAAGGCTGCTCTTCTACGCGACGCTGTTTGACGCTGAATTCTGCAAATCCGCCGTCGAAACGTTTGATGCTCCTGGTATTTTGTCTGAGGTGAGTTCGGCACCTCGTCGCATGACAGGAAAATCACCAGGCTGAGCTCTCAGCAACTCGCTTCCTTCAAGCAGCTTCTGCAGCATGTTGCGTTTCATCTTGATCAAGCGATCCCAGGACCCCTCGCCGGCGAGCTCTCGGTGCCGGGCTCGGAAGAGGCTTTGCGGAATGCAGCATCAGAGGCTCTTAAAGCTGCTTTCAACCTGACCCTGTACTATCCGCGACAGGCGAAAGCTAGTCATGGAACAAACCCGCCCAAAGACAAGGCTGTCATCGGCGAGTCTTGGTCCCCGGCGCTGGAAGGGTGAGCTGAGCTCCGGGATCGTGTCATCGCATTCGCCCATCATACTCACTTCTGGGTGACCTTGCAGCCTCATCGAGCCCACCATTCAGTTGCTGTTGTCTGCTACAGATCCACTTTCCTTGCCATTGGCCCCTCCTATGACGAACGCTATAGCGGTACTACTGAACTGCCCCGTCGGCGCCAATAGAGCAGCTTGGTACTCAATTCGACGGAATTCGAGGGACTCTGGAAGGAGCGATGACGAGCAAACTAGCCAACCGGCATCACCTTCCACAGCTAGGCGTGTGACGAATGTCTTGTTCCCGAAAAGCTCGAGCACCGCGTCACCTCGACTCGGAGGCTCCAGCACTCCTAGTTCGCCATTGTCTCAGCACCTTTCGCTTTCTGGTCCTGACACAGCCAGCACTACTGGTGAAATGGGAACGACCATCAGTAGCTCAGGTGTCGCTTTAGCCCCCTCAATTTTGGCGGTACTAGTCAATATGCTAGACGGCGCCCTGCTGCGCTATTTCCCAGCAGTTGACGACAGTGACGATAGCCAAGCCAAACACGCTGCCGCAAGGGACGGTGTTGATCTCGAAGACCACCATCAACCATTGATCCTCCTCTTGCGCAAGCTGGCAACTGAGGATGAGCGTTGCAGAGCTGCTCTGCGAGCACATCTGCTTCCATCAGACATGTCAGTACATCTGTGGGCGTCACGACTGAGACTCGCAGCTGAAGCGCCGAGCTTCCTCTTCTTCTACCACATCACACGCAGCGACCGATCCTCACCGCTCGACAAGCGCAATGATCTCACAGGACGATGTGTCCGCTTGATGAGCTCTGTCTTCCTCTCGCGTCTTGCGCGCGTGATGGGCGAGATGCTACTGGCTGTCTGCGATGGCGATCGTGAGTACGCGTAAGAGCTTTGCGAGTCTGGGGGCGCCCCACGCCCCTTTCGTCACTTACATTGTTCTTCTTTGCAGCGAAAGTCATGACGGCAGAAATTGGCTACGGACCTTGCGCAGGCTTTCTCATGTCCGCAAATCTTGCGTACGCTTTGCCGGCCGAATCAAGGTCAGATGCCAGCACCGCCAAGAACGGACCAAAGCGGACCATCAACCCGATCACCGGCCAATACGATCCAACTCCAGCCGAACTTGCGAACGACGAGATCTCGAAAATGTCAGACGAGCAGAAAGAGATTGAAGCGGAAAAGCTGTTTACTCTGTTTGATCGATTGGACAAGACCGGAGTAGTGAAGGCTCAATCCCATCCTGTGCGAGCGGCGCAAGAAAGCGGCAGATTCGAGGAGATTACTCGGGAGATCGAGGAGAGGGAAAGGCGGAGGGAGGAAGATGAAGAAGCGCAGATGGAAAAGGACGTAGAAAGAGATATGCGCGCTTTCAGAGAACGTAGACAGCCCCGCGGCTGACTTCCCGGACCCGAGCGGCTGTCTTGAGTTGACGTAATTTTGCGAGCGGCCACCATCATTGTACCTCTAATCAACTCAGCTCACAGGACGGACGTGGCTTTGCGCTGCTGACTGATGCATCTCTATCATCCTTCAATACAATGACATTGCAGCTGCTACCCTACAAATGGCCGTGATTGACTTCGACCCCTTTTCATTAGCGTCTGTTAGAGGGAAGTCCGGACCAGACTCTTTGAGAAAGCGCCGATATTGCCAGCAGACTCTAGGTATTTGGAGATGAATAGCTCATCGTTTGGCGCTACAAAGAAGGCAGAGAGACTGTTTCAACAAGCGTGTAGACAAGAGGCGTCGCAGACATCTGAGGAGGCAACAACTCACTGCTCCAATACCCGCCTTCCCTTCGCTTGACCTCCCACAGACCTCTCGCCTCCACATCAGTAAGAGGAGGCACATCCAGAGCAGACCACCTGCTTTCTTTGGCGTGCTTTTCGTTGAGCTCTTCCTCATGAGTGTACGGGTTGTAAGGAAGAGATCTCTTCAAGCCCATGGCCGCAGGATCCAAATCGGGCCTGTCGATGGATCTCAAGAGGGCCGGAGTCGGATACCACTGCGTAGAGCTCATGCCTATTGCGCCCATGAGCGCACCCCGCTGCGGACCCTGCTGCATGGCCGACAAGAGTGTCCGAGGAAGAGACAACTCCCAAGCTTGAAGGGGTTTATGATCTACGTCCGTGTATGCGCTCTGCATGTAGAGAGCTTGAGCTTCGTCGATCGCCAGTAGGAAAGGCACCTTGGTCTGCTGGCTCAAGCTCTGCAGCAAAAGAGCAAACGCTGCGGAACGAGGGACCGGAAGCGTCTTGTCTGAAGCCGCGAAGGATGCCAACGTCTTGCATGATCCGAAGTAGGCACCCTTTGTTTGCTCCCTTAGCGGAGATTCGATCACCGGCACCTCTGCTAGCAATTCTTGCACCCGCAAAGACTCCGCAATACGCCGCTCCAAGAAGCTTTGGGCATATACTTGCAGCTTTGGCGCGTAGACGAAGGCCGATGTTCCTCGAATCAAGTTGATTCCGCTCTTGATGTACGCCACAATGTACCCTTTGCCGAGCGCATAGGACACTGCTTGAAGCAGGATGTGCGACTTTCCCGTGGAAGGCCCTCCAACGAGCAAATGTCTTGGACTGTCGACTGACGCTACTGCTTGGTCAAGAGCTGATTGAAGCTGAAGCGTCGTCGAGCGAAGGATGGTCCTCGGGATCTACACAGATACAAGCATTGCATGGAGTCAGCGCACCAACTCGAGGGAGAAACTCATTTCAGCAGTACGCACATCCTGCTGAATGCGATGAGGCAACAATGTCTCCCTAGAGAATTTGGTGATTTGCTCATTCCACGCGTACGCCCTGCCGACATTGCCTTCTGCGTAGACTTGAGCATCCAAGACGGGTAAGTTGGATCTGACGATGCTCAGCTCGTAGAAAGGCGCCTGCTTGGTATGAGTTCCTGCCGTGTTTGCCCTTCGAGGCCCAGAACCGCGAGGCCGCTCTGCGACCGTACCGGATTTGCGAACCACGCGTGTCTTCTCTGCAGGATGGGACAGCATTCGTGCACTAGGCTCGTGAGCTGATTTGCAGATAAAGACTCCAATCTGAACGCTGCGATCACTCACGCGCAGCTTTCTTTACGGGGGCTTTCATTTGAGGTGGACAGCAGTGGAATGACCGCTCGGCTTTGGGCTGTGCGGCTGCACCACGGGAAGTCTTCAGCACCCCGAACGCACCCGTTCCCGTCCTCGTCGTCGCAGCACAAGCACGTGAAGTCGAAGCTCCAAAGTTCAGGAGCGCGGCGCTGGACATGATGGCAGGATAAGTTCTGCTGCGCCTGGCTAGGTGAAAGGAATCGGGGTGTCCTGGCAAAGCCGCGAGGACCCAGCTGCTTTCAGAGGACAGGCGCGGCAAGGAGCAGCAATCAAAGAGGATTGGCTTGACAGAGATGTGATCAAGTGCGCTACGGCCAAGGTCAGCGAAGGTGGGAGCCAGCGCGCCAGTCAGGAGTGAGTCGGAGAAGATCTGAAGCGAGAAGTCATGACTTGGTGATGCTGCAGCGCGACGGTCTTTCATGCAGGCGGAAGGACTCACGACTCTTGGCCTGCGCGCCAGGCGCTCCACGTGGTGCTTACACTGCGCGTGTAGAGCTCATCGCCCCGGCTGCTGCAGTCAAGAGTGCACGTACATCGTGCGTGCGCTACGATGTGGTACATCAATTCCCAATCCGAGGAGTCAGGGCACTTTCTGGAGCTCAGAACCCAACCTCACAACAGTCACATCAGGTCGTGCGAGTAGTGGATCTTATATCGTCTCGGCCTACGTCAGTCGCACCGACTTCCACACATCGAACAAGCAGCCACAACGACCGAAGGCCTCGCATTTTGCGTCATCGATCAAAAGGCGCCATTTTGACAAAGAGCCATCAGGCACCTCCAGCAATCACATCATGGCAGGCGGAGGGCACTACTCGCCCGTGAAGGTGGATCCCGCCATCGAGCGATGGGGCTTCATGGTGCGTTTACACTGTGCCATGATAGGCAGGCACCAGCTCATCCGCTGATTACAACGCTGGCATCCCGCCCTCTTGTGCCTGCAGAGACAGACTGTTTACGAGCGTTTCAGATTGACGCCTAGGAACACTTGGATCGTGCTCGTCCTTGGAGCTCTGATCCCTTATGGAACTTTCAAGCTGGCGCAGGCCACCGATGTGAGTCGAAGCGGTGGTCCAAGCCATTTCGTCCGGTGTCGGGGAAAGCGTGCTGCTCGCGTTTGGGTTGTTATAGTTGAACCAAGGTCGCTGGAAGATGGATGTGACGGAAGGGCGATGAGATCTTTATTCGCGCACCCGGTTCCGGGACGCGGTTCGGTCAACGTCGAGCCTTAAGAGAGCTATAGTCCTTTGACCGAGGGACCCGCCCAACTTTCCCACGCGTTCAAATTCCCACTTCACTCTGCTTTGCACTTTGGCGCACTGTGATGCGACTTTTACATCTCAAAACTCGCTGAACTCGCTGCTGAATCTTTTTCCCTCCCTCCTTTTCATACGCTGGTGTCCATCTTCAAACTCCCGACTCTCATGTTCCATGATGATTAGGCCAAGTGGGACATGCAGGCGAGAACGCGAGGAGAGTCATTGTTGGCCAGACCACCTCCTGCCAGCGAAACCGACGAGGCATAGACAAGAACGGGCGCCACAAACCCGAATGCATGCTGTTGCGTCCTTGTGAATCTCGTTCAACGATACAAACGCTCGTGCAGCAGAGTGCACGTGGACGCCTTCGTCAGGAGGATGACAGATTGTTTTGCCAAAGAGTACAGCTGGGCGCTCCTCATTACAAGGCCTCTCGGCACCAATGCACGCACGGCACTGATTGGTTTCACGCGTTACTCTTGCCAGGTTGGATTATGCTGTGCGAACAGCTCAAGTCTGCTCGGCAGCGTCATTGGAGAGAAGTACAGACAGTGATGCGCAAATGCGTATACAAAGCACCGAAGGGCTGGCAGGGGCAATCGAGCTTGATCGCGCTGATGGCTATCGCATGTGACCCTAAAGGCTTGCATCGTATTGACTCGGGCAATCGGTTGATGACGATGCCCTGAAAAGCGACATTCACCTCAACGCAGCTGCAGCCGAACCATCAGGTCCGCCGCGACCTCTGTCCCTCATCTGTTGACCTTGCGTCTGCCCTTCAAGGACGCAGGCGCACGTTCGCACGATTCAGGATCAGTAGCTTTCGATGATTGCCGAAGCTCTTCTGACTCACCTCTTCCCCTCTGAGCACCCAAATGATGACCCTGATGATCACCCGGCGCAGGAGGGACCCATCCTCCAGACGCGCCACCTCTGCCTCGTCCTCTCGCATCGCCGCCCTTACCTCTTGCCCTGAAGTCCCCCCTTCCTCCACGTCCAGCATAACCTCCTCGCTCGTTGGCGTTGGCACGCACATTTTTGCGCGACACCACCTGCTCGAACCCGTCATCATCCACTTGAGGTATTCGCGCAGGCCGCCTCGGGTCGTTTGGTCGGTTCGGTGTTTGCGCTGCACTGGTCCTGACACCCTTAGCGTCGATGGTGGGAGCAGCCGACGAATCCGCAGGAGCTTGCCCATTCGCGGGCATCCCTGAAGGAGCTGCATCAGCCTGCACGGCAGCAACTTTTTGGCTCACAGCGGCGGAAACGGTAGGAGCAGATATCTGCGGCGTGGCAGTGCCGCTAGCAGCCCGTGCCGGTGTACCAGCTACAGTGGCCGGAGTACTCCACTCTGCTGGTGGCTCGTCGAGGTCGTCCCCCTCGTCGTCAGCCCAATTAAACTTGGGCGTGTCCGCCGCCGCTTTGCCATTCGTTTGGACCTCGTCTTGTTGGCCAGCTTCCGCCACCACGTTCACAGATTCTGACGCGCCAGACGCCGGATCAGCTGCCGAGACGTGAGGTTGAGGCTCCAGGTCACCAGCTGCTCCACCTTCCGGTGCCGTTTCGGAGGTCGAGGGCGCAAGAACGCCACTCGGACCTGTGCCAGGCTGAAGAATTGGCACCGGTGCGTTGTACTGGCCGTGTCCGTGCGATGGCGTAGGTTGTCAGACATTTGCATTCAAATTTCGTTTGAGACCACGGGACACCTGCTGCTCATCTCACCTCGCCAGGGTTGCTAGTACCAACTTCAGATGCTTGCAAGAAGCTGATGCCGTTCGAAGCGCGCCCATGAGAGTTGACGCCGTCTTGAGCAGCGTTCAAGCTCGATTGTGTTACGTCCTCTTGATGCAGGCTGCCGTTCACCAACGGGGCTGGCTCAGAAGCAGCAACAGCAGGAGCAGATGGCTTCTCGAGGGCTTTGATCAAATCGACCACTTGCGAATCTAGAATTGGCCCACGTGAAGCCTGTGAGCTTCGTGACGCTAGAAGCGCAGCTCTGTGGAAGATCACTTACAAGTGGGCGTCAGTCTTGGTACAATGGCCTCATTAGACGAGTTTACCAAGCTGTCCAGAGCCCTCTGGGCGTCTTGCAAGCGTCTTTCCATCTCCCCCTCTGCAGCTGCCGAGGCCACATCGTCGGAAGTTGGGAGCGCAGTGAGACGCAAGAAGAGGATTCTGATCGCTTGGGTCGTGTCTCCGGAGATGTTCTCCAATGCAGCAGGCACACTGCGAGGCGCAAACGACGGAGGAGCGCCCGACCAGCCGGCTCGATCGGCGATGTATGAATGCAATGCAAAGAAGGACCTTTGAAGGGATTGATGGCTCGGTGCTTCGTCCTGTTGGCGTAGCGTTCATGATGCTCTACGTTTCAGTATGAACATCGTAGAAGGCGCCATGTGAATCTCCACTCACCCGGGCTACAGCGGCGGCAACTTCGATCTGGACCTTCTTGTCTGCATCTGTAGATGCTTTCTGCTCGGACTCCGTAGCTGCAAGCTGCTTGACCACTTCCTGAAGCTCGGCAACGACTGCCTCCATGACAGATCTAGATGCAAGACTCTTCTTCTGGTTGGCGTCAAGGGTCTCCGGAGCCGCGTTCAGATAGCTCTCCATCCGTTGCTGAAGAGCAAGCACGACATTCAGCCAGCGCATTGCTGATTGAAACCCAAACGCAAGGTCGATCCTCTCCAGAGGCACACACACTCACCAGCTTCTTTGTGAGCGCTTTGATCCTCTTCGTCACGAGGACTTGCGCTCGTGAGACATGGCCGGCAGCATCATTGGAGCCTGGCACACCTGCAGTGGTCCCTTCCACCGGAGCATTGGCCTTGAGGGCTTCGGGCAATTTCGTCGCATCAGGCGCCACCCCTAGCAAAGCGGCGGAAGCTTCCTCAGAGAGCTTCGTGGAGGTCGCACCGCTTGCTGGGGGCTTTGCAGCATTGTTTGTACCATTGGCCTTTTTGCCCTTGGCGGCCGCCATGACTTCGCGAGCTCGCTGGCAAGCAAAGGGTAGGCGACCAGCTGGATCGTGTGCGCTCTGCACGTCTCTCACTCTCTCTTTTGTCTCTCCTCTCTCTCCTTGTGTTGCCAGCTGGACGGACACAGGCTTGGAGGAGATCGATGCAGCTCGCTTTAGTCTGCGCGTTGAGAGCGTCAGCCCGTAGTTGATGGACCCCGCTGCAAGATTTCGAGATGGTGTTGCAAGCTTCCGGTGATGAGCTTCCGTGTAATCTACGTGTGCGCGCAGAGGAAGGGCCAAGTGAAATCGCGGTATACATGTGCACGCAGCGTGCGCGCATTATGATATATTCACGATTCAGATTTGTGATTGAAGGCACTCAAGACTCACCACTGACGAGTCACGAGTCGTAAGTCACTTGACTGATGCGTCTTGAGTATATGCTATAGTCACGAGTAGTCACGACCTGTGAGTCGACTGCGCTATGCCCGCGATAAAAAGTGGGCTTGATCGCACTACGCCACGATTGTTCTCGGCAGCATGCAGCAGTATCTATAGCTCGCAACTCACAAATCACGACTGCAAGGGTCGCGCGCGCGCGCGCGCTCAGATCATCCATCTGCAGCAGCCCTTCTCAATTCTCATGCACCTGGTGCAGTCGTCAGTGCAGTGCATGACGGCTGCCGGGAGGACCCTCTTCGTCTGTGCGCTCGCTGTCTTCTGCATACAGTCACGAGTCACTCAGTCGTGAGTATACAGGTACTATACGAGTAGCTCGCCTAGCTGTTATCATCTTGCTCAGTTGCGCAGCGGACCAAGAGCCGAAAGGCCGTCTGCGACAAGCTCTATAAGGTGGGGATAGGCAGGGCAGGAACACCACGCACGGAGCTGGCAGGCAAGCGTGCGCGACGCATGGTAAGCAGGAACGTAGCAACGGAGCAACCGCCGAAACAAGCGCTGCCCCAGCGCTGGCCGACCTACAAATGCTTGCTGAGTCTTGACAACCTGCCCATCTCGACCCCACCCACACTCCACCACCATCGCACCCCTTCCACACTCGCAACTCTTCTCTGTGCTTTGGAACTTGCCTCACTGATCATGCACACCCTTTCCCTTCTGCTCGCTGCTTTGGTAGCGAGCGCAGCAGCTGCCCAAGTGCCGTTCACCCAATATGCTGATGTAGCATCGCCGGCAGCAGTTGGTGTGTCGGTGGATGCTCAAGAGGCGTTCGCAGATCCAAGCCAGGGCTTTCAGTCCGCATCGCAAGGCCCGTTGCGAGTTGAGCTGCCATTTGCAACTTCGTCCAGAAGCGACAAAGGAGCGTCGATGACCGTAGAGCAGCTGATCGCTCAGCAAGGCTCCAAGCACACTGTTCTGACCCACTCGGAGTTCCCAGAGATCAGCGTCCGAATCAAGCGTATCTCTGCTGGCAAGAACAGTGGTCAGGTGTTCGGCGCCAATGAGAGCTTTTGCGACCCTAGCGTGACCAGCTGGAGTGGGTACATCGACACCATCACGGGCAAGTCGCTCTTCTTCTACTTCTTCGAGTCTCGCAGCGAGCCAAGCAAGGACCCGCTCATCCTGTGAGTGTAGCCACTTTAAGAGCTTATGGTGTAGATAGCAAGGAGCTCACGTCCGCACCCTTTCCCGGTAAGCTGGACCAATGGAGGACCCGGCTGCTCCTCTGCGATCGGACTGTTCCAAGAACTCGGCCCTTGCCGCGTCAAAGACTCTGGGGGAACAGGCGCTCGCATCGATGGGCCACCCATCAACGGCACGGAAGTCAACCCGTACGGGTGGAATGCCAAGGCGAACGTCATCTTCATCGATCAGCCGGTTGGTGAGTGCTACGGAAGGAGTTGCGTGACAGAAAGCGCAGCTTTGCGCTGACCCTTCAAACTCTCGTTGCCAGGTGTTGGCTACTCCTACGCGCGCTTCGGTGACTTGGTGTACGATTCGGATCAGGGGGCCAAGGATCTATACAAGGTGCGTTACAGTCCAAGTCATGTCTCGCATGCCAAGTATGCTGATGACACCAACGACGACGTCTCCCAGTTCCTGCGCCTATTCCTATCTGCGTTTGACCGCTTCGTGGACAACGACTTCATCATGACTGGAGAAAGTTACGGCGGTCGATACATTCCACGCTATGCTGCGGAAATCGCTGATCGCAACTTCGCCCTGGAGAACAAAGCTGCGCGTCACCACAAGAAACTTTCTCGCGGGGAATTGATCAACTTGAAGCGCGTGGCCATCGGCAATGGCTTAACAGACGACGTAGCGCAGACTCTGAGCTATTACGACTTGTGAGTGCAGTACGGAGGCTTCAAGGCCGCGGTGGACTGCCCGGGAGTCTGACGCTGAGCGTTTGTCGGCAGCACTTGCACCGCCAAGGGCGGCAACGAGCTATATCTCGACATTCGCACCTGCAAGGAGATGAAGTTGTGAGTCATGCGGTGTTGATTGGAGTGGCTTTCCTGCTGATAGATCATCTTGATTGCTTGATTTAGTTGGAAGCAAAAATGCGAGAAATGGCTGCCACATGCGGTGAGTTCCGAATCACATCAAGCATCCGATCTCGTCCACTGACTTGAGCTTTGCTCTGCAGTGCCGGGACTCGCACGACGTCGCCCTGTGCCAAAATGCTTTTGACACGTGCTTGGAAAAGCTCGGGGGACCTTATCAGCAAACGCTTAGAAACCCCTACAACGTCAACGATGGCTGCGAGGTTGGCCTTGAGCCGAAGTGAGTCTTACGGACATCCAGGCTTGCTTGAAGCTTGCTGACGCCTCGACTCCGCAGCTTGTGTTATCCAATCGTGGGAGATATCACTGCGTACCTGAATCGCGAGGACGTGCGCGAATTGCTCGGTGTTGCACCAGAAGCCGGCAAGTACACCACGTGAGTGCCGGATGAAGCATCTCAGGTGTCTTGACACCCACATCCATTCTGACCAACGCTTGATCGCCTCACAGCTGCAATGAAAAGGTGCACGAAGGCTTCGGGAAGAGTGGAGACTGGCTCGTAGATAACACTCTCTACATTTCTGGTCTCCTGGAGCGCGGCTACAAAGTTCTCATCTACGTCGGGTGAGTGCGCTCAACGCAAGAGACTAAGCGTCGAGGCTCACGCGGGACTGCTTGATTGCAGAACACTTGATTGGATCTGCAATTGGCTTGGTAACAAGGCATGGGTCATGAACATGCCATGGACTCACGCCGAAGAGTTCCATAAAGCCAAAAATTACGTGAGTTGTCTTGCAAGAACGCTTTTGATCGCGGCGCTGACAGCGGCTCGCGTTGTGTACGCTTCATCTTCTCTAGCAATGGCTTGTGGATGGTCATGAATCTGGTGAAGTGCAGCAAGGTGGCAATTTGACGTGGGCAACGGTTCTGGGAGCCGGTCACATGGTTCCCTACGATCGCCCCAAAGAGAGCCTTCAGCTTCTCCACCGCTGGCTCAACAATGAACGCATCTGATCGCAGAAACTCGCTGGAGCTCAGTAAATTGCGAAGGTCGACGAAGCGGCAATGACAGCATGGTCTACAAAGCAAGAGAATTGCTGCCATTCACAATGTAGATCGTAGAGAACCTTGAAACACATGTGAGATGGTCAGATCTGGGCGTGAGGGCTGCCGCCGCGATGAGGAGCCATTCTTCTTGAGCGCGATCAAAAGGGGCAGGAAATCTGGCTTGTTGTGATAGCTTGCCATCTGCTCAGATGGTGGCCAGCGAGAGAGAGCATTCTGTGACGGTCGAGCAGGCAACCCTTGTTGATTCTTATCGATCTTGCCTACAATCAAGAATCGCGAATCTGGATCATTACCACAATGCCGACTTCGCACGCGTGACGAGACGCGCCAAGTCGTGCGGCGGACGCGTCAAGTTCAACGCGTCAATTTACGCGTTGCTTGTAGGACGTGTCTTCGCGACGCGTCATGTGTCGCGAGTGTAGCACAGGCAGCTAGAGCAGCATCACGCGAAGCTCCTTGGCGTCTCCCAATTCGTGGTGGCGTCTCCTAATTCACATTCGTGATGACGATGCCCAGCGATATCTCAATCGCGCATGCAAATCGACCTCGACCGCACCCACGAGCATTCCGCCATCGACCACCGAGCTCTTAGGCCCTCCCTTTGCCCCATCTTGCATCCACCTGCAGAAGTGCGCCCTTCGAGCAGCACCTTTGTCAAATTCTAATACAGTCTCCGCCATGACACATATTCGCCGAGCAGTGCACGCTCACGCAGAGGCGTCACATCGCGCGCAAGCATCGAATGTGGGCCGCCAGTGCTCAGTGGAAGGCATCTATGGGTATCCGTCTCCGCCCGATAGCGGCCGTTCGGGTAGCCGTGCTGCCAGTCCAGACGATCACAGCAAGCATGCACTCGGTCCAGAGACCAAACTTTCGGCAACATTTGCAGATGTTGCAACGCAACTCAACAATGAGGAGACTGTCTTCAATCCACCAAGACGGCACACAGCATCGCCGCAAATTGTCGAGGAGGACGACGATAATCCGCTTGATGGACCTACTGAGCTGGGAGGTCGAAGGATCAAAGTTGCTTGGAACCCCAACTTTCGCACATTCGTCTTGTGAGTTTCGAAGCAGAGCCTAGAGCGCCTGGCGGATGAATGCTAATTCGCGCTCGCTCCCTGACAGTCGCGGTCAGCGCGTAACTTATCCAACCCCACAGATGGACGATTCGGATGATGAGGAAATCGTGCCCCGCTTGCTCTTTCCTGAAGGCTGCGGCAAGACTACCAAGCGAGTCAGACGATCACGCTCGGGGAATCATCGAGGAGTGCAGTGCGCTCGTGCTTCGCCGCCATGTTGTGAAGAGGGTACGTCAGCACCATTGTCACCTCGAGAAGCACGCGCGGCCTTGTCGCCGCCTCAGGAAAAGTACGCGCCTGTCTCTCCGCCTTCCCCAGAGAAGTACGCACCTTTCTCGCCTCCCGCAACGAACGCTTCTACTCGCGCTTTCAGCTACGAGTACGAAGATGGCGACGTCATGGTCGAGCATCCCTTGGCGAATGCTTACGATCAGCCAAGCGCGAATTTCCAAGCATCAGATGCAGGACTGGAGTGGGATGAGACGATACGGGAGGAGTGTGGGCATAAGGCACACTGCGCCGAGCGCAAGTCCCTTAAACCCAGGCCAAATCTCTTTGCAGCGGAAATTGCAGCAGCCGCAGCGTCCAGGTCCACATCTGCCCAACACCAGGGAACAGGCGCCACGGGACCTCATGCTCGCTTGCATCGTATGATGGAGGCATGGTCAGACGATGATGACGAGGATGAGAGCCAACCCTTCCCTTTTGGAGTTTTGGAAGCACCTAACCAAGAACCGAATAAAGATACGTCGTCTCGCACAGCAAAGAGAAAGGCAGATTGGGATTCTAGCGACGAGGAAGAAAGTCGACGAGTCACTCGCTGGACGCGCGAAGATGCGTCTCGAGCTCCGGTCACAGCGGATCAGCAGCGATGGCGGCCAGAAGAGGTGTTGGCTCCGCAAAGAAAACGCTTGCAAGAGCAGACGAGGACACATCGTTAGTCTCGCATCCAAGCTCACGGTCAAGGCCAAGAAACGAAAAGACTCCAGAATTGAGGAGGTTGCACTCCGACAGCCTAACATGGCAGTCCAACACGCCCTGAGCGATGAGCTGACAGCCGGCTCGCGGCTTATTTGTGGGGCTCCGACTCCAGCATCGGTCGTTTCATGAGGAGTCTCCGAAGTCACAATTGACCACCACGCACAAACATTTATCTGCATCCACATCCACATCCACATCCACATCCACATCCACATCCACATCCACATCCACATCCACAATCAGCCATTCGACATATGAGTCTTTGTCCAATTCACACACACACAATCAGAGCTATATGAGCAGACCGTTTAGTCTTAGACTGGGCAAGCGAGCGTGGCGCCTGAAGGTGGAGGATGGCGTTTGTCGAGCGGTCTGAACATGAGTAGCATACACTCGTGACGCGTAGTGGACACGTTCCGGAAACGAGCCTTCGAGCTGCCTGTGACTCACACTGCGCCAAGCTTCGTGTCAGCCAGCATATGTGTCTCCTTCAATCAGCAGGGCTGTGCTGTGACCCACCACGCTCAGCTGTCCCACGATCCGCTGCAGACTCACGACTTTAGGCTTGAATTGAGTGATCTATGCAGCGTGACGACGGGGCTACGCACGCCTGTCCGTGATCGTGGACTCACGACTCACGCTCGGCGAAGAGCTCAGCAGCAGCAGCAGCACGTCGAGCATGCGCGCACAAGCGCTTCTTGATGCTGCTGCTGCATGTGGAGCCCCGCGTTGCCATCACATGCGAGCTTCCGCTGTGGTACACGTACGAGACGCCGGCGTGGAAGTACAGCAGCAGGAGCGCGCGGGCGTTTGTCTACACCCACATCAGCAGCAGCGACTGAGTTGTTCTGTGCACGCTCGCTTTCACATGTTTGATCTTCGACGTGTGGAGCCTGAGCCTGGCTGGCTCTCGCTAGCGTCGAGCGGGAGGCCAAGTGGGGGACGAGTCGATCGTCGCGCGGAACAGCGTGAAGCGGTGATGCAAGCCAAAAGGCATACCGTACAGCAAGTCTCTTGCACCACCCAAGAAGCAGGGTAAAGCAGAACACCCGCGCCATCACCGCTTCGCTACACATGCTCCCTACACACACCAACATACACTCTTGACTGCGACTCTCTACTACGATATTGACGGTTCGTATTGCAGCAAGAAACTTCAAAATGACTTCCGCGGATCATCAGGAACAGCAGAAATTCTCGGTGGACCAGGTGAGTGGAGGAATTGCGCGACCGCGACATCACGTAGATGAGAGGGGGGGCGCGCGCGCAGGCTGTGCGGGAGTCGGGAGACAGGCATACGGGCGCATATTTTGCAATCACGAATCTTCTAGCCAATATCACTGCTCGCTCTCCCCCCTCTCGCTGAATGAGGCGGTGCAAGACAAGAAGGGGTAGTGCAAGCCATCAAGCAATCGTGCCCAAATCCCGCGATGCGGGCTCAGTGTCGCTTTGCGTCGTCGCTGATGTGCCTGCTTGGTCCAATAGATTCCACCGCTGAACGGCAAGATCGCCATCGTGACGGGCGGACACGCTGGCATCGGTCTTGAGACGACAAGAGCACTGGCGCATGCCGGCGCCAAAGTCTACATGGCATCGCGAACAGAGTCGAAAGCTCAGGGTGCCATCGCACAGCTACGCAAGGAGCACGCAGAATCCGCCTCGCAGGGCAATACCAGCGACGCTGGACAGAAAGCTCAGGATGCAAGCGCGGCCGGTGCGACGGGCTCGAGCCCTGCCGAGCTACAGCTCGACTATGTTCACCTGGACCTGAGCGACCTCTCGACGGGACCAAGATGTGCGAAGGACTTTCTTGCCAAAGAGTCGCAGTTGCATATCATCGTGTGCAACGCTGGCATCATGGGCGCTGATTACGAGTTGACAAAGGACGGCATCGAGCAGTCTTTCCAGGTCAACCACTTGACCCACTTTGCCCTTATCCAAGGTCTCTTGCCCGCCCTGGAAGCTGCCGGCAAAGCTTCAGCCCCTCATCCAGCGCGCATCGTCAACCTGACGAGCATCGCGCACAAATTCATCAGCGCGAACCCAGCCTTGGAGCCGAAATTCAAATCGCTCGACGATGTCAATCGCAAGATGGGCATTGGAGAGTTGGGCAAGTACATGCGATACAGTCAAGGCAAGCTCAGCAATCTCCTGATGGTGCGAGAATTCAATCGTCGACATGGCGCAAGCGTCAGGGCCACCGCGGTGCACCCTGGCTTTATCGCCTCTGACCTCTACAAGGGTACACCATTGGCTCCCATCGCACCCAAGATCTTTGCGAGCGTGTCGGAAGGAGCACTTGCCAGCTTGTATGCTGCTACGAGCCCCAATCTGGAGAAGGAGGATTCTTGGGATGCCTATCGCGTTACGTTTGGTCTGGAAGGACAAGACACCAAGTATTCACGCGACGAGGATCTTGCCAAGGATCTCTGGGACCTCAGCGAGAAGCTCGTGGCGGAGAAAGGAGCGTCAAGCGGATCCGTCTGAGTTTCGTACTGGATTCCCGAATTTTGCTCCGCATCATGGCTAGCTACCGATCCGACTGGAATGGAATGTGCAGCATCCAGCTTCTCAGCCCGCTCCGTGACCCGCATCTGAGCCGACGTGGAGATTGTGCCGTGCGCACTGAAGAGCCCCTTGCGCAGTCTGCAGTAAGTATGTGCAAGAGGCCGCTTCAAGCAGGGGAGAGAAAGAGAAATCTGAAGGCTTTCCCTGTTATGAACTGTTTCCGTTTGTCTAGCCCACTTCGTCCCGCCAAAGCGCCGTGTAAATGCGGCTCATCAGCTTCTTTTGTGGGCGTGCTTTGTCTGTCCGCTTGATGCGCGGTGTTGCGACTCCATGCTTCCACGCAATCAGTCCCTGACCGCCTCGTTGACCTGTGCAGCGTGATTGCTTCCGTGCGAAGATGGCATCTGCGCACGGGTGGCACTCTGCGCGGATATCAACGTGGTCTGTGCCGGTTCGCTCTCCTCTGAAGATGGACTACGCTGTCTTGCGAAAGTCCTTCCAATGATGCGACATTGGCGTGACGTCCCTACCAGGCCGAGAGGTGCAACGGCGCGCGCGAGACCGTCAGCGCAGCTCGTTGTGGTGCGCTGTCAGACTTTCAGGCACGCGATCAAACCCAAGCGCAGCTGAAGCACAGGATTCCCTCCTCGAGCACAAGGCGAGACCACTGACCTGTAGCGTTTTGGCAGCACTGGCTTGTCATTTGCATCCCATTCCACAACACGCGTGACCTCTACTGCAGGTCGACCCGAACATCTGATGCGAACAGAAAAAAAGGGGGGGGTCAGCAAAATCCCAGTGATGTGCGGGAGATGGATGGCTGCACTTACACTTTGAAGATGCGCTCGATGGGCTTGCACACCACCTGCTCACCTTTGAGCGCGCAGTCGTACTGGACCAGTTCTGCTAGACGGCAACCTGCCGGTAGGCCATTCGGCGCAATGTCTGTGCTGTTCGCCTCCTCGATCACATTTTTGGTGGTCATGACGAATCAAGTCGTCGGCTTGCAGAGAATGTTGGCGAGGCCTAGCAGCAAGACGTGGAGGGCGGAACATTCAAGTCATCGCAATGTACCGCGGTAGCAGCAATCGTGAAGCTGATGAATGTGAATTGATCGAAAGGGATGATCGCGCGATAGCCGAGGGCGGGATAGACGATGGCGATGGGACATCATCCGTCGCGCATCTCTTGATCGAGTGCCGCCCGGCCACATTAAACGCCACCCGCGCGTCGAAGCCACAGCCACGTGGAGTCAGATCATCAGCAATGATGATCGAGTGACGAGCAACCTTGCCCGCCCGCCCTGATCGTAACTCAGACGCATGCATATAGTAGTAAGAGGATGGAGATGCACTTTGCTTGAGGCTGTCGAGCCTGTGCATGGTGCAGTGTGAGTGCAAAAGTTGATGCGCCTGCTTGCTAGTTAATCAGAATCGTGAATCAGAATGGAGGTCCAGAGATTCACTCACGAACGACTCTGGGCAGGAATTCCTGCTGCATATGATGGTAATGAAGGCTTGCATCGGCATGCTCGCGGCCGCGGCAACGGCCATACGCGCGGGCAATAACCGAGCGTGCGCCAATGTGATTCAAGTATATACTGAGCATAATGCGATGCGGTGAAGCCCCTTGCGTGAAGCGTGGCGCGCGCAGTCGTGCTGGTCGCGGCGGCGCGCGTGATGTGTGTACACCTGCATATGCTGCAGCCTGCCCTTGCTCTTCCTCCCGCATCACAAAAATCCAAGAACAACACGGCGCGTGCGGATGAGTGTCCGAGCTGAGAGAGGTTGGACGCTGAAGCGCACAAGCATAACGTACTTCGAGGCTCGGAGACGGAAATTGCTGTTGTGCATGCCAACTTACGGCTCGACTCCCAAGGAGACTCCTCAATGTGCGGAGCCGCTGGAGCAGTGGGCAATATCGGAATATGGGGCGCCCTGCGACTGCCAGCAGGCCAGAGAGCTTGATGTGGTAAAATGCTCACCTCGTCTCCACACTCACGAGGTCTGCATAGCAGCTCCGCATCTGCTTGGAACATGCCATGGCTGGGGTTCAGACATGCAATTGGCTGAGCAGCGATCGATGAGTGCTTTGACTACTACTACTACTCGTCGCGACTGTTGTATGGCAGGCAGGCGGGCAGCAGATCGTCGAGATCTCTGCTTTGAGCCATGCCACAGGTGGCTGTGCCCAGGGCGGGCAGCAACCAAACAGGAAGAGAGCAGCCTCCAGTGGGCAATACATGGGCTTCAGCAGCAATCGAATGTGAATGTGGCTCAAAGTAGCGGACAGGTGGTCGATGCACGCAACTTCAAGAAAAGCAACGAGAGTCACGAATGGCCGCATCGCCAATCGCCATGTAAGGTCTGGTGCCGTTGAGATTTGCATGGCAAGGTATCTCGCTCGACCAGCACAGCGGGCCGGCAGCTCACAGCTGTGAGGCACGCAGCAACTGGATACTCACAACAATTTCCGTCGATTCTGACTCAGAAGCTCTCGATCCCGAAGGTACGCGCGCCGGTTCTTTGTGCCGCTTTCGGAAGCTGACGCTACCTTAGGTGCCATGACAACCACCCTCGGGTGCGCTCCTACTTGTATTTGTGGCTACGGGCAAATCAGAACTGGGATCGACATTCGGACTGAGTCCACTTCGGTCACGAATTGAATGCACAAGAAGTTATTTTTCAAGGCGGAGCTTGAAGCGAGGTGGTCTACGTTTGCTCCTCTACAAACTCATCTCAAACCTTGACAGTTCGACAAGCACGTCTTTGTACGACCAAGCTTTAGCACTTGTTCTTCTCTCCTCAGTCTCGACGGACGCTCCTTTACGATCTTCTCGTCCTTCATACACTCTTGCCTGTCTCTTTGGAAGCATCACCCAACACGCTCCACATGATCTCCTCTGAGGGGGATCGTGCACGCAATTCGTAGTGGGTAGACATTCGCGCGCACGCCGCTCTACCTTCTTCAACCTCCTTCCAGACCCTCTCCGCCTTGCTAGGTGAAGCGTAGCGCACCATGGCAGCTCGTTATGAGAGCAGCCCTCACGGAACACAACAGCCACCAATTACATTGCAACCTTCCCAGGCGAGTTTCGGCGCGGGAAGCCGTGGGCATCGCTCAAGGATGCCTTCGCGCGAAGGGTTTAGCTTGCCTGCCCGCCCTTCCTCTCCTGTCACTCGTCGTAGGCCCGAGTCCCTCGACGACCGCAATCAGCACCGGAATCCTCCGACCTATAGACACTCCCCAAAGTCGCCACCAAAGAGGACGTCTTCGGTGCCTCACACCTTTGTGACTCCACCTTCGGCCGACAATCCGTACCCTCGAACAGAGGCAGCGACCAGGACGCGCAGCACTCCGCACTGCCGCACGGCTCTGTCCAGCGCAATGTCGAGATGCCGATCCAGCCCCGGCCAGGAGACGAGTGTGCAAGCTTTGGCTGCTCTGGCGACATCGGCCGATATGTCTCGCCTCGCGGATCTCTGTTCTCCACGCTCCCCACGCCTTCGTCCAGCATCCCTCAACGCCAGCAGCGCTGGCCAATTGGGTGCACCGCTAAGCCCTGAGCGCAACAGACCTCACGTGAAGCACGTGCCAATCGCTTCGGGAGCGGTGATTCCGACCCCTTCTGCACCCGAATCGCCAGAGAGCGACAGGACAAGATTCCCTTGGAATATCCGCCTGTGGAATGCGAGTCTCCCGGCACTCGACCCTGCATTGCTACCTGACTCTCCCCCCAAACGTAAGCCAGAAACTCCAGAGTTCTCAGGTGGAATCGAAGACTTGAAGCCCCGGGTGAAAAGTAAATCGCCACCTGCCCGCCGTCAACGAGCAGTCAGCGAGTGTGTCAGCTTAGGCTTGGGCCCCGCTTTCGAAGATGATCCGTCTGAGCTGGCAACGAAGCGACAGTCACTGGGTGCTGTTCAAGGCACGCCACCTTTCGATGCGCCTCGCGGTCCAAGACGCCGTAGCCCATCCGGTACATTTCGAAGGAGGGTTGGATCCGGCTTTCCTAGCCTTCCAAAGGCTGATGGAGAAAGCCGTGGCGGTCAGAACAGTCCCCGCACACCCCCACTGTCTACGCTACCGAACAACTTTCGTCCATCCGGTCTCGGGCTTGCTATCGCAGGCATCACCCCTGCCTACAGGCTTCAACGTGAGTTCAAACCCTCTTGTTGCCACGCTTCACAAAGACTGATCTCTCCATCACCTTGCAACATTCTCAGAGCTCCCCAGCCTGACTGACTCGCCGCTCTCTAGCACTAGCTCGGTCCCTAGCATCGTCATCACGCCTCCCGCGGCTTTGACGATTCACTCTCCTTCGCAGCTGTGCTCACCTCTTGGCAAAGCCACGTTGCACTCACACGAAGACGATCACAACTCTTCTCCCTGGTTCCAGACCGCGCTTGATTTAGGGGCGCACACGCACGCCGAGCCAGACAGCTCTGCAAAGCTGTTTAAAAGTAGCTCAGGAGAACTGGTACCGTCAATTAGCGAGCCGCGTTCGACTTCTTCGTCGGCGGCCGATGTGCATCCGAAGCTTCAATTGGAACTCTCAGCAGAAGCCCGGCAGACTCGGCACTTGCAAGATGAGACGGCGTTCTCCGCCTTCGCCTCACGCATCGATGAGCGGCTGTCTGCCTTTTTCGAATACAGAGAGGGAGCAGATGTGGCGCAAATAGTGCGACGGGCCCGAATCTGGATGCTGGACGCCGTAGGAATGGACTTGTCCAACACAATGCCCCACATGCGTCTGCCAAGCATTTGTCTCATGCCGAGCCTGATGCGCATCAGGTGGATCGACTGCGGTGATCGAAAGGAGTGGGTGCCTGCCGAAGTGGCGGTGGCATGGTACGATGCTGCGTGCAACCGCGTGATGGAGCACTTCGTGTCCGGCATGTTTGCAATGCTCAACGAGTGAGTTCTGATCGAGCCGCGTGCCGAGGACTATGCACTGAATATAGACCGCGTTCAAACTTCCATTGCCGCTTTGCAGTTCTCGAGCACCCAGAGACTTGGCCGCTGGTCTAGCTCTAATGATCAGCTTGCTTCGCGTCGATATGGTGGCCCCTGATCCAGCCACAGACACGGAGGCTGAGGAGACGGATGCAGCGCCTGGAACAAACCCGTCGTCAGACATTCTCGCACCTTTTGGCCTAGCCCCTAGTCCAGTACTTTTGTCGGATTGCTTTGCCCCTCCCTCTGTTCATCCCGATGCCGCGTGCCGGTCTACAGAAGGTAATAGCTTGGGACTTTGGGGACACGCGATGCTCGAGAGCAGCCCACGCGCGTCTCCGATCAGCATTGCGTATCTGCATCCTGGCCAGGCCTTGATGACCACGGTACAGACGACGATCGAGGCGATTCTTGAACGCGGGGTAGCGGTCCGCGAAAAAGCTTGCATGCTCAGCGTTCCTTCCAACCCTCGGCGTAAGACTAGAAAGCAGGTTGCCGCTGCGGCCGCTGCAGCAGCCGCTTCGACGGCGGAAGGAAGCTCTATGGAAGGCGAGCAGGAAGCCAGTGGAAGCACTTCAGGCGACGCAACACTGCACTCGGCGAATGCCGAGCTCAATGATCTGGAGATGGCTACCAAAGGCGAAATCACGGCTGATGAGCTGCGAAGAAGGGAGCTCACTCGCGCCATCGTCGGCTCCAGCAAAGATCGTTTCTGCAGCATGCACGTGATGCGCTTTGTTGGAGAGGTGAGTGACAGGCGTCCGTAGGACCTTCCGGCGCGCCGCGAGAGCTGATTCAGCGTTGCTTCACACTCCTTAGCTGTATCAACGTCGAGTACTAGACTTCGAGACCTTTCAGGCATGGCTCGACCGAACGCTATTCCAGACGGTCCACTTGGGCATACCCTCTCGCTTTGAGCTCGAGGCGAGCTGCACATTGCTGGCAACCGCTGGGGCTGCGCTAGAGCAAGCTTCGCGTCTCGCGGGCTGTTGTCAAGTCTCCCAAGGGCCCAAAGCTCAGCCAGTCCCGCAGTGTGGTCTTGGCACCGACGACATGGCGCCTCGTACTCCTCAGCGGCTAGAGTCCATGCCTACATCGTCATCGCTGCCAATCCTTTCTCTTCAATTGAGCAGTCTATCCTCGCCTACAAATGTGACTGCCGCTCGTCGGGTGGACGGTGCACCACCCAGTCACTGGATCAACGAGAGTCCTCAAGCCCTGCGGAAGAGTGTCATGGCCCGCTGGTCTCCCAGAGCCAGCTTTCAGGCCCTCTCTTCCTCTCAGAGCTTGCCATCCTCGCGCGTCACCTCTCCCACAAATGCCTTTGCTCCTCTGTCGCTGGCGCCCGCCATCATGTCCCGACAGGTCTCTCTGCCTGGCAAGGTCCCCGCCTCTGCTCCGCCGACCTCGTTGACATTTGAAACGTGCTGCAACGCCATTGAGCACATTACTCTCAAAGCGGCGATGGCCAGAATCAGTGAGCTATCCTCGATACCAGAATTTGGTACTCAGAGCAGAGGCATCTGTGAAGTGAGTAGTCGCACTGAGGTTAGCAAGTCCTCGAGACGCATCACGTGTGCTGACCATTGCCTCTGGCTCCCTGCAGTGGCTACTCTTCACTCGCGCCAATGATTGGTCTGTGCCAAGTGGCCCCCCGGCAGCCCATACGCTGCTGGGTCCGCCCGGTCTCACTCCACCACCACGTCGATCCTCGTCGTCCAGGGGATCTGCAGCACGCGCGCACGCTCTGCCAGCATCCGACTGATGCTTGCCACATGACACACGCAAGGCACATCTTCCATTCAACCTGCCGCACAACCACTTCTTTGATCCAACAGCACCAGCAATCAATGCCATTCGACCTCCACAGCTCCACCTGCATCGTCAGCAGCTTTCTTCCATGAGCACAACACCGCATATCATATAGCGACACACCTTGTAGCACTAGCAGCGCAATGGACTCCTATCATCTTAGACACGCTCGCTACCGTGATACTCTCGAGCAGCAAGAGCAATGAATGATGCGGCAACAAGTCGGCAGAGGTATGCGATGTGCATGAACATTCGATGTGCTTCCCAGAGTCAATCGTGAATGAGCGGTCTAGCTTTATCGATACAGCACAACGTTTGTGTCGGAGATACCGCGTGATAAGTCCGAGGCAGCCGGCGGCGCAGAAGTGCGAGTCGCCTACTGACGCCTGACTGCCACCTCATCGGTCTGCGCTCTGCTTCGTGTTTCATTCGAACGCATCGACATCTCCAAGCACATCCACGACTCCAGATGGACAGTGACCGTGAATCGCGAGCAACTTTCTCATGTCGCTCTCAAGATCCACTCTGAGCGGTCTGAGATCATACATTCTAGCCACACGTACGCATATATTCAAAGGCTCGCAGGCTGCGCCTCTTGCATCGTGTCCAAGACTGCCACACGCGGCATCAGCATTCACATTGCAAGGCATCCGTCGCGATCTGTCCACTAATAGGTCGATCATGGCCTCTAGCACCATCCCCGAGCGTATGCGGGCTATCCGGGTGCCCGAGACCGGCGAGATCGATGTGATCAGCGCGCAAGACATTGCGGTGCCCGAACCAGGAGCCGACGAAGTTCTAATCAAGGTATCCTGGGCAGGCGTGAACTACATCGACACGTACCAACGTTCCGGTCTATACACGCTTCCTTTGCCCTTCACTGCTGGAATGGAGGCTGCTGGCAAAGTAGTGAAAGTCGGAAAGGATGCGGACGATTCGAGCTTGAAAGTGGGAGATGCTGTGGCTGCTTATGCGCTCGGTGCTTACGCAGAGTACATGACCGTCAAGAGGGAAAAGGTGGTCAAGCTGCCTGATGGTGTGTCGGAGAAGGACGGTGCTACTGCGATACTGCAGGGATTGACCGGTGAGCAGGGATGAAACAGTCTTGCACACTGTTCAAGGAATACGAGGCATCAGTACGCTTTGCACTCGATACTGACTCCATTTGCTACGCTCGCACCTGATTTTCACACTTCTTCCAGCTTGGACGCTGCTGCACGAAGCGTACCAAGTCAAGAAAGGCGATACGATCCTGATTCATGCCGCTGCAGGAGGCGTAGGTCTGCTGTTGTGCCAAGTGAGTCCAACTCGGCGCAAATGCTGCTATCCATTTCCCACCTCATTGAGACTCGCTGCTCGACACGCGCGTAGATGGCATCGTACCTCGGCGCCACAGTGATCGGAACAGTGTCCACAGAGGAAAAAGCGGCTCTCGCCAAGTCCAACGGAGCGTCGCACGTCATCAATTCAAAGTCGGGTGGTGCAGCTGTGGTGGATGAAGTGCTGAAGCTGACCAAGGGTGAGGGTGTGCAAGGCATATACGACGGTGTGGGCAAGGATACTTGGGAGGATGATTTCAAGATGATAGCGAGGAAGGGGACCATCGTATCCTTTGGCAATGCATCAGGCGCAGTACCTCCGTTTCCTGTCCTCAAATTGGCAGCAAAGAATACCAAAGTCGTTCGACCTACGCTCAACAACTCCATCCATACCAGACAAGAGCTGGAGACCTACTCGGCCCAATTGTTCGACCTGCTCGCCAAGAACCTGGTCAAGCTCAGGGTCCACAAGGAGTACCCGTTCTCTGCCGAGGGCGTTCAGCAGACACAGAAGGATATCACCAGTCGCGCAACCACCGGCAAGTTGTTGATCAAGGTGCAACATTGATGACCTGAAATCGATCCACGCACGACGAATGGATCCTCGAGTCTAGTTCATAGCTTGGATACGCCTTGTTCCTGTCTCTGGAACTCGGATCATTTGCTCGATCTCATCTCAAATCTGCAATGAGCAAGAACTTCGAATCGATTTGGAGGTTGTGTGTTCTGATGTCAGAAGCACACGGCTTGATTGAATCGCAAAGCTATGATGCATAGCGTCATGTCGTTGTACAGCAGGAGAGAGAATGATGTGCGTTTGTGACCCCAGTAGATTGGAAAGTGTGGCCTCCAAAGCTCCTCTACTTTTGGTAGCTGTAGACGTTGCGCAGGACTTCGTGCAGAAGGTTAGGGCAGCATACAGTGTCAGTGGCCTACATTGCAACAGCATTAGACTTGGCGATGCGTGTGCCTGGACGCCCTTGGTCGAGTGCAACGGTCCTTGCGAGCGCATACATGTGAAACCAGACTGACGCTCGTGCAGCTCATTGCAACCCGCTCCCGGCACGCCCGGCCAAAGCGCGCCAGAAAGGCAGCAGCAACAGCCAAGAGCGTGTCGGTATACCAGCAGATGGAGCCGACGAGCTCTTTTTCTGGTCCAAACATCCTTCTTCGCTCCACTTTGCGAGTGATCAACAAGTTGATCGGAATCCTGTGCCCGCTGTGGATCGCAGCTGGGGCACAGACTGTCTGGGAGCGTTTTCTAACTTTGAGAGTACTGTGACTGTTGAACCCTCTTCACCAGCGACAAGCATCATCGAGTGCAGCTTTGCGTCGAGAGCAGCTCTTTCTCTGATCACAGGTCCTCGCCCAGAGCGTCGAAGTGGCGCTCTAACCACATTGCGCCACAACAGTCCTCCCGGACTCTGCCCGTCATGAAATCACCACTGCTGTGACACTCACGTCCTTCCTGAGTAGCCAGTCGGTTCAAAGAGTCGTCGCTCTCTCCGGATCGGCGAACGTAGCCAGAGAGGGGAAAGTTGGTAAAGCTTCCGGGAATGAGACGACCGTTCTCGTCAACATCTCCCACCGCGATTTGAACAGAGGCGTGATCCTTGGCCTCGATGAGCCTGCCAGTCGCAGCGCACTTGCGTGGCACGTAAAGATCGACGAGATCTCCCTGTGAAGTGGAGAAAGCGCGCGACAGCGCGTCAGCAAGGTCAAGAAAAGATGAGCGTGCGCGCAAATTCAATGTGAGCCTCCATCTTTGCAGGCCTCTCCTTCTTCGCTTCCTGCTCTGACCATCCTAATGTCTTGCGACGTAGCACACAAGGATCCGCGTTTGTGCGCATGACCAAGCCTGGCGCGACCTTTTCCCCTTCCTCTTCCCCATCCTCTTCCCCTTCCTCTCCATCTCTGCGCTGGCGCCGTCGAAGGCCGATCAGGCGGGCATGACTACGGCATGAGCTGTGTGTGCCTACCTTTTCGTTCTCCATTTTGACGAGTTGTGAGAATTTGGAGTGGCTTGTTGGACAATAGTGATAGGTAATTTGGTTGAGAGCGTCGATCGGGAACGTCAAAAGCTGCAGTTTCATCCTTCTAGATTCTGGTGCAGCTGCGGGTCCACGTGGCGAACCATGGCGCGCAAACGAGCAAGAACCAGCCAGCGCGCCTCTTCTCAGGGCGCCGCGATGACCGCGCGCGCGGGTCCGCGCAGAGCAGATATGCACTCACGTCCACGTGACACACGTCGAGGACTTCATCGTGGCTGTGTCCTTTTCTGAGCCGGGATGGATCGTGGCCGCATCCAGCCTCCAGACTACCACAGTACGCGATCCACAAAGCACCTGAGGTTCACAGAGGCACCTGTACGTGCATTCGCAACCATACGCGCATGCCTAGTTTGGTCTCACACGAGCACTAGTGAATGAAAGGGGAAGAGCGAAGGACCATCATGACTCTCGAGGGAAAACCCACTGCGAACCGTGCGGCGTCCACTACGCATGCTGCACCTTCCGAGGTAACAGAGCAGGGTGAGCAAGACGCCCGCGATCGGGACTTCCGACTTGTCGGTCGAGTTGTGCTGACTGACTAATCGCTTCTCGCCGACCTCTATACGAACATAGAGCTTCAGTCCAAGCTCTTTAGGCTGGCCATCCTCTTGGCCACTGCGCTCTCTACCATCGACGAAGCGACACCTCCAGCGGCATTACCGTCAGGCTCGAAGCTGCCATCGTCGGAAAGCTTCGTGAGGCTATCCGAGCAGCTGCACAACGATCTGGTGCAGCTATTCAATCTGGCGCAAAAGACGGCGACGAACTTGACCCTCGCACTCAAGCCTAGTAGGAATGCCTTAGCCGCAGCACCCGCTTCGAGCGGGGCTAGCATCAGTCCAATTGGAGGACTTGATGCTGCAAGCCTGACTGCAGCTTCTGCTCAGCTCGACACGTTCTCGTCGGAGGTGTTACCCAAACTCGCCTTCTTGGCACGCAAAGCTGCGGGTGAAGCTCACATCTTTGTGCGTGCCGCACCTAGAGAGCTCTCGCAGGGAGAGAAAGATGAAAGGACACGATTGGAGAAGGAAGTGACTGCCATGGGGGGCAGAATTGTGGATCCATTCGAAGCTACACCGCCAGCAAAGGTGCCAGGCCTTGGACTGGGACTCAATCTCACAAAGGCGATTCGACATCACGTGAGAGACGTGATGGAGAGTGTAGCAGGCCTCTGCACTTCATTGATGGATGCCAACACCCTAAAAGTCGTCCACCAAGCCGCAGCTGCCCGGGCACGAGCCGACGGTGTGCGAAACGGACCAAATGCTACTCAGTCACCGCCACTCAGCGCGATGGAGGGTCGAAAGAAGGCGCTGGAAGCAACCGCAAAAGTGTGGGCTGCATGCGACCAAGCGACGAAGGAGCTGCCAACATCCAATAGGGAAGTAGTACTGAAGAAATGGAAGGAGAGGGAGGAAGTAATGGAGGATGGGTGGAACGAGCTAAGGGAAGGGGCAGGTGTGGACGATGCACAGGCTGAGCGAGATCGAGAAAGCGCCGCAATGCGGCAGCCAGGCCGCGATCACACCACAAGTTCCAGCAGGACGAATGCTGTCGATCTGCCACTGGATGAGTCGGATCCATTCGCCGCGCTGCAGAACTTGAAGCTAGACGATGACGAAGCAGCAAAAGCGGCGCGCTTCGTTCCTCTCATCAAGCTGGGGCGCTTCCTGCATGGAACGCTGGGTCGTCTACTCAAATCTGCCCTCTCGAGGCAACAGGATCAAAGTGTTCTCGACTATGATGAGCTCCACCTTCTCGGAGAGCGAATGTTGGAAGCGCAGGACGATCTGGTGGCTGCACTGTTGTATGGCGAGCAAGAGCTGGGCAACGGGCTCGATTTAGAGGAAGGAGATGAACAAGAAGCGGAAGAGGAAGCAATAGAAGACGGCGGGGCTAGCGGCACCGAGGGCGAAAACAGTGACGAGGAGCAAGCGACAACACTTTCAGGTGCGGTCAACATTTACGTCAAGATCGCCCTGCAGCTCGTACATGAGAGCGGTGTCGATGCATTGCTAGAACATGCAGAGTCGGCAGCACTCGCACCGAAGGCTTCCTCGGCTTCGCATCAAACAGCTGTCAAAAACGTGCGGATATGTGTAGAGGAGATGAGCAAGCTTGGAAAGAGTCTGGCTGAGCAGAGCGAAGCGGATGGTTGAAGCCGATGTGGACAATGAAGATGACGCGATCATAGCCCTGCTGCTTGACAGCCTTCAGCCCCAAGCACCACGCTGCATGCCTTGAGTCAAGCATGGCTGTGTCCGACTGATGAGCTTTCCTGATTGTGGATTGGACGCTGTGTGGCCAGGACAGGGATAACCTTAACGATCGCTGCACACACGAAAGATGTGCTTCCGGCGCGTGCGGGCGGTTGTGTCAGTGTCGCGTCACGTGCGAGGTGGGCGCAAGCAGAGTCGTGGGTCACGATCGAGTCACTCAAGACTCTGGCTGACTTCGGGAAGCAACTGACTGGCAGATGTGACTTCTTGCTTCGCTTATTACGCGTGACAGCAACTCATGTAGCTTCAACATTCCCGATTGAAATCGACTCTAACCTCCATCAGTCACACAGGGATCTGTCCTTCTCAGCCTAGCGCTGCTTGACCTCGCCCCATCAGCTTAGTCCACTTCTGCAATCAGTGTCCGCAGCACTTCTCCTATCGCTGGGTGGTGCCATCGCTGAGCGCCTCGACCTGAAACGACCGATCGGCTCTCGACTAAGGGAGAGGTCGCAGACTGTTTCGCAAGCAAATACGACTTTGATCGTCGAGAGCTCTGTCTCTGTTGCCGACGCACAAGTTTCCAAGGATGGCGGTGCCAAGTGTAGATCCGCAGGAAGCTTACGAGCTCATCACGCGGGATCTGGGAGAGGTGATCGGCGCGGACATAATCAAGGGTGTTCTAGAGAAGAAGGAGAGACCACTCAAGGCTTACTGGGGCTCTGCGCCCACTGGCAGACCTCACGTGGGCTATCTCGTGCCTCTGAGTAAGATTGCGGACTTTTTGAGGGCAGGCGTCGAAGTCAAGGTGCTTCTCGCCGGTGAGTAGTGTGCGCAGTTCGTGGCTCACATCACATGAAATGCAGAGGGCCGCTGGCTGAGCTCGATGCCCGTCCCCCGATTTGATGCCTACCTGCCTAGATATGCACGCATTCTTGGACAATCTCAAGGCTCCTATCGAGCTTGTGCGTCATCGTGTGGAGTACTACAGGCACGTCTTGATCGCGGTGTTTAAGGCTATCGGCGTGCCCGTGGAAAGACTTGTCTTCGTCGTAGGCTCCAGCTACCAGCTCACTGCAGAGTACAACATGGACGCGTACAGGCTGGCAGCTTCCACTACCGAACACGATGCGAAAAAGGCGGGCGCTGAAGTTGTCAAGCAGGTCACCTCTCCTCTTTTGTCTGGTCTGCTCTACCCTGGTTTGCAAGCTCTGGACGAGCAGTACCTCGGTGTAGACTTTCAATTCGGTGGTATCGACCAGGTTAGTAACGCGCAATAATGGCCTCAGCGCAGCAGGCATTTTGACACCGTTGTCCATCTTCCCAGCGCAAAATCTTCATGTTCGCAGAGGCTGTCTTGCCTAAGCTTGGCTACGCTAAGCGGGCTCACCTAATGAACACGATGGTGCCGGGCCTCAAAGGATCAAAAATGTCATCATCTGACCCGAGCTCCAAGATTGATCTTCTAGACGAGCCCGTGGTGGTCAAAAAGAAGATCAAGGACGCATATTGTCTTGAAGGCGAGGTTGAAGAGAATGGTGTCCTCGCATTCGCCAAGGCTGTCCTTCTACCCATGGCCAGGTTAAGGTCCGAGAGTGGTCTCTCAAGGCCCAAATGCATACCTGCCGACGCTCCAGAGGGAACCGTCTTCAGCGTCATCAGGGATGAGAAGTACGGAGGCATCAAACACTACAGCAACTACGCCGAACTCGAAGAGTCCTTCGTCAAGAAGGACCTTCACCCAAGCGATCTCAAGAAGGGAGTGTCGGATGCTCTGGTCGAGCTACTGGAGCCCATCCAAGCGGAATTCCGAGACAATGCAGACTTCCAAAAGGCCGAAGCGCTAGCTTACCCCAAAGAGCCAGAAATCACCAAAAAGAAGAAGGAAAAGAAGAGTGAGTAGAGGCAGGCGTGCTGTATGCATCATCGTTTGCAAATATCCTGACACGAATGTTTCTCCTCGACCAGTCAATCCGAGGAACCCAAAGACCGCCCATCTAGTCCCTGTATCAGAAGGTGGTACTGGTCCAGAGGCCGACGGCACGCAGCTGCCGGTGCCTGCCGACAGGCTGCAAGCCCTCGGCCAGAGCACCGAAGGCGACGCTGTGGCCGAGAGATTGGCCCAGCTCTCCGTTGAAGAAGGACCGGGAGCGAACTAGTGTGGGCAGCAAGGTTGATCCCATGGTGTGGTGTTGCTGTCGTGATTTCATAATCAATGTCACGTGGACATGGGGGACAGATGACAATCGATCGAGGTGCCAGAGGTGGGGGCAGCTCTTGGACAGAGAAATCTACTGCATTGCTGCAAAACGCTCCGAAGGATTCGTGAGATGGTGATTCCACTTCAACCCTGAGCCATCTTCCGGATGTTGAGCGGGCGTGACTCGCGGCATGCCGCGCTGCTCCACCACATATGCTACAGCGCAAGTATGCGGAGGCAAACAATGTCATGACGCGACCTCAGGACAGGTTGCTGAATCGCAAAGACAACGACTCACAAGCTGATACCGCGCCATGTTTCAGCGCCTGGCCTAGCGCCATCTTACGGAGCTCAGCGAGGTCCAAATTTGGCTCGTCAATTTGAGCCAATGACCAAGTTAAACCTCCCAGAAAGGCATTTCCTGAGATTGTTGTGAAGGAGAAGTGGCGAGGATGAGTGGGTTGCGCGCGGGGCACAGATCGGCAATCGTGACTGTTCTCACCAGCACCAGTCACATCCACCACTTCGTGCTGCTTGTCCTCGCCATGGTATGGAGCGCACCACACACTCTCTTCACAGCCTTGATTCAGACCCACACTCCCGTGCTTCCCAGCCCGAATGACCAGTAGAGGGGCATGACTGCCAGATGCTGCACAGAGTTGCAACAAATCATGCCCATCTCTCTCTACTTGCAACTTGAATTCGCCAAGAGTCAGAGAAGGATCATCGAGATCAGCGATGTAGCCCGGTGTGCTTCGTTGCCTCGATGTGTTGAGAAAGTTGTGAGCCTCGACGTGATTTGGGCTTGCGTTCATCGCGACACGAAGCGTGAAGACGCTACTTAGCAAGTACTCTCCTGAGATGCTATTCAGAACGCAGCGCTTACCTCAGCACGTCGACCATACCAGCAGCGTCGAGCAATCCGTCGAGGTTCTCTGGTCTAGCTGAGTCCGGAATGGGCTCCCACACAATGCGAGGAGCGTGTGCTTGTCCTTGCTGCCTGCTGAGTAGGCGCGCTTCCTGAACGATGGCAACGATCCGATCGGGAGAGCAAATGGCGTGGATCCAACGAGGTAAGCAATGGCCAGGGGCTGCCACGCTCAAATCTTGAGGATCAAGTCGCCTTTTCGGAGTCAAATACTCGAATCTGCAGACCAAAGAGGCATCTGCAATTGCTTAGCTTTCGTTTGGATCGGCACACGAGCGATTTCCTTACTGACCCTCGCTTCTCTCCAGTATATATGTTTGCTGCGCGCGTGGTTCCTTCCGGTCTATCCCTCCACACCCACATGCTCTGAGGCGATTGCGAAGATCCTTCGCCATCATCGAAAGAGCGCAACTTGTTCCTCATCTTTGGTGTGAAGTTGGGTCCCACGTCGAGGATACTCAATATCTCTTGCGGACGAGACCTGTTGCGCCAGCATCGAGAGTCATATCAGCCAGCCAAGTGATTCAATTCCATGCAAGCAGCACTGACCATACACGAGCTCCAATGACAAAGTAGACTCCTCCTCCGCCGATTTGCTCGTCGTCATCGTCGTCAGCTCCTTCGAAGCTCGACTGCGAATCATCGTCGCTCGGACCTTTGATACCTCTTTTCCTCAGGTGCTCAGCTTTCGAAATTCGACTTCCAGTCGTGGAGTCAAGATAGATGAATTCGTCGATGATCAGCATACCAAGCGTGGCTATATGGGCAGGTCCAAGGTGCTTCGCCCTCGGTCGCGCGAGAAGCGAGGTGGCCGTTGCGCTAGTCAAGGGCTCAAATGAGCCGGACCGCTCCGCCGGGCCCTGTTCGTGCAAGACTTGTGCGGGTGTCATGGTCCTTCCGTTGGAGCTTGAGGAAGCTTGCTGCGTCGTCTCAGGCTGGCGAACTGGTCGGGGCGCGAAGCTCATAGGCACCTCGGATGGCGCCAAGGAGGTATTCTGACCATGGGAACTGCAGGTTGAATCACGAATGATGTAGGTAGTCGTGAGTGGAGGTTAATCAACACGCCCGTCATGCAACGGAGCTCACAGAAAGCGCTCCGCACCGCCGATGATTCGCGACGCGTCGCCTGACCGCACGAGCACCACGACTCGCGACTCTGCTGTCGAATAATAATGTGCACAAGCCGCGTCCAGTCGTCAGGCAAGAGTATGGGCGGCAGCTGCGCGGGGCACGAAAGGTCGACTTGGTCCATCACGAGGTGCTGGGCCATACGAGGCGGGAGAGTGACTTCGAAGAACTTTGAAACCTCCGATTGGCAGCTTATAGCTGTGCGCCAGGCTTGTCTGGACAATCGAGTCCAATCGAGCCCTGCATGATAGAGATCAGGTGTCGGAGAGCCATTGCATAGATTGACAGAGAGATGAGCTATGATCTGGGAGGATAGCCGATGAAGAGCCTGAAACAGCCTCAAATTGAGTATGATAGCCTGACAGATCGTAATATGTGTATGTGGCTTTTTGGAGTGGAGTGTTGGTTGGGGAGGAGTGAGAGCGATAGTCCCGTTCCCAAATTGCTGCTTGGCAGCGCCGCGGGGGTTGGACAAGGTCACGAGAGAGAATCGAGAGAGGCCAAGAATTTCCAACACGATGCGCCAATGACTATAGACAAAGCGGAAGCGAGCAGTGAATCCCTGCTTTGCTCTAATCGAAGGTGGTCTTCTTGCCAGAGAACTCCGAGCCGCCAACTGGCCTGCTGCCGAATCCTCCACGTCCACCTCCCCGGCCGCCTCCGCGACCACCCCGGTCACCCCAGCCAGAGCCTCCACCGCCTTGAAAGCCTCTGCCACCACCGCGCCCGCCTCGTCCACCACCTCGTCCTGGACATGGAGTAGAAGAGAGTGCAAATGCAGGTCAGGAAATAGTTGCCAAATTGACGAAATACGGCCATAGCGCAGCACAGCGCACTCACCACCGCGGTCACCGCCAAAGCCTCCTCTTCCACCTCCTCGTCCGCCGCCGAAGCCGCCTCGACCACCGCCACCTCCTCCGCCTTCACCACGAGGAGGCGCATAGTCTAGCCTGATGGCACGGCCGCCAAGCTCGGCACCAGCAAGTGCCTCGATGGCAGCATCTGCGCCTTCCTGAGAAGCGTACTCGACATAGCCGAATCCCTTGGGCCGACCAGATTCAATGTCCTTGGGCAAGGTGACACGCGATACTTCGCCATGCTCTCCAAATGCTTCCCAGACCTCGTCCTCCGTGAGCGAGAAGGACAAGCCGCCGACGAATAAAACGGGCGAGGGTGCAGACCTGGTGTCGTTGAACTTTTTGGCGCGCGCATCGCCCACTTCTCTCGGTGCTCTGGCGGCTTGCAAGTCGACTTTGATGGCGCGACCATCCACGTCCTTGCCTTGCGCGCCCTCAAATGCGGCCTTCGCCTGCGCTGCAGTCGCAAATTCGACGAAGCCAAAACTGGATTTGCCAAATGCGCAGGTGACAAGGGCAGGGGACCCATCAGCAAAAGTGCAGCGGCGCATGTATGTCAGAGGAGATCGACACGTACCCGCGAGATTTGCCGCTTTCTTTGTCAGTGACAACCCTTGCGCTGAGAACCTCGCCGAACTCCTCAAACTCCTGCTTGAGCCAGTCATTGTCGACGTTCCAACTCAATTGGCCGACCCAGCACTGCTTGGGAGCATCAGGGTTGTCTGCATCAGGCTGAACCTTAGCCTTCTTCGCGACTACTTCATCGCCTTCTGCCTTGCGCTTGTTGCTTGCCTTCTCTACCACTGCTGCAGCGGGCGCGGACTTTGTTTCCTCCTCATCAGAGTCGTCCGAATCGTCCGAATCGTCAGAGTCATCCGAGTCGTCCGAGTCGTCCGAGTCGTCCGAGTCGTCCGAGTCGTCCGAGTCCTCTTCGTCAGCCGCAGCCGCAGTCTTGCCGTTTGTGGCAGCAGCAGGCTTGGCAACATCCTCTTCGTCAGAATCAGAGTCAGAGTCAGAGTCAGAGTCGTCGGAATCGTCGGAGTCATCTGAATCGTCGGAGTCGGCAGCTGCAGCCTTGACACCGTTTGCGGCAGGCTTTACAACATCTGCCTTGGAGGGTTCCTGGCACACGAGAGAGCGGCATTAAGTGTCAGATGAAAGTATTGTGCACAACAGCAAGTCTAAGGTTCATTGGATGCTCACCTCTTCGCTGCTACTGTCGTCGCTGTCACTGTCGCCATCGCTGTCATCGTCGCTCGAGTCATCGTCGCTGCTGTCGCTACTCTCTACTACAGGAGGAGGAGGCGGAGCAGCCTTCTTCGACTTCTTGCTGGACTTTTTCTCTTCTGCGGGTGCGGGAGCAGCTACGGCAGCTTTCTTGTCCTTCTTGCTGCTCTTGCCGTTGGCCACGGGAGCAGGCGCAGGAGCTGCTGGTGCCTCTGACTTGCTGGAACTTTTCTTTCCCATTGTGAACGTCGTGCTTTGATATGTTTTGGGATGAAGCAATCGCTGTGAAAGATTCGCGGCATCAAGGTGGTCAGAGAGTAGAAGTGGGTCCTGAACTCACGACTCTTCTCCATGTAGACATGGCACGCGCATGCTGCCGAGGCTTCATCCATCCACCGCGTATCTGCGTCTACTCAGATTCTGATCATTTTTGCTCGACGCGGGTGCGGCGGGGAGGATTTTGCATGCATGCAGAAGAGAAGTCATCGAAATTTTTGGTACCGCGCTCTTCTATCGCGCGAGAGGGCGGCAGGGCGCTGCCTATGCATCGGACGGGGAATGGAGCACGTGATAATCAAGAGCTGCTCCCAGCTTTCTTGCGACGCGAGAGCCGAGCCTGCTGGGTACAAGCTAGCGCGCGTTGCGTTCAACGGACTTCGCGATGGAGGCCCGCATAACGGCACCTGCGCATGCAACGCTCCTCATGTTTGCTACAACCGCAAAAGCTGGTGGTGTCCCTTGTTGCTTTGCCTACCTTTGATCCAGCCTCAGTCATCTGTGTGATGCTGAAGCGCCCAGAATGGACGAGGGCCGCCTCTCCATCGGAGCAGGAAGGTGTTCACTGTCGGCGCATCTCAACGCCCAGCTTTGGTGCACGTTGCGTGCAACTCGAGCACGTCATGCAAGACGACCGTTGTCTTGGGCTGACGGCATTCACTCGCCTGACCTCCTTGGCAGTAATTCTGCTACAGCTGGCCGACTCTTTCGCCATAGAAATTGGCAGCGACGTCTTCGTACAGGAACCATCGCAAGTCGGTGTTGCATTTCGGTGGGCCGTTGAGGACCGCGGATGACCGGCATGCACCTCGATGCCGACGTCGAGAGGCGGTGCTCTCGATGGGTTGAGGGACGATACGAGCAGCATGGAGCGCAGCGGGAGATTGTGATCCCTTTCACTGACATGTCCTCCTGTCGTATGGATAAGGATTTGGTAGGTCTCTTTCCCACCCCCATCCCATTATCCCACTTCAGCGTCCCTCACTATGCTCTTATAGACACTCACTCACTTCCATCCATCCTTAGCCGCCCTTCTCGCCCCGTTCATCGTCCAAGCCTCAGTCTCTCGTCAACAGCGCTGCCACATCAGAGATCTCGGCCAGTGCGCGCTTGAACGATGGCCTCAATTGAGGTGGCTCCTTCACCCGCGAAAACCCCACATCGACTCAGGGCCCTACCCAACTTCAAAGCGATGCAGATGCCGGTGGCCGAACGCTTTCGCCTGCATGCTCCCCATTCACGCGAAGTGGAAGCTGATCCTGCGAAGGCGCCGCTTCCGGAAGCGAATAATGAAGTTGAGCCCCGGTCAGGGCCAACATCGGCGCCGGTCAGCGAGCCTCTTCCTCGCCTTTCAAGCCTTGCAGCCAATCACCACACCATCAGTATCCCAAAGGCAGCGCTGATCCCCGTGTCTGCCACCGGCTCCCAGAAGCATCACTCGCGCCACGCGACTAATCATGTACTTTTAACCAGGTCCTCGCTCCACGTGGGACCAAATTTTCCTGCTCACAACGCAGAAGCGCAAGCGAATGGCGCATTCGAAGACGATGAGGTGAAAGGCCAGTTCGAAGACGCCGTCGAAGGCCAGGAGAATTGGCCGCGGTCTACAAGCTGTAAGTCAGAGAGCCACGGTCGTCTTGCTTCGCGCGTTTGCGCTTGCGCTTACGCTGCCGCTCATCTTTGAAACGTGGCCCACAGCACCGGAAGGCGTTCCAGAAGTATCGGATACCCCGAGGCCTCGCGAGGAAAGAGACAGCTTGGATCTGCAGCTTCGGAGCGCCTCAATCGCTTTACAGGAGCTTCGTGACAGCGTGGCTGAACGCCCGAAGCGCCATTCCACTTCTGTTACATCAGTGCGAACACCGCCGTCCTTACCCGTTCAAGCTTTAAGACGATTCAGTGACGTGACCGTCGCCTCTTCTCCATCGCTGCTGTATGCTGATACACCAACATTTGCTCATTGGAAAGCGGCTTTTAGAGCTCGTCGCGAGTCCTTGGCTGCTGCAGCAATAGAGCCAATGTCTCCCGATTCAGAGCTGCCAGAGAGTACCACTGCTGCTCGCTCAAAGCAAGTCACGCCCGCCACCGAAGAGGCCGGGAGCCATGTTCTGACAGAACGCCCGGCTCAAGCCGCTCTGAATGCCCCGGCCTCAGCACACCATGGCGTCGGCACGTCCACCCATCACCCTCACAGGCGTACGGTGATGCTGGACGCCGCCGATCACGAGGAGGAGTTAGACGGTTCGGAAGGCACCTCAGCTGGCAAAATCGGCCTTGTCACCACACAAAGCCCCATATTGCGAGGTCGACGACTCGTCCGCAAATCCCCGACGGCGTCCAAGGCAGTCTTGTCGCCCCCCTCTGATTTGCTCAAGACGAGCATTCTCCGAAGAGCTGCTGGGCAAGCAGCTCAGTCTCCCAACAGTGCCGGGTTCGGCTTGGGTATTTTTGTGGACGAGACGCGAGCAGCAACTCATGGCATGGGCGATCAAGACTCTGGATTGTCGGCACGCGCGGTCGACGCTGAAGCGGGTCTTCCTCGTTTCAACAACGAAGAGGCACACGCATTAGACAAGAGGAGCCCTGTCATAGTCCAATCCCACGCGCCACACGCCCGAAGCGCCGAAATTAGAGGGAGCGAAACAACGCTGACCAACAACATGGACTATGTGAATGCATCTGACCGCACTGTCGACGCGAATATCCCAACCCATAGCTCGAGGACGTCCTCCCCGGACACGATGATGCACACAGGCGCACGGGGTCGTGCCACTCCTCTGGGTGGTGGCAGCATGGTAAAGGTCGTGTCATCTCACCAAAGATCGGAGCAGAGGAGCCCGCGGATGAACATCGCTGCGCGTCATTGGAATGTGACTTCGTCTGCGGCCGCAGGCACAAGTGCAGCCAACGGAGCACAAAGTAAGAGGAAGTCAGTCGACTGCCCTGAGACCAAAAGCCCTGCACTCAAGAGCTGGACGTCATCGTTGGCAAAAAGTGCGGCAACCCCGCCTTGGTCCTCTCCGCAGCCCACCGGAGCGAACAGCGCATCCAGCACTCCTGCGATATCTCAAACGCCTGCCTTTACCAGCGCACCTGCATCGCCCATGCCGCAAAATGCTGAACAGTCATCAAGCATGGCTGCGGAAACTACTGCACCGGCTTCAGGTGCACCCTTCAATCCTCCGCCTGCCGAGCAGGCCAACGACGGGGACCGAGGAACGAATTCTGGCGCTCCAATGAACATGCAGGCTGTCGTCGCCGCGAGCACGACTGGCGCAATCCTGCTCATCCTTGCTTGCCTCTGGGCTTTCTTTGCACGCAAACGCCGCACTCGTAGGCAACGGCACCTGTCAGTGGTCCTCAGGAAGTTTGTGACGAGCTCAGGTGCAGACGAGCACGGCGCAGTGTTCCTCGGAGACCAAAAGGCGGGACTTAATCACTCCAGCTCCACGCTAGGATCTGTGGAGAAGCCGGCTTCGTTCGACCGCGGCGAGCGTCAGGGCTGTCAGGAATCTCCCGTTAAGAACTCGCAGGCGATCGACAGCGTGGCTTACTTCAGCCAACAGCGTCCAAGCATCGCGGAGCTCCACCCAACCATCATCAGTCCATGGTTGCAGACAGGCGAAGAATCGCTTGTCACTCAAAGATTGTCCGCCGACCTTGCGAGATCTGGTCTGGTGAGTGCAAGTCCTAGCAAGGATGCGAGCTTCACCTGGCAGCACCCCACCCTCTCATTGCCGCCTGCGGCCGCTCGCGCCATGGTGACGAGCCACTACGTCAAGCGTCGCTCGGCTATGCCTGAAAAACTTCAAGGCGATGCTACGCCATCGTCAGACAACACAGCTTCCGGCGTGAACGTAGCGGCTGGCCAGTGGCGCAGTGACGCGCAGGGCCAGCTCGTGTACACCGTCACGAATCCAGATGATACTCTCGTAAGTGAGGCTTATGCTTCCTCGGCATACGTCGACCCCAGTCTGGCAGGGAGCAGCCCTGCTCGGATCAGCAGACAAATATCTGCAGAGAGTCAGGTCACAGCCTTGGTTGGTGCTATGCGACCACGTTCTGAATCCATGAGCGGTTCGGGCTCCCGATCTGGATCTGAGCGTGTGCCCTGGATTGGTGCCTTGCTTCGCGGGCTGCCCCGCAACAGCACGTCCACGCCACCCCGCGCTCGCTTTAGCCTACCCGTGCGCCCCGCACCCAACAGTCTTTCAAGCCTGTCTTCACCCGCAACCCACGCAATGTCAACCGCTTCTACACGCGACAACGCCTTGTTCAACAGCGAGCACACCAGCGGCAGCGAGACTGGCGACGTCCGATTCGTGAGCGAAGTATACGATGCTCCGTCAGTAGCTGCCGCCATGCTTTATGAGAGCCCAACAACAGCGCGAAATGTTGTGAGCAGCGCTGCTCGCGCTAGCGGCGTCCTCATGAAAGGACGTACACGCTCCAGCACCATCTCACACAACAAGGGAGCTGCGCCTTCACTTCTGGCACAAGATATGTCTCCGGTTCAAAACGTGGGCTCCACGCGCACATCTCTCGTCCAGCTGCCCAACCCTAACCACGCAGCTAGCTTTGAGCTGCCTCGACCCAACAAGTTTACTTCGCCTATGGTCGTCATTTCGCGACCAGGCTCGGAGATCAGGACCAACGGTAAACGCATGTCGCTGTGGCGCACGAGCTTGTCTACGTGTCGAGAAAACAGCGTGGACAGTCTTTCGGATGCTGCGGAGGGTACAAGCCAGGCGTCGCGCTCCCCCTTGCCCAGTCCCATCTCAACGACACACACAGGCGGAACGTTTGGCGCAGCGTGGGCAGCTGCTCTGCCACCCCAAAGCGACTTCGACTCCAGCGAGGATGACTTGCGTCAGGGCTACGAGGCTGGTGAGGAGACAGATGGAGATGCTGTGTCCTCTGCTCGCTTCAGCGCCCGCTACCTTAGCCAAGGGTCCAGAGCACGGAGTGAAATGACCTATGGCGGTAGCAACAGCGGAGAGTCATCTGCCTCTAGCATGCCAGCTACACCTACGAAGCTCATCATTGATGATCAGCTGCCTTCGCTGGCACATATCAATAAGAGCATCCCTTCACCGAACGGCGTGCACAAGCGCGCTCCACGTCTTCCGCCGATGCCACTCATCACGCTCACTCTTGATGATGGCCTTGTTCAGCGACCTATCTCTTTAACCAGCGACTCGAGCTCCGACGTCGAACATGATCAATTCGCGGTCGACAGAGCAGAAGTCCTTGCGGAGGCTGTAGCGGCGTCTTTCTGTCGCGACGAAATCGATCAATTTACCCGCGAACCGGGCTTCCCGCGCGTCGACTCCGCAAGTCTCAATAGGCCCCCTTCCGCCGTGACGCAGACGCGTCTAGCCCTCCGAACGTTTGGGACGGAAGACAGCCTGACGAGACGCATGCTCGACGGCGAACCACCCGTCCTGCAGAGCGACGATGAGGGTGAAGACGAGCAACGTGCTGGCACAAGCGGATCTGCCCAGAGGGCCGCGTCCTTGCAAAAGCACACCTCGATTCCGACCCATGATTCCAACAAGGCCACTGTGAGACGCTCGCGCGAGCTGTCGGAGGAAGGATATGGATCCGATTCTGCAGAAGGATGCCTCGAGCACGATGATTTCCCCACCTTGTAAGTCGAGATCGACTGTGCAAACGCCCCTGGGCGATCCTGACAGCAATCACTGACCGCATGCACGCTGTGTAGACCTGCCTGGACGCCCATGCGCAGACCTGGGCAGTAAATTCTGCCGATACAGTTTATAACCTCATCAATCTTTTCTAGTATGCAGATTCAGACCTCTACGAACGTCCATCTGCGCACCGCGCATTCCATTAGTTGATGGTTCTTCTACATGTAGCTTGCTTGAGGCTCTTCCCGCCCTGTCAATGCCTCTCTCGATCAACACGTCGCGCGCAGACGTACTGTCCTTCGTTGTAACCCCAGTCCGACCTCGATTCTGCTGAGTCTAATCTCACCTACACACTCGTTTGCTGCTTCCACGCCTCCTTTACACCGAGAAGGTGTTCGCGCGCTCACCCGCGGGCCGCCATGTATCCTGCCCTTGCATATATATCAACTCTCCAGCTCTCTGCGTTATGATGCATTGATTGCACATCACCATCTGTGTGCCAGAGTGAGTAGGCATTGGACTAGAGATACCGTCGAGACGACCAGGGTCAGTGGCCGCTCTAGCTACCGCTTGCTTCGGGAGCTTTGCGATGCGTCATCCATCGACCTCAGCTCTTGCGCACAACGCCTCCTCGTCGGAGCTGTGCCGATTTACGGGCGCGATGACAATGCCTATCGCTGCAGCTTGTCCAGGAGTAAGCCAACTCGTGCTCCGAGGTTTGGTTGCCCTTTCCTGTTGACTTTACCGCCCAAGCTTGATCTCCTCTTCCTGTCCTGCAGTGCTTCTTCCCTGCTCGATCCTTTGCTCCTCGCCGAGCTCGCATCCGATCGCTGTGACACGCCTCCTTCTTTTTGCTGCTTGCTGTCACTGTCTCCTTCGGGATCTGCGCGTCGAACTGTACTACCGTTGTCCTGTGTAACAGCGTCCCGCGGAGGCTTGGCCTGCTTCAACCGAATTTCCGGCTGTTTCTCTGCTTGCTCGATCAGTCGCTTCGTGTCCTCGTCTTCAGGAGCGAAGCGACCTAGACTTGCAGCAGAGGGCCCTGCTAACGATTGTGACTCGCCATCCACCTTGCGCTCTTGCTCGCGACGAGTCGTGTCTCGTCCGCCGTGTCGCGCATAGTAAGCAGCCTTGACCTTGGCATTCTCTATCAGCTGCGCTTTTCGTTTCTTGGCTGCACAAGCGGCCAAATAGCGGAGGAGCATCACGTGGTAAGCTCACTTGCCATGACTAAAGAAAGTGGAATACAATGGACTGGCTCACCTTTGCCCAGATAGCTGCCGTCTGGAGCATGTGCTGGACCAACTTTGAAACCGCCTCCACGCCCTCCCGTCTTGCCATCTCTGCCAGGTCCTAGCGGTGCGATGTTGGCGCCGGACTTGGTCTTGTGCTGTACATATTTGCGCTTGTGCGCATCTGGCGTGTGGCGCGCCATTATCGAGTCCAACTCACGACTAGAAATGCGGGCTAGGCATGCTTTGCGAGCTGATGGAAGGCAGAGGCAGGTTGGCGAGCCTGCTCCGCGCATGATTGCCCCCCACGGCTCGCGCTTGCGATCCTGCAAATCTCAATCGTGAACTCTGGATGCATCATTGAGATTCATCGATGATTCACATTCAGGATTCTTGATTCTTGATTTGATTATTCACAAATTCACGCCTCACGAGTGATTTTTTTGCACCGCCCCGCAACGGCAGGAACGCATCCATGCGCGCGATTCACGTGACTGGATTTTAACCTTAATTGTCCCCGCGGCAACGCCGCACGCGACGCGCATCATGCAGTCAGCAAAGATCACGAGCCGCGCGGGCGATCGACCTCAACCTCGATCACGTCTGGAGTGAGACCATCCGGTGGATGATGCGTACCGTATGCCGCTGCCTGCACCCTGCCACCACCACCATATCAAGCAAGCAGCTGACGCTACACTCACGACTGCGAACGAGGTAGAGGGCGACGATTGCCAAGGGACAGCGTCGGTCTAAGCGCTACATTCAAGATTGGCGTGACTATCGCCGCTGCCAATGTCTCGCGCAGATTCTTCACGCTCCCGCGACTCTGCGGCTGGAAGCTTGCCAAGCAACGCGGGCCGTCCGAGCCATGTAGCAGCGCTCGCTAGGAGTTGGCCTCCACCGCGAACCGCATCCAGCACTACCTCGCGATCCAGCTTTGCTCGACCTATAGCACCAACAGCTCGGGTGCATAGTCGAATGGAAAAGTTCGAGAGCGGAATGGCGCGATCCTCAGCATCATCTGGCAGCAGACCTGGCCCTCCGCCATTGCCGCCCAACCGCGCTCCGAGTGCCAGCAGGCCAAGTTCCCGCAATCTGGTTGCTTCTCCAGCTGCTCCGGTACATCCCTGGTCTCACCGTCCGACTCCGTCTCGGTCATCGGCCTCCGTCTCTGCTAGGGGCAGTGCCCATCCTTATCCACGTCCTGACGAGCGCGTAAGCTACCATCACGCTCCTCCCGCGCGTTCGGCTCATCCACAAGTCCATCCGTACTATGGCGCCAGTCCCATGCCTGAGGTGAGTCACAACAGCTGTGAAGTCAGGTTGCCATAATGTGATGGGCCGCTTAACGTCCATTCTGCCATCATCAGGCGGTCGCTAGAGCGTACGAGCGTCTCGTGTCTCAGTCGCCCGCTCCATCGGATCGCATGGGTTATGGCCGCTCGGTCTCTGTTGTCTCGTATACCGACGGGGCAGGTGTCGGACAGTCAGCATACTATGCGGCGCAACATGATACTCCCCACCGCGCACACGCTCATTATGAGCTCCGCTCGCATCCTGCACACGCTTTGGCCATGACTCCAAGCAGGGCCCGCACCGCATCAAGCATGGCCCATCATCAGCACCGCGAGCAAGCGAGTGTGCAGCCGGTCTCTACAACTCCCCAACATCGTGGCATGACCAGGCAAGATCTGGCATTTGTCTTGGGCGCTGCGAGGAGAGGAGCCAGCGTCACGCCAGCCATGATCAACTCGCCGGTGGGCTTGTCACGCGCTCCTGCCCAAATGTCCGGAGCGAATAGATTGTTTGCAGTGCAAGGAAGTCCCAAGCGGCCGGCTGCGGACGCTGCAAGCAGTCCTTCTTCCTTGACTGCGGATAGGGCTGCCCACACATCCCGGGATCACCGCCAAATACAGCAAGCTGTTGCAGCGTCGAGTTCCACAGAGGCGCATGCCGGTAATGCCGCCATCCGCGTTCTCACCCGGCAGGTGATTGACGATGCAACGCCCAATCTCGATGTGCTCGCGGTCGAAGTTCCTCAAGCTCTCGACGCGCAAGAAGCGGATGCTGGTATTGGCGAGGTGGCTGATGCTACCAATGCCATTGCGTCCTCTCAAAACCTGGCCAAGGAGACAGCAAGAAGCTCTCTCCAGCTTGAGAAGACTGTCGATGATGGCGATCACGAAATTGAGGAGGCTTCGGAGAGAGTTAAGACTGTTGGAGAGGAACGCTCTGCTGCACACCTCCCTGAATCTGAGCCAGAGCCCGAATTAGAGGACACCTCCATCTCTCGGGATCAGCCTTCGGGCTTCGCCAGGACATTAATCGCGATCGACGTACCGATGGCCATCGAGCAACCGCAGAGAGCTGCAAAAGCATCCAAACTCACCCAGCGGGACGAGGCGGCGGCCCGGTCGGAACTACCGCCCACTCAGGTGCGACAGACAGACACCCAGCCGATTCAATCTGGTCGCGTGCCCGCGCCAGCAGCTAAGCCAAGCGTCGCGCTAAGCTCATGGTTCCTCACGTTGGTATCGCTGCGTCGAGGTCCATCAATCAACGACAGAACGGGGAAGCTGTCATACTGGTTCTACGTTGAAGGCGTCAGGATGAATGCCGATGGAGATGAAGAACAATGGCACTCCTCATTCGTGCATGGACGTAAGGACTCTCGCACTGTGAACACCACTAGCGGCAGTCTCTACACTCTAATTGGGCCCATCAATCGAGACAAGATGAGCAACCTTGGATGGGGTAATGTTGTGATCAGTCACTTCGAAGACGGCTTCCCGGAGGACTGGCTGGACGTCGTCTGCGAGGATATTGAGCATCGACAAGCGCTGCGGGAGCGGTCAGCCAGTCGGGCTGAGGCCGCCGCGACCGCAGCATCCAGCAACAGGCATGCAGCCAAGAGGAAGCGCACCTCGGGTCCCACTACATCCGCCTCTTCTTCGCGCAAGTCTGGGCCCAGTCGTGCAGGTGCAGAAGCATCGCTACAGCCGGAGGTCTCAGGGTCTTTCGGCGACGACAGTGCAAACACACCAAATGCCACATCTGAGCCCAAAGTGAAGCGCAAGCGAGGTCGACCTTCGAAGGCGGAGTCAGAAATCATCAGGCAAGAGCGGGAGCAAGTGGCAGCGGAGAAAGAAGCTCGCAGAGCGGAAGTTGTTGCACGCAAATCTGAGAATGGCCGAGTTGTTGCAAGGAAATCTGAGAATGGCCGAGCTGCGCAAGCGGCAGCTCAGAGCTCACCAAAGAGAGACGTGCCCAGTAGAAAGCTTACAGCTGCTCAGAAAGCAACGATGCTTGCTGATGCAAATGTGCCTCGTCGCAACTCAACGTCACCTCGCAAAGGAGGGCGTGATTCCGGCACAGCCTCTCGTGCTGTAGATGATGCTGAGGACGCTTCAGCGAGCACAAATCAGGATGCGTCTCATCAGCCGCCAAGGCCGCCCCACGGGGCTGCTGCAAGTCTCGTCGACGCGGAGCTGGAATCATTTACAAATGCTGCCGCCGCGCCTGCCAACGACCTTCTTGTGGTCGCGGACCCGGACGACAGCCTGTTGCGCGCTGCTCCCTTGGCTGCGCGCAGAAAGAGCGGATCCAACAAGCGTCGACTCCGCGATTCTGACGAAGAGCTGGCTGAAGGCGTTGACGAGAACGCCGAGGACATTTCGAAACCATCACGATCCACAAGCACAGCGAGTCCACACAAGGGCCGCGCTGGACGTTCCAGCGCAACGAGCACACCTCGTCTTATGGAACAGAAGGCGCCGCTCACACCTGCGCAGGTCAAAGCGCTGCCGCGCGAGATGCAGAATCTTGGACGATCACCATTCGGGGTACTTGGTGTTGTCAAACGAGCGCTTCTGGAGACTTCGAGTGGCCAAGGCCCTCTTGAGCGCGCATCAAATGTCACCGGCAAATCTATCGATAGCTCTCGCAGAGCGAGTGTCGGGGACGCGATCGAGCCGGACGACCATGAGAAGAAAGCTACAAGACCTGTACGCGCCCGCGCCTCAGCTGGGATTGGCAAGTGGTGGGAGATCACGCCTGCTCCAGTGCGTCCGGCAGAGCGGAAGATCGCGCCACTGCGGAGCGTTCAGAGCGTGCCAAATCTAGCGACTCTGCCTACCGAAAGCCCCAAGATCACCCAAAACAAGCCATCGCCAAGAAAAGCAAGTGCGCCGGTTTCACCTGCGCGAAGAGCGGGACCCAAGGGGGTCACAGCGAGAGCACCACTGATCGGCAAGGAACGCCGCCCCCCTTCGTCCGACGAGGAGGAGTCTTCACCCGACACGGCGTCAGACTATGACGGCGATTTTGACCAGAATCGACCGCCTTCACGCAGACGCCTGCCCACTGTGACCGTAGCCCGCCGATCTGCACCGCACGAGAGCAAGAAGCCCATGCGTCCAAAAGCAAGTAGCAGCGGACGCCGTCGATCTTCTGAGGGAGCGGGCAGGGCGAAAAAACAGCCTTCCGCTTCTAAGCGCCCCTCGCCTCGCAAGCAAGCGCGTGCGAGTGCGCCGGGAAGAATTGGCATCCAGAACGCTGAAGGCGGTGAGGTAGAGGGTGATTTGTCGTCGGACGACGAATTTGAGCAGTCTATGCATGATCCATCGATCGAGTCAGCAGCCCAAAAGCCCAAGGAAGCTCGCAAGGCAGTTACGGAGACATTCTTGGATCGCCAGAATCGGGTCACCTTCGCGATTGCGGATCCCCGCGAACTTCCCCCGGACGATTACGAGTTTAGCGATTGAGTTGTTGAACGTGGCTAGTACGTGAGCCCGCTCCCCATCGTAATGCATCCTGTATATCAGCATCATGAGAACGAATCGCAGGCCTGTAAAGACTTCGACTCGGACAGCATGCACTCAGATCTTCGGTTGATAGATCGTGATTCGAATTATCGCGGTGTGTCGCTGACACTGGCTTGGCGGTTGTGAAATTCTTGCGTAGCCCTGTCGAGGTCGACGGGTGACTTGCAGGTCAGGATGCTGGCGTGGAGAACCAAAGTCGAAGTACCGGTCTAGTCGAGATGTCAAAGCTTTCATTCGTGATTCGTGATACGTGACTCTGCGGCGCCGCGATATTATTGATATTGATTCAAATTCGATGGAGCATTGACAGGTTCATCATTCAAGATTGAATCACTGGTGAAATCAAATTTTAGGCTTCATCAACCATGAGGCTGTGAGATACGCGCGTCAGCTGAGGGACGCGAACCGCACTCGCGTTGCCCTTGCATGCTGCTGAGCGTTGACTAGCCTGCTGCAGCCAACTCTGTTGCCGGTGGGTGCGATGTGAGATTGGACCTGCATAGCCGCGCAAGCAATCACGAATGAGGGTGGCTCAGCCATGTGCTGCAATCCTCATCTCGATCTGCCCTTGGACCACTCATGATGCTCACCACTATCATCTCTACTATCAACTCTGCGCATCGCAACCCCACAGCTGCAACATCTTGGGCTGAAGCGAAAGCCTAATTCACGGGCGAAAAGCCCTGCGCAGGTACTGAGTATCGCTCCACGTCAGGCTGCAGCCCTCGCATCCAGCCAAGTGCTGTGACATGGCCCACGCCATCACTCTGGACGACTTGCGAGATGCATCTCAAACCGGGAACAGTGCTTCATCCACCGATTTGCCGTCCTCATCTTGCCTTCCCCGCTCGAGGGAGGGAGCGATAGATGCGCTCACACCAGAGAGACCTCGAAGACGTGGCAGAAGGAGGCGGAGCTCGGAGCAACCGGATGCTACGATACACTGGTGGGAGCGCGCCAGCGACGCTGACAAAGATGGAGACGAAGGCGGCTCACAGAAGGGTGTCCAAGACTTGTCAAGGTCAGAACAGGACTCACGCGCGCAGACCAGTGCCTCCCTCGCTGTCGGTCCAGGACAAGTGCCTTTTCACTCTGAGCCGGCCCAGCGACCTCAGCTTCAACTCAGGACCAGCTCATATGGCGCCAGCAAGGAGCTTCAAATGCCTTCGCAGGAGATTGCACAGCCGGAAGACGACTTCGAGCCAAATAGCCCCCCCGGGGCTCGATCCCCAGCAGCGGACTTCCTCTCCGCTTTCGCCAGCTTGCACAGCGTAGTGGATGCCAGCATAAGCAGCGATTCCAGCTGGTCCCTAAACCGAGCCAGATCGCTGTCGCCATCTCCATTTCCATCCTCAAATCCACAAGTTATACAGCAAGCGATCAGCGACGCCGCTTTAGAGGTGCAGGACACGCCGCACGCTTCCTCTTTGCCCAACGCTGTCCCACCGATGCCTATGCCTCTTGGTCTAGCGTCGGCTGCAGCTGCTTTGTACGGAAGCCAGGATGATTCACAGCCCGCTGAGGCTGGCATTGCGTCCAGATACCCAAAGAACAATGCTCGTTTACCGTCATCCTTGCCCTCTCTTCCACCGCGGAGCCTCGCGCGGGACGACGAAGGCGCACTCATCTGTGGAGGCCGCTTTCAACTCGGGCGCACCCTTGGCTTCGGCGGTTCCAGCACAGTCAGAGAAGCCTTGGATCGAGGCGGCCCTCAACACGAAACGGCATCTGCGCATCAAGCAGCTCGCGTCGCGGTGAAGATCGTTCAATTGGAGGCTCACGAGGAAGAGGCCGAAGCTGAGGCCGGTTTGTGGTCCTCTTTGCCGAGCCATGCACATTTGCTTCCCCTCCTTGAGCGAGAGGTCGTTGAGCCTTCATCCGCCTCAGACAAGCGGCTGCTGTTTCTAGTAATGCCGCTTGCGGATGCCGGAAGCTTGTTGAATTTCGTCCGTGCCGAGGGCGGCTTGTCAGTCTCGATCGACGAGGCAGGTTTAAATGGCGTTGTTAATTCCTCCAACTTACGAAGCCCGCATGGTCCTCATCACGCAAGGCCCCAAAGCACGTACACGATCAACCGCTCTCCTTTGTCTAGCACAAGCAGCCGGACAGGGAGCGGATTTTTGCCTGGTCGCACTGGAGGAGCTGCACGGATCATGTCAGATGGCAACGGAGTTGCAATCAGCCCCAATGGGCCGAGCAGCTTGACGGGTCCGCGCTACAGCGGTCAGTCTCCCGGAGGACTGGGAGCGTCAGGAGGCCTCCTTCGACGCGCTTCAAGCCGAGCTGCACCCAAATCACGAGGCATTCCTCTTGCCATCGCGCGCGACGTGATGGCCCAGTTGTGCGCAGGTTTGCGAGTGCTGCAGTCTCTTCACATTCGGCATGGCGATCTCAAACTCGAAAACGTGCTTGGTCAGCATGCGCCAAATGGCAGGGGAGGAGACGGGAGGCGATTGATCTGGCGTCTGGCAGACTTTGGGCTATCTTGCGTCGTTCGGGAACATCAGGGAGCGAGCGATGCGCATGGAGTAGCCAGCCTCGATACACGCGAGTCGCGAGCAAAGCTCTCGGCAGCTCATCCAACTCGGGCGAAGGGAGCAAGCGAGAGCGCCATCCTGACGAATAACCATGCAGCTGTCTCCATTCCTCGTGGCGGCTCTCTGGCTTATGCGGCGCCGGAAGCACTGCGCACCGCCACGGAGCAGTCCCAGCTGCTGCACAAAGCTTCGCCTTTTGCTACAGATCACTGGGCTCTGGGATGCATCTTCTATGCGCTCTTGGCCGGCCGGCTTCCTTTCACCGACTCATTCGAGCCCCGGCTACAGCTGAAAATTACACGTGGAGCATGGTCTATGCCCAATCGTCTTGCGCGCCGCAACCCTCGTAGGAGTCGGACATCCAGTATGAGTGTCAGGGGAGGCAGCGCGGATGCTCAGTTTAGCAGATTGGCAAGCGCAGTGCAACCGAGCACTAGCGTGCAAAGCTTCACCAGTGACATGTTTTCGGGGCCAGCCGGGCATCAACTGCCAAGCCAGAGTTTAGGCGCAGCATTCGACATGAGCGCAAGCTTACCAGCCTTGCCGGCCGGCGCTATTGACTGGTCATCGAAGGTCTCTCCGGCTCAGCGTTCCACCTTTGGAGATGATGAAGATGCCAGTGACACGGATGACGAGGCCGCAGAGGTGGACAAGGCAACGAGATTGTGGGACGGCACGCGACTTGAAAGGAGCGCGGCAAGAGAGCTTCTCAGGGGTCTCTTGGAGCCAGATGCGGGACTGAGGTGGAACTTGTCAGATGTCGAGCAATGTGCGTTCTTGCAGCAAGGTGGAAAGGGTGCACCTCAACCAAATCTGCTGGACGATCAAGATCCTAGGACCCACCCAGACACTCTGATCACCTCAAACGCGCCCCACGACGCCCCACCAGCTCAGTCAGACGACCAGAACGCTGCTAGGACACTTTCGTTCGAAAGAAGGCCTCCATCGCAGGAACGTTCACAAGGTCGAGACTCAAGCCTGAGCCGATCGCGGCCGGCTCGCCTTAGCTCAGGTCCTCATGATGCGGTAGGAGCAGAGCGAACTCCGACAGGGCCACCCGTGCTGGCCAGCCAGACGGAATTCCTTGACGTCTCACTGCCCAACGGTCAGGCCCTCGAGCACGCTCAGAGGGGCAGACAGCACAGGCGAATGGCAGATGTGCTTGAGAATGTTCGCTCGGATCATTCCCTCACAACCTCGAGTAGCGAACGACCCGTTCTTCTAAACTCCGCCGCGCAGAGCTGCAGCCGCAGTCGCAGTCGAAGTCGTTCTAGGGCAGGCTGGGAACCAGGAAAGGCGTCTCAGTCAGGGCCTCCTGCGAAAGACGATGCATCCTCGGGAGCAGGATGCGACCAGGAGATATTGTGGCAGTCACAAGCCCCTCGTCGGCCTGGACTGCAGGCTCGTGCGTCCTCTGCCGAACTGCTATCTCACGTGCCAGCAGAGGATGGCCCTGCGATGCAGCGACGGCCCTCGCGAAGCGTCAGTCGCTCCAGAAATTCACAGAAGAGTGATGCAGGCGTCAGCTCAGAGAGGCGCTCAGTTGGACGAAGCAACACAAGTCGGAGCCGCAGCCGAGCTCCGGATGCTTTGGTTAGTCTGCTGAGAAACTCTCAGCAGAATGAGGAGAGCGGAGGAAGAACACGTGGTGCGCGCTCTTCGACAACGTCGTCTAATTTCTCAGCGCACGGATCGTCTTCGTCATCGAGTCCTGGGCCGCGAGAGCATGTGCGCAGCCCACACTCTCTCCAGCATGCGACTGGAGCAACTATTTATCGCGAAGACTCAAGTCGGGCTCTACGTGATGAAGCACCCCTTTCTCAGCACGAAGAGGAGCACGCTCACTGGTGGCAGCGTGGGAGAACGCGGGATTCGAGACGGCATGCCCAGGCTACTCCTGACACTGCGGTTGATGACGGTACCAAAAGTTCGAGGTGGCCTTGGCATTGAACTTCGATCTTTCAAAAGGCTCTGCGTGTCTTCCTGCCTTTTTGTAACTGCGAGGACCCCAACGCGTACCACGCATGCTTATCACCAGCAAGCGTCTTGCCGGCGCGTTCATACACCTGCCCCTACTGTACTTGTACCTGTAATCTCCACGAATCTCGCCCCAATACGCCCACGTCTGACCAATGCGTCGTGACACACGCTTCGTCTGTTGAGCGTTTGCTGAGACCACCACGCAGGTCTGCGTTAATCAGCAAAGGTGAGGTGCATTGTCATTGGGATGCATTCTGAACAGTCGCCCAGATGTCGCAAATTTCCAGTCAAGGCTCTTAGAGCTTGGGCAATTGATCGAACTTTGCCTTGAGCTCGGCGTGAATCTGTGGCAAGCACAAGAAAGGAGCAGGATGATCAGTTTGCCGCCATCGTATTGAGAGTCGGCTCCTCACCTTTTGCAGCTCTTCCTTTTCGGGCTGCGTGCCTGGCCACTCGATGATTAGACCCTGCTCTTTGGAAGGTTTGGGAATGACGTGGACTGCAAGGCGGCGGGAACCGCATTCGCGGCAGGAATCAGCACGCAATCAAGGGCTAAGACTCGAACGATACAGACGAGCCCCCTCCCTCCCCCCCC